GTAGAAACGGAAGTGAAAATGGGAATGGAAACGGAAGTAGAAGTAGAAATGGAAGCTAAAGTAGACATGTAAACAGAAATGGGGATGGAAACAGAAGTAGAAATGGTAGATGACTATGGCTATGACGATGGCAGTAATAGCAATGGTTATAGCTATGGATAAAAAAAAGAGAGTAGAGTTGGAGATGGCTGTGGCTATGTTGGTAGAGAGTAGAGTCGGAGATGGCTATAGTGACAAGTGACTGTAATATGTAGAATGACAGATGTAGACAGTTCGGGAGAGAATGGGGGGGGGGGTAAAGGGAGAGGATGGAGAAGGAGAAGGAGAATTTAAGGGCATCTCTATTTTGCACTTTAGAGCATGGGCGGTATAAAACTAAAGTTGCATCTTGATCACCCCTCCCCATCTCCCCCATCTCCCCCCTTCGACACACAACCTAAAAAAGGTATAAAAACGCTCGACACACAACCCGACATCCCTCATCCGCAAGGCTTCCCTAACAATAAAGGAGATCGTTACAAATGCTCTCATGTGGTGCCATAGTCTCGAAGTAAATCTAGCGTAAGGGCTAGAGCAGAAGGTGCGGGATGCGAGAGACGAGGCGATGGATGCTTCCACCACCACCCCCCGTAACCGTCGTAATGACTTCCTGTCACCGCCCCCTTTCTTCTCACGATCACGATCACCACTGCCCAGCCTTTACCCCCCCTGCCACCTCCACCGCCAGTAGAAGAGGGGTTCGCGGTTGCCGACATGAAGCCGTCCATGTGCTCAGTGCCGAAATAGCGTCTCTTGATGAGGGCATTAAGATACTGGGTTTCTATCTTGTTTTTAAGTAGGTGTTTAAACGTGTCGAACTGCCTAAGTTGCAGAAACGGGGGCTAAGAGAAACGGAGACTAAGAAACGGCGACAGAGAAATGCAGAGGTGGGAACTGAGATAGAGAATTCAAGACATAGAAACTTAGAGATATAAACTCAGAGACACAAATGCCGAGACAGAAATCGAGAGAAAGCAACACAGGAGAGAAACGGAGACCGAGACGCAGCAATACAACCATCAAGAAGTAGAAACCCAAACCCAAACCCAGCCCCCCAACTCTCCACACCCCTCAACCACTGTAACCCCCTAACCCTCCAACCCCCTCTCCCACACATCACACTCACTCAAAAGCGCATTTCAAATTCCGTAAAACATCAATTCATTCACTCCATCTCCATCCTATCTACCTCCTCTCCCTCCCCTCTCTCCCCCTCCCCACCACCATCGACACACAAACAAACCCACGGAGAAGTCAAGCAAAATTAACAACCCCCCACCCTTGTCGCCGCCCAACGCGAACCCCAAGTTTTCCATAAAAAAAGACTGCACAAAAAAACGTTGCCCGGCCAGTGCCTACATATCCTTCCTTAAACGCGCAAAAAACACCACCACCTCTCCTCAAATCTAGAGCAAGACAGCAGATCTACTCAACAGTAACACTCTTGGCCAAATTCCTCGGCATATCCACGTTCAGTCCCTCGGCAACAGCAAGCCAGTACGCCATGAGCTGGAGCGGGATGACATTCAACAAACCCTGCAGGCAGTCGACCGTCTTGGGGATCTCGATCTTCTCGCACTTGTCCTCGTGGAACTCGGAGTCGTTGGGGTTGCAGATGATGATTGGCTTTCCTGCGCGGGCGATGACTATTTTTCTTCGTGTTAGCTGACTGCACCACAGAGATCGGATCTGAGATTTGGGGAATGGAAGAGATGGGAGAGGAGGGGGAAAGGGAAGGTGGGAAAGGAAATACGTACTCTGCTGATAAGCATTCAACGACTTCGCAAAGATATTATCCCTCGTCAAAATCATAATAATCGGCAAATTCTCATCCACAAGCGCCAACACCCCATGCTTCAGCTCTCCCGACATGACCGCCTCGCAATGCAGATAACTAATCTCCTTGATCTTCAGCGCACCCTCAAGGGCAGTCGAGAACTGGCTTCCGCGTCCCAACAACAACAGAGAATTCTGTCCCTGGAACGTACGCGCGCACAACTCCTTGATCGGCTGATCCAGCTTGAGGATCTCCTTGATATGCGCACTAATCCCCCCGAGACCGACCATGATCTCCTCGCGGCGCGCAGCCTTGGAAGCGCGGTCCTCGGAGAGAGAGAGCGCCACCATGACCATGGCGATAAACTGGGAGGTGTATGCCTTTGTGGAGGCGACGCCGATTTCCGGGCCGGCGTTGACGTGGACACCGCAGTGGGTGAGGAGGGAGATGGAGGATCCGACGACGTTTACGACACCCACGGTGAGGGCGCCGCGCTCGAGACAGTAGCGCAGGGCCATGAGGGAGTCGGCTGTCTCGCCGGACTGGGAGGCGAAGATGCAAGTGTCGTCGCGGAAGACGGGGGGCTGGCGGTCGAGGAAGTCGGAGGCGAGTTCGACGGTGATGGGGATCTCGGTGAGCTCCTCGAAGATGCCGCGGACGGCCATGCAGGAGTGGTAGGAGGTGCCGCAGGCGATGAAGATGACGCGGCGGCAGCGGCGGATGGTCTCGATGTAGGAGCGGAGACCGCCGAGGGTGACCTTCTTGTTCTCGATGTCGAGGCGGCCGCGCATGGTGTTGATGACGGACTCGGGCTGCTCGAAGATCTCCTTCTGCATGAAGTGGTCGAATTTGCCCTTCATGATCTCCTGGAGCTCGAGCTCGAGGGTTTGGATGGTGCGGACGTTGGGGGAGCCGTCGGACTTGGTGAGGCGGTGGATGTTGAGCGAGCCCTCGTGGATGTGCGCGATGTCGTCGTCCTCGAGGTACATGACCTTCTTGGTGTGCTCGATGATGGCCGAGGGGTCGGAGGAGAGGTAGAACTCGGTTGGCAGTGGCACGCCGTCATCAGTCATGAAGGCCCTGGACTGCGATCTGCGGAGCAGCGACTTGTCGGCGGCGGTTCCGGCGCTCAGGAAGTTTCCAACGCTCGACTTCTTGAGGGCCGCGTTCTGCGATGCCTGCTCCGCTGGCAGAGGGGTGTCCTCGGCGTACTCCACGTCAACGAAATCCACCTTCATCGGCTTGTCGGTGCGGACACCAATGACCAATGGGGAACCCTTCCTCGCGGCGATGACCTCGTGGGGGTAGTGAATCGACTTCATCAGCAGACCAAACGCGCCCTGCAGCTCCTTGATGACCGCCTTGGCGAGATCGGTGAAGCCGATCGACGGGTTCGTCTCAAACAGGTACTTGGCAAGCTTGGGGATGACCTCGGTGTCCGTCTCCGTCTCGAACTTGAAGCCCTTGCTCTCCAGCAGCGTGCGCAGCTCCTTGTAGTTTGTGATGATGCCATTGTGCACCACGGAGAACTCCCATGCTGGGTCGGACCTGTACAGCGTGTCAGTGATTGCCTAACCGGTGAATACGTGTTGTGCGTGCAAACATACCTGTGGGGGTGGCAGTTGAGGCGGGAAGGGGTGCCGTGGGTAGCCCAGCGGGTGTGTGCGATACCAGCGTGCGAATCGAAGACCTTGGTCAGATCGGGCTTGGACTCCTCAATCAGCTCCTTGAGCTTGACCACCTTGCCGACCTCCTTGTAAGCAAACACCTCATTCTTCTTGTCTCCGTCGACAGCGAGACCGGCGGAATCATAGCCACGGTATTCGAGGCGGGCGAGGCCTGTTGGGGACACAATTCAGTATTTGGAGCTTTCAGGGCACGGGCAAGCGGTGAGGGCGGGGCAGGAACAGGAACTCACCATTGACGAGAGTGTCGAGGATGTATTTCCTGTCTCTCTCCACCAGGTAGTTGACGTATCCGAAAATTCCACTGGGAAGGGTATGTTAGCTTCAGAAGTTCATAGGAGGCGTTGTGGTCGCTGGCATCGCGAAGTTGAGGTTTTGTTGACTTCGTGGTGCCAGGGGGAAGTGAGGGGTCCTGTGAGGAAGGCTGACGCACCACATTGTACTGTAACTGGGGGCCCTTAAGCCTGTACGCCGAACAAAGAGGAATTAGTAGATAGCTGAAGAGGAAGACGTGACGGTGGAAGTGTGTAAAAGTTGATTGTAAAGTGAGGAGGCAGCGGGGGTATTTTGTGTTTATGTATGAAGAAGGTTGAAGGTAAAGAACGAGCCTGCAGGTAATATATGGAGCTGCCCTGGGGTGGCTTTTGAGGAGTTTCAAAGGGTTCGGGAAGGCTGCTTGGTTGCTTGGGCCGTGCTCGTGCTGTTTTGGTTGCTCAGACGAAGGTAAGGTACATGGAGTTAGTACCTCGTACAAGTATTAGAGCCAGGTACCACTAGTTTGGCTGTGTGGTCACCCTGGCAATCAAGACTTTCTTTGTGTGTGAATATTGTGTGTATCTGTTGTATCTGTGTGTCCGTCTTGTGTCCATCTATCTGTCTCCGCCCTCACCATTAAACCTGCCCTGGCAATTTCTAACTTTAGAGTGGTTTAGAGTGGTTAAAATGTCGTCGTAGTGGGGAAGGAGTGCTAACTACTCACCAATTAATAGCTAACAAAACCACCTCGTAGTGTGGATGTACTGCTAACTAATCACTCATTAACCACTAACTAAACCACCTCGTAGTGGAGAATCTAATGAGATCTAGTGGAGAAGATCCCCAAGCACCACCACACACCGATACTGCATTAGCAGACCTAGAACCAACAGAGTCAACAAAACCGCCTCACCTCTAGCACGCAGCAATACAGTGCACCTGCAGTAGGAGAATGCACACTAAATACCCCCCTTCCTAATTGACTCCCCTAAACCCCCTACATACCAGTATAACCTCCCTTTCCTTCACTCCTTTAACCCCCATCCCCAGCACGTGTTAACCAAAACAAACCTCCCACCACCTCAACGCCCACGTACCACACATAGCTCTAACCCGCCTCACCCCCCCTTCGCCCCTCCACTATCCCCCATCGGTCCTAACCCCCCACCCGGCTTAGTCGAACCGAAGAAACCCAGTTGGCATCAGCCACACTCTCCTCCTAAAAATAGAAACCTGCCAATGCGACAGCAAGCAACTCGGACTTTCAGTTTTTACAGTTATACGGGATTTGGATCTAGTGAGTTGCCGGGTTGGCCCCTTCCCTGTTCCTGTTACTGGTGTCTGTACGGGGGGGAGGCAAAATGGCATGGGGGGAGATGGGTGCCATGACGACGCCGTGCCTGGTTCCCGTGCGCTAGGAGAAGGGGGATGGATATATATGGATGGTTGGATGGATGGATACGAGAGGTCAGCGATACGAGGTAGGTCGATCAGGATGTGAGATATCGTGTATGTCGGCGTGAGCGATTGATAACTGTCCTGTAATGAAGTGATAGACAAGACAAGAGAGTGGGTAGTTAGGTGATCAAGTGCCGGGCTCTGGGGAAACGGCGGGTTGGATGGTTCTGACAATACTAAGACTACGAGCACTACTGATACTATTAACTACAGTCTGGAAATACCACTTCTAACACTCCTAGCACTCCTAACCGTGATGCGAAAACCTATACCTCAACAGCCGATCGATCATTAAGCCCACCACTATATGGGATACAGACGGCCGACGCGGCTCTTCCGTTGAGGGTCTAGACACACAGAAACTAAGACAACAGACTACACTATCGACTCCCTCCGGCGCGGTGCGATGCGGGATGTATGCACTGTCGATCAGTGTCTAGACGGTGGTATTGCACAGCCACGAATAAAGGGGGAGGGAGGGAGCTTGGTAATGGGAGAACGGAAAAGAGGCCAGAAGAGATGTCAGATCTAGGATAGAAAAAGCTTGGTATGAGCATAGCCACGAAGAAAAAAGGGGGAGCTTATAATAGAGATGTCATATCGGGATAGAGAAAGCTTGGTATGAACGGACTCTGTAGCATAGCCACGAAGAAAGGGGAACCGCCCTCCCAAAAAGGGATTGAAGAGGCGAGTAAAGGGTAGAGCTGCTACGAGGCTGAAGTGTGTGGCATAGCCACGAGAAAAGGGGGGAGAGGCGGGTGAGGCGGCAGATGTCAGATCGTGGGTCGAGAGACTAGTAGACTGGAGTCTGGCATAGCCACGAAAAAAGGGGGAGAGGTGGTGACGTGCAGGAGACATATCGTCGGTAGCTGTCATGGCCTGCCGTGAGAACCGTGCCTGTACCCCCACGATCCCTAGAAGGGTATCTGAAAGGAACTAGCCATCCTTAAAGGCTACGTAGGAAGCTGTCATGCTATACCATCCACCATGGTACCTGAAAGGATTAGGACGACCTGCAAGGAACGAGCCAGTCAGTCCGAAAGACGATATAAGAAGCCATGATACCACACCACGCCATCCCCCAAACCAAGCCTCCATACACCCCCCCCCCCCCCCCACACACACACACTACAGACATCATCACCACATACACAAACACAAACATCACAAGACCCCCAGCAGTATAGTTCTCTATAATTTCCCATTTCCATGATATTACAGATGATGATGAGCTCGATCGATGCTTGTTACGCCCGCCCGCCCGCCCCCGTCCTGCCAATACCAATGCCCCGCACGCGCGCCATCCTACAAACGTGAACTGCCCCTGCTTCACCCTCCTTTCCTCCCCTCTCTATACGCTAGAGCCCAAGCCGAACCTCAACCCTCCCCGTAGCTAGCCTACATTACAGCTTCTGGTACTCGAGCTTGCCCTCCAGCTTCTTTGATTCCGCGACCTTGCGGACGGCTTTGTTGAAGTCGTCTTGGTTGATTGCGTCGCGGTAGTCGCGGATGGCGAAGAGGCCACTGGGGGGTGACGTCAGTATGGTATTTCGGGGGATAACAGGGATAGGGTAGAGGGATAGATAGGGGTCAAACTCACGCCTCGGTAACAACATTCCTCAAATCCGCCCCATTCAACCCATCACTCATCTTAACCACACTCTCGAAATCAATCTCCCCCTCCGTCACCACCCCCGCGGCATGAATCTTCATAATCTCCAACCTCCCCACCTCATTCGGCAACGGGATCTCAATCTTCCTATCCAAGCGCCCCGCTCTCAGCAAGGCCGGGTCAAGCGTATCCGGACGGTTCGTCGCCATGATGATCTTGGTCTTGCCGAGGTAATCGAAGCCGTCGAGCTGGTTGAGGAGTTCCATGAGCGTGCGCTGGATCTCGCGGTCGGCGGAGGTGCCCTCGGAGAAGCGGCGCCCGCCGATGGCGTCGATCTCGTCCATGAAGATGATGCAGGGCTCGTGCTCTTTGGCGTAGCCGAACATTTCGCGGATGAGGCGCGCGGATTCGCCGATGTATTTGTCGACGATGGCGGAGGAGACGACTGTGGGGGGTTACGTTAGTAGTGTAAATGGTGAGCAAAGGGTGTTAGGGGGGGATAAGCATACCCTTCAAGAAATTCGTCTCCAACCCCGACGCCACCGCCCTCGCCAACAACGTCTTCCCCGTCCCCGGCGGCCCATATAACAACACGCCCTTCGGGGGTTTAATCCCAACTCTCAGGAACAGCTCCGGGTTCTTGAGCGGTAGCTCGATGACCTCTCTCAGCTCCCTGATCTGCTCGTTCAGTCCGCCGATCCCGCCGAAGCTGACCTGTCCGGGGTCCTCGAGAGACATGTTGTAGACGAGCGGGTCGACCTCGCGAGGGAGCATGCGCATGATTGTTAGGGTTGTCATGTCGAGCGCGACGCGGGTGCCTTGCTTGAGCTTCTCCTTGTCGACTTTTGAGCGGCAGCCGACGACGTAGCGGGGGCCTGAGGAGGCCTTTACGATAACTAGAAGGATAGAGTCAGTAAAAGCTAGATTGTATGGACCATCAAGAACACGCACATCTCTCATCATCCAACTGCTTCAGGACCTCCCCGATAATCTGCCCTACGCTTTGTAATGCCTTCAGGTTATCCTCAGTATGATCATAATCCTTCTGCAACCCCTTGATATCCAACCGCAGCGCCTTTAGCTTAGCCTCCCACTCCCTCGACTCCAGCAGCTTAGTCTTGAAGGAGGAGAGGGAGTGCTGGCGCGCCTCGTCTGACATGGTGAGGTTGGGCCGGGGTGAGAGCGGTTCGCGGGCTGGGTGTAGCGTGCGTGGCCCTGTGGACGAGCGAGCTCTGTCTATCCTCCGGGTGTTGATAAGAAAGTAGCGGGCGGTGTCTGAAGTGGGAGAGCAAGGGTAGATCGATTGATCTGAGGTGGTGGGTGAGGGAGTTGAGGAATTAGGTTGTGATGGTTTGGAAGGCGCGTTGATGCTGGAGAGCTTTGATCACCAAAGGCAACATAGCTCGTTGCGCAGCTCCAGGGACTGCGGTAAGTGCCGTTCGGGATTAGTGATGGGGTTGGTGCCTGAGGCTGCAATAAGGTTTCGCAATTGACTACGTCACGTGTAGTGTCGTCAATGCTTGATGCCTAAGGCAACAACTAAAATTCTCAGTCGCCAACGTCACGTGCACACATTTTATAGAATCACAAGATAGAAACACCAGATAGAAAGTCAACCAACCCAGCAACTGTGCGTGTAATTGCGGGAGAGTAGCCCCCAAACTGACGCCCGGTGGAGCCTCACCGCGAGTAACCGTAGTAGCGCTTCTCACGAGATCAGGTTCTGGGAATCCCCCAGGGCGTCATCCCGACTTTCCCCATGTTTTATCCAATCCCGAGGTTGCCCCTCACTGTGCTGCCCTTGTGTGCGGAGAGAGACGGAAGGACTCTGCCCAATACTATTGCAGTTAATGGGATCGGGATCGTAGATCTTACTTTAGTAGTGGTGTAGCCTTGCGGGAGTTCATATAGAGTATTGCGTAGTTAGCCGTAGAGTCGGGATCTATATTCGTGACTTTTGGATAGCTTCAATTGTTGATTTACTGCGTAGAAAGAGAGTAGAGAGAGTGATCAGCTTCACGTCTAGACTCAACTCACGTGCCTGTACCAGCCAGACAGTTCGTTAATAATGGAAATAGCAATACACGAGTCACAGTCCCGCCTATCACTGGCGAGTCGAATTGTGTAATCTAAGAGACCTGTCATAAGTTTAACGTGGGATATTTGACTGGCAAGGCTGGCGAGGCTGGCTTGGCTATACTGCCACAGTAAAGAGTAGTAAAGAGTACTTCCCATCATATGGTATTTCACCAGTATTCTAATGTACTCCCAACCTATGACTGTAGATTTCGTTGCTGTTCCAGCTCGTCGCCCAATGAAAAGCTTTAGAGCTCCGGCGAGTGTTGGTTGGTGAACCCGACCCCGCCTCGCTCACCTCACCACTCACTCACTCACACTCTCCTAATCTCATCCCACCAAAACAACCATCTGCCCCTCCAAAAATCAACAAATCATCCTATCCTAGCAAACAAAAACATCAAAGAAGGTACGTCGTCACTATCCCTATCTGCCGCTATATCCCCTCTATATATTACTTTTCCTTGAAGAGAGGCATTACGATATCTGTATCCAATCGCTTCGTCACGCCTACCGTATCAGAGAGCTCTGTCGCAGCTTTTGTGACCCCGCCATTCCCGCCGCTCCTCTTCGTCATCCACCTATCCTTGCCTACCCATCCGCACCGATACCGCCGAAAAGACGACTAACAATTTTCTCTTAAGATCTCTCACCTTCCCATCAAGTTAATAAAAGTTAGTTCTTCTCTCTCATACCACTCACTCCATCAGCCACTCCCCTCCCCGAACTCCACAGCTAATTCCTCAACCCCTCCTCCAGAACGCGTCATTATGCCTATCACCAAGGTCCACGCTCGTCAGGTCTACGACTCTCGTGGAAACCCAACCGTCGAGGTTGACGTTGTCACTGAGACTGGTCTCCACCGTGCCATTGTCCCTTCGGGAGCTTCCACTGGTACGTGCCACCTCGCATCTCTCCCTCCCGACCGACCCGATTGTGAATGGCAGCTAACAGACCGGCAACACAGGCCAGCACGAGGCATGCGAGCTCCGTGATGGAGACAAGACCAAGTGGCGCGGAAAGGGTGTCTTGAAGGCTGTTGAGAACGTCAACTCCATCATCGGCCCGGAGCTGATCAAGAAGAACGTCGATGTCAAGGACCAGAAGTCCATTGATGACTTCCTCATCGAGCTTGATGGCACCACCAACAAGACCAAGTTGGGCGCCAACGCCATCCTTGGTGTCTCTTTGGCCATTGCCAAGGCCGGTGCTGCTGAGAAGGTAGGTCACAGCTTGATCTGATGGGCATGGAGATAAATATTGACTGTATGCAGGGCATCCCACTTTACGCCCACGTCTCCGATCTTGCTGGCACCAAGAAGCCATACGTCCTCCCCGTCCCATTCCAGAACGTCCTTAACGGAGGGTAAGCTTGACAATCCCTAGGTTACTCAACTCCAGCTAACAAATCCTCCAGTTCCCACGCCGGTGGCCGTCTCGCTTTCCAGGAGTTCATGATCGTCCCATCGCAGGCACCTACCTTCTCCGAGGCTATGCGCTGGGGATCTGAGGTTTACCACACCCTCAAGACCCTCGCCGTCAAGAAGTACGGCCAGTCCGCCGGAAACGTCGGTGACGAGGGTGGTGTCGCACCAGATATCGAGACCGCCGAGGAGGCCCTCGAGCTTATCACCGATGCCATCAAGGAGGCCGGTTACGAGGGAAGGATGAAGATCGCCATGGACGTTGCGTCCAGCGAGTTCTACAAGGAGGATGCCAAGAAGTACGACTTGGACTTCAAGAACCCCAACAGCGACCCCGCCAAGTGGATCACCTACGAGCAGCTCGCCGACCTCTACAAGAAGCTTGCTGAGACCTACCCCATCGTCAGCATTGAGGACCCATTCGCCGAGGACGACTGGGAGGCCTGGAGCTACTTCTACAAGACCTCGGACTTCCAGATTGTCGGCGATGACTTGACCGTCACCAACCCCATCCGCATCAAGAAGGCCATCGAGCTCAAGTCCTGCAACGCCCTCCTCCTCAAGGTCAACCAGATCGGTACCCTCACCGAGTCGATCCAGGCCGCCAAGGACTCCTTCGCCGCCGGCTGGGGCGTCATGGTCTCCCACAGATCGGGTGAGACTGAGGATGTCACCATTGCCGACATCGTTGTCGGTCTCCGCGCGGGTCAAATCAAGACTGGTGCCCCGGCCCGTGGCGAGCGCCTGGCCAAGCTCAACCAGATCCTCCGTATCGAGGAGGAGCTTGGTGACAAGGCCATCTACGCTGGCGAGAACTTCAGGACCTCGGTCAACTTGTAGATTTGTTGAGCGGTCACATTTTGTTGTGTTCTTGTGAGCGATGGTGGTGGAATGGAATGGAATGGAATGGGGCACGGATATAAAAAGGGGTATACTCATATAGTTGCTGCTAGTTATAGCCTTGGACCAATCAAAGATTGTTTAGTTGCTGGTCGATTTAGAAACAGTTGATTCATATGGGGTAGTGGAGATTGTACTGTGCTAGTGCCGCCTGAAAGTTTAAAGGGGGATTGTGTATAACGACGGCAATTATGGGAACTGTAAATTGAGGTAACGATATTCAGTTACTCAGGTTTACAATCAATACACTGGTCACTCAGTCACTCAGGGCTACAATAAATGAGCCAGTCGCTCAGTCACTCGAGGCTACAATCAATGAGCTAGTCACTCAGTTACCCAGGGCTATAATCAAGAAGCCAAGTTGCTCAGTTATTCAGGGCTAGTATCAAGAACCTAGTCATTCATAAGGAGTAGTTAAGAGACAGATTCTATCAGCAATAAGCCAGTCGCTCAGTCATCCAGGGCTACAATTAATACGCCAGTCGCTCAGTCACTCAAGGTTACAATCAATAAGCTAGCTACTCATGAGGAGCAGCTAAGACATAGACTCTATTAGCATAAATACCAGTATTAATCCCCAGCAAAGTAGGTAGTATAGTGTAGCCCCTGGCAGACGAGTAGTTATCCTTGAGTGACTGCTCATAACTGCGCAATTCTGCCCAGGAGTAAAATATTGCCTATATTGCCACCTGTAACAAAGATAAGAACAAAAAAACGACACAGGTCGGTTTTAGAAAAGAGTCATATCATATGCATTCTAAATTCTAAATTCTCACGAATGTAGCCAATACATAGAGCATACAGCATATTTTCGGTGTCGCCGGTAGAATTTCCTTGTTTCCATTGTGGCAGTGACAATAGAATGACGGTAGAAGTGACATCGGCACGTGTTGGGTTGCAATGGGATTTGTCCTAAATTGTTTGCAGTTATACCAGTTGTGCCCGTCTAAATGGACACGGAGCACTAAAGTCGCAGCCCGATCACTCCCAATAACCCCCGAACTAACTAAATACACTGAACACACTAATTTCCCATGAAACCCAGCCTGCCACAACTGCGGCAGTGCACACACAAATAAAATGCACCCGCCCTGTCACTCCCCCCCCCAGCAAATAGCCCATAGCCCACCAGTCCACACCAAAATTGTCCCCCCCCCTCAATCCAAACTCGCGCCTCCCGCTTCAAATAACTATTTCCAAAGAAAGATTCCCTTTTTCCACCCGTAACAAACTTTCAAACCACCCAACCTTCCCACAACAAACTATTCACACTCTCGAAATAATCTCTCTGAATCATCGCTCTACTATCGAACAAAGCCAGTCAATTAAATAACCGCCATCATGCCTCAAAAGTGGGGTAAGTCATTTTGCGCGTTCCGTGTTCTGTGCAGTGGAAGAAGGTCGTCGTAAAACGCGAACAAAATTCATACATTCGCGCACACACAGAGAAAGACAGGGTGCGATCTATATGCGAACCCTCAGGCCGGGCTCAGGATGATGGAAGCCCTCATCCTGTTACCCTGCTGGGTCTGCAGGCACGTTCTACTCTGGAGTGTATGCAGCGCGGTGCTGGTCGACCCCTAGCGCGGCAGGATCTGTGACGCTCATTCACTGACCGCTACTCTGCCGAATATAGACGACGAAGAGGACAACAGCACCCCTCCCTCCTCTCCACCCTCCGGGGCCGTCCAGGCCGTCGGTGTCCCGACCCGCAGGGGCAAATTCGATGATGAAGAGAGCGACAGCGATGTAAGTAGTTCCCTGCCTGCCCACTACTACCCACCCCTCCCCCATCCCCGACGATGCCGTCGCCACCACCCACCTCCCACGAAGCGATGCGATGCTGACGATCCCCCGCTACGCAGGTCCTAGACTCCTGGGATGCAGCCGAGGACTCCGAGGTGGAGCGCGAGAAGGCCCAAGTCGCAGCCGCGAAGAAGGCCAAGGCCGACGCCGAGGCCGCCGCGAGCAAGAAGTCCAAGGCCCAGCGCGTAGCTGAGCGCATCGCCGCCAAGAAGCTTCTCCTCGAGGCCGGTGACAGCGATGTCAGCTCCGATGAGGATGAGGGTGACCGCCGCGAGCGCCTTCGTCGCACCGAGCAGGAGGCTGATCTTGCCCACGCTGAGGACCTCTTCGGTGCTGTAGGCATCAGCAATAACAGACGCCAGAAGACGGCTGCCAACGCCGTTGTCCTCGATGCCCAAGACCCGAGCACGACTGTCGACCTCGCGAAGTTGCCGCTGTTCGACCCGAAGACCAAGCTGCAGTTTGAGCGCATGCGCGAGACGCTTGTGCCGCTGCTGACGGCCAACGTGTCCAAGGCGCACTATGTCCTCTTCCTCCAGGAGTTCACCAAGCAGATCGCCAAGGACCTGCCGTCGGACCAGATCAAGAAGGTTGCGAGCGGCCTGACGGCGCTGAGCAATGAGAAGATGAAGGAGGAGAAGGCTGCGGAGCGCGGGGGCAAGAAGTCGAAGGCGGCGAAGAACAAGGTCGCGCTTACGGCGAGCAGGAATGTCGCTAGCACGGCTGATGTGAATGCCTATGATGACGACTTTGGAGAGTAAGTCCACCACCCCATCTGGTCCCCATACCAAGATATGATCGATACTAACGTCTCCCGCAGTGACGACTTCATGTGAACAACCTCCCCACTAGTCCATTCCTCGCGCACGCGCTCCCCTCCGCTCTCACCCCTCCACCGCCGTCCTTTCGCGCCGCCGTCGCCGACGCAACAGCACACGCTGCGTCGGCTTGTCCGCGGCCAGGCTACAAGATATAGGTTGCGGATGCGTGGCGGGGATCAGCTGGGGGATGCTGCGGCGCCTGGGAATGGCTTTGTGATGGGATTGTTTTGGGGCTGGAGGAGGGATATTAGATAGATAGAAGATTAGGTCTGCTTACGCTGATGGGAGAGGGCCGATTATGATGAGGCTGCTAATGGGATGCTGGGGAGGTGGATGGGAGGGCTTTATCTATTATTAGATCGATGGGGGTGAAAAGCAATGATTTCTCAATAGTGGATAGATGTGTGCTTTGCTACTCGTGACGACTGAAGTGTGAGGAACGATTATGTTAACAACCCATGTTCACGGTAACTGTGAGTAAAACAAATGCTCTCAGTCACTCAGGTCTATAATTGATACAGTACGTCCTTCCAATAAGCCAGTTACCCAGACACAGAGCCAGAGAGAGAGATTCTACCAGCATATATTACTAGTTCCAATTCCCAGTCATACATACATGGTCTTTTTGGACAGCATATTACAACAGTGCAACTGTATTATAACGGCACTTTATTCTCTAGCTACCGACCCTAACTCCATCCCATTGCCACACCCTAACTATCTTACTCTCGACCCCATCCCCTTCTCTCCCCACACCTACTCCGTCGTCCGTCCATACCCCCTAATCCCCTCCGCAAACTTCCAGCTCTGCCCTTCCAGCACCTCATCCTCCTTCATCTCCACCCCCCCCTTCTTAATAACCGCAATACTATACCGATCCGTACTCCTCGCATCCCTATAATACAACACCTTCAAACACTCCTTCACAGCATTCACAGCCTCTTCCTCCGTTATCTCCTTCACAGCCTCATCACTCTTCGCCAGCTTCCTCAACAACGGCACCGCGAGATGGGCACCAAACCCCGTCGCCAGACAGGGCGCCGAGAAGGTCGTTCCTAGCAGATCCGCGCTAGCCAAGAATGGCTCGTCGGCGCTGTCGAGCCCGGCGACCAGGAGGTGGTTCCAGAGAGGGTTGAAGTCGGAGCGTCGCTTGTAGAGGACTTTGGAGAGGTAGGTGTGCACGTTTTGGGCGGTGAGGCCATGCCCGGAGCTGGAGTAGGCTTCTTCGATCGAGAGGGATTGGAGGAGGCGGTCGAGATATTGCATGTCAGAGACGTCGCCGCCGAAACCGATTACGGCGGTCGGGGGTCCGGAGGAGGAGAAGGCGCGGAGGCGCTTGACGTTTGTGAAGCGTGCGAGGGAGCCGTAGGAGGCTGGCGGGGGGTTAGCGGGTTGGATCTGGGGTTGGGGGGGAGATGGATTGGAAGGGTTGGGGCTGGGCGTACCAAGGTTGTCAGCGGCGATGACGACGCCGTCTTTGAATTTCAGCCCGATGACTGAGGTTCCGGTCACGATGGGCTGTTGGGTGTGCTGCGATGGGCCGGCTTGGGAGAGGTAGCTGGCGTCGTAGGCGCCGTAGACGTCGTCTCGGGGCTTGGGGGTAGTTAGCAGGGTGGTAGCTGTGGTTTGGGGGGGACGTACACGGCCCCAGGCTTGTGGGAGGTGGTTCATGATTGTTTGTGTGTGTGTTGGAGGGTTTTGAGGAGGGAGATGTAGGTGGATTTGTGAGTTTCGTGGGAGGTGTTGTGGATGTCGTGGTGGTGGTGTTGTGAGGTGGAGGTTGATGGGTTCGTTGGTAGGGTGGTTGCTGAGCTTGAGGTGCAGTCGCGTCGAGCTGGAACCTTGAGCTCTGATCGCTAAGGCAGAAACTTGTTGGTTGCTGGGATATAGCGATCTTATCGCGCTTGATATCGCAACGCAAGACCGCAACCACGCCTGAAATTCCAGAATGTCTGGATTGGTAGCTTATGAGAGTAGTGATGAGGAAGATGAAGTTGAGGTGCCCCAAGTTTTGGCGAAAGAAGTGAAGGTATGTTCAATTGCAACTCCAATCACCTATGGTGGCCAGCTACTGACGGTACAGAACACAGGTGGCTGAAATACCTTCAGACTCACAAATAGACCATAAACATACTGGGAAAGGTACGGATTAAACGCCTAAATTTATATTATATCTATATCTAATAGATTGCTAGATTCAACTACGAAAAACCAACATGCACCGCAACCAGAACCGCTGAACGCCCCCACTTCACCTCAAATTCAGCCAGAGGCGCCGATTGTTGGTCCTGCCCTTGGACCAACAGCGGCAGATTCAACAGCGTCTCCGCTACCAGAGGATACAGATGACACTACACCTCGCTCACCATATTCGGCCGGCCGAGCGCTGTTGCGCGACCTGACCATGCCGCCTGTCCCAAACTTCGATATCCCGCCCTCACCTCCAGGCTCGCCGCCTCCTACCACAGAGAAGAAATTCGCCCATTTCCTCCAGCTGAAAAAGCAGGGGACACACTTCAACGAGAGGCTAGCGAACTCTTCAGCGCTGAAGAACCCGAGTCTGATGCAGAAACTCATGGATTTTGCGGATGTCAGTGAGGAGGATCAGTATGCTACGACGTTACCGAAGGATGTCTGGGATCCGAGTGGGTTCCCGAAATGGGCCTACAAAGATGAACTAGCGAAGAGCCAGCAGCAGGTCCTCAAGAGGAAAGAAGAGGAGAAGCTAGGAGGACCAAGGGAGTTCGTTCCTGCGTCAGGGTCAGGAGAATCAAGCCGTTCCGCAACGCCCAGCGCAGCGCCGAGAGGGGTGCCGATGAGCGCCGCGGAGAGAGTCATGGCGGGACTGGACCGTGGAAAGTCGAATTCGCCACAGGTAGCTGGTACGAAGAGGAAGTCGCGGTTTGAAAGCTGAGAGACGGCCATCGTGAAGTGGAAGTGACTTTGAGATGAGAAATACATTTTGGCACCTCTGTGTCACGAGATATGTGGCAACAGTCATGGCAGTCATGCCCCAGCCATGCCAAGGCATCAGGTGGCTACTGTGCGGATAGAAGGGGATCATCACAGCTGCAGGGGCGTAAGGGGCCATCCGCGGATATACGCGTTCTGCCACACCGGATGGGAGGCTCGGGGGCTCATGTGAATGGTAGGAGCCGGTGATAGGAGCTCATGGCATGCTGATGGATGCAACAAGAGAGCTAAATTTAATGAAAATAAAGCTGGGTTTCGAGATGCGAAGCCCATGATACTCTACAGTTTGCATATACACATCAACATCCACTTCCTGCTGCAGGCGTACTTGATCCAAGTGAAGTCTAATATTCCAGCCGGCGTACTACAAAAGCAGCAGCATTTACTGAATCACTCTTCTCTTCTCTGTTCTATTCCTTGTCTGGCACTTGGTCGACTTCAGCCTTCGGACCGGCAATACTTACCACCGGCTGATAGACGCTCGGATCCCCTGGTTACCTGGGCCTGGCGATATTTGTGGAGCCAACTCCAAGGCAAACCGGCTCCGAGTTTGGATGAGAGCCTCTGGGAAAGAGGTAATCCACCATTTTAAGACATTCGTTAGCTTTAGGCATCCGCGGTATAAGATCTTGCATAGCCTCACTATTCGCAACTACCCATAGGCACTCGATAGAACGGCGTCGATAGCTGAACCTTAGCTATCAGTTGGGAGAGAGCGCAACGCGGGCCATTTAGCACATTGTTGGACCGCGTCGACCATAAGCATGCCTGCCCCGGCCCCGAAATCGTCGCAATTGAAGCGCGCGCGGGTACTTATACCACATGAGCATAGGTTGTGAGAGTGCTTGCTAACTTTATACGGCAGGGAACTCCAAGCGGGAGCCCGAATAACGAGGTCAAGAAGCCGCGCCGCTCCGAACGTCTCTCGGTGCCCGAGCAGAAGACTCCAGTTGCGAAGGGACAGCTTCCTTCCCCTATCACGAATAAGGAATCGACAGACTCGAGCCAGGCGTATAAGGAGGTGACTGCAACCCCACCAGGAGGCCGTCCGAACCAGCTTCGTCAGCGGACGCCCGATCGCTCTCCGGAGCTGACGTCGGTGTTCTCCTCGCCACCACAGGACACGCAGGCGTTCTCGCAATACACGAACCCAAAAACTGCGCTTTCAGAATATGTGAAAGATGAGGAGAAAGAGGGCGTTTGGGGGTACCTTCTGCCTTTGAATGCGGAGTATAAGCAGCCCCTCATTATGCGCAAACGGTCGTCATGCTCGAAACCGCCGACCCTGGATAAGCTGGGTGAAGCCAGTGAGCAAGGCAATGCAAAGGATGACAAGGCAGAGGCGCATTCGTCTGGTGGTTACTTAATTGGTCGTCATCCAGAGTGCGGTAAGCAAGCGAGGCCGATTTGGTTGAAGACGTAGCTAATGGTTCAGATCTCCTCATTGAGGGCCCTATAGTGTCCAACAGGCATTGCTTAATATTCGAAGAAAACAAGGGCGACCAATCTGTTGCCGTTTTGGAAGATTTGTCGAGCAACGGCACGTTTGTGAATGAGGCACTTATCGGCAGAAACAAGAGGAGAGAGCTCAAGGACAACGATGAGATCACTATCCTCGACAAAGCTAGATTTCTCTTCAGATACCCACAGTACCGGGAAACAAGCGCATTTCAGGAGCAGTATGAGATCATTGATAAGCTGGGCAAGGGCCATTTCGCAGAAGTTTACTTGTGCGTGGAGAAGTCCACCGGTCAGCGTTACGCTGTAAAGGTCTTCACGAAGAACCCAGACCTTGAGGAGAGATCTAAGACGGAAGGGTTGCAGCAGGAAATTGCCGTGCTAATGGGTGTCTCCCATCCGACCTTGCTGTGTCTAAAAGCTACGTTTGACGAAAAGCATGCGGTTTATCTGGTGCTAGAATTAGCCGTAGAGGGAGAGCTGTTCAACTTGATTATATTGAAACAGAAGCTCTCAGAAGACGAAACGCGAAAGGTTTTCGTCCAACTCTTCGAGGGGATCAAGTACCTGGTAAGCTTATACTCGTCAAGCGATTTGCCCTTCCATCTCTAACAAGATATAGCACGAGAGGAATATTGTCCACCGCGACATCAAGCCAGAGAATATCCTACTCACCGACAAAGACCTCCACATCAAAATTGCCGACTTCGGCCTCGCCAAAATCGTCGGCGAAGACTCCTTCACCACAACCCTCTGCGGCACCCCCAGCTACGTCGCCCCCGAAATCCTCGAAGACACGAAAAACCGCCGCTACTCCCGCGCCGTAGACATCTGGTCCCTCGGCGTCGTCCTGTACATCTGCCTCTGCGGCTTCCCCCCATTCTCCGACGAGTTGTACACGCGCGAGGCGCCGTACACGCTGCACGAGCAGATCAAAATGGGTCGTTTCGACTACCCATCCCCGTACTGGGACCCGGTTAGCGATCTGGCACTTGAGCTCATCGATAACATGCTCACGGTGGACGTGAACAAGCGCTACACCATCGACGACTGCCTCGCCCACCCGTGGACGACGCAGCGCCCGATCAATTTGAATGATAGCACTGATGGCCTTGTGAGCGCCGTCGCGGGACTGGACTTCTCGAAGCGCAAGGTCGCGCGCGAGAGGACGTTGTTGGCTAGTATCAATGATGTTATGGTGAGCAAGGTTGTGGGCACGCAGAAGAGCAAGGATGCTGTGAAGGTGTTTGTCAAGAACCCGGGCAGTGAGAATAAAGTCAACAAGTCTATTGCGAAGGCTATCGGTGACGGACCCGCTGAGGCGCGGCCGGCGGATAACAGGAAGCTGCAGGAGTTTATGGCTGCGGGAGGATTGGGGGACTCGCCGCTGTTTGCAGATGATGAGGATAGCCAGTATGCGGCGAAGGGGTCTGCGGGGAAGAAGCGCTGATGGGTCGGCTGGGGAGCAGGGGTGTAGGAAAAGGGGGTTGGAGTTCTCGGGTATGTAAGATGTGATATACGCTGGTACGGGCTCGATGCATGGAAGCCCAGTTGGTGTTACAGGTGCCATGTATAGCAGTATCACGGACGGCGACCGGTTGCAGGTTGCTCGCCGTAGCTCCTCCTGGTGGCGTTGGCTTGGGATGGGGGGAGAGGCTGGCGTGGGTGGGGGTTATATAAGTGCTGTTGGGTTGGTGGGGCGGGATATGGCGTTTGTTTGCAAAACATAAATATATGGATAAATCATATCATACATATTGATCTAAATCTTATTTGACTCTTTCCGTGCTGGTGTTCGGCAGGGACATGGGCGTGATCCTCCTCTCGGTTCGGACTCCCGTTTCTGGGCGAAGACAGTAGCCTTCAGATACAACAGGGCCGCGAGAAGATCTCTCTTTCTCCAAACATAAATTGATCGAATGCCATATGAACCAGAGCATGGCTGCCTCGTTTGATCCAGTAGCATTTTGTACGGTCACCTTGGTGTAAGGTTGTTACAGTTGTTTCGGGCAGCGTCTGGGGTGGTGAAGCAAAGTGTGGTGGCAGCGAATTGTAGCAACAGAAAAAAGGAAACGACAGCAAAAGGCACCGACGACAGCAAAGCGCGCGGCGATAGCAACATAGATGGCCTCCGAAATGTTTCCAGCCCGCCTGCAATCATGCGGTTCACGTTGATCTGATGCTCCTGCCCTGGTCTCCGCATCCTTGCATACATTTGTGGCTTGGTGTTTCTATTCCACCAGACGGAAACCTCTTTATCATATGGAGGCCCCGTACCACAAGTGCTGGGGGGGGTGGGTTCCAGCTGTGAACTTCAGCATCTTTGAATCTTTCCAGTCAACAAAGCAGGAAATATGCTTTCTCGTTACATCCTTCAAGACTCAAGGGTAAACAGTTGCTCCATCTTGATATCATTCATTACAGTGAGATTCTGTTTACTTTTACAACCTAGGGTGCCCTGGAGTTTCCCTCTAAACGCCTTGTATGTATGCCACGCTTTACAAATCCAAAACCCATAACCACCCCGCTATAAGCAAGCGCCGGTGTTTCCCAATCCCAATATCCCCATCTGCCCTTCCCCCTATATATACTTACAAACCCTTCTATACATCCCCCCTATCGCACAATTATAAGTCGTTATCGTTCTCACAACCCCCTAATTCCCGCTCCTCCAGTAGAATAAAACGCCCATCCAACGATCTAGGCCACGCTCCCACTCATCGTCATAAACAGCGCCTGCAGCGCCAAACTAATACTCCAGATCCCCACCTTCTTGAACCTGCGCATACGCGCCTGGCTATCCGTCACGTCCTTCGCAAACGCATCATACGTCTCCCCTGACAAGTCCTCCATCAACCCACAATCATAGATCGTCCACGATCCGTCAAACTCATGCGACTTCTTGACGATGCGGCAGTTAATTGGAATGAACGTCTTCCGGGAATTGATGTACGCGACGATGGGCCGGATGAGGGCCTGGTTGATGTAACTCAGATCGCGGGTGAAGAGCGGGACGGCGGCGCGTACATCGTTTAGGTGGACTTTCATGTCCATGATCAGGAAGCGCTTGTCGTGATCGATTGCGTTTTGGGCCTCGAAAGCGGCGCGCTGCTCGGGAGTGTCGAGGTCGGCGGTGTAGGGGTTGTTCTCGAGGAAGTTGCGGTAGCGGTTGGAGGTGACGGTTGCTTCGAGGCGGTCGTAGAGGTCGGACATGACTTTACCGATCGACTCGTCGCTGTCGGCGGGGAACATGATGTCGGCTACGATGTCGACGTTGCCTTCGTAGATCCAGCCGAAGAGGCCCTCGACGCCACGGTTTAGGTGGTCGATTTTGAGACCGTCGATGCGCATGCGGCTGTGCTTCTTCCATACGTCTGGGTTGCCGTATTCGGTGTTGTGTCCTGGGCTGTGGCTTTGGTGGGGGTGGATGTTGAAGAGAGATCCATCGAATGAGCCGGACATTTGGTTAGCGGAGAGGAAGTCGTAGAACAGCCACTGTTTGCGCAGCTGGGGTAACTCGCAGGTGTACACGCTGACGGAGTATGGACGGAATCCTTTCGGTTGGTGTATTGTAAGCAGCAGATCTTCCATCTTAAAATTTTCAATCTCAAAGTCTCCAACCTGGTGCACATGTTTATACAATCTGGGGTCGACATATTCATCAGGCCAAACCACATGTGTCCTGTCGAGAACTCCTCGGACCCCTTTAATCTCAACATCCTTCAAGAGGCCTTTGCCATTCCACCACTTGGCAAAGGACAGTGTGACATTCACCGCGTCGAGAGTAACGTCGAATTGGGTGTAGTTCCCATCATCTTCTAATTCCTCTGGCTCCGCAGAGCCATCTTGGTCTGCCTGTCGCTTTGCTGCAGCCGCAGCAGCAGCTGTTAGGGATGAACCCTTGCTAACTTTGCTCGGTCCCTGACCCGGTCGTCTGGAGACAAAGACGTTTGCAAATGATATGACGCCGTTCCTCCATTTTGGCACAACAGCGCTTTCGAAAACAACCTTCACGCCCGTTGACTGGGTCAAGTAATCACCAACCCATCGAGCAAGTGTTTCTAGATAACAAGTTAGCGCATTTCAGTACCCAGCTACTGCGTTCCAAGAACATACCTTGAGCAACAACTGTATTAATAGCCAAAATGAGAAGTGAAACGAATGTAGTTGTTCCGACTAAGATCCAGACGATATGCCCCAGAACGAACCAAGAAACAAATGCGCTCCAGTCATCCACATTCCAAGGCCGTGAGCTTCTAATGGAAAACCACTTGAACCGAATCTGTAACCTCGACCAGAAGCCCGTCGCAGCAGCCAGCAACTCCTCCTTCGTTGGTCGATGCGGCATCTTGGGAAGGTGCGGAAGGTGGAAATATGAGTGGTTCCCCGCATCTTCAGGAGTGCCTTCTGGCTTCGTGTGTGGCGCGGTCGACTTCTTTGCAGCGTCTTCCTTATCGCCTTCTGGTTTCGTGCTCTTTAGTCGTTTCGCAGTGTTCGGCGGTATTATCGTTGTTTTCTCGCTCGCCCAGGCTTTGTCTGGTATCCTCGGAATTTGCTGGTGTATGTGTCTCCTCCATAGGTTCCCAGCCAAGAGTGAGGTCTGCTTATGTCCGGTCCCTTTGGCTATAAAAGCCGGCCTTCCTAACGCGCCTGCGCGTGCATTATCCGGTCCGCTGGTAGCGGTTTGGTTTCCCAGTATTCCTCGGGAGGAAATACTTTGTCGTCCCCCATGCTGTGTAGTCGCTGTTCGTGATGCCGTCGGCCTGGAATGAACATTTGTTCGGTGTGAAGTTGCAAACCCCCTAATGTGAGGATGCGATGATACCGGCACTGGCGGACGCGATTTCGCTGTGAAAAAAGGGATGGCCGATGACCACAGCTGAGTCCGCAGCTTCGCATGCCCCATATTCGCTGCCATATCTCTCTAGCTCATCATTGTCGTAGCATGAGAGCTGCAGCTTGTCACCTTGTTGAAAGCATGGAAAGCGGTGTTTATATGAGTGCTTAAACTTGTTAATGTGAGTTAAGTTTCACCTCGAATATGCACTTTGTAATGACGGAAACAAAGTTCATAAGCGCCAATCAGCAAGGCTCCTTGGCTTGCGTACCCACAAGTCACTCTCGCCCTCATCCTGGAAAAAAGGTCGAACAGCGGCCCGTGCTGGAAGAAAACACGCTAAGCCTTTTTTGTGATGGGGGGGTTCATGCGATAAACTCACAAAAAAGTCGAGATTAGATCTCTCAGATAAAAGAAAACTGATCGACGACGACGACAACGAAGGGCTTGCGAAAATTTCACACAACCACGGCACCTTCTCTTCCATAAACCATTCATTATCTCCAGCCTTTGAGGTACAAACTGCACCATGTCCGCCCCAACTGCGTTGTTGCGCAACCCAGAAGAAATCATATCTGCACCCGAATCCATCCCACTTCCACAAATTGGTGAGTTCCTCTTCCTGTGGCCCTAGAATCCCATACTGACTATTCCCCAGAAGATGAAGAACTCATCCTCGACACCGAGATGGACGTCGGCGGCGTCTCCCTCATCGCCGCCCCAGCCACGGACGAAATGACCATCGACGAAGAAGGCCGCCCAGTCTTTGCCCCCGCCCAAAACAGCGACGGTCCCGTGCGCATCGACTCGCGCAAAGTCCCCATCCCACCCCACCGCATGTCCCCCCTCAAGAACGAATGGCCCAAGATCTACCCTCCGCTCGTGGAGCACCTCAAGCTGCAGGTGCGCATGAACGTGCCGCGGAAGGCCGTCGAGCTGCGCACGTCAAAGTTCACTACCGATACGGGGGCGCTGCAGAAGGGTGAGGATTTCGTGAAGGCGTTCACGCTGGGCTTTGATACCGATGATGCTATTGCCCTGCTGAGGTTGGACGATTTGTATATTGAGACGTTTGAGATTAAGGATGTGAAGACGCTGCAGGGTGAGCATTTGGGCCGTGCGATCGGTCGTATTGCGGGTAAGGACGGGAAGACGAAGTTTGCGATCGAGAATGCGTCGAAGACGAGAGTGGTGTTGGCGGATAGCAAGATCCATATTCTAGGTGGATTCAAGAATATCAGGATTGCGAGAGAGGCCATAGTGAGCTTGATCTTGGGTTCGCCGCCTGGAAAGGTTTACGGGAACTTGAGGAAGGTCGCCTCGAGAATGAAGGAGAGGTTCTAAGGGATTGGTTGTGGGGTGAAAAGGGGTGGGGGAAGCACGTTGCATAGAGAGGCGTTTGGAGTCAGATACAGTTTATGAAAAGGCATGACGTTGTTGGGCGTTCAACAAAACGATACGAAACTTTCAACGATATATAGTCGATGAATACTATAATGAAAAATAAAATCATTGTATGATAACGGTTCGTGTGCTAGTAGATACGCAATGCGTGCCTGTCTCTCCCGCCCATATTTCCTACATTCAAACCAATGGTATTTTTGAGCGAGTTACATATCCTACTGCCCTCCTCCAATGCGGCTTTGGCTCTCTTGGGTATCCTTGTGCGGCCACTCCCTCAATACATCGAGAGAGAAGGCATGTCAAGGGGGATAACAATAAACTGATTTTCATGCTATGCGTAGTTTCCATTATGATGCGCCTGAACTCCTCGCCACGGTCGTATGCTGGGACGTTTTCCCATTCAAGAGTCGATTCGAGGTGGTGACCTTGACACAGACTTCTTTCCTTTGGATTTAGAGGCACTAGAGCTTCTATATTCATCGTTTCTACGGGTGGTTAGCATATTTACTTCGGGTCTGCTGATCTGTGAGGCGCCTTACGATCTCCGCCTCTCGCCCTCCTTTCTGAAAGTCTCAATAATCCTCAGCATCTCCTTCCTTCCTCCATTAGCATCAACCATCTTCCCACCCATACTCATGCTGATCTTCTCCTTGGCATTCGCGCTCAGCAGCCTCTTAAGCAGCAAATGTCTCATCTGGATGCAAACATAAACCCCGCAATCACTTCCGTTTTCTTGTTGCGGGCTGTCGTCTAGGTTCATAAAACGGAGGGGCTTTCCAATTAATATGCTCAGTTTATGGGTAGCATTGGCGGCTTCGTTGTAGTTTGAGGGCGACATCGAATCGTAGTGAAATGCCACGCCATCAATTATGGAGACCAGAAGTAAGGACCAGTGAGAACCACCTTCGGCCACCGAGACGTTGCGGGCATCGTTTATTGGGAGAAAGATGTGTGTTGTGCGTGTGAAGTCCGGGAGGGCCTCTCTGAGAGTGTGCGGGTTCGGAGTCTGCATAAGCATGAATGCCATCGAGGGTCGGAGAAGAACGATGTGAGACGTTGGGTATTGAGATAGTTGCTCGCGCTCAAGATATCTAATAGGTTAGCTAGGTCGTCTAGTGGTCGAATGTATCGCTTACTCTTCCCAGAAGGAGATTGTCTGGAGGGTATCATTAGCATTGTGTCGACTCAGGCAAGCCAGAAAAACTTACGTTGTCTGTTAACCAGTCATCTTTGAGTGTATCAACATCTTCTTTCGTCACTGCGGGCATATCAGTCTATGTTTGTCGATAAAAGCGAGCGGATATACAAACATCGAGTGTCGTAATCTATGGGGCATATTAGCTTTGTCTTCTTAAACCACCACTGGGCGAGAACTTACAACTCAAGTATGCATCGTCGGGGGAGAGCTGTATAAAACTCGAATTAGCTTTTGGTCTCTTGCGATCCTAGTCTTGGTCTCGTCCGCGCTCATATGGCGAACTTGGTCTCCAGTAGCCCACAGGGTTACCGAGGCAAAGGGTCCATTTAGCAGCGACGCAACAAGAGGTGAGGGCGCAGAATGAAGGCGAAATAAACAAACATACACTATCTCCAAAGTGACGGCTCACTCTTCCCTTGAAAGGATGAAATCCTCCGTCGCGGGGCATCCTTTCACGATTTTCCTGGGCGGAGATGCGACCTGCAAGTTGGTGATGCGGGCTGCGACGCGGGGTCAAACTGCGGGGGAGCGAGGGTCTGGCTTGGTGACTGAGGGGTCCAAAGGACGTCTGCCAGAATAAGATATATTTCGGGGTATTATATATTATATATCGAATATGCCGAAGCCGTTTCGGCTTGTCGACACTGTGGTGGTTCAGTCGCCGCCGCTCCTTCGACGAAGTAGTGAAGGGTACGAATCGCCAAGCGGTCGCTGGTGGGGCTGCGAACAACCAGGAATACCAGAAAGGCCAGGAAAGTTTGGCGAGACCCGACTCGATGGCGTTAAACCTCAACAGGTACAGCTCCGGGAACGATTTAGTATTGGTTAAGTTATGCTAAATAAAGCCAACTACCAGCCTCGTCATAAGCTGCGGTCCGTTTTACTCGTAGTAGTACTGGTGAACTGGCGCGCGCCTCATTCAATTTCAGAGTTTTATGAACACCACAGCCTCATTTACACCCTGCAGCTTCTCAATACCGCCAATGGCTATGCTATGACGTAGCAGTTGTGGATATACACAATTGAGCTGCGGCAGCTTACTTTGCGGCCGATAAGAATCACTTGGCGCTAGCGACGAAGAGAGAAGCAAGCCTCACTGACGCGTGCACTGTTCAGCATCAGTGTCACAGAATACAGTATTCACTGCGCATAGCAGTAGATATGGAAGATGCACCCTATGACTCGTCGCCTCCGAGGCATGGCCACATCCCACGGCTCAAAGGGTTCCTTCCGCTCAACGATGAGAGCCCAATGGCGTTGCATAACGCAGGTGTCTTGAATTCGTTGATACGAACACGCTCCAATACGTCGCTCCATAGGCTGAGACGCCCTCCATCTATTATCGTCAACGATGAAGAAGTCGGGGAACGAGTATCATGGCGATGGGATGGCGAAGATTCGCCCCAGTTGCGAAGAGCAAGCTCGGTGCTATATGGACCGCAGATGCGAAGTATGCGATTAATTGGAAATAGTAACCCGAGATATAACTGGAAGAGATACTGGAAGACTGAGGAGGAATTAAAGCTCATGAAAAAGCCAATGTAAGTGTTCTTCTTCCAATGCTTGGTTTTGTACCCCGCGGTTCCTGGGTACCTGTGGGACGCTGTGCGGCTGTGAAACATTGTGGCCAAGCCCAAAGACTTGGTGCTCTCAGATCGTATACTGACTTCAACAGTCGCCAGTACTACGAGCGAACAAACTTGCTCATCCAGCAATACATTTATATTGACCGCCTCCTCGATTCCTCGCTGCCTCACGATTTGCTCAATGAGTATAACATCAGTCGCGATCAACCCGATGTTCCAGCAACCATATCTGAAGAACAACCATCTGCAAATGAAGACCCTGGAAGCCGAACAGAGCCCAATGGCACCAGTTCAAACAACAAGAAGATAAAGCGGACCCCTAGGGACTTGTACAAAGTTCCCTCCGAAGATACGCCACTTTTGGAGTTCTCAGACGACGAGGATGGCCCAAGACCAGAAATACCTGGCATGAGCGATGACAGTGTCGAAAGTGGTGATAGGATCGTTCAGCTTGCCATATATGTAAATCTGGCCGCAAACATTGTTCTGCTGGGAGGTAAAATGGCAGTCATTGTACTCACGAGCTCGTTGTCCGTCCTGGCATCCCTTGTAGATGGTGCACTCGACCTTTTGAGTACAGTTATTGTGTGGACGACAACAAGGTTGATCGCTAGGCAGGATCGGTATCGTTATCCTGTTGGGCGGCGACGCCTTGAACCAATCGGTGTACTGGTATTTTCAGTCATCATGGTAACCTGCTTTTTCCAAGTTGCCCTGGAGTGTTTCAACCGTTTGAACTCGGGAGACCACTCCATCATCCAGCTTGGCGTACCATCCATCGCCATCATGGCTTCGACTGTGGTAATCAAAGCCCTGTGCTGGCTTTGGTGCCGAGTCATCAAGAACTCGAGCGTGCAGGCGCTGGCGCAAGATGCTGAAACAGACGTCATCTTCAATATATTCTCTATAATATTTCCTCTAGGTAAGTTTTTATTCCTGCTGCTATATAGGCACTATTCTGATATTTATAGTTGGATATTACGCGAATCTCTGGTGGCTTGACGGGCTCGGTGGTCTTCTCCTCTCGGCTTACGTTATAATCAACTGGGCTGGCACTTCCGCAGGGCATATCCGCAACCTCACTGGCGCCGCCGCTACTGCTGACGAGCGCAACGTGCTTCTCTACCTGACCATGCGGTTTGCAAAGACCATAAAACAGATCCAGGGCTTGGAAGCTTACCATTCAGGGGATAAACTCAATGTGGAGGTCGATATAGTTCTCGATGAGACGACGAGCCTGCGAGATAGCCATGATTTAGGAGAGAGTCTTCAGTATGTTTTGGAGTCGGTGCCGACGGTGGATAGGGCATTTGTACATCAAGATTATGCAAGCTGGAACTTGCCGAGTCATATGCAACAGCAGGCGGAGTAAGGTAGTTTGGTATAGCGGAGTTGGGTTGGGTTTGAAGGTGTGAGTTGGACATACTGTGATATCCCCTCTGTTTCCGTATGTTATAGACATATATATGTATTACAGATCCTTACTTCAATATCGCTATTCCATGTGTGTGACGAGTGCTTTTCATTCATTATTATCCAATCCTGCTCACGTGGGGATTCATTATCCATATCGATCTCCCATCGCATAAGACCATTACTCCCCAAAATGAATACACTCCTCCCTCAACCTCGTCAAGCCAGCAAACGCCTTCTTGGTAAACATCTCCAAATCCGGCTCCCTCTCCTCCTTCCCGTCCCTCCCACCATCATAAGCCTCCACACTCCACCAGCTCCTCGCTCCGGTATCAAGCACCTTCCTGGCTATCTCAATAACGGGAAAGTACCCCCCTTCAAACGGCAACGGCCTGTAGTTATAGTTCCATACCGACTTCAGCTTCGTGTCCTCATTCATCTCCGCGCTCAGCGGCGCCTTAGGTCTCCACGCATCACTAATCTGAAGTAGGTAGACCTTCTCCGCCGGCACCGTCGTAGACATATCATACAGGCTGTCCCCGAAATTCTTCCCCAGCTCCTCAGGTGAAACCCCACCATGGAGCCCATTAGCCGTTGTAGGGTCGGCGTACTCCGCCGCCGTGATCTGGAAGGTGTCGAGACACAACCCGCAGTTCGTACGGTCGACGGCTTTGACAACCTGCCAGCCGTCTTTCCATGTCGATGACACCGTTGCCCAGGAGCGCGCCTCGTACGCTAATTTGAATCCCTCTTCAGCTAACATATCCGACAATCCCTTCAGGTCGCGGACTGCATCCATACGCGACCGACTCAGAGGCGGGATCGGCGCATCATTACTCCCGACTTGGAGCATATCCGTCTCAAGGCCCTTCATGATCTTGATCCAACCTCTCGCCTTCTTGAACGCCGCCATCCGCTCGTCGCTGTGCTCGGGCCAGCCTTCGAAGTTGGAGAAGGCCTGGAGGACTACTATCTTGAGGTTCTGTGCGGCGCAGAGGTTGTGGACCTCGCAGGCTGCTTCGGAGAGGCCGTCGTAGTCATCTTCTTCGACGTCGCGGAGGAGGTGGATGTTGGCGAAGGAGACGAGGTCGTCGAAGGCGAGCTCGATGCCGGTGAAGCCTGCTTGGGCTATGGCGTAGAGCTTGGAGTGGAGGGGGGTGCTGGAGTAGCCAACGGAGACCGTTGCGATGGAGAAGGGGATTGAAGAGAGAGATGAGTCTTGGCCTGACATCTTACTGTTTGTTTGGGAGGAGATGGGATATAGAGATGTGTCTTGGCCTGTCATCTTGCTGTTTGTTTGGGCAGTCCAGAAATGTTGGGGGGCGATAAGTAGGGCACCATGGGACTATGGGCAAAGGAGGAGGGTTGTGTGAGAATGTCGTCATCTTCATATGTTCACGTGACTTTATATCGTGTGTGGTTGGCACAGTGGCTCCCTTAGCCCCAAATAAGGCATAATATGATATTGAAAGGCCTTATGATACCTGTGGGTGCGTCTGGATGGTTTTAGGGCCGTCATCGTTTGTGGTTGGGCGTAGATGTCCCATTGTGGTGTTTTAGCCGTCTCGTAGCACCTGTTGTGTCGCGCTCTACTGTGAGCACTCTTCAGACGCCACATCGGCTCTGATATGTGCTCCGTGGTATGGGTATACTCTCTCGACCACTGCCTTTCCTTCTTCCCGTTGCAGCCATTCCTCAGCTCTTAACAAACTCCGGCTTCTGCTCCAAAGTCTGGCTGATAAACCCCCTCAGCGCAGCCCACTTATTCGACGTCGCCGCCGCCGCCGCAGCATGCGGCTGTCCCTCCATCACCGGCGCCGTCTCCGTAGTCGCACTCAACTGCGCCATATTCTTTCCAAACCTCTCCCTCTCCATCTTCTCCAACTTCTCCCTCCTCTTCGTCGCCCCCGGCCTACTCTTCAAACTCCTATGCTTAATTTTCGCATCCCCCACAATCCTCTCCCCTCCATTCCCATCATCGTCGAAATCGGGCAGCGCATCCGCCAGACTCTCAAGGGTGGCGACGAGCTTCTTGCTGGGCCGCCTGCGCTTCAGCGTCTTGGTGTTGGCTTTCTCGATGCGGTTCACGAATGCTGAGTGCTTGATGGTGCGCTTGTCCTTCTTGGTGTTGAGGAAGTCGTCCGAGACGCCGGCGCCGAAGGAGGAGGAGGGTTGGTAGTTGGCGGGGCGGGTCATCATGCCTGATCCCGCTCGCGAGACCTTTGCGCGGATGGAACTGCGTTTTTTGGGAGCGACGGGCGCCTGGGGTTTGTTAGCTTTTGCGCATTGGTTGGTGGGGGTATTGTATAGGTGACTACGAACCATGATTGCGGTTGGGTTGGGGTGGAGAGTCTGAAGATGGGAGAGAAGCGCCTTGCTGGTTGTCGTAAAATTTGAAATCTTACAAGGGTCGTTGAATTTACAAGTGGAAAGTTCGTCAGATCTCGCGAATCGACGCTAATATAGAGTTTGGGGGCTCCATGTGTGGGTCTTAAACTCAACCCCGCATTTCAAGCTTCGCACAGAGGAGAGGAATTGCAAAGCTGCACATGTCTTACTGGGAACCGATATTTAATTATAATATTGTATTGAGTTTGGCTCCGATAAGCTTCAAGCTATAAGTCTAGTCTAATCGTACTTCTTTATAAGCTGTTCCATATAGCGCGTTTGAAAGCCACGTTGTCGATGATATTGTGATACATGTTTTGGGCAAGACATTGAGCAAACCCCCCACGACCAAAACAATTTCAGCCCACAAGCAATACCACAGCATTAATTTTTAATCCGGCTCTTCCACGTCCCATCCTCCACACAAAATTTTCTCTCATTCATGACCTTCTGCAACTTATGCTGTCTCGTCCGCCACTGCGCTTCAAGGTTGCCAAGATCTTCCCACTCCGAGTTCAGAGCAATGGTGGAATCTCTTGTCTGCTTAAAACTGCGTGTAACTTTCTGCAGCGTGTTCAAAAACTGCGACTCGAGTTCACGTCTATCGGCGCTCGCCTCACGTTCAAGTTCTTCGACAAGCTTCGTCCCATTCCTCGCGTATTCGACTACAATATCGTCAATGGCCGTTTGCTTGTCTACCAAATCCTCAACAAGTATCTAGATACAGGTTAGAATAGAGTAAATTCTAGGTGGATTTCGACTTACTTTGGCGATGGAGAGAATAGTATCAGTCATGCCCTTATAAGGTAGCTGTAAAGTTTTCCTCCACGCTATCAAGGGGGCGAGCGGCTCTTCCTCCTCACTTGATGCAACTGACGCTTTATCGTCAGCGATATCAGAAGAGCATGCACTGTTGCTGAAACTAATGGACCTTGCACGTCTCCATTGGTATTGATTTTCCGGCTCCACCAAGGTCTTCTCCGGATCATGAACCGTCACTTCACGCTCGATTACGAAAGAGCGTTTTCGTGGTTGACCATTGGATCCCTTCAACGGAGGCTGGGGCTGAGGTTCAATCGATATCGTAACCTTTGATCTTGCCGGTCGTTCTCCTTTGAGGCGCTTTGCAAAATTGCTCAACTGCCTTGGTTGCCTTTCCTCAAAGGGGTTCACGGAATTGACAGTGGAAGCGTGATCTGTCTCTGGGATGACTTCCAACTTCTTTCCAGCCGTGGTTGGCCTAGACAATAAATACCGTGGGATGATGGAAGCCTCCTTTTCTCGACCAAAATATTGTGGCTTCCGGTTCGGGGAGGGGCCATCAAAGTTCTGTATCATAGTGGGCTCATCGTCGAGAACAAGGCGCATATCATCGTCGGGGTCGTCGAAGGGTCCCTTTTCAGTCGCGATGTCCTTGTTTTGACTGATGTGGGTCATTTTCCATGGAATAGAAAGCGTTCTTCTTCTAATTTGCGCCACGTTTGCTGTTTCCTCGACCGTAGGTCTCGCATGTGGGCTCCCATTCTCATCTACACGGGATTGGGAGCTGCATATAAGGCTGTCTTGCTGCGAAGCAAATGGGGTGCTTGACTTCAACCGGTGAGGTAGCATATTTGGTATATCGTCGTTGCAAGCATCATCATCTACAGCCTTACTGACAGGAATGTCCACCGTTTTAAGTCTTTTCGGAGGAGAAGCTTCCATGTGTGGTGTAGGCTCTGGGCCTGGCCGTTTTCTTGATTGACCAAACGCTGCTGCATTCACGAGCTTTGCCATGTCCGTTTTAGAGCTCGAATTCTCAACAGGCTTCGGCTTCAGCGCGCTAGAGACACCCTTATTCTTGGGACCTTTTTTTCCAAAAGCCACAATTGGGGTTTTGCGAGACAAATGATCGTCAACGAGATGGGCAGAGGAATTTCGTAGCTTGGTCGGGACCACTGCTGGGGGAGCAACTGGATGGGGGAGATGCACCATTGCTGGAGTTGACTGGTCCTCGGGAGATAGGTCACTGGGTGCTTCGAGGAAAGCAGGGATAGAGCTTTCAGTTTTGGCTGCTGTAGCTAATGTAGTCTTTTCATCTAGTTTTGACATTGCAGCTTGTGCAATTACCGGTGGCTGGTGGGGTTCAATATCTCCAGAATCTTCACTTTCTTCATCACTGCTGATGTAAATCATTTCGACTTCTTTCGCGGGTGTGGTTGCAGGCGATTTTCCAGTAGCTACTGGGTTTGTCTTCTGCTCAGGCGGCTCGGGCAATGACTCCGCCTCAGGCAGTGGAACCACTTTCTCTCTCTCCTTCCCTTTCAAGCTGACTTTTGCTTTGGATTTCGACTGTTTTTGAGGTGCGCGGGTTGCTTTCTGGGCAGATTTCCCATACACCCGAGCCTTACGTTGTGGTTCAGAAGACTCGACCACATGGCCAAATATATCCGTCATTTTGCTTGCTATTGTCGTCGCTGCATTCACTGGTGGCATTGGAGTCAAAGGCGGTTCATCGTCCATGTTCGGCAGTTCATGATCATGAAATGCCTCTTCAAAAAAGCTTTCATGTCGCTGTAGAGGATCAAGTATATCCGATTCCATGTGCTGACCTCCATCTGACTCCATGTGTTGACCCCCTGTATCAGAATGGGACATTTCTATGTCATTTGGTACAGACTTTCTGACCTTAAGTGCTGCCTTTGGCCTGAGCAGGTGTTTCTTTCTGCCCCTTTTAGGCTTCGTAACGACCGCCGCGGCGAACAGCGGATTTTCCTTCCCGTCAGCTTGTTCCACTTTTACTAGCTTTGTCGATGACGGTTTATTGGCGCGGTTGCTTGGACCGGGCCTGGTGTCATTCTGATCATCCGTATCATCAGCGAATTCGTTTGCCGTCTCTTTTACGGGTAAGGCATTTCGCCTAGTAGCCCGGCGAGTACGGTCAGGAACATCTGGCTCGGACTTTCTCTTCTTAGAAGCTGCTTTGCCGTCTTCCACAGGCTTCTTCAGAGGAAGAGTGGTAGATTTTGGAGAATCGGGTTCTATGTTCCAGCTTTTGTCTTGGTTTTCACTGTGCTGCTTCGTTGCCTTCTCCGGTGCATCGGCCTTCTTTGAAAGACCTAATGGCTTCTTACTCTTCAATGCTTGTTTCTTTTTTGGCCGTACGGTGACAGGTGGTATTTTAATTAACTCGTCGGTGGATCCATCGTGTTGCATAGGTAGAAGGGCATCGTCAGCCGGATTGTTGGGAAAGGCTATCAATGGACTCTGGTGAATGCGTGGGCTAGACGACCCAAACTCATCCGAGGTATTAATGGTCACTCCTGACACATCGTTGACTTCAGTCCTTGTATTCATCTTTGTGGGCGCGTGATGAAGAGGTTTGCTTGTCTTTCCTACTCTGCTGATGTCACTTTGTTGTTGTGTTCTGGATGTCGTCAATATTGGCAGCACGCGCTCCGGTAGTCGAAGTCTACTGTTAGGTGGAGCAGCTGCAATTGAGCTCCTCAAATGGCGGTCATGGGCTACAGGGCTCGCATCATATAGGTTGCCGCCATTGTCAATAGTATTCTGGCCCTTCTTCGTAGGCAGCTTTTTGTATTGGATGATAGGGCTGCTATGGGCGGCCATACCTACACCAACAAAAGAATCTGCAAATGATTCTTCGCGTGGACTCTCGGTATCATGGTTGTTCGCATGGGTATCACTGATACCTTGAGCTTCAATAGCTTTTGCATTGATATCGTAGTTTCTGTTGAGGACAAGTCCCGTGTCAACTTGAGAGGTTCTCCTGAAGCTGGTTTGCTTGGTAGCTTTTTTATTGGTATCTGTACGATTCCCGTAGGGGATCGAGTCCTCGTCGCTTTGAGAGTCGTCAAGGAAGCTGATTTTCTTGGTAACTTTTGGGTTGGTATCTTTGCGGTTACCATCGAGGGCCAGTCCCTCGTTGCCTTGAGAGACTTTCATGGAGCTGTTTCGCTTGATAGCCTTGGCTGTGTTGCCGCCGTTTAAGTTCAATCCATCGTTGCTTTGAGACGCTTTAATGAAGCTAGTTTTCTTGGTAGGTTCAGAATCATCGGTATGTCCCGACATCGCTTCATTATCGGAAGCCGTGTCTTGCCTTCTAGTCTCACTATTAAGCTTCGCTCCACATTGTTGAACAACTTTGCCGATACTTGTGGCGAGGGTCGTGTCCCTGAATGTCAATTGCACAACAGAAAGCTCTGACGGGCTTGAGTTCACATAAGCTTGATTCCCCCCAGTGCACTTGACGTGTAGAATGAGATCGGCGGGAGGCTCAGTCCCTATACTCCTATCAAGTGATGTTGGCTCAACTCGAACATCCGAGATCAGATGGAATGGAATGTCGATGGCGGTGTCAAAACCCTTCTTTTCTGAATGTACATAGATATATACGCAATCCGCAAGGACCACACTTATGCTCCTGTGGCATATCGAGATAGCCTTGGTGTTCAGAAACTCCGGAAAAGTGACCATATTTAGTGCAAAATCTATAGTCCCGTTGCTAAACTGATTTAGCAAATTATCACTCCATGATGGGTAGCACAACTCACTTCTCCGTGCCAGCTATCTTGTCCCAGATATCATCAAGATAACTTGAGAACCTTTTGTCCCATTGTGAGGCTGAAGGAGCTTGCTCCGGGTATTGGGCAATGATCTCTTTATCTGTTTCGACGGGAAATAACCATTCTTTTGGAATAATATCAGAGGCGGTAAGGGTCGTCAAAATCCGCCCAGAAAGAGTCCTCAATATTTCATTTCCTTCATACAAGATCTGGGAGCCAAGTTTTCGGCTAAAACGTTCACGTTAGTGGCGTGAACGAGATGCTCATTTAGCTTTACTAACCGTTTTTCATCTGGGATGAATCCAATCATTCCTACATTCTCGTCGGAGTGAGAGGTAAGCTCGAGGATCAAGAGGCCGACCTAGAGGCTGTCAGCATTTCTGTCAGCAATCCTTCCGTGCATGGTATGCAAATTACCCATCGTCTCGTCTTGTATGATTCGCTTTTATCACAGAATGTGACGAAGATTAGTTCCAAACAGTCCTTGCTGATATCAGACAGTGATTTTTGGATGTCGTCTGCTGCTTCCTGCTTCTTGTTTGCGTTGTGTAGAAATTCCTGGGCACAGTCAGAATGGACGAGCATATGCAGACGTATCACTTACAGCTAACAAGTACAACCCACGGTCTCTCAACAGGGAGTTCCCTGCGTGAATGAGGATCCGAACTATGGCGACGAACGCACTTGGGTGAAGTTCGCTGCAAGCTTCCGGGAATGCACCTATGGCGGATACAGTTCTCTCCACTATGTCAGTGGCCACCTTTTGATCAGTTTGCCCGAGCCGTGCCAGAGTAGCTTTCATCTTCTTGATGATGCTCTCGGAAAGTCTACTCAAGTTAAGGATAGCACTTGGAGTTGAATTCGCGGTCTTACCGTAGAAACACATTTCGGCCCAAGGATGACTCGAGGTATTGAAGAAAGTCTTCAAAGGGACAACTATTCGGATCTCTTGATGGGCTGCTCAACAATCTTAAGACTGGTGGTGACCTAGTCCGTTTCGACCTATGTCCAGCCATTTTTGAGCGGCTACCCTCCACCGAGCAGCCGTCGTTGGTTTCAACTGTGGTATGTCATCAATGAAAGAGGTGGCTTCTAATTTATACAGATATTCGAATCTATCTGACCAGTGTCTGCCTCACTGATTTGACGATTGTGGCAATGGCCAATTGAGAGAGACTGATGGAGGAAATGGGGGAGAGTGGTAGAGTAGGCTGGGCAGAATAGCTGGTCTCAAGGGCCAACCACCCATCACCTGACCTACCCCCAAGTTGGCCTCACACCAATATCAACTAGAAATAAAGGGGACAAGATAAATTTGTATATATTGTAGTGAAAGATAGAATTCTAGCTGTACACCAGAGATAAATTATGTACATGAAAAGCGTCTGGACCTTTGAAAGATGAAGATCCTGGTAGCACAACAGCAAAGAGACGCCAACGGAAGTCGAATACACTGAGGATATTATATCATCGCAGTTAAACCTATCCTTGAGAAACGGAATACAACTGTAGATTGCTGAACCTCGACGAAACGGAATGCAACTGTAGCTTGTTGAACCTTGACGAAACTGGCCCACCAACACGCCCCAATATAAGAAACAAAGACTCTTACTGTATCTTTGCAATGTAAGAAGTATCTGAACGAATGATTGCCCTCGTATGGATATGATATCAATGGCTGACGCGTGAGACGGGTAGACTCTCGACATGTCCAATCGCAAACTTCACATCAGTTTATCCATCGAAAGAGATACGAATCCGCGGAGAAACACGATAAGAAATAGTTATAAATACGATAAGAGAAAGCCAGGCTTAACACCTATCGACGAAGAATAAGAGGGAGAAGTTCAACCAACAGTCTCGAATCTTGACCAAGAAACGCGTATACGGCATAGCATTGGACATAGCCTGATCAAACCTGACGGGCGCAGAGGATGAAATAAAGTGTTCCATACAAACACAGCCAGCTAGCTTTTTTGCCAAGTTATGGTAGTCAGATCAGGCGCGGCCATTGCTGACAGATATTATAGGCTCCAGTGTTGCCAAGGAGTCATATAGCTAGGTTGGCGATGATGATGATGTGTCATTTTGGGCCCTGACAACTCTGATACATCTGAATCCACCGGAGTTTGGACGTGAACCGTACTGGTTGACTGCATGAACTGTATCTTTAGAAACCCAGTCGGGGTATATTTTCAGGGCCAATCTTACAAAGCAGTCGCTGAGTGGTTTAGAGTGCAGATATGATTGGGTGGTCTCATGTCGCCCTAGCCATGGGCTTACTGCACTCCACATTATCGGGGTACGGTGAAAGACAAACCTCCGTTCCGACGCCCACGTACAGTCCGAAGCGCGCGTCTGACTGTTTTTTCTAACTTCTATATTGAGTATAGGCAGAACTTTGCTCACGTCACTCTTTAGCCCTCGTTATTGAAGTTAATTTAGAAATGAACTTCTCCCGCACTCATTTTTGACTCATTGCAGTGATATTCCTCTGTTAAAGCTTCCAGTTCTTCCACAGAGCATTGGGATTCATTTGACATCCACAGTCGCTTCTATCCATATTTGACCCTTACCCTCCACGAATCCACGACAATGAGGAGATCCGCGTCCAAGGAGAGCGTCGGCGCTGCGGCTCACAAACAAGATGGAGCATCATCAGTAGTTTCCTACCTGGCAAACACGCTGCTGAAAGAGAAGGCCGTGGAGCCCACCCCCGCCACCAGCGACGACGAATCCAGCGGTGAAAACATCTTCTACCTAGCCTATGGCTCCAACCTAGCCAGGAAAACCTTCCTCGGGATGCGCGGCATCAGGCCGCTCTCCCAGAAGAACGTCCACTGCCCCTCCCTAACGCTCACCTTCGACCTGGGCGGCTTCCCCTACCTCGAGCCCTGCTTCGCCAACACACGTTACACCACTGATGTCCCCCCACCCGGACCCCCGGGAGTCGATTACCACAAGACGCACTGGAAGAAGGGGGTCGTGGGCGTTGTATACGAGGTCACACAGCAGGATTTCCTGAAGATCATGGCCACTGAGGGCGGCGGCGCAAGCTACCAAGACGTTATCGTCCCCTGCTACCCCCTCGAATCCGATATCAGCGTGGTCCCTGAGGTACCCACCGGCGAGCCCTTCGACGCACACACTCTCTACTGCCCATGGCGGCCCGGCGGACTGAATCGCCCTGATCCGAACCACGCACAGCCGTCACCGCGTTACATGAACCTCCTCACCTCCGGCGCGGCAGAGCACAACCTGCCCGACGAATACCGTGAATACCTTGCCCAGATCCGACCATACGTGGCGACGAGCACGAGGCAGAAGATTGGGCGGATAGCGTTTGCGGTGGTGTGGGCGCCGATATTCCTGCCGATCATGATGATCAGCAGGAAGCTGGTGGACGATAAGGGGGTGGCGCCGGGCTGGTTCAAGGCGATTATGGATGGGCTTAAGGTGGCGATGTGGGGGAGTTATGATATTTTTTATAGGCGGATATATGGGGAGGGTGAGAGGACGGTGGAGAGTGAGCGGCCGCCGAGGTTTGCGGAGGAGAAGGATGAGGTTAGGCCGAAGATTTTGGAGGATAAGATGAGGGATTTGCAGGGTGTTTTGGAGGAGTGTGGGGAATGATTTGTTGGATATATGTAGAGCAGCTGCGACTATTTTGGACGTTATCTTTAGCCTGTTGTTGATAGCATTGTAAATATATCACGATATGTTTTTTCAAAATACGTCTATTTAAAATGGAAATTAATAAATGCTATTATATTCCTCGCAATTATTCAAGCACATCTATACTCTGCATTTGTGAACCCATCTACTCACCCCCTATATAATGAACTATCCAAATAAATTAAACAACCCAATCCGCCCATTCCCTCCTTACATGCCACCCATCTATCGGCCTAAATGCTGTAGGAGGCGGGTGGGGGAAGGTATCTCGGTCGCTCTTTCCCTTATATTCTCAACTAGGCAATACCGTCCAACAAACACCCTGCCTGGGTAGCTCAATCGGTAGAGCGTGTGACTCTTAATCTCAAGGTCGCGGGTTCGAGCCCCGCCTCGGGCTCAAATCCCGAGTTTCTCTACAGATTCTCTCATTATCTTTTTTGCATTTTTTTGCTCTGCCATCCATAAGATGAGGCCAGCTCGGCTGCTCTTTATTTTATACAGTGACAGTTGTGAAAGTATGAGGGAGTCGTGCTTTTGTGCCAGTTGGTGGTACACAGCTAGAGCTGGAGGTTGTGCGGATATACCTTTTTTTATTTAGGTGCTGCGAATTGACGTCATATCCTCGGCGAGAAAAAAAAATCCGCAAACAGCATGCGACCAACTTCAGTGCAAACGAATAGCTTCATCTACCAGTTCAAATCATAATAATTGTATGCTCGATATTTGCTCGGATTATATATACAAAATATAAAAAATTAAAGTAGTAACTTCACTTGTTATTACCCCTAAAATCTCTTTCTCCATCCCGCGTTCCTAAAAACCTTCATTCCTAGCAAAAGTTAAAAAAATAATCCGCCATCACTTGCCAGCAATGTAGACCTCATATCAGAAATTTGGTGAATGTTTGTCTCATAGCCAAGTCTCCCTAGCTCTGAAGTAGCAAATACTTTAAATTCGTTTGTAACATCATATAGGTCCACACATACACACGTGCTCCTCTTCCTTCTAGAGCCAGAATCTGCTGGAGAAGCAAAAATGTAATGAGAGAATCTTGTAGAGAAACTCGGGATTTGAGCCCGAGGCGGGGCTCGAACCCGCGACCTTGAGATTAAGAGTCACACGCTCTACCGATTGAGCTACCCAGGCAGGGTGATTGTTGGGTGATGTTCCGTGTTCTGCTAGTTATGGGGGGAAGTGTGTGCGCGCAGTAAAATTAGCGTGGACTTCGGTTAGGGGAGGGCCCGGCGAGGACTGTGGTCCTAATGGGACCATGGATTTAACGGGATAGACATGGTTGGATTTATTTGACATGAAATTCCTTGTGGATGATGCTATTTGCGATGGTTTATTGCTTTCTATTTTTGGTTTTACTTGGAATTATATTTCTCATTCATTAAACAAATGAAAATATAATTAAATCCTGCTTCTCCAATTTTTCTATGAACTACACTTTTCAACATCACAACACGAATTTTCAAATGCACAAAGTTATGGTTCATAATGCTTTAATAATTTTCCAACGTTTACTTTTAAATCCCGGCACAACAACTCCATTGCTTATATACCCAGGAACGTTTCCTATCCATCCTCCCCCTTTATATCCACCCCCTCTTCCTTCTCACCATTCTCATATTTCCCCAAAATCCTCCAATCCCCCTTCCCATCTTTCCCCTTCCACTCCCACACCACTCTCCCATCATTAACCGCATCAACCAGCTCCTTTCCAGCAACCTCCCTCTCCCCACTCTCCGCATCCCATACCCATCCCTCCCTCAACCAGCACCACCTCAGAAAAGCCCTTAACTCTTTATCCTTCGGAATCACACGCATCCATTCAGGCTGGAACCCCTCGTCTTCCGCCTCCTCGCCATTCCACCCCTTCGCTAACCCTCTGAGTTCATCTCTGCAGAAGATCCTCCAAGAGTCAATCGCGTAGGGTCCTTTAGTCAGGTGGCCAATTTCCCAGGCGCCTTCGCGCACGTCCTCGTCGGAGAGGATTTCGCCTTTCTTGATAGTCGCGTGGGCGTTCTTTGTAGGGTAGTTTTCAACGCGGTATCTCTTCCCCTTCACCGGCGGATCATCCAAGAATGTTTTGGCGTAACGAATATAAGTATCTGCTCGCACGGATTGCAAGCCCAGATGGCGAGTCAACTCTACAATGACGCCCTTGTCTGCGTTCGCGAGGTCGGTAGCGGTAGGAAATAGTTCTATAAGCCTGTAGTATATGGGAATCGACGACTTCCCATACGTGCGGATGAGGAATGTGACACCGATAAGGAGACGGAGCGGGTCATGGCGTAGCTTCTCTTGGAGGAGGCCGAATGAAGGCGAGGAGAGAGGCGGGAATGGGATGCAAGAGACTACACCGCCAGGGGAGCGGAGTGGCTTCTTTGGTGATACTGCTGGTGAGAAGTAGGGGGATTTGGTGACTGCCCTTTCTTTTTTGACTGGGGAAAGTGTGGTAGCGGGTTCTGGAGGTTGTAAGAGCAACTTGTTTGGGGACTGCGCGAGGCGTGGGAGGATGACTGAGTTTCTTCGCGGGTGGATGGGTTTTGGACGGGTTGGACTCTCTAAATCGTCTGCTTCATCACTGGAGTTGCCTAGTGGTGGCGTGGAGCTTCGAACCATCTCGTATTTAAACGCTGGCTGCTTTGTAGATGTCATAGTTTGGACTGCGTCTATAGAGGACCCTTCCCGCGATTGGGATCTGGTTACCCTGAGATCAAATTCATCTAGGGCAGAGTCTTCCCTGCTCTCATCTGAATCTGCCTCACTTTGAACGCTTAGACTATAAGCCGAGACCTTTGCTTCGCCATCAGTTTCAGCGCCCTCGTCTTCGACTGGCTCATCCTTGGTATCAACTATGGCTTCCCCATATGCACCCGGCGGTATAATCCTAGTTTCTTTTCTCACTTTCGATTCTCCTAGCCCTCTTTCCACCTCAGTAGCACCCGTGACGGGAGAGCTGGATTCTCTGCGACTGATGTACATCGTATTACCCGCAACTTCCAGGGCCTGACCACCACTCGCAGGGTCCTGGCTCCCTACGAGTGGTGTTCTTTTAGCTCACCGACCGCCACAAGTACTTCAGTCTTATTTTCATCACCGATAGATTTCCGATTACCCCGCTTGCGGCGCTTGTTGCTAGCGGGATTTGGTGCTGGGATCTCGGATAGAGGTTGCGTTGCTGGGATTATAGGAGCGGCGACGGGTTTGCTAGCTGGTTCATCTACACATAAATCCATAGGTTCGGGCACTGCTTCCACAGCGGCGGGTGTGCTGGTAGGGATTTGCGTGTTTGTATCAAGTGCCTTCTTGGGAGGCGGCGGGCCACGCTTTCTCTTACGCTTGGCAGCTGCATTCAAACCAACGTCGTTGGCCTCTTCCATAACAATCGGCCTGGCTTCTGCTTCAGGCTGGGTGTTTACAGCCTCGACAGGAGCAATAGGCTCAGGTTTAATAATAGCATCGATCTTCACAAGCTCGGACGCATTCGAATTTGAGCCAGCGTCAGTTGCAGTAGTTGACTTGCGTGCGCGCTTCTTCTTCTTTGGTGCCCGAAGATCGATAAACCCGTCGTCCGCAGCCACAACCGGCTTTGGGGCGTTGGGAACGGCTACAGTCGGAGGCTTGATAGCTGGTGGGAGGATCGGGGTTGATCCAGGGGTGGGCTTGTTCTTAGCGCCCCTCTTCCTCTTATTCGAAGACTTCTCGGTGGGCTCTCCACTCTCTGCTTTAATAGTGGCCAGGGTAAGCATAGCTGCAGCATTGATCTGCTCAGTAGGCGCTGCAATGGCGACCTGCGGGATCTGGGCATTTGTTGCTGGGCCTGCCTGTGTGTCTGCAGCTGCTGTAACAGTAGCTGACACCACAGCCAGTGTATTTGCTAATGCAGCCTTGGCTTTGTTTTGTATGAATGCTGCCTTTCTTTCTTTTCTACTCAGTTTAGGGGCTCCAGAGTCGACTTCACTCGATCCAGCCTCTGCCGCAACAGCAACTGCTACAACGGGGGTTGGCGCTACCGCGGGCGCATTTGCTAGTGCCGCCTTGGCTTTGTTTTGTATGAATGCCGCCTTTCGTTCTTTTCTACTCAGTTTAGGTGCTTCAGGGACGACTTCATCTACTTTAGCCTCTGCCGTGACGGCTGCTGCTACAACAGTAGTTGGCGCTACCGTGGGTGTGTTCGCTGACGCTTCATTGTCTGCTACAATGGGAGTTGGCGCAACTGGGGGCGTAGTTGCTAATGCCTCCTTGGCTTTGTTTTGTATGAATGCTGCTTTTCGTTCCTTTCTAGTTAGTTTAGGGGCCTCAGCGGTAGGTTCGACCGATTCAGCTTTTGCCGCGACAGCAGCTGCTATAACAGCAACTGGTGTTACTGGGGGTGTATTCGCCGTTGCTGCCTTGGCTTTGTTTTGTATGAATGCTATCTTGCGTTCGCGTCTGCTCAGTTTAGGAGCTTCGGGGTTGAGTTTAGCAAATTCGGCCTCTGCCGCTTTAGCAGCGATGTTTGCTTTTTGTCGTTTCGATCTCCTGTCGTTAAGCATCACTTTTTCTGGTTGGCTTTCCGTTGTTGCTGTCTCGCTCAAAGGTGTTCCTCCGATGTCACTCTCGACTTTCGGCTTATTTGCATCCTCGGTCGAAGGTGTTCCCCCAACGTCACTCTCGACCTTCGGCTTATTTACCTCCTTACGGAAACGTTTCCGCTTCGCAGGAGGAGTCTTATTCTGTGCGGCGTCCTGCGGTACCCCATTAGCGTTAAACAAGTTGCCGACAGTCTGTTGAACGCTTGCGAGAACCTCAATGGCATCGGTCAACTCCAGCCCAGGCATCTCAAGTGCAGTCAGCTTGCTCTCCAACTTGACTCCCTTAGCCCTGCACAGCTTCTCCTGTGCGCTCTTAGCTTCAACCAGTGCCTGGTTAGCCCCCAACCCCAGCCCAATGCCAAAAGTCTGCACCTCCGTAAGATAGCATTCTAGTTGATTGACGCTCGGGGCCCCAGGTATAGTCTCAACGGCGTGCTTCTGTGCGAACTCGGCGACTATGGCGGCGCGCTGGTGGTATTTTAATAATGACCTAGGGGTACCAGGAAGGCCACTACGAGTTTGTGACTTTGGCGTCGAAGGGATCGGTTTCGTTTTCACTGGTGTGGCTACCTGAGCTGCTTTGCAGGTGTTCAGGAGGAAATTGACATCTTCCTTAGGCGCCTCACGAAGGTGCGCACGCAAGAACGCCCTGTCGCTGTCAGACTGAATATCGAAATCGGCGAAGACATCAGTGCTGACACCCCCATCTTCGTCTTCTGATCTTGGGGTCGTCTCGTCTGACGATGCCGGAGGAGTCGAGTGGCGTGGATGCGACGAGGGAGGGGCCACAAAATCGGGATGCTGTTTCGCGCGCGTTAGTGGGTGCTTTAATGGCGGGGTTTGCAATCGCGGTTGGGTGAAATTAACTTACAATATCCGATTCCGTATCCTCTACAGCATTCTGAAATGCGCCGTTGGTAAGTGGTAATAGCGGCGGTAGAGCACCGATCGCAAAACCAACACCTGCATCGCTATCGTCGGCCGCCTCGATGCTCTTCTTGATACCAGAGGCTTTCGCCTCAGATTTCGCACTCAGAGACGAGGATGCCTGTTCAAGCGCCATAGCCACCCTTTGCATCGCAGGTATCTTGTTCAAGCTTTTTTCCCTCCTCGCAGCCTGCCTGGCCGACTCACTGGTCGACTGGCTAGGTAAAGGGCGCATTTTCACCGTCCTTCAAATCTGGGATTTCCAATTGATATAAGACAGCTCCAACTGCACATGTATATCAAATGAAATCGACCAGCCCGTGAATTGACCTCGTCGTGGATTTTGAGAGCGTGAAAGACCCCTCTGCGATTGTCGTGGTGTGCCTGAATATAATTTCTCGATAAGAATCTAGCTAGCTTATCGGGGAAGATACTTTTCTCTATCGGGCCAAGCACGATTGTCGGAGCTCTCGGCAAGATTTCCAGGGCAGAACGGATTGCCGAACTAGTTGTGCCCGTTCAATTCCAGGCTTTGAAGTCGAGATGACACAATGCTAAAGTCGAAGACAATGCTCGTTCCCCGTACCAGGCTCTATTAAAGCACTGAGAATTGCGAATCACGTGAAATTACTTGGACATTAATAACAAGGCCAGTTTTCAACCAAGTTACAAAAGAAATAAGACGGTATATTGAGATTTAGGTCCCGTATCTTCTCTTCTAGTAGACTATTCTCTTTGTACAACCAAAACGTAGAACTAGTACAATACAACAGTGTAATATGCGTCGTTGCATTCACTCCCTTCTTCCTATCCAAGCCTCTCGCTCTAACTCACACCAAGGATCCTTCTACTTTCTTGGTCCACCAACCTTTGGCGGGTTGTAAACGATCTTCCTTGTCTTCATCGGAGCCCACTTGTATCTCTTAACCCAGATGCTGAGAGCCAGTAGCGCGGAGGTCATAATCAGAACCTTCATTCCCATCTTCTTGCGCTGGTCCATCTCGGGCTCGGCAGCCCAGTTCAGGAACTCGGTAACATCCTTGGCCATCTGGGAGGTAGAGGCCTCAGTTCCATCATCGTAGTCAACGAGACCATCGAAGAGGACACGAGCCATGGCAATACCGGTACCCGGGAAGTAAGGGTTGAAGTTGAGGCCCTCCTGGACGACGGCGCCTGCGGGAGGCTCCTCAGGGTAACCGGTAAGGAGGTTGAAGATGTAGTCGCAGCCACCGTGGCGGGCCTTGACAATCAGCGACAAATCGGGAGGCAGGGCACCGTTGTTGGCGGCGCGGGCGGCCTCATCGTTCTTGTATGGCGATGGGAGGTAATCGGAGAGCTTTCCGGGGCGCTTCTCGATCTCGCCCTCATCGTTGGGCTCGGTGTCATACTCGTTCTCCTCGGCCATGGCCTTGGCCTCGTCAACGGTGTGGGTTACTCCGACCAGGGTTCTGTATGGGACGCGAGCGAGGGAATGGCACGAAGAGCAGACCTCGCGGTAGACCTGGAAACCACGGCGCAGGCTGAACTGTTAGCTTATGGAGGTTAATAGGGTTGATGGAAGCTTACGCTTGGTGGTCGAAGGTCTTGACGTATTTCTCGTGCTCCCATGGGTAGTGTGTTGGATGGAGACTGCATGTGAATATTAGCTTCCGAAGGTCAATTGATGGGATCGATGAGCGTATAGTACCCTTCTTCCGCAGGTGTCATGGCGTGAGCGGTAGAACCATAGAGATGATAGTACCAAGCCATCGAGCCAGCAGCAACGGCAGTGGCAGCGGTTCCGGCGGCAGTAAGTTTGAAGGGGGAGTTGACAGCTTCAGAGGCCGACGACGCAGCGCGCTACAGAACCAAAAGTCAGCAATAATCCATCAAACAAAGCACCCATTCCATCCCTGGTGCTTCGAATATCCCATCCCCATCCAATTGACACTTCCAGTCCGTCCGTCGTCGCACCCGATGCGGCTCTTGTCGGTTGTATCGTACCTTTGTGGTCCTGCTCACACTGCTCCGGACCGCGCCGAAGCGGGCAGCATTTCTAGCAAACATTGACATCGTGAATCAATTGCTCCTCGGCGGTCGACTCTCGAGGAGGGAACAGAGGGGGCAGACGAGAGCGGTCTCTGTGGTAGGCGGAGGTTCGTGCGATGTGGTGAGGTTGTCGGGCGTGGTCGATGTTTGAGTTCGAAAATTGGTCGGCCCTTACCTCGGCCAATCAGAGCGAATTGATGACCCGGTTACATCTTATTGGTACGCGAGAATTTTCCGAGATCACCTCAACGACAGCTTCCGGTACCTTTCTCACGCGGATTATTGCGCTCTTCAAATTTGCTATCTACAGATTATGTAGTATTCATATCATAAACAACATTGATATTAATATACTGGATCTTTGTGAATTGCCCATTATGATCCTTTTTTCCGCGAATGATGGCTCCCCTTTTCAATGATTGCCCACGATAGTGAGTTCGGGAAGGCGGAGGCTCAGCCTCGTTGCGCCTGGCAATATATTTTTATTACCAGCCCTTCTAGTTCCTGTAGGTGTCAAAGAATCGTACAACATTCTCACCATCCCTCACTATTGTGCACATAGGCAGCTACGCCTACGTGTGAAGATCCCACATTGTTACGGTAGCTCCAGCCTTTACGCCCCTCCACCAAGGCCGCGACAAACGACCATCACCAACATGCTCTCCCAACGCTGAGCTGTCCAAGTTCAGCGCTTCACCATGTCGGGCCAGGAGCTGGTAGCTTACGACGAGTATCGTGACTATCCATTCCTGACCCCCGATGAGTTCGAGCTGGCATGTCATTACTTGGAAAGTATATATATAAACGCGAACTTGGGACAGGCGAGGAGGAAATTCAAGCTTCGGCTGCAGAGATCGCTGACTGGGGGTCCCTCATATGTCACTATTGCTACGCCTATTGCTATTGCGGATGGCGGTATCGATGAGCTCCTTGGCATGGGATTCTTGAGGGCGAGTGATGGTGCGGACGAGGATATGGATGGGCTCCAAGGCATGGACGTTGAGGGGGAAGATGGAGACTCTGTAAGTTCATACCTGGCTGCTAGTTTCTAGCACTCTCCAAACCCCACTTGATGATTATACATGCTGACGCTTATGGATGGTAGGACGCTCTACGTTCCAACGGAACAGGCGATGGCTTACTCGACGGCCCATATGTCCAATATGAAATCCACCTCCACCCTACCTACCGAACACCCGTCTTGTGGTTCCACCTACATAACCTCCCAAACGATGCTAGGGCGTTCGATATCGAGTCTGTCTACCGATATCTTGTTCCGGATATCCTCAAGGATGAGCTGAGATCTGTTGGCGTTATTGGAGGGATATCCGCAGACGTAAGTCTCAAACCGTCTCTACAGAGTGTATAAAACCATGCTAATATCACACATAGCACCATCCCATTACGGACCTCCCCTGCTTTTTCATGCACCCATGCAACACTAAGGAGGCTATGGAACAGTTCAGAGCCAGACTCGGCGACTACTTGATGATCTGGCTGGGCATCGTTGGGTATTACGTTGGACTGAAGTTACCACTTGCCATGGCATGAACGAACTTCCATAACAGACTAGAGAAGGCTATGCCGAAGCTGACTACTTTTGTCGATCCCATTATCCCTCGTTTTATACCAAATACATGCTCTCTATCCAAACTCCACGTTAAATCAACGTTAATTTTTTGTGCCGCCGTGTCTAGTTGCCCCCAGTTGCCTTTGACTGGTTGATAATATCACGTCTCTTCTTGCAAGCTTCTGCTAGCGATGCGAGAACGGACTCTGTGTCGTCCCACCCAATGCAAGCATCAGTGATACTCACACCGTACTTCAGTCCTTCCTTGCCCTCCTTGGGAACCTTTTGGTTGCCTAAATTCATTATTAGTAGGAGCTCTAATATTTAGCTTTGTAGGGAACATACCCTCATTGATATTGCTCTCAATCATAACACCCATGATAGCCGTCTCACCCTTGGCAATCTGCTCAGCCAGCACCGCCGCGACCTTTGGCTGGTTGCGGTGGTCCTTCTGAGAGTTGCCGTGGCTGCAATCAACCATCAATCTCTCCCTGACACCTGCCTTCTGCAGAGCAGCCTTGGCCTCAGCAATGCTCTTCGCATCAAAGTTTGTTCCCTTGGTGCCACCGCGCAGAATAACGAAGCAGTCCTCATTGCCAACCGTGCCGACAATAGCAACGACACCCGGCTTTGTGACAGACAAGAAGTGATGTGGGTGTCTAACCGCACCAATGGCGTCGATAGCAACGCCCAACGAGCCATCTGTGCCGTTCTTGAACCCGACAGGGAAGGACAAACCACTCGCCAGCTCTCTGTGCAATTGCGATTCAGTCGTCCTGGCCCCAACAGCGCCGACACTGAGCAGATCCGAGAAGAACTGCGGGGAGATCGTATCCAACATCTCACTAGCGAGGGGCATACCCCTAGTCGTGAGATCCACGAACAACTGTCTCGAGATCCTCAACCCCTTATTGATCTGGAAGCTATTATCGATATCCGGGTCATTAATCAGGCCCTTCCATCCCACCGTCGTGCGCGGCTTCTCGAGGTAAGAGCGCATGACGATGAGCAGGTCATCCTTGTACTTCTCCTTCAGCGCGAGCAGCTTGTCGCAGTATTCCAGCGCCGCGGCCGGGTCGTGGATCGAGCAGGGGCCGATGACGACGAGGAGGCGGTGGTTGGTGTCGGTTCCGGACACGATGGCGACGGACTCGTCGCGGCCGGAGATGACGGTCTCTTTGGACTCGGGCGTTTGGGGGATTTCATGTTGGAGGAGGCCCGGGGGGGTGAGGGGGTTGTAGCCGCGGACTGGAGGGAGGGAGGGTTAGTTTTAGTTTGTGGTGCTTTGGATTGGGGGTTTGGGGGAGGTCTTACTGCGCCAATCTTCTGTGCCTGCTCTGTTACCCACGTCCTTGTTCTCGATGAAGAATGACGACTGTGTAGTGAATTAGCTTGGGAAGTGGTTTGGAGCTCTCGATTTGTCATGTTACTTACAGACATGTTGAGCTGAGTGTGTCTGGATCAGGTGAATCCAATTGTGAGGTGTTTGTGTTTGGAAATATTATTTATTTCTCATTTGAAGGTGGTGGCGGGGTCGCTATTTATCGATATGAAAGAGTCACAGGTTAGGCGTGGAAATTGTGACAGGGATCATACCACTGACAGCCTCGCGAGTTTGAATTCACGGTGGTGTTGGATTTTGCAGCTATTTTTCTTATTTCACTCATGCTTATAACTAGAATGCAAATAATTCATATGAATCAATACTATTGCGCAATTAATGCAATATTTACCTTCCCAGGTAAAACCCTTACTTGTGAGGGTGAATACGTGTAGAGTGCACGACGCAAGGCCACGGTCCAAAATTTGTTGCAGTGCTCCAAAATTCGGGGGATTCAGGGAGTCTCGGCCAATCATTAGACCCACGGCGGCTTGTAAAGTGAAGGGCTCTCGACGCCGTCATGAGGGGGATAGCCATTGACCTTCCAAGCATTACAATACCCCGTGCAGACATGATAGACAGCACTGTGCTACTTGCAGTAAGACTTTGCAAGCTTCAGGCTTGATATTCCTGCAGCGTACAACCCCAACTTCACTCCCGCTCTTCACCGCTAATATCAAGAGCTAGAGTACCCCGCCACGTCGAGCTATTCCATCGAAACACGTGAAACCCAGTAAGACGCTGTCCAATGGGGCATTCTTTCATAAATCCTACTGTTCTGGTGCATCCTTACATAGAAGGATACTCTATGCCAAGTAATATGGGATACGCAATGGCTCGCAGGTTGTCAAGCCAATGACATATATAACGAAAAGCGGCCGCCAAGATGCCCATGAGTGGCAAAAATTATAAACCAAATGATAACTTCATAGCTGTGGTTCACATATAACGATGGGAACGTAGGATAATTCGGTCTCAGTTGTCCACCAGGAAACGAGTGTACGGTGTACGGTGCGCGGACCGTAGAGTGGCCCCGCCCGAGTCTCAAATACTGTACCCAAACATAGACTATGACGTTGTGGCTCCCTTCGCTCTCAACGCGGGACAGATCCTAGCAAGTGGGATAAACCGTCTGGTACCTGATTATCTCAACATAGTCAACATCCATAATCGAGTTCCAGTTTCCCTCCATTCGCATCTTTTTTTCTCTCGTACAGCGTTAGAGATCAAGCGATTGACTTCTTGAGAGCACTGGTGAAAAGCGTCATCCTTTGCTTACATGCAGCTTGTCATCACCAATCAGCCGCACCTGGTCCTATAGCTGTTCTTCCCATATATTCTCACCCGCCCCTCCTACACCCAGACGCTTGCTTGTGCAGGCAAATCTCATAATCACCATGGCACCGAACGAGTTGAAGGCCGCGAACGAGGTTTATCTCCTCCCGCTTCTTGACGATGGGTCTCCAGACGTACCTGGAGGATACATTTACCTGGAGCCAAAGTCTGCAGAACCAATCGTTGTACGCTTTGCTATCGAGGGCACTTCTTCCATATGCAGGCATGGGAGCTTATGGGTCAACATCAATGCACCGGGAGAGCCATTCAGGCGGGATGCCTTCAGGGAATTCAAGTAAGACACCCAATTTGGCCCCATGAATTGTTCATTCCTAACTCACCATCAGGCTGGAACCAGACTTCAACCGCACACTAGAGATTGACATCCCGATTCAATCATCCGGCTCGTTCGCTTTCTATACGACATATTCCCCGCTACCAGACCTTGACGACGCAGGTTCAAACCCATCAGAACCGACCAAAACTCCTCTCTACTACATCGATGTCGCCCCACGCCTCACCCTGGGTGATAAACAGCTCCCAATGGCTGCCCTCTCTATTATATCTGTCATATCGAAATTTATGGGGAAATATCCGACGGATTGGCAGAAGCACCTGCGCGGAATTAGCGAACGTGGCTATAATATGATTCACTTCACGCCTCTACAAGGAAGAGGGAGTTCAAATTCGCCATATAGCATAGCAAACCAGCTAGGATGGGACCCGGAATGTTTTCCTGGGGGCGAGAAAGATATTGCCCAACTAGTCGATGTTATGGAGAAAGAGTATGGGCTACTGGGACTGACGGATGTGGTTTGGAACCACACTGCTGATAACAGTAAATGGCTTCAAGAGCACCCGGAAGTGGGATACAACATGTCCACCGCCCCGTGGTTAGAGTCAGCACTCAAACTCGACACAGAACTGCTGAAGTTTGGTCGCGAGCTGGAGAAGCTAGGGCTGCCTACAGACATCAAGACTGTCGAGGACTTATTGCTGATCATGGATGGCATTAAGACCAAGGTCATTGGCAGCCTTAAATTGTGGGAGTACTATGCCATTGATGTTAAAAGAGATGTCGATGCAGCTGTGGATGCATGGGTATCTGGAAATATCAAGGCTTCCGCCGAGGGATTTGCAAGCAAAGATGCTTCGCCCAAGGAGCACGCCAAGTTTATCACCGAGAAAGCCATGCTGGGGACCGACAGGCTGGGAGAACGCTATAGACGAAAGGTGGATCCAGCCATTGCAGCCGCTTTGTTGACAGAGTTGCATGGAAAATCCAACGGCAATGCCGCTGATAGTGGCGAGGTACGGAGTCATATCTCTAAGATTTTGGACGAGGTAAACCTGCCATATTACAAAGAATATGACGAAGATATTGCAGAAGTTCTGGAGCAGATCTTCAACCGCGTTAAATATGTACGCCTAGACGACAACGGACCAAAGCTTGGTCCGATCAACGATAAAAACCCACTCATCGAGTCTTATTTCACAAGGCTTCCTCAAAACGCCACCACCAAAAAGCACAAGCCAGAAGACCTGGCTCTTGTCAATAATGGATGGATTTGGGCAGCCAATGCCCTGGTGGACAATGCTGGACCAAAGTCCAGGGCCTATCTCCGACGAGAGGTCATTGTCTGGGGTGACTGCGTCAAATTAAAATATGGCGACGGCCCCAAGGACTCCCCTTATTTATGGGAGTATATGGGGAAGTATACGAGGCTCATGGCGAAGTATTTCACCGGTTTCCGAATCGATAATGCGCACTCTACTCCTCTTCATGTCGCTGAGTATCTCTTGGATGAGGCACGCCGCGTGCGCCCTGACTTATTCGTTGTCGCTGAGCTATTCACTGGCTCAGAGGAGATGGACTACGTGTTTGTCAAGCGCCTTGGTATCAATGGCCTCATCCGAGAAGCTATGCAAGCTTGGAATACTGGCGAGTTGAGCCGACTGGTCCACCGTCATGGTGGTCGCCCCATAGGCAGCTTCGAGGTTGATGAAATCTCTGGCAATGATGCTTCGGGCGATGAAGTGACAGAAATTGTCCGAAAGATTAAGCAAACTCCCGTCCATGCCTTGTTTATGGACTGCACGCACGACAACGAAGTTCCAGCACAAAAAAGAGACGCTCGCGACACGCTACCAAACGCAGCCTTGGTGTATTTGTGTGCAAGCGCAACTGGCAGTGTTTTTGGTTACGATGAAATATACCCCAAGATTATCGATCTCGTCCACGAGACGCGACTATATACGTCGTCATCATCTGAGAAGCCAGTCGACATTAAGGATGAAGAAGGTGGTATTGGAGGTGTCAGGAAACTCCTTAACCAGATCCATGTTGTAATGGGTCTCGATGGATATGAGGAGACGCATATTCACCATGACGACCAATATGTCACCGTGCATAGAGTGCATCCCGAGTCGAGGAAAGGATATTTCTTGATTGCTCACACCGCGTTCCCTGGCTACAAAAATGGCAACGGAGCGTTCAGTCCTGTTCATCTTACGGGTACCAAGGCTAAACATCTTGGAAGCTGGATGCTTGAGGTTGATGATTCGGAAGAGGCCCGTGATGCCGCGTTGGGAGACAAACAATACCTCAAGGGGCTGCCTAGCAAGGTCACCAGCGTTTCCGGGATTAACATGGAGTCTAAAGATGATGAGACTGTTATTACTATGGGAGGCAAGTTCCCGCCTGGGAGCATTGCTCTCTTTGAGACGTGGATCCCGGCAGCGGAGCACGCATCTGGTCTTGATACACACGTCACATCAGGAGCGAAAGAAGCCTTCTCCAAGGTTGATCTCGTGGATCTCAACTTCATCATGTACAGATGCGAAGCCGAAGAAATGGATTCCAGCAATGGAAAGGATGGCGTTTACGACATCCCTAGCCACGGCAAACTAGTCTACGCAGGACTCGAAGGCTGGTGGAGCGTGTTGAAGAAGGTCATTGGTGAGAATGACCTTGCACACCCACTTGCACAGCACCTGAGGAGCGGTCAATGGGCCTTAGACTATACAGTTGGGCGTCTCCAGCGCAAATCCAAAGAGGAGGGATTTGAACGCCTAGAAGCCCCAGCGCAATGGCTTCAAGAACGTTTTGATGCGATTAGAAAGCTCCCCAGCTTTTTGTTACCGCGTTATTTCGGGCTGATAATCAAGACTGCTTACTCTGCAGGGTTAGACCGAGGTGTCGAACTCATGAGCGAGAATGTGCAGAAGGGACAGTGGTTCATGAAGAGCCTTGCAATGGTTAGTGTGCAGCAGACAGGCTTCGTCAAGTCCGCCTCCCTGTACCCAAAGCGAGCGGTGCCGTCTCTTGCAGCTGGACTGCCGCATTTTGCGGTCGAGTGGGCAAGATGCTGGGGACGTGATGTTTTCATCTCCGCGAGAGGCCTCTTTTTGGGAACTGGCCGCTATGCGGAAGCTCGCGAGCATATTATTGCCTTTGCTAGTGTCGTCAAGCACGGCATGATTCCGAACCTCCTTAGCAGTGGCAACCTACCCCGCTACAACTCTCGTGATTCGGTCTGGTTCTTCTTGCAGACTATTCAGGACTATACGAAAATTGTGCCCAACGGCCTTGACCTATTGAAGGAGAAGGTTCCGCGGAGGTTCTTGCCTTATGATGACACATATTTCGAATCGGATGATGCAAGAGCGTATTCCACAACTTCGACTTTGGAAGATATCATTCAGGAAATATTCCAAAGACATGCTAGCGGCATGTCATTCAGAGAAGCTAATGCTGGCCCAAAGCTCGACATGCAGATGAAACCTGAGGGTTTCCAGATTGACATCAATGTCAACTGGGACACTGGTATCATATTTGGTGGGAGCCAAGACAACTGCGGAACCTGGATGGACAAGATGGGTGAGAGCGAACGGGCTGGGACTAAGGGTGTCCCCGGTACTCCTCGTGACGGCGCTGCTGTCGAAATTACTGGACTATCATACAGCGCGCTGAAGTGGGTATCAGAACTTCACAAGGAAGGGAAATACAAGTACAGTGGCGTCAAGACGAACAATGCCTCCACGAAAGAAATATCCTTCTCTGATTGGGCCAGCAAGATCCGCGATAACTTCGAACGTTGCTACTACGTTCCCGCTTCGTCGGAAGAAGATGCGAAGTATGATGTCAACCCAGCCATTATCAACCGCCGTGGCATCTACAAGGATCTCTACAAATCTGGAAAGGAATACGAGGACTATCAACTCCGACCCAATTTCCCCATCGCCATGACTGTCGCACCGGATCTGTTTGACGATAAGCATGCTTTGGGTGCCCTCTTCATCGCTGATAAGGCACTACGTGGACCAACCGGAATGGCTACATTGGATCCCTCGGATCTGAATTACCGACCCGATTACCACAACTCCGAAGATTCAACAGATAAAGCGACATCAAAGGGACGCAATTACCACCAAGGCCCGGAGTGGCTGTGGCCGACGGGATTCTTCTTGAGGGCTCTGCTTGCTTTCGATCTGAAACGTCGAGACACGCCTGAAGGGCGGACCGAGGCTTTCCAGCAGGTGACCCGCAGGCTGGCAGAGTCTAAGAAGGCCATTGTTGAGAGCGAGTGGGCTGGGCTGACTGAGCTGACGAATAAGAATGGAAGCTTCTGTGCTGATTCGGTGAGTTTGAATGGAGTGATACGTGTATGATAATTAATGCTAACGTGGGACAGTCTCCGACTCAGGCCTGGTCTGCAGGATGCTTCATCGATCTGTATCACGATGCTGCGCAGTATGACGTCTCGAAGTTGCAAGAGAAATGAATGTGGAGTGAGTGATGGGGCAGGAGGTGGAATATAGCTTGAAACAGTGCATTAGAAGGACTACACGATTTTTTTTTGGAGAGTGGGACTGGAGTTTTTAGGATTCAGATGGGATAAGATTTTATGGCACGGGGGTGGCTTCAGTGGTTCCAATTTGGCATCCATATGAAAGAGGGAGTCCGTATCAATATACGAATCCACGATCGGGCATGTTACCGCTATTTCCAAAAACCCATCACTCTTTTTCGTGTTCTCAAAAAAAACCTAATTTTCGCTCGGCCCCGGCGGCACGCTCTCTTCCCACTCGGCCACCCACCTCACTAACCAACCCGGCGCCGACCCACCAAACGCTTTCAGCACCCGCCACATCCCAGCACCACCCTACCCATGCCGTCCCGGGACATCCACCTAAGTTTTCCACCTAAGGATTTTTTCACCTTGCCTCCCCAACCATCCACAAGCCACCCTGCTTCGCCCGCGGCCACATAGTCGGTCTTAACCTTCTGATCTTCAACCAAACCCGCCTGGGTAGCTCAATCGGTAGAGCGTGTGACTCTTACTTCCTATCCTTAGGATATGAGATCATCTCAAGGTCGCGGGTTCGAGCCCCGCCTCGGGCTCAAATCCCGAGTGCTCTCTTGAGGAGTCCTCAATTACTTTTTTGGCATTTTTGCTGGTTGTGGTAATGAGGCACATGGGAGGTAATGTTTTTTGGTTTTTACGTTTGTGGGGCTTGTTTGAATTTTAAACTGAACTTTTTTTTATATTATCTATTTCTCCCAGGCTATGAGAATGAGGACATCATTTTAAGATGCAAAATTATCTTTTATTTTTGTCGTTTGCTCTTCTCAGAGTAGTGATATTTCCCATGATGCAGCGGCGTGCTAAAAAAAAGTTTTCTGACGTCGCCGATATCTGCAAGGCTAACAATCAGCCTCGTCCCGCGCTCGTCCCTTGCTTCCCGGGTGATACCACCAACAACCACCAATAGCCAAACTCCAGAGAGAGCTGCTGTGATATCTTTCTATCACCTTGCACCTGCAGGACGGCAGTAAACAGCACAATTGGGCGATCCCACAGCTAACAGCTGTCACTCGGATGACTGGCGTGCGGTATGTTGGTCCGAGCTGTGGCGTAGAGCTCATGCAAGGGAGTGTGTTATTGTTGGCGACGTCGAGGTTGGTATCTGAGCGATTATTGGAGGCAGGACCCGAATCCGGATATATCTTGCTGTCTGATGTGAGAGAGGAACGATGTGTCTCCGGATGATCGGCCGCTACTGGGTGATCATGTATTAACATTGAGCCATGGCCCCCAGGCGGCCCCCAGGTAATATGTCCATTCAGGCAGAATATGAGTCTGTATATTGATAATGCAGGTAGTGTGAGAAACCAGCTATATTGATTCTTCTCACTCTGGGAGGAACAGTATGTCTGCGAATGATCTGGTACTACTAGGCGATCACGTATAACGTTCAGCCCTGGCCCCCAGGTGGCCCCAAGCGACACGTCCATTCAGGCAGAATATGAGTCTATATATTGATAACGCAAGCAGCGTGAGAAACCAATTGTATTGACGCTTCTCACTCTGGTTACACAGGACTCTCCGAGTATTGGGGGCGCTTTGGGTCCAAATCAGTGGCCGGAGAGTGCTTTATGGTTTCACTTTATATGACTTGTGGTGTCGTCTTCGAGGCCTCAGATCCCACAGCTACACAGCTCTACGCGCTATGCGTGTGTAACTTCTGCTGCAGCTGGCGTTACCTTGCTTCGTTCTTTCTGTTGCCTGTTTTGGCCACAGACTGTCTTCGAGACCTCAGATCCTAGAGCTACACAGTTCCACCCGTGCGGGTGTCACTTCTGCTGCAGCTTGTGTTACCTTGCTTCCGTGCTCACCATTGCCTGTTTTGGCTAAAGACCGCCTTCAAGGCCTTAGATTCCAGAACTGCACAGCTCCACACGCTATGGAGGCGTCACTTCTGCTGCAGCTGAGGCTACCTTGCTTCGATGCTCACTGTGCTCTGTTTTACCCTAAGAAATGGGGGCCCCGCGATTCTCATTTTTTGTATTCTAAGTTGTCCTCTCCTTCGTGATGATTGCCCTTCTGCTAAATCTCCTTGCTAAATCTCCTTGTTAAATCTCCTTGCTAGAGAACATCCCAATTCAAGTGCGTCATGGCGACTTCTCAACCACGAGTTCCCTCACAGCATGGCACATTGGAATACCTGCGTCTTCAGTATGACAATGCCATCGCGTCGGGCGTCAAGCGTCGTCTCTTGTTTCCCCAAATGCTGTTCAGTATGGCCCTCCTGGCTGGCTTCCTTCTCATAGACCACCGACGCAACCGTTTCTTATACCAGCTGCGATGGCTAGTTTGGTTTACCATAATTGCAGTTGAGGTTTCTAACATGCGTCATCGGATCTCCGTCGACCCAGCTGTTTCTTATGTCTCAGGCATTGCATCGGTATATGTCATAGTATGGAGCACGATGTGGCTGATCTTTGAGCGTCCCCAGTTTACGGCTGTACGCATCGAGCGCCGACGTAAGGCAGTACAGAATGGGATTCGGGCCGGCTCTGGTGGTACTACTCAAGAACGCTCCGAGACGATTGGATATAAGATGAATGGGAATGGATATTCTCTGGAACAACAAAATGGCCTCGACGCCGAAAAAAGTCTGGCAGCAACCAATGACTCGAAGGGGGAGTGGGAATACTTCTGGCAACCATACCCCGATGTTTTGGGAGAACGCCTTGCTTGGGTTCTGGATTTGATATTCAGTTTCCGTGGGAGGGGATGGAACTTCTCCATCCCTACCAATCCAGCTCTCCCCGAAGATGTTGCCGCTTCCCTCGGCGAGCCCATTTCGGAGTCTGATAAAGTCCTGAAAAGCAGGACCGGAATCAAATGCTTTCGAACCCGCAAAGAGCTGGCAAGCTATGTGATATCCAGGTTCATACTCTGCTACCTCGTCCTGGACCTATGCAAATTCCAGATCATCCACGACCCCTTTTTCCGCACCGGCGACGAGTCTCTCCCCGCCCCCCCATACCTCGACGGCCTCCCACCCTTCCTCATCACCCGCATTCGCCGCAACACCCTAGTCCTCTCACTAGTGACCTTCATCCAATTCCACGCCCTCCTAGTCCCCATCATCGCCTCCCTCCTCCTCAGTCCCACCGTCCTCGGTATCCGCGGCGAACCCTGGATGTACGCCACAACCTGGGGCAGCCCCTCTACCATCCTCGACAAAGGCCTCGGCGGCTTCTGGAGCAGCTGGTGGCACCAGACCTTCCGCGCCGGATTCACCGCGCCGACGAATTACCTTATTCGCAAAGGTTGGCTGCCTGGTACGGGCATCGCATCGCAACTCGTCGGCATCGCTATCGCCTTCATCATCTCAGGCGCTATGCACACCGCCGGCAGCGCCGTCCAAGTCCTCCCCACGCATCCAGAGCGCCAACTCACATTCTTCCTACTACAGCTCGTGGCGGTGACGGCGCAGACCTCGTTCTGCGCGGCGCTGCGGCCTTGGATTGAGAGGTTGCCGGTGTGGGCGAGGAGGACGGGGAATGCGGTTTTTACGTACCTATGGCTGTATGCGACGTGTCCGCTGTTCATGAATGATATGTCGGCGGGCGGGACGTGGATGTATGAGCCGGTTATGGGGAGTCCGTTGCGGTGGTGGGGGTTGGGGCCTAAGGGGTATGGGTGGTGGACGTGGGCGCATGTTGAGATTGGGTGGTATCAGGGGAGGCATTGGTGGGAGAGTGGGATTGGAGGGCTTTGAGGGGTGAATGGGAGTATTGATTATGATGAAGTCGACAGCCTACCTATGGCAATCTTTGCGGATCTTGGATGCAATTGCAGAACAAATTATTTTAGCCCTACAGTATTTTTATGAAGCGGACGTAGATACTACTCGCGTTTTAAAATAGATATCACAAAAGCTATAACGTATTTCACGGGCGAGTCGCCCACACGGGCGAGTCGCCCACCAGAACACCAAAACACGTCTATTACTACTACTACTACACCATCACCCTACATAATGACCCTTATTCAATTGAAATTGATTCCTAGCGCCTCTCGCACGTACGGGAATTATGTCCGATCTTCTCACATCGGCTACAGCGCTTCTGTCGGCCCTTAGAACCCACCTGCCGACTACTCTCACTTACCACCTCCGTACGGATTTGAGCATCAACCTCAGTAGTATGAAGGATATCCTCTCCCTCCCGTACGGAGAGGCTTCCCCCTTGCATTATACGTCTCTTACGCTTCCTTTCCCTCCTCTTTTTCTGTTCATTTGCTGCTTGTAGAGCCTTAACTTCTGCCTTAAGTAGAGTAGCAGAATGCATCATAACCTGAGCTCCTTTAGCAAGCCGGCTTAGTGCGTTAGTAATTGAGCTAGGAGAGCTATTCTGATGCTGTATAATGCGGTTCCTAACGTGCTCTGTTTGAAAGTCAAGCTCCCTTATAGTTTGAGGAGTCTTTGAAGTCCAATTGTTACTCTCAACTATAGGAGGAGTTGGAGTCCTCAAGTGTAGATTCAAGTAAGAGAGGACATTCTGTGGCTCGTACGGAACTAGTCCTATAGCTCGGAACCCGCTCTTAATGTTCTGCTCTGTAAATGCAGCTTTAAATGCTTCTTTAAATGCAGAGAGAAACTCAAGCTTTGTAATATGATTTAGGCTGTTCCGTACAAAGCTTTCAATCTGACGTCTGTACGAAAGCTTTAGTGGAGCAAAGCAGCTAACATCAAGTGGCTGAAGAATGTGCGAGGAGTGTGGTGGCATACAGAGGGTGATTATCTTCCGTTCTGTACAGTAGTGTTGGAATTGAGCTGAGAGGTGGCTCTCATGCCCATCGAGAATAAGAAGGCGATAGGTTCCGACTGTACGAGCATTTGTATGCCGATCGAAGTGTTGAATCCACTTGTACCCAATTGAATTTGAAGTCCACCCATTCTCACTTAGCGTAATCACCTAATCGTCTGGCAATCCTAAGTCCTCGTACCAAGCAGAGAGGTGATTCTGTGCCTTAAAAATGATAAACGGCGGGAGTGCCCATCCGTACGAATTGACACCTTGGATAATTGACACCTACTCTCTATTCCCTAGCTGTATAGTCTTCGGACGGCTCTTTACTTCTAAGCTTGTGACTACCTTTGCAGTAGCAATAACTCCCATTGCAAAACCTGCTTCATTAAAGTTGTAGATGTCCTGCTCTAAGATGCCGTATTTTGCAACTGTGTTTCGTACGAGAGAAAACCACTCTTGAATTATCTTAGGATCTTCGCATTTTGCTCGTTTGTAATCGTACCTCCGACTAAACTTTGATTTAATTTCCGTACGACGCTTTATAAAGCTAGTAGCCTAGTTTATCCCAACAGGGCTCTCGCCTCGTTCGGAGAGTAGAAGGTCTGCCATTTCTTGCACAGCTTGTGGCCGGGGTGGAAACCCACGTGAATCTAGGTCGAGGATGTATTGAACAAGAGCTGACTCTTCGTACGGAGTCAATTTTCGTGAGTTAGGGGTAGAATCGCGTCGAGAAGTCATGCCGTGAATCCGATCGCGTAAGGTTGTTCGGGGGATATCGTACGATGCTGCAGCTGCTCGAACGCTTTGAAATTGGCCTTGCTTAATTGCATGGATAGCTAATAGTATTCTACCCTCTTGATTAGAGGATTGGGCTTGTGTTGGTTGTGGCATTGTTAACTATAGATGGGTTGACGCGTTTTGGTGTTCTGGTGGGCGACTCGCCCGTGTGGGCGACTCGCCCGTGAAATACGTTAGTTTAGTTTATAAATATTTGTTACGATCCTCACTTCATACTCAAAACCTCACCGAAGGCGTCGCATCATCCAATCCAAACCACCCTGCCTGGGTAGCTCAATCGGTAGAGCGTGTGACTCTTAATCTCAAGGTCGCGGGTTCGAGCCCCGCCTCGGGCTCAAATCCCGAGTTTCTCTACAAGATTCTCTCATTATCTTTTTGCACTTTTTGAGTGGCCGAAGAGTGGATCAACTCCACCGTAGAAGCTCCCGGTGGCAAAGCGCCTCTCATACCTATACAGGAAACCAAAAACAACGACAATGCTTCTTCTTCTAATCTAGAGTCTAAATGCAAGCATGAATCCCCCCCTCCCCCCCCTTCACAACACCCTGGGGTCTGAAAAAACCGCTAGATCTTGCTCAGCTTCTCAGTACAGCTTTGTAATACCCTCTTCACCCCTAGCGCGCGCTCATTCGCAGAGGCCTCACGGAGCTGCTTCCCAAAGTCCTCACTCAACCCGACCCTCCCTGCCTGATCCTCCCCAAACACGCCCGCCACAACTGCATCAATTACTGCTTCTGCAGCCTCCGCGCGTTTCGTCCTCGCCACCTCGCTCCCTACACCGGACGGCACTTCCAGTAACGAAAAATAGCCCGCTGCAAGGGCATAGTTGTCTCCAGGTTGCGGTGTACCTTTAGCTAGGGCGGCGAACTTGAGTTTGGAGCGCTCATAGAGGGCCACACGTGCGTTTATGCTTGATTTCTGGCTTGCAAAGACTGCGTTCATTCGCTCGAGCAGTTGAGGGAGATGTGTGAGTGGGTTCTCTACAACCCCTGGCTCGGTGTTCACAGCGCGTATTAAGGCGGAGACACCGTTGGTGATTGTGAGCGTATCTAACGAGCTGGCTTTCTTGTCGTCCTTGTCGTCAACGTCCATTTTATCGTCGCTAATAGCCTCTTCGAGCCATGGCCAAATGACATTGTGCACCTCGGTGAAGAGGTCCGTGTCTGTTCTCGCCTCGGCGTATTCGCCCAGAGCAAGGAAAGCATGAGGGCGATATGCATCGTTATTTCGTTTCGCTTCGCGGATTGCAATCTTCGTCATTTGCGCGGTGATTTTTGGATCCTTCGACCAAAATGTCTTGCTGGCCTGTGAAAATTTGACAAAACTAGTCAAGACCTTCTCCTTGCCATCGAAGGTTTTAACAGCAAGGGCCCTTTCGAGCGCCGGCCATATAGCCGTGGAGTGTGGGATGCTGATATCTGTGCCCGCAGAGGTTACGACATCTGCTATAGTAACAGCGGCTGTATGCTTCACTGTCCATTTAGGAGAATCGAGACGCTCGACTGCGATGTCGATAATCTCCTTCAGATATAGAAGGACAGCGCGAGAACCGCCGACATTCTCATCCCAAGTTTTAGTAAACTGATCTCTAACATGCTCGTCAAAGTCATGCTTAGCCATGAAAACAAAGGGCAGGAACTCAGTTGCGAGTGCATTGAACCGGTCTGTCGCAAATTTAGACATTGCGTATATGATGTCTGCAGATACCTGCCGGTGAGACTCGTCTTCGGCTGCGAAATATAAATTCTTTGAATAAGTTGCGAGTTTGAGAATTTGCTGATTCGAACCAAGCCGGGCTAGGTAGCCTGCAGCTCGGGCATATGCTGCGCTGACAGTGGAATTCCGATCGCGGACGGCCTTTTCCATATCCTTCAAAAAGATATCTGCGTGGGGCTTAAATAAGAAAGAATGTCTGGTCGCAAGACTAACGAGTACACCACTGCATCCAACTTTTGAAGGCATACCAACAGCTGTCTTGATGACGTTTTCCAGATGGGGCACCAGATCTTTCATTGTCTTATCGTCTAGAAGATCTAAGCATCGTTCGATGGCTTCCATCATTGGTGAATGCGAAATAGCAGTACTGCGGGCTTCATCAATCTTCTCTTGCGTGGTATCGTACTTTGCAGCGTTCATGTGAAGATAATTGATGATATCTGGCTCCAGTGTGCTCAAAAGGCCCAATATTTGTTCGATGAGACTAGGAATAAATGGCAGTAGTGTTTTTCCACCGCTCTTTACAAGCTTCAGAACGGTATCGTATGCGAATTTCTGAACCTCATTTGACGGGCTTTCGAGACCCCGCGTCGAGAATAGGAAGGGCATGACCTCTTTCAGCATAACCTGAGCATTTTTGGAGGATGTACCAGCTTCAAGCTGTCGTACGAGAATCCCAGTGAGGACTTGGCACAACTTCTCAGCCGCCTTTCTGACAGATCCTTTGATATCATCGAGAACCTTGAAAGCAACTTCCCAGATTTGAGCCAGGTATTTCTCGTACTTTTCAAACTGCCGTCCTTGAACTAGGTCCGCAATAGCCGCGCAACTTGCTTCTCTCGTACGCCATTCTTTACCCAGGATGTTCTTTAGTAGGTCATCCATGATTGCATCAAAGTGCTCGTCGATGACAGCCGTGGGTGATTTGACGAGGGCATTCCAGATGTCGTTCATAGATCTCTGTACGTTCGGGTTTGGATCAAAGCGGTATCTAAATAGCTTAGGGTACAGCTTTGGATCAACTGCAGACTCGGACAAGATACTGCTGAGACCAAATCTTCCAAAGGCAGCTCTTGTTGACCACGTTGCAGCATTAGAAGCCAAAGACATGAACTTGTAAACGAGACTCTGGTCTCCAACTTCCGCAGCAAGTGACATAATATCTTTATAAGACGTGACAGATTCGCCATTGCCGGTTGGAAGGGCACCGGGTTCGAAAAGTTCAGTGTCTTCCTCGACTTTAATTTTTGTTGAAGTTCCGGTAAATGATGCCACCAAATCTGCAACGAGACGCTCTCGGAGGTCCTTATCACCTTGTTCATACACAAGACTCAGCCCCCGTGATGCAGTTTCTTGGACGAGGTCATCTCGTGCTGATAATAGGCCCATAAATGCTGCTTGGCACTCTCGTAGTCGGCTTTGAATCTCTTGGAGGTGTCCACAGTATTGGATTAAAGAAAAGAGCCAAATTCCAGAGGCTTTTTTCAACGAGGGTTTGGTGTTTTTGCAATCTTTCAAGATTTTGCTGACTACACCCTCCAGTGTTGATGATCTTGTTGGGCCCTTGTAGTTTGCTTCGACGTCCAAAGTAAGAATCAAAGAGTCGGACTCCCATCCCGTTGAAGCCACTGCCAACGCCTCGCCGACTGTGAAATGAACTTCGGCTTGTCTCAGCTCATGCAGTTCATACAAACCCTTTAGTATTATAGCGAGTGGTGACTCTGGAGTCTCAAGAGTCTCCTCATCAAAGATCAGGGTAAATCTACCAAGAGCTGAGATCGCCTTCTCATTTCCTTTCTTTGCTTCTGTTGTCAGCACCTTGATGATTGCAACTGCATCATCAGGAGAGGCCTCAAGTCGGGCTTCAGTTACTAGATCCACGGTGCTAAGGAGGCCAATGGCTATAAACGCAGATTCTTTGTTACTGGCGTCAGTTGCATTGCTGGCCATGTTCAGAATCAGCGTGACAGCTTCATCTATCAGTGCTACTTCAACATCGGCAATGCGTCCATAGAAGACGGCGCGACTCAGAAGGTACGAGACGGCAATTGTTGAACCGTGAACCTTATTTGCTCCTGCTCCAACTGCCGAATCCCAAAGCTTAACAGACTGAATAAGTGCTTGTAATATTTTGTTCAGTTGATCTGCTTCACTCGACGGATGGGCTCCAAGCATGCCCAGAGACTGAGCCGCAGTCTGCCTTGTTGCAACGTCGTTGGAAGCGATGGCTGGTAATAACTCAGAGGCTCGAGTGGCGAGTTCGGATAGACATGCCTGGGGCGCTAATGCTCCCAGTTCAACAAGTGATTTTCCGCAGTCTTCGAGCCCTTTACCATGCTTCCATAGCATTCCTTCAAATGCCGCAGTAAAAAAGATGCTCAAGTCCTCATGGCTTATAGTTTTCATATGATCTTTGACTAATTGTCGCGACGACTTATCTGTTCGGAGTAGCACATTGAGCTGGCGTTCCCAATCTGCCTCGCTGCCAATATCCTTCCCTTGCTGCGTCGCTGCTATTAGAAGCATTCGGCGGCAGTAAGCAACAGCATGATGGAAGGCGTTTATTCTATTCCCTGAGAAGTTACCGAAGACGGAGACGCTGTCGATATCCATGCCGGTGAGCATGGTGTTGGCGATATGGGAGTTTTCCATGAGAGTTTTCCCGGTAAAGAATACTCTGACAAGCTCGCCCCAATTCGGAAGAACGAGGTCATTCGTTCCTTCTGATAGATTGAGCAGACGGTACCAATATGGATCCTGAATTGAATTAGTTATTTTAAATTCAATTCTGGACAGGGGAAGAAATCGAGTTACTCACCAAGCCTTTATTACCCTCTTCAAGCACGTCGCTTCTTTCCTCCGCGGGGCTTCCCAGAGCGAGAATATCTACCCATCTCCCCACAACATCGCTATACTCAAGGCAGCGATTTGCCCAGCGTACGGTCACAAACTTAGCGCTGCGTACGATAGTGTCATCTTTCTCTTGTAACATATAAGAAAGCAACAGTGACCGAAGTTCGTCTCGCAATGAAGAGTCCAATGGACCAGAAAATGCATTTAACAGACTTGCCAATGCCCCTTCAATGCTAATGAAAATGCTTTCAGACGACCTTTCTTCAGTCAGAGACCGAAACAGCCAACGAATGAGATCAAGGCCAGGTTCAAGGACAGTTGATGGTACTGTCTTTGCCATTGAGCCAAGGGTCTCATATGCCAATGCTCGAAGAGCCAGTTCATCAGTAGACCGACTGTTGGGCACTGGCCAACCTTGCTCTTCAATGAAAGAACGGAGGAAGGTTATGATAGAAGGAGCGGCACGCTTTAAGTCATCCGGTGAACCCATTCTAGAAACCCAATTCATGAAGTTGAACATTGCGTTCCGCAATTTCAAGGCTTCCAGTCCTTGCACAGGAGGAGCATCAGGCATGGCCGGTTGTATGCTTCCCTGAACAATTCGGACAATCTTATCTGGATATGTTGTTGACGCAGTAGATTTTGCCATCAACGTGAGAATACGTGTCTGAAGTGGCGGCTTCGAAGACATATATATATCGAAAAGCTTGCTAATTACAGACTTATCTTCTAATGACACTGTGCTTCGTTTAAGTAAATCTTCTCCGAAACTAGAAATCCGTGAGTTGGTGTCCGCAGCTGCAAATATTGCTGGGATAAAACGTTCTGGGTCTTTGAATGCTCCGCTAGTCAGAAACTTAAGAGCCGTTATTTTGGTCTCCGTTACGTTGAGACCTTCTTGGGCTTTTGGATTCCAAGTATCCTCTTTTCCATTCTGAGTGAGAAATGCATAGTCATCAGCGGATAGACCAGTACTGGCAATGCTTCCTCCACCAGAGCCTGCAAGGGATTTGGCTGGATTGAATAAAACAAGCTTTCCAAACCAAGAAGCAACGAACTCCGCATCTTCTGGATGTTCGTCAAGGCCTAGCTTGGTACGAAGTTCGTCATCTTCCTTGCTCCCTCTTACCGGTAGCCTCATCTGTGGCAACAGGCGTAAGAAGAGATTAAAAACTGTGGTACAAGTAGGCTTGCCGGCATCTTTGGCGATCCCGTGCAGCAGGATTGGCAGTAGATCAATTTGTTCCTACTGCTGTCAGTTAAATCTTAAGGGCCTGTAAAGACGACGGACAGTTGAGGAAAGCTTGCCAATACTCTGCTGAATGAAGAGTAAGTCAAAGTGCCGTATCATGGACGACTCCGGGTTGTCTTTATACTGCTGCAGCAGCGCTGCAACTGGCAGGACAACATTTCTGCGTGCTGTTAGCTATGAGTATAGTAACCCCGCCGCCACAGACAAACTCACTGGTTTCCCGAGAGTCTAATTTTTATATGCTGACAAGTTGCAATAACCTACACAGGTCAATAAGTGGACACCAGATGGAAAATATTAATAAGCCAAAATACATTACCTTGTTTCGTACTGCTTGGTGTTCACTTCCAAGCTTTAGAAGCACGGGAGGAAGATACACCTTCAGAACCGATTCAAGCTTCTCGTCCTTGGCAAGAGCTATCCTCATCTCAACTTTACCAACGAGCTCCAGCTCGCGGGCTTCGGATGGGGCGGACGATGCCATTATGCCTCGCTCCCCACTGCTCGGATACGGCAATGATTATAAAGACACGCGCTGAACTCAAAAAACCATCGCTTCAGGGGAAGCAATCGAAAGTGTAAGATGGAGGAGTAAAGTGAAATAAGGAATGAGAGAACTACTCTCCGTATAATGTAGTTTGAAGGAGACTCGTAACTCTAGGTCTGCCTTAATCCTTCTTCGCCACAAGCCTATTCCTATCTCGTAGTCGGCGAACGAGCAGGCAGTTATGGTGATGTGTGTACTTAAGACGTGACACCGGGTATATTATAATCCGACCCGACGTCACCGGAGGGCTTATCCAGGAACTTCCAAAGCCCACCACGTCGGTGGCCAGGTCCGTTGGCTATTGCATCACCTTACGTTAGCTATCATCGACGGCGAAAAAGGATTCACATTTTTCTCCCAATCTCTACTTTACCTCCCCAGGGTCCGCAAATTCATTCGGACACAGCAAGTCTGGAAAGTTCATAGTTTCGACCAAATACCAGTTTTCGGCGGGGCAAGGCACCTTGGAACTATCTGCACTTAGCACGATAGCCCGCCACTACAAACGAACCATAAATCCACACAACCTCACCCCGCTACGTTTGTCAACAACACCACGTCCTTTCATCCCTTCCATCGACGAGGAATATAATCTTCTTTGACTCAACTCCAACCCGAGAATTTCATCGCTCGGTAGGCGTCATGGACGACGCAGTGGGGGATTTCTGCGCCATCACTGGCGCAACTCCCCAGGTTGCACGACACTTCCTGAACCTTTCCGATAGCAACCCAAACCAAGCAATACAACTGTTCTTCGACTCACCCGAGCTGGCATCTGCCGCGAACGAGGAATCTCAACAAATACCAGCTGCTCCAGCTGCATCCAGTCGCCCTCCAGCGAGGAGTACTTCGGGGGGTCGCGAAGACGAACATGGAGTCGTCCACCTAGACTCAGACAGCGACGACAACGTAATGGACGAAACCGATGATGATTTTGTGGAAACATCGCATACACCGCCGGCTCCAGCTCCATCGACCGCTCCACAAAACTCTGCATACGAAGACGACGAAGCTATGGCACGAAGGCTCCAAGAAGAGATGTACGCGGGGGGCGATATGGGTGGAGACTTTGACGCAGATGGCGTGAGAGCTCCTCTCGCAAGAACAACCGAGACACTGGTCGGACCAGGTGCGGACTGGGGCCCAGAAGATACGCAGAGCAACGCCCTCCAGCAGCTGCGTCAGAGGGCGGCCATGGCGAGACCAAGTAAGTCGATTCGTGAAGGGACAAGGGCTATTTCATTTCACTAATCCCATCCAGGAGGGAGGGCCAGCGTTTTCAACCAATACGCATCTTCATCTTCGATATGGGAAAATGCCGATGCTGGACCTGCAGCGCATAGAGAAGGTCTGGCGGCTGCCACGGGGGGTCAATCAGAGACATCTACGAAAGCTGCTAGACTTGCAGAACTCTTCCGACCTCCATTCGAGCTAATCTCACGCCTTTCTTGGGATGATGCCCGCGATCTGGGAAAAGAGGAGGAGAAGTGGATTTTAGTCAATATCCAGGACTCCGCCGTTTTCGATTGCCAAGCCCTTAATCGCGACATCTGGAAGCACGAGGGAATCAAAGAGACTGTCAAAGAGAACTTCATCTTCATGCAGTACTCCAAGGATGACCCAGCTGGACAGCAATACATCCAATACTACTTCCAGCAATATGAGGACCAAAATGCGTACCCACACATCGCCATTGTCGACCCTCGTACGGGCGAGCAGCTGAAGGTCTGGTCTGGCCCACCAGCTCCCAAGTCCATGGATTTCCTAATGCAACTCCACGAGTTCCTTGATCGCTACAGCTTGGACGTCACCGTCAAGAACCCAGTCGCCAGGCGAAAGGCCGAGAAACCTCCATCCATGGAAGTCGAAAAACTCACCGAACAACAAATGATGGATCTCGCACTCCAGAACAGCCTGTCGAATGGCGCTGACACCGAAAGGAAGCACCATGATCCCGATGATCTGACCAAAAGCATCGGTGACATCAGCAAGGGCAAAGGAAAAGAGGAGGAAGAGCCAGAAGCCCAAGATGAGGAAATGGAAGACGTCAACGAAGAGGTTAACCCTGCATTTGCGAGCATACCATCTGATCAGCCTCATACGGAACCTACCCCTGACCCAGTCACCACAACGCGCATCCAGTTCAAGCACTCCGGCGGCCGCGTCGTGCGCCGCTTCAACGTCGCGGATCCCGTGCGGAGGATCTACGAATGGCTGAAGTCCGATCCTATTGATGGCAAGATCGGCGTCGCGTTTGAGCTCAAGAAGAGCATGGGTGGCGACCTCATTGAGATCCTGGACCAGCCGATCGCCGATTCGGGACTGAAGAATGGGACGGTTATGGTGGAGTATTTAGAGGGTTAGTGAGGTGTGGGGGTTGGGTTAGATGAGATAAGGGCATTTGCATCGGGCTTTATGAATGGATGGATGGATGGGTGTGATAGGGGGCGTTTGGCTTGAGAGGTAATGATCACGGTCTAGATCTAGAATGGAGGAGAGAGAGAGGAGTGAGGTAGCTCATGTCATAGAATGGAGACGGTGGTGGCCACATCTGGACCACGCCTGGCTCGTAACAGAGAAGAGAGTAGCTAGCAGCCGCCGATCTTTTGAGGACGCGGATTTCAACAGAATGAGAGGCTCATATAAGCTGGAGCAGAAGTAGTAATATACATCATCTCAAAAATAAACTGCAAACGGCCGTAAATCATAGTCTAGGGTATAGCAATAGCAAAAGCAAAAACAAGTTAACGATGAAACACATGCGCTCCCGGAACCCACGTCTTATCCCTAACACAATACCACGAATCCGTCTCACTCGTTCCCTCCCCCTGCCCCTGACTCTGATCAATACTCGCATACAGACTCAACCCATGCTTCTCCAGGCACTCCAACAGCCTCAACAGCAACAACCTCGTACTCATCGTCTGCTCCCCACTCGCCACCCACGGCCTCCCATGAATCTTAAACTCCCACGCCCCCAACGCCCTATCCTTCCACGCCTCCTCCTGCAACAACCTCATCCCCACCAACACCTCCCTCACCGCCGCCTTGAGCATTTCATCCGCCCCAATCAGCCGCAGCCGGTCCGACTGATTAAAACTAATCGCGATCCACTCCGCCGGCGGCGGCGGCGCCTGCTGCTGCCGGAACACAATCGTATCCTTATCCAGCTCCTTCTTGCTGCAATCCGTGCTGACGTGGAAGATCCACCCCGAGCGGTACAGGTAGGCGAGGATCTCGCGCATGACGATGCGGGAAGGGATGGCGTCGCGGCCTTGGCCTGACCAGGGGTAGCTGCAGAGTTTGAATTCGTGGGAGGGGCCGTAGGGGGATTCGCGCTGGATGCCGAAGGGGTAGGAGGCCTTGATGGTGGCGCGGATGCCGTCGATGGTTTGGGTGGGGAATTGGAGGCAGCGGATGCGGTCGCTGCGGTGGAGGGAGAGGCTGGCGAAGGAGGTGCTGAAGGAGGGGGGGGCGGGGGGGTAGGAGGGTGCGGCGGTGTAGGAGGGGGGTTGTTGCGAGGGGCCGCTGGAGGGTTTTTCGGGAAAGAGGGGGTTCATTTTGAGGAGGGTGTTCTGAGAATTTTTGGTGCCAATAGGCTGCTCACTGAGCGTAGCTGTGTGTATATCGAGTTCGAGGGATATTGGGCTTGAATCACACCCTGTGGAATGATGAGTGAGTGCGAGAGAACGCAGACGAAGAGCTGATGAAATAGAGATTCCAAAGAATCAATCCATAACCTACCTATCTATATATATATATAAATAAATTCAGAAGGATCGCTCCTCTAAATCTCTCACTTCGAGGCTGTGTGGTGCCAAGTATGCAAGGCTGGGGATCTGACAGGAAGGCGCCAGGGCTGAGCCACGGATACGATACCCAAGTTGGCGGTATGTCGCGCTGGCGTGACGTACGATCGGCCTCGTTATTTCTGTGCAGGAGAGTGCAGGAGAGTGCAGTAGAGAATGACCTGTACAGTACATAGTCCTGTACATAAATGACTCCTAAGGTTATATTCTACTTCTATCTAGTTTCTAGTTTCTAGTACTCTACTATTTGGTAAGGTACTATTGGTAAGAATACAGCCGTTATCGCTCATCAGCCTTCCTTGCATTCCTTCTCCACCAAAGCAACCAAAAAGTAAACAAAACTGCCCTGCCAACAAACCTGGTATATATATTTCCCACAACAACTAAATAAAAAATGCCAATCGTGCACTTTTAAACCCATCGATCGCTCAATCCCAGAGGATTTACGGGATTTACAACGATTTACACGATTTACAGTCGTACTCATAAGGCCATCCAATCGGACTCGCAATACCCCAGAATATCGAAACGCCAAGTGGGAATGCCACGCTTAAGCGTTTCAGCTCCGATGCACCAAAACCCACCACGTTGCGTCAACTTACACTTTCATGCCCAGCTAAATCAAACTTGTATACCCATTCATACATACGCCGGGATAGTTTAGTAGATGCCCTGGGTGATTGTTTATGCGAATCTGCAACTCATACACTCCTTTACACTCTATTTTTGACTTTTTGTTTTAAGTGGTTCTCCAGCGAATGTGTAGCTCCTTCCTTCCTTGTTCTCTCTGATCGCGGCGGGATAAGGCGCGTCTATCTGTCCGCTGCAAGTCTGCCCAAGATCCCAACGGCGACCGACTTTCTTTGAGCTTTGCTATATCGCCCCAGAGAACGATATATTCCACGACCAATACGCGATTTCGACGCGTCAAGAACGAAAAGAATACCAGCTGCGACTCAGCTTGGGGGAATACAGCGGGAAGCAAGGCGAACCCAGTAACCCAGCTCCCATTCAGATAAGGAAATCGCTAGAGTTACACAAAAAGCTCCACAACAGGGAATTCTAAATTCCCCAGACACAAAATCGAGAGAAAAACTTTGATCTGCAAAGATGACCAGCGGCATGGGAGGCTCGGTCGATCCTGAGACTCTCTATACGAAGCAGAATTGCATTGGTACGGCAGCATAGCTAATTATGCGTTTTGGAGCTCGTTGCTGACTATCTCCAGGCGGTGGGAGCTTTGGCAAAGTCTACAGAGGGTTAGCTGCCCCTCCGATTTACTATAAATTATATTTGCTAACTCCGAGAAGTGTAGACAGACGCACCGGCCAGTCCGTCGCTATCAAGGTCATCGATGTCGAAAATGCCGAAGATGAGGTCGAGGATATCATACAGGAGATCTCGATTCTGTCGGAGCTCCACTCTCCCTATGTCACACAGTACCACGGCTCATATCTCAGGGGTTCGGATTTATGGATCATAATGGAGTTCTGTTCGGGTGGAAGTTGTGCGGACTTAATGAAGCCGGGCTCGATTCAGGAGGAGTACATATCGATCATCATACGGGAGCTGCTGATGGGGCTGGACTACCTGCATGGAGATAAGAAGCTGCATAGAGATATCAAGGGTACGGATTCCATGCTGAAGGTTGAGATAATGGCTAATTTTATATCATAGCCGCCAACGTCCTCCTAGGTTCGAACGGGCAGGTAAAACTGGCAGACTTCGGCGTTTCGGGGCAGCTCTCGGCCACCATGACGAAGAAGAACACGTTCGTTGGCACGCCATTCTGGATGGCCCCGGAAGTTATCAAGCAGTCGGGATACGACCATAAGGCGGATATCTGGTCGCTGGGGATTACTGCGTTGGAGTTAGCGAATGGGGAACCACCGTATTCCGATATTCATCCCATGAAGGTTCTGTTCTTGATCCCAAAGAACCCTCCGCCAAAGCTTGAGGGCAACTTCACGAAGGCGTTCAAGGAGTTTGTTGAGCTATGTTTACAGCGAGACCCGAGGGATCGGCCGTCGGCAAGGGACTTACTGAAGCATCCATTTGTACGCCGGGCGAAGAAGACTTCCTATCTTACGGAACTCATTGAACGTCATGAGCGATGGGCAATGAACCACAAGAGCGATGCGGAAGACTCTGATGAGGAGCGAGACCAACCTCAACAAATGAGCCAGGAGAATGAAGACTTGTGGGATTTCGGTACTGTCCGGCCTGCTGGCGGGAAAGGGGGCAGTCGATTTGGTCTTGGCGCTATGGGAGAGTCTGCTACAAATGCCAGGTCTTCAAGGTCTTCTGAATCGGGCGACGACTACGCAGAGAGGCCGCGAGAACGGTCACCAACGAAAATGAAGGACTCTGGGTACATTTCCAGTGTCGATACGGTGAAGGCACAGGTTCAAGGTGGAAGGCAAGTTTCACCACAGCGACGCCCTGTACCACCGATGCCACAGCAATCACCGTCCAAAGTCCCATTACCTCCCTCCCCTATAAAACCGTTGCCGCAGTTTCCACAAACACCGCGGACAGCATCCGTAGCACCATCGGAGGCAACCGATTCACCCGATTACGACGAGTCATTGCGCGAGCAGCTGCGCAAGGACATGGTCTTCCTAAACCTAGGCGCCACGCCGTCCCCGCAGCCACCCGCTCCACCACCGCGAAACATCGTGCTGCAGCCACCACAACCACCCCAGCTCCACCTCAACACACAACAACAACAACCATCCCCCACACGACCAACCGGCCAACAGCCACTCCCCCGCCTAACCCCCATGAAGCTCCCCGAAATCCCCCCCTTCCGCGGCGGCGGCGCAAAGCCCCTCCACAACTTCACGAACCAACCACAACCCGGCCCCTCCACCTCCAAACACCCTCCCTTCCCCCCAGCCACCTCCCATAACCCGCCACAACTCCAAAATATCCCCCCGCCGCGGCAGCAGCAGCAGCAGCAGCAGCAGCCCGAGCTCATCCAGCCCGCGCCCGCCCTCCCGTCCAAACTCCTGAACAAGCAATCCGTCGACAGCCTCCGCTGCGACACGCCTCCCACCTTCCCCTCCCCGGCCCCCGAGTCCTCAGACGGCGAGCTCGATGCGCTGAACCACGTCATCTTCCCGGCGCTGGAAGAGGCGCTCAAGCGGCGCGAGGTGCATCTGCAGCGGTGGCTGCATCGGAGTGCGGCGGGGAGTCCGATCGCGACGCCGAAGACGCAGAGGGTGCAGGCGGGGCATGAACGGATTCGGAGGCTGGTGTTTAAGATTGCGAATCAGTTTAAGGAGATTGATCGGATTGATCGGGAGGAGAGGGTGGGGATGGGGAAGGAGGTGGATGTTTTTCTGGAGGGGTTGCTGGAGGAGGTGTTGGTGAGGGTGGAGCCGTTGGAGGAGGAGGAGGAGGTGATGTGATGGGCGCGGGGGGGGGTGGTTTTATGAATACCCGTGATGATGAGGTTATGCTTGTGATATGATGGTTAGAAATGGGAGTGGGCTTGGGTGGGATGGGGGGTGGGATAGATGGATGGGGTTGGGTTTGGCGTCGGCAGGGGGGTTATGGGCGTCGAGGGCATTTTAGCCATGTGTGTTGACGGATTCGCATTGTTGGGGCACTCTTCCACCCCCCGTTTTTTTTGTTATGTTGGATTGGGAATGGGGAGACCTTGGTGCGCTTTTTAGAGATAGGAGGGATGGGATGAGGTAGATGGGAAATGAAGAATTGAGACATGAGGAAAGTAGACAATGAAGAACTTAGCGGCTTGTTTGTTTGATCTTGATCTTGTTATAAGCATATATGCTGCGGTTTATAATGGAGCGTGACCGTGACAATCGTAGATCTCGGGTGTGCTATTCCAGGCAAAAACAACACAACACATACCGTCAAACTACGCTATAAAACTACGCCATAAAAACCGTACGTGGATGTTTAAGAAAGGTTTATTGTGTATGTAGGTAATTTCTTATATGACCAATCTCGCACATCCAACCCCCCTCCATCCCGTACCCCCCACCCCTAATTCATTTCCCAAACGTATATCGCTGGTACGGTCTATCTCTAAACTCATCGAACGATTCTATATATACACTCTCACTGTCGTCCCCGGAATGGCATCAAGCCACTTTACATCTTATCGAGGACCGCGCGGGTGAACTCGTTCGTGGTGCTGTTACCGCCCATGTCGCGGGTGCGGACTTGTCTAAGCACAGAGTTAGCAAGAGTGTGGTAAATAGGAAGGGGAAGGGTGAAACATACCCTGCAGCAATAACATCGTACACAGCCTTGGAGATGCGGTTGGCGTGCTCATCAAGACCAAGGTGTCTCAGCATCATGGCGCCGGAGAGCAACATGGCAGTTGGGTTAGCCTGGTCCTTGCCCTTGATATCAAGACCGACGTGACGGCATCCGGGCTCGAAGACAGCGACATCACGACCCATGTTGCAACCGGGAACGATACCGGGGCCACCGACGAGGGCAGCGCCGACGTTGGACAAAATGCCTCCGTAAAGGTTGGGCATGACCATGACGTCGAACTGCTGTGGGCGGGAGACACACTGCATGGAAGCGTTGTCGACGATCATGTCGCTGGACTCGAGGGTGGGGAACTCCTTGGCGACGGCGTTGAAGGTGTTGCGGAACAGTCCGTCGGCAAGCTTCATGATGTTGGCCTTGTGGATACAGGTGACCTTCTTGCGGTTGTTTGCGAGGGCGAAGCTGAAAGCAAACTTGGCGATGCGCTCAGACTTGGCGCGGGTGATGATCTTGAGCGACTCCACGACGCCGGGGACGGACTGGTGCTCCAGGCCGGAGTACTCGCCCTCGGTGTTCTCGCGGATGATGGCGAAGTCGACGTTCTTGTGGCGGGTCTCGTAGCCGGGGATGTTCTTGATCAGGACGACCGAGGCGTAGATGTCGAGCTCCTGGCGGAGAGCGACGTTGAAGGACTGGTGGCCGGAGCGTTCGACGGGGGTGTGGAGAATGCCCTTGAGGCCGATCTTGTTGCGCTTCAGGGAGGCGATGGACTCGCGGAAGAGCTCCTCGGAGTGCTTTCTTCCGGACTCGAGACCGGAGACATCGACTTGCTCCCACTCAATGGGGACGTTGTCGGCCTTGAAGACGGTCTTCACGGATTCTGTGATCTCGGCTCCGATACCATCACCTGGGATGAGGGTAACTGTGTATTTGGAGCCATACTTGGTAGGCTGGCGGAGTGAATTGGTAAGCAAGTGGCCTCTTGACGACGTAGGGATCGAGTTCTAGTACCTTGAAGATATCACTCTGCACGCTTGCGAAAGACCTGCGGATCTCAGCAGAGGTGCTCGACGACGCGGAAGTGGCGTTCCTCACAAGGCCCTGATAAGAGACGAAACGTTAGCCACAGAAGTTGATTTGCGCGATTTTCACGCCATTGCCAATGGTTGAAGGGCAGAAATCAGAATTGCTTACTTGCGCCGAGCGAGCAGAGCTTCGGGACAGCATGTCGCAGGTGGTAGAAAGAGGGTTTGGGTAGGAATGTTGAACTGGCAATCTCTTGCTCCGGATGACCGCGTGAAAAGTAGTTACAGCCTTGGATATCCCGCAGTCGCTTAGTAGTTGGAGAAATCGTCACGTGTTGGGGTTGGCGCCTGTCAAGAACAACGTAAACTCATTGGCGTAAAATTCTTGGCGATGGCAACGTTCCTTTCGTCCATTTTTAGAGGCAATCCACATTTTTCACGAGAAATATGATAAGAGTGGGAAAAGTGGGAGTAAAACATATAAATAATAAGCAATTTAAACTTTCACACCAAGGTAAGCTTATTTATTTGTTTATGTCACAATAATCGCAAATCACAATTATCATTTTCAATTCAAGAAGAAAAAAGCAATAGAGCCAAGCAGGTCAATTATAGACTTCAATCTATATACATGGCTCTTTGATAACAGACTTGTGCTACCCCAATATTAGCAACAATTTTACTACAAGTTAAACCAATAATGAGCGTTCTCTTGCGAGGGCACCCATATAAAATAAAGCCAGCCACTTTTTATTTTGAGGTGTTGGGCCGACATGCACACACTCCCTCAATTAAGCACCAGAAGCCTGGCGCCGCGGATGATGGAGCTGGCGAAAGAAATAAAACGACCTGCGTACGAAACTGCAAAAATATATCCGTAGATTTACGGTATGAGTGGAAGATCAAGCTCCAATGGGCACGCATCTGGGATCGGTTTGGTGACAGTCGTAAGGCTCGTCTGCATGACAGGCCATGAGGCAAGTCAGATACCTAAAATGAATCCATGGCCGCGTATCGGTGGGAGGAGTAGTGGTTGGTGTGGCGACTGGGGTAGTAGTAGTAGTGCGAGCAGTAGTAGTGGGAGTAGTAGTAGTTGGAGTAGTAGTAGCGGGGGGGCGATAAGGCCGATTAATTCCCTGAAAATCCCGTTTTCCCCTGAGAAGACAGTTAGTATCAGCCAATGCACAGAGGAACATGGTAAGCTTACAACTTACAAGCTCGCAAGAGCCTCTGCAGCAGCCTCGGCAAGGGCATTCGCCTCACGCTTAGCCTTGCCGCATGGCTGACCGGGGCGCCAGCAGATAGCTTCGGCAGCGGCCTCAGCATCACGCTTAGCTTTGCCACATGGCTGGCCAGGACGCCAGCAGATGGGCTCGGGGGCGGCCTCGGCGAGAGCAGATGCAATAGCCTCAGCGGCGCGCTTAACTTTGCCACATGGCTGGCCAGGGCGCCAGCAGATAGCCTCGGCCTCGCGCTTGAGTTTCTCGTCAACGGGCTCAGCTACAGTTATGTCAGCATTGGTCTCCTTGGAAGATATAGGGGAAGGGGTGAACATACCCTCGGCAACGGCCTCTGGCTCTGGGAACGCCTCACGGATGGCGAGCTTATCGAAGAATGCCCCAGCCTCGGGATTGGCATTGGCAACGGCATGAGCGAGCGCCAAAGCAGCGCGCTTGGCTTTGCCGCACGGCTGGCCTGGACGCCAGCAGATGGCAGCAGCTTCGGCCTCGGCCTCGGCCTCACGCTTGACCTTGCCGCATGGCTGACCTGGACGCCAGCAGATTGGCTCGGCAATGGGCTCAGCGATGGCTTCGGCGAAGGCCTCGGCGGCGCGCTTGACTTTGCCGCAGGGCTGGCCGGGGCGCCAGCAGATTGGCTCGGGCTCGGCGACGGCGATGGCGGCGGAGTTGGCGCCCACCACGAGGATGGCGAGGCAGAGGTTGGCGAGATACTTCATGGTGTCGGGTGGTGGGGTGGTGGCGATGGGCTATGTGTTTGGATATGAATATTTGCCTGTCACGCAGTGACAGATTGAATTGCTGTTTATTTGGTAGAAGTGAAGATGTTAGATGTGATACAAGAAAGCCGGAAGTAGAGGAGATATCGAGTCCTTATATGCATTTTCGACAGCATGGCAATGGGTCCTGTCGATGTGACTGTTTGAAAGAATGAAGTGTGACTGAAGACTGAGGAAAGGGTTGGCGGTGTGTGCCATGGATCGTGGCTTTGTCAATTCCCAATCCATCCATCAATACGCCCCTCACAACGCAGGGCAGTAGTGCACATTCCATCGCGGCGGACAGACACAGACCCTGATCGGCTGCAACATAAAGCAAGTGTAGGGACACCCTTAGCTGCCAGCAAGGGACATATCAAAAGATCTGCTCGGAGGCGCTCTAGAACAACGGCAAGTCGGATGGTAGGTGAGTAGTCGCACTGGTCCCAAGAGGCCCCTGAGCGTATCAGCATCGAGAGAATCCGACAGGAGTCCGAACAACATTTCTTGCAACATACCTCTTTCGGACCCGAACAAACGGATATCAACTTCAATAATCGACGGAACCACACCCTCTGTTCAGTAGTGGCGTCGTTTAATGAGCTCCGGGCCCCGGCCCCCTGCACACGCGCTCTCCTTCTAGCCCATCAACCATAGAACAAGGCCACTCAAGCGTAGAGGCATCATGGGACACGTACCCTGCGTTGTGGTGATCGATGGAGGATAAAGACTAAAAATGACAAGCTTGGAAAGGCTCTCATCTACGATCGACCATCGCGCGCGATCGAGCGTTGGATCTTTGTGCTTGGGTTGGCTGAGGGTGTGTTGAGGGGTGCGCTAAGCCGGATTCTTTTGATACCCCGATTAGGAAATTCTGAGGCTAAGCGAGGTTTTTTGGCGGATGCGCCTGGGGAAGGAACGCAGGGTCTCAAAGAGAGGTGATGAGTGGCTTTTTGGCGGTCTGAGGGACGGGATGTAGGGGATTGTCGAGGGGAGCTGTCGGCTGATGTGCCGTGTTGTGTTGTGTTGTGTTGTGTTGGGGCTGCAGGTGAGTAAGCTTTGGGATAGGGGACCAGTGACTGTTCTTGGTAGCTCGAGGCGATTACCACGGCTCTGTGGAATGCGAAGCTGACTTGTTTGAGGCACTCGTTGCTTGTCTTTGGGCAGTGGTCCGACGGATTTCGGGATGTCGTCGCCGCCTAGAATTCGCCAATTGTCGGATGAGGCACATAAGGCGCAAGGAACAGGGGACCTGTTTAGGGCGTCTTGTTCTCTGCATCAGCCACCACGCAAGAGCCCATCGAGTACCAGACTTCGATAATACTGGGACAAAGGCCGAGTCGTGCTGAGTGGTGGGATGAACAGTCGTTGAGATGCGACGCTGAACAGAAACAGCAATAACCTCCGTTTGGGCAACAACACGGCTGGGCTGAATAGACAACTTGTTCTCCCGCATCAATAACAACAACACAAAAGCCGGCGCTGAACAGACAACTTGTTCTCCGCATCACTAACACACCTCCGAGAACTCCTCAAGTACCAGACTTGGAATTCAGCGGGCCAAACGACCCCGAGACTCGAGTTTTCTGACTCCTCGACATGTTGGCCAGTATTGTGACTATCTTCACCCTATCTTGCTCCTTGATTTGTGACTATCTTCAATTCTTTTGTTGGATCCTGTCTCAAAGACATGTGAATCCCATCATCAGGCCGCAGGTGCCTGAGTCAACTCAGTAAGGGAAGTCAGGTGGTATGGTAATCTCGGTGTGGAGAGGAGGCCAACAGCCTGCTTACGTTGACCCCTGGCTGAGCCACCCCGAGTCTCCCCCACACCACACCGGTCACACGGCTGGAGGGACACACGGGATGTTCAGGTTCATTCAGGAACAGACCCCCCTTTCCAGAAGATCTTGTGTTAGGCGAAGGTTGAGTGAGATCCTGCACGTAGGTTCATGCCTCAGACCTTGATCCATAGACGCCGTTTGTTCACCCCCTACCGCACGGAGAAAACAATAAACCCCCATCCTGTATGACCCTGTGTTGGGTGATCCCGCACGAAGTTCCCGTCTCAATGCCCCTCAATGATACCCACCATTTAGACCCTGCGCTGATATCCTGCACGAAGATCACCCCTCGATCAATACACAACCTGTCGCCCCTTCCTCAAAACAAACGCTGGCCTTGAGAGATACTGCACGCAGCTCACCCCCGTTTAGAAAGACCCTGTGCTGAGATCCCGCACGAAAATCAGCCCTCACCCCCTGGTCAATACACTACTCATCACCACCTCCACGAAACAAACGCCAGCCTAGACAGATCCTGCACGCAGTTCACAAAGACTCTGCACTGAGATCCCGCACGAACGCCCCTCAGCCCTCGATCAATACACAACCTGTCAACCCCTCCAACAATAAACGACAGTCGCGAGAGCTCCACGTCTCAATAAACCCACCTCCCGTTTAAAACAACCTTGCGTTGAGATCCTGCATGACGATCGGAACTCCAACAAAACCCCTATTCTGTCTGATATGACCCTGCGTTGGGAGGCTGAGTGAGATGATGCAGGAGATGTTCATGCCTCGGCTTTTGATCTAGAACTTTGGCCCTTGACCCTTGGTCTATAGAGACTGTTTGATATTATTTGATGCAGGTACCGCTAGGGTCGAGAGATGCTGCATCGAGTTCATGTCTCAACAGAACCCCTTTTTTCTGTAAGACCTCGTGTTGGAAAGTTGAGTGAGATCATACACGACGTTCACATCTTGCCCTTGATCCATACAACACTGTTGTGATCACCAGAACCCAAGAAAACTGCAGCCTTGAGAGATCCTCCACCGACTTCATGTCTCGACAGAACACCCCTTTCCGAAAAAACTTGACTTGGCAGATTCTGCTCAGCATTCACACCTCCGCCCTTGATTCATAGTCACCACTTGCCACACCCCCATTGAGGAAGCGCAGGCTCTGAGAGATCCTACGCAAAATTCACACCACTCCCTTGATCCACGAATACATTCTCGTATCACCTGACGCAGGAAACGCCGGCCTTGAATATTACTCCATAAGCGCTCTTCTACCTTGGCACCTCTATAGTACAAGGCAACATAATTTCTCCTCCCTTCATCCCCCTTACTCCTCCATCTTATCCCCCTCCTCCCCCTCCTTCTTCTCCTCATCCTCATCCTCCCCCTCCAGCGCCTCCTTCGCCGCCTTCTCCGCCTCCGCCAGCAACTCCCTCGGCACCTCCTCATGCCTCCCCTTCGTCGGCCCATCCAGCGCACTAATCCACGTCATCTCAAGCTCAAACTCCTTATCCTTATTCTCCTCATGCGCCACGTAGATAATCCTCGCCGCCTCCTTGACTCCATCCGCCAAACTCAACGTGCCAGCCGCAAGATCAAGCTTCTCCAGCTCAGCCTTCGCGCTCTGTCGTCCCTTCCCTGTAGCAGCACCGTAGTACCCCCAGTACTGTCCGCTGGGCTCAATCATGTACAGCGCGGGTCCGCCGTACGTCTTTCCCTCTGCCTTGCCGCCGGCGCCGGAGGCGGGTCCGTCGCCAACTTGCCCGTCGACGGGGAGCTCGACTTCGGAGTCCCAGCCGCCGAGGATGGCGGTGATGCCGAAGGGGCGCACGGAGGAGTACAGGGTGTAGGCTTGGAGGTAGCCGCCCATGCGGCTGGCGAGGTCGGCAGTCGAGATGGGCGCCTTGTAGACTTCGCGCCACGAGGCCGCTTCGTCGCGGGCGCGCGACGTGAAGTGGCGTCCGTCGGGTACTAAGCCTGACGAGACCTGGAATAGTTAGTATATATATTTCTTAGCCGCGGTTCATATAAAGGACATACAGCTCCCATGTGTCTATCGATGGTGGCGATGCGTTTGTTGGCTTCTGGCTTCAGCAGCTTGGATGTGACGAGCTTCTCGACGGCGAGGACGACGCCGTCCTTGCAGCGGATGCCGATGGAGGTGCCGCCATTCTCGACAGCCTTGACGGCATATTCGACCTGGAAGTTGCGGCCGTCGGGGGAGAAGACGGAGTTCTGGAGATCGTAACCCGTCCCTATCGAGGTCTGGAAGCTTCAGGTCAGTATATATATCTCCCGTTTGTGTCTGTGATCATCGTGGCATGGGGTTGCGGGAAGCTAGGGTGAAGGGCGGTGGGGAGGGACTGGCTGACCATGATGTGCAGATGGTGGGGGGGAGGAGTAGATCTGCTTGTGGGTTGTAGATTGTGATGATTGAGTGAATTAGATGGAGTGTAGTTGTTTTGAGAGAGCTCGGGTTTGGAGGTGAGCTTCTTGATGGAGCTCCAGGCACACAGCTCGATGCGCGTTGTCTGGCGAATGGATCTCGACTGATGCGCTAGAGTTGAGTTGGACTAGCGCAGCCTTGTGGAGCTCTGTGGCTGGTGAGGTGAGGCTGAGGTTGATGTGAGGCTGGGTGGGTGGATCACGTGATAATTTTATGTGTTATACGCATATGTATAAAAAGTATAACATTATGATATGCATAATAGAGTCGTCTACATAACTTTCTACTTGCATCCTCATCCTTGTATTGCTCTTCTTCTTCTTCTTTTGTTCGTAACGGCTTCGGTCGCATGGCACACAACTACAAACACTACAAACGCCATGAAGCGCTATAAACGTCATGCCTCCATCCCACGCGCGTACTCTTTTGTATCTATTCACTCTATTCGCCCCATACGTGAGTATCATTTTCTAGCCCCTTACACACACTCTCCATATATATTTCGATATATATATTTCCATGTATATCCCCATATATATACATACCCAAACTAGATCAACAAACATCCACTCCTAACCTCGTACTTCCAAAAAGGAAGCAGATGTACCCAGTGAGTGGAATCAGACGCAAGCCTGCCAGTCGTGTCGCCAAGTCATTGGGAGCAATTATGAGTATTGGGTGCAAAACTGCCTGAACAAGTGGAACGCTAATGCTCATTAATGCCTATTAACTCCTACAAAAACCTATGAATTCCTAGACTATCCTAGACTATCCTGCCTATCCTGCCTATCCTGCCTATCCTACCTCATCCTGTCGTCGCTTCCACCGTTTCAACGCAAGCCATAAATCAAAAAAGGAGGGGTACGCAATCGTGACAAGCCAGTACAAAGGGCCGCCTATCCCACTCATCCCACCACACCCAACCATCCCTGAACTTCTAATATATAATCTCCCAACCCAACAACCCCTCCCTCATCTCTCCTCTCACCAAAACTCTTCTCTTCCTCCTTAATAACTCTCAACGAACAACTCTTCTTTGGCTTCATTCACATCTTGCAAAGCTACAAATACACGCTGCGGATCTCTCCTCTGCTTTGTCTGGCCCACTTTCTTGGCCCTTCCCCGCTGTCACACCGCTCGCATCTTCTCTTTCTCCATATCCACCCCACCTGCCGTCCTGAAACTCTGAGCCTGACTCTTGCTTCCCTTCCGTCGCACATACTCTCAAGTATATAGCATAGTCAAAATACAAAAAGAAAACCCAAAAAAGAAAACAAAGAATCTTGCTTCGTTCCAAAGTCCGCTGCGCTCAGCTCTTTGCGTCTCGTCATCACTTTGCACACACACATCTAACATACCAGATCTGCTGGAAACCACACAGGGCTACACTTCATATCTGCTGTCTCCATCCCATATCTCTCACATCGCTCTTCTACTCCCTCACAAAGCAAGTCTGCACACATCCCCCGCTGCGCACCACCCACAAGGTCAGCATCCAAATACATATTGTTCACCCTACTGATCCTCCCCTCACAGGCTCACCAGCCACAGCCATCCACCATGGCAGCAACGCAAGAAGAGCTCTCCGCCCTCTTCTCCCGCACCCTCTCCTTTCAACCCCCTGCTCCCGCCCCCGCACCAATCCACCAAACCACCCCACCGAGCGAAGCAATCACCTACTCCATAACGCAACACTACCACCACTCCTCGCACATCGCCTCCCAACCCGCCCCCGCCCCGGCCCCAGCACAAACTACCGACGACCACACAACATCCATAATCCTCTCCCGCCACGGCGTCGACGTCTCCTCCCTCTTCCCTTCCCAAATCGCGCTCTTCCAATCCGCGGAGCCGGCACAACAAATGCGTCTCGTGGAACTCTGGCGTATTTCCCCGCCTACATACGGCGGACATGCTCTAGCGGCAGAGCAGCCGGCGTGGCCGGTTACGAGCGTCGCGCAGGAGGAGGCTGCCGCGCAGGCGAGGTATGAGCGCGCTATGCTTGAGGAGAGGGCTGCGAGGCATAACTCTATGGAGGTGGGAGGTGACGACGTGATGAGTGATGGGGAAGTGAGTAACACCCCACTAACTCCCATTCTCGGCGGTGGAGATGGTCGCGGGGTTAGTGCGGTGGAGCCATACATGGCGTCTGGATACGAGGCGTTAGCAGCGCGGGAGTATGAGATTTCGGCCCAGCAGCCGGCGAAGGATGCGTATTCGCATTTTGGGACGGCGATGGGCGGGGCGCCAACAGTGGCGTATAGTAGGGCGACGGATCCGGTGTATGCGGCGGCAGGGGCGGGGTGGGCGACGAGGGGCGAGCAGGAACAGAGGGCTGCGATGGAGGATGCGTATGGGGGGTTTGTGCAGAGGGGGTATGGGGGGGTGTGTTTTGGGTATACGGGGGATCAGGAGATGTTGTAGGGGCGGGGGTGATTGGATGGAATGGGATGGGAAATGGGGGGAAGGGGAGTACATATTGCGTTTTGTTGGGGGGTTTGATTCGTTGGTTTATGTCTGGGTGGCTTGGTATGGCATATATGGAGATGTGGGGTGGGTGAAGGGATAAGGGGTATATTATATGTTCTTCGTTGGGGTCAGGTTATTTCTTTCTTGCGTTCTAGGCAGCATTACCTCTTCTCTCTATGTTATTTGCTTGCTTGCTATTTGGTTCTTTAAGGGATCGATGTGGTGGGAAACTGACGCTTTTGTTGAGGTACGTCGCTCCCTCCTTTCCTCCCAAACTATAACCATGTCCCCAATCCCCCAAATACCCTCTTTCTTCTCCCCATACGACTATGCATGTAGGTCTAGGTGTTGGTGTTTATTTAAATAGGCTCTCCTTATATCGTGTGCTTAATATTTTTTATAAGAATTCTCAATACCAATATACAATTTAATCAAATAAAATCAAATAAACTATTTATCAAAATTACATAACGTACTTGCATAGCGAACGGACCACCATAGCGAGTGGACCACTTTTCCTTACATCTACTACTTCCTACTATTAACGCGACTTTTCTCAACGAACTATAATGGAATCTTCTTCAATTGAATGTCGTATAATCCTTGCCCTTAAAGCACTTAAAAACGACCAAAATCTTACTAGCCGAGCTGCAGCAAAGATCTATGAAGTCCCTCATACGACACTTTTACGACGACGCGATGGCAAGAAGTCACGACGCGATATCTCTGCCAACTCTAGAAAATTAACTAATCTTGAGGAATCTGTGATTCTTCGACGTATACTTGACCTAGACTCACGAGGATTTCAGCCCTAGCAAAGCCATATTCAAGAAATGGCTAATTGTCTTCGTACGGACCGTAACGCGTCACGCGTCGGACCACGATGGGTAGAGAACTTTGTTAAGCGCTACCCTAAGCTTACTATGGCTTTTCGACGTCAAATTGACTACTAGAGGGCTAAATGCGAAGATCCTAATGTCGTACGAGCCTAGTTTACGCTTGTGTAGAATGTTATTGCTAAGTACGGCATCCAAGACGCAGATATCTACAACTTTGACGAGACTGGGTTTTTAATAGGCATGCTCTTAAGCGCAAAGGTGGTTACAAGCTCCGAACGACGTGGCAAGCCTCGTACGAAGCAGCCAGGCAATCGAGAATGGGTTACAGTAATCTAGGGTGTGTGCGCGACTGGCTAGGCAGTACCTCCGTACGTGGTTGTTAAAGGCAAATATCACCTCCTGTCCTAGTACTAAAACGGCCAATTCCCAAAGGATTGGAGGATTTACACGAGCGAAAACGGTTGGACTACAAACGAGATTGGCCTAGATTAGATAAAACACTTCAATCAGCATACTAAAGCTCGTACGAAGGGTGTTTATCGCCTCTTAGTCCTTGATGGTCACGAAAGCCATCACTCCTCTAACTTTAAGGACTACTGCTAAGAGAACAACATTATCACGCTTTGCATGCCTCCTCACTCGTCTCATTTCCTCCAGCCTCTTAATGTTAGGTGTTTTGGCCCACTTAAGACCTCGTACGGCAAGCAAATTGAGAAAATGATGCGGATGCAGATTACCCACATTACTAAGGACGACTTCTTCGCTGCATTTTTAGAAGCTTTTAACGCTTCTATAACTAAAAAGAACATACAAGCAGGCTTTAAGGCTACTAGTCTTCTTCCGTACGACCCTAAGTTAGTAATTGCTCGCCTAGACCCAAAGCTTATTACGCCATCTCCACCAACCTCTCGCTCAGGAACTCCTAACTCCTAGGTTACAAAGACACCTCAGACAGCGTACGAGGTTAATCAGCAGTCTACAACTATTAAAAACAAGATTGCTAAGCACTAAGATAGCTCTCCAACCCATATGTACACTATAATTGATGCCTAAGCTCGAGGTATGTCGAAAATGGCACACGAGCTAGTGTTACTACGGGCGGAGCTAAAGGCTGTACGAGCTGCTAATGAGGTGCTTAGCAAGCGCCGGAGGGCTAAAAAAGCACGTTTACGGCAAGGAGGGTCACTTAGTTTCCAAGAAGCTGAAGACTTAGTAGCTGAGAATGAGGTGGATAAGCAGATTAAGGAGGAAACACATCGTGGTAGTCGTCGTACAGAGGTAGCTGAACCACGTACGCGACGCTGTGGCATATGCAGCAACACTGGCCATAATGCGCGAACCTGTCAAGTAGTAGTAGTTGCATCTGAAGAAGACGATTCTGAGTAGTTTTAATTAATTTAATGTGGTTGGTGTTCGTACGGCTATTTTATAATGTGTACGTAGGAAAAAGTGGTCCACTCGCTATGGTGGTCCGTTCGCTATGCAAGTACGTTAACGTATTTCACATGCGAGTTGCCCACCCAAGCGAGTTGCCCACCCCATTTTACACCCAAAATCATGAATTTTGTAACTAAATATCTCAACAACTATTTATTGGTAAATTATAAAAATGTATATTTAGCCTTTTATAGGCATTTAAAGCATCTTGTCTAACTTTTAAAGCAACTAGTAGTATAGTTATTAAGATACTAAGTTTTAGCCCCCACTTTAGACCTAAATCTTAGTACCTCAATATCTACAAGATCAATTAGTTTAAAAATCAGAAAAGATACTTTAAATGACTATGAAAGGCTAAATACATAATTTTATAGTTTACTACTATATAGTTGTTGAGATATTTAGTTACAAAGTTCATGATTTTGGGTGTAAAATGGGGTGGGCAACTCGCTTGGGTGGGCAACTCGCATGTGAAGTACGTTATATATAGTGGCACCCCTATACATTAATTATTTACATTAATATGGACTTCTAAATATTTTTCTTATGTGAGAAAGGGGGTAGGTTAAGCAATGCGTTGATAGTTAGTATGCTTAGGAAGGAGTTGATATGGATTCTGTCTGGTCTTTGGTAGAATGTTGGTAAATGAAGTGAGACTTGCTATTTCTTTTTGTAATGACTACCACTTATTGTTATTTATATACTGAGATAATTTCCTAAATGCCATTCTATAACAGCCGTATAGCATCCCTTTTTTAGACAGCTAATGAGCTAATAAGAAATAGGGGTGAATCAAAGAATAATCTACCTCACTATATAATTGTTTTTACTTTCTGAGAAAGAAACCTATGAGCTTCTGTTTATTCTATCCCTATTATATACTGCTGATCACAACTAGATATAGACGCCATCAACTCGTAAAATCCACCTAAGCAAGCTACACACTGCATGGCCTGTCCAACCAGTTGTTTGCTGTTAGTCTAGGTTCTAGGAGCTCCGGCCTATGCAGTATGCATATCTCCCATCACAAACAAACCTATATTCGAAATAGTCCCAAAAGACTGCTTAACAATGCTCGTATCCTCAGCATCAATATTGATAAAAAACGCGGATACATCTGGGCCTATACGAGGCCCATTTACCAAAGGGGATGATCCCGTGGCAGCCGGCGGAACTGCATTTGATTAGCGTAACATAAACGGGATACGAGGGAAATATACAGACCTATCACAGTGACAAATTTCGAGCCACATTTGCTGCTTATTATCATCCTCTGTTCGCCAGTAGTGGTGTCTTCGACCACCATGGCGAGGGCGTCGAGGAGTTGCATCTCTCGGATCATGACGTTGCCGATGTTCCTTCTGTAATCAGTTTTGTGCTTATACCTAGGTATTATTCATTTACTTACTTGCGGAATTTTACGACCTCTTCGAGATACTGGGATTGGAGGTAGGAAATGAAAAGGTGGCGTTGGAGAGATTCGATGGAGGTGAGAAATGAAGATGCTGCTTCGCTCGAGGTGAATGTGAGGTCGATGTCGGCGTCTTGGATGTCGATGCGGTCGTTGTTTGTGAGAAATGCTTTTCCGTTTACGCCTCTTAGTGTGATATTGGTTTTGCTTCCATGCCCATCAACGGCTGTGAATTGTCCGACTGCAAATATGTGTTAGTGAAAAGTATAAATGTGATAACGATATCTAAATGCCTACATTGAATCACGAGTTGGTAAACGTCACCGCCTTCAGCACCGTCAGGTGAAATCCCGGTCTGAATAACTACCTCCGCATTCCGACATGAGAGAAGCCCTGAGTCATCTTGGGTGACATCTCCGTCGGGACCGGGAAATAGCATTGAGACATAGTGTAGCAGCTGGACGCTTTCTATGATTTCGAGACTATAGCTGAGTCTGTCGGATTGTATTGTGGCGTTTCTAACATCTCCTCGGAAGCTAGAAGTGCCACTGTAGAGTAAATATATAAGTATAGTTTTTCTTAATAGTTATTTGAGAAGCATACCTAATTGCGTCCAAAACCGAAAGCGAACCTCCTGTATCCTGCACGGAAGTGTACATGAGCATAGAAGGATCCTCTCCTGTCGACGCTGATCTGAGCCCCTGAACTAACGCTAGGTGCAACCTATGCTGCTCGAAATCGGCAAGGCCTTAATGGCGTTAAAATACTTTGTTCTACTATTTAGGATGGAGTTGACTTACGTGTAGATAACACATCGGAGATGAGGAGTTGTTCCACTGAATTTGAGGATTTTGAAAATACATGAATCGTCCATGTCGGTCGACCAGTCGTGACACGGACAAAAATGCTCGGAGGCACCACTGGAGAACATCAGATCAGCCTCGGGGCTGTTTTAATAGGGGTTTGGTGGCTTACAAGTATAGTCTAGCTCATGGTAGTTCTCGCAGGAGCAATGGAACAGCTTTGAGTCCTGTTTCCACATCCATTCTGGATTGAATGCTGCCGTGTGGCATATTAAGTAGGATGAAGCTGTATTCAAGGTCTTCAGAGAAATAGAAAATGTTAATTCCTTTTCTTCGGATTGCCGCCTGAAGCTAACATGACGTTCTGAGGGTCTAATGTCCTCGTCGCCTAGCTCCGAAGCTTCGATATAAATGGACATAGACGACACCGACTCATTGGTTTTCTTCCTGGATAAACCAGAAGATGCTGCTGCATTATGTGGTACGGGTCTGTTGGCCGCCTTCTTTGGTTTCTTGAGTTCTTCCGAAGAAAGTTTCATACTCTTAAACCATTCGTGCATATCTTCCAGTTTCGCATGGCTGGCCTCGACCTGTAGCTTAACCTTGTCTGCTTGAATACTACCAAAGGATCAGTAAACTCGAAAGACCAGTAGCTAATATAACTTACCAGTTACGAGCTGTAATTGCCAAGTTCAACGCCGTCACATGGATTCCAAGGCTATTCCTCAATTTGTCCAAACCAGTCCCTTCGGTCGTAAATTTGATCTTCCTGATATTATCTTTGAGATCTTTTACCCATTTTTGCTGAGTCTTTTCGTCCACTTGCACTTGCACTGCATCTGCTCGTAACTCCGGATACTTTTCTAGAACCCCATCTAGATGTTTCAGCGTTACACCACAATTTTCTATCATCCGGCCCAATATCTCATCCTCGGGGGGAACATTCTGATCCCCATCCGGGGATTTTGGGTTTTCTACTATTGCTGACGCAAACTTCAACGCCTTGCCGATGGCAAAAAGCTGGTTTTGGACTTCCTGGAACTCTGCGGTCGCTCCTTTCCGGCCGCTTGTGAGAGTTGTTCCCAGTTTATGGGCGAGGTCCGAAAGTAGGACTATATCCCCGATTCCTATACCAAACGACATTTTGCAAGGCCTTTATCACTTAAAACAAAGAAGCAAATTGGGATGGAAACGACCTTTTAATGATGTTGTTTCATATCGACGAGGCTGTGCTAGATGCATCCTATATTGACGAAATACGTGTTGATTTACATGGGTGTGGCACAGCCCATGTAAGCTCAGCCCCCAGCCTTGCGTTGGCCTCAATTATAAAGCCCCATTCAATCGCCAATCCAAGTAGACGGGTGGTTGTATGCTATCGTATCATAAAGATAGATGCAACAGAGCTCAGTTTTGCTGAAAGACAGTCATTTTAGTGCTGTCGTTCACTATGTCTTACTATGGAAATCGTCGTTATGAACAATATGATAACGCCGGGGTCAATAGGCTCCCGTCTGGGCTATTCTTCACGGTCGCTCGGGTTGAACACATGGAACCGCCTGCGCCTGCAAAGAGAGCGCACGACGGTGTTAAACAGAAGAAAGTCATTAACCACGAAAAAATAAACTATGACGACTTTGTGGTTCCCAAGTATAACTCGAAGAAGATAGGCAAGGAGATATATCTGCCAATGCTAGAGGTTTCCGTGGAGGTCGAAGTTGTAGCGACTATTGCATGGTCGAAGTTGACACAAACTTTCACAAACCGATCAAAGCAACCTATTAAGGAAGCGACATACTGCATGCCACTTTATGACAGGTCTACCGTCACATCGTTCGTCTGCACCATTGGCTCCGATAAAATCCTTAAGGGAACCGTGAAGCCAAAGGAAGAGGCCAAGGCCGAGTTTAAGAAAGCTGTTGCAAAGCAACAGGTTGCGGCGCTGCTAGAAGAACATACGGCTGAGGTGTTTGAGACAGCCGTGGGAAACATCCCAGCTGAAACAACGGTCAAAGTTGAAATCAGCTACATAACGGAGCTAAAAGCTGATCTCGGAGGAGATGGCGTTTTGGTCACAATTCCTACCTCAGTGGCGCCACGATATGGAGCAATCCCCAGCTCAATGAGAGATGCTTTTGCAGAGTTGCTGGCAGTCCCTGAAGATAATGGGCTGCAGATCAAAATCCAAGTGTCATCGCCCGTTGCAATCACCAAGATTGAGAGCCGGACACATCCAGTCTCAATAGAGATGGGTTCTCATGGCACTAGAGTGACCAAAGATATTAGAGATTTCTCTAAAAAACAAGAGTCTCAGGGTTTCGATCCCAAGAAGGCCGTAGCAACACTATCCGATAGAAACGCTTGCCTAGGGAAAGACTTTGTCCTCCTCATCCAAGCAAATGATAGGCAATTACTAGCCTCGCGCGCTATCAGCGAGCCACACCCAACGATTCCCGACCATTCTGCGTTAATGGTCTCTATCAATCTTCGAGATTTATATACTCCTAATGTCGTTTCTCCGAAAATGGCCAGTGAGATCATCTTTGTGGCTGATCGATCCGGGTCGATGAAGAAGAGCATGGAAGCTTTGAAAACAGCGATGAAATTCTTCCTCAAAAGTCTTCCAAACAACTGCATTTTCAACATTTGTTCTTTTGGAACTACCCACAAACTTATGTGGCCCAAGTCGCAACCTTACAACCAGGAAACTGTCGATCAAGCCTTGACTTACGTTGCCAATGACTTTGCAGCAAACATGGGAGGGACTGAGATACAGGGAGCGTTACGATACGTTGTTGATAACAGTGAAGTATCTGTGGCCACTGAAATCATCACCCTGACTGATGGAAGGGTTTGGGATACCCCCTCCTTGTTTGACTTTATCCAAAAGACAAGATCCTCAGGGCTAAACCAAAACACCCGGTTCTTCTGTCTTGGTATCGGAGACGCCGTCTCTCATCATCTCGTCGCGGGAATCGGTCGATACGGCGGCGGATTGGCCGAAACTGTACTAACAGACTCATCGGGCGACTGGATGCAGAGGGTTATTGGAATGCTACGTGCAGCATTAACGCCCTCGAGCTGGAAAGTCGATGTTACATTAGACGGTGTGTCTATCTCTGGAAAGGAAAGTGAGAACAAGCGTTGTATCCAGGCTCCACATCAGATCCCAGATTTCCACGCCTTCGCAAGATATTCAGTCTATTTTCTTCTCAATCAAGAGTTCGAAGAAAAGGTCGTCAAGATCAAGGCCACTTCCGTATATTCAGGAGAAACCTTCACTGCGGAAATTCCAATCGATAAATCAGATATAGGGAAAAAGTGGGTGCATCAACTTGCCGCCAAAGCTGTCCTGGGCGACCTCGAAAGCGGGTCAAGCTGGATCCATGATAAGAGCAAAAATACCACTGATGTGAAGACCAAGACAGAGGCTGATGAGGAAGCTAAGATCGAAGGCGAGAAAATCGGGATAGAATGGAACATATCGAGTAAATGGACAAGTTTCATTGTTGTCGATGAGAAAAGCTCGCTAGAAAAGCAGTCTCGCTGGTATCAAACCGGCCACTCTGATCTCGCTGAGTTGACACGGCCTAGATTCGAACCAAAATACGATAGTCATACTCTAGCAAGTGACGCCCAGCTAGGACTATCAGGCAAAACCGTGGAGGGCCAGGGATCTTCTCAGCCACATGACTTTTTGTCGTATAGAGCTCCACAGAGTTATCGGGATGCTCCCCCCCCCGAGGATTATTCGATGTTCCCTCAGAGATCTAGGGATGCTACTCCCCCCGAAGATTATTGGACGCCCCCCAAGACAAATGGGAGAGGGCATGCATGCTACGCCCCCCACCAGATTCGTCACCACAGAGCCCCTGAAAACCGCGATTCGCAGGAACAACAGAGGGAGAAGCAGCATCCAGACCCAATGTACAATTTCAAGCCGATGAAAGACGACTCGTTTTTACCCGGCGCCACGTACTCGTCGCAGGCACCCAGTATGGGACGCACCATTAAGCCCGCCAGAAGCTTTTCAAGATCAGGCACAAGCCGGTTTCCCATACCCCCGGACGAGGAGCCAGGAAGCCCACGCCCCCCGCAGCAGCCGGCGAGCAATACGAATGACCCGCCAGTTGTGATAAACCAATACCAATTTGAAAACAGCGACGGGAGCGACGCTGAAGCTATGGCTGGGGTTACGGCCATGAGGCTGGGCGATGAATCTTTCGATTTTGCGTACGACGATGCGCCGTACCAATCCCAAGCTTCCATGCAAATTGCCACACAAGTTCATTTGTTCAGCGACGATTCTTTCCAGACGCTCCTAGAACCCAGCCGAGCTGCCCCACAAGATACATTTTACAGCGACAATTCGACGCAAGAGCCCACTTCCATGGAAAAGGGGTCTGAAAGGCACTCTCACGATCCTTACTTTGTTCCTTCTAATCCTTTTACCCCTCTTGGTTCCAGTGCTGCTACTTTTCCTGATTATCCTATACAACCCAGTGATTTTTTCAATCCCCATCCTCCGTCTTCAGGTCCCAGCAGCTGGAATCCAAACCCTAGCTATGTCAGTCCTCAAGAAGAGCGTTGTTTGTTCGCTCCTCCACCAGCACAGGGCCATACCGCCCAAAGTTCACACTCCAGCGACCGTCCCCGGTCTTCTACTATCTCTCGTCCCAACTACTCCGGGATATTCTCACTCTACCCCGATCCACACATCTCACCCCTCACCGTCCCCAACCTACTCACCACCCAACACTTCCTCGGCTACTTCAGCCTCACCGAGCAGCTCTGGACCCAGCTCAACAAGGAATACAATCACCTCGCCTGGACAACCGCCAACTCCCTACTGCCCCGCCGCGGGGCCAACGACAGCGAATGGCTAGAAACGCGAGAGAAGGTCGTCGGTACCGCTATGGTAGTCGTGTACATTGAGGTGGTCCATGCAGCCGACAAGAATCTGTGGGATCTGGTGGTGCAGAAGGCGCGGGCGTGGCTGGAGAGGGAGATTCCGCATCAGAGGATCCGGGAGAAGGTATTAAGCAAGTTGAGGGGGTTGCTCATTACCCCCTATGACGAAGGGGTTGGTAGAATCATTGATGAGGTGACCAGTATCTCTGCAGTTGAAGCTCAGCCCAAGGATGATCTTGCGACCCCTGGCGACGAGGGGCCCGATGCGGGGGTTGGTGAGGTGGAGGGTATTTCTCTTCTATCAGCGGGATCCGGGGACAGTGCAGGGATGCCGCAAGAGGGGCGAGGTAAGGGTGCTGAGGCGGGAGCGGGGACTGGTGCTGCGGTGAAGTACGTGGGAGAGGCGAAGGGGGAGAAAAAAAGACGCCGAGATTGAAGCGGGTGGGATGGGCGTTGAAGCGGTCTTGGGTGTTTCTCCTCCATCAGCGAGATCAGGTGGGGGTAATAGCGGTGCGGCAAGAGGAATATAATAAGAAGAAGAAGGAGACTGTGATTAAAATGGAAAAAGGGCGTAGAAGCCGTTTCTCATGGTCTGTACGGCGGTAATGACGGAGTTTTGTGTAGTGGTTGATATACTCGGCGATGGAGTTGGGGGGGGGGACCAACGAATATATTGTTGTGTTATATGCGTTGTAGCTAGTTTATCTACCTCTGATATAGTTTTATACCGAAATCATTAACATACCTACAGTCGAGTGACTAGAAGAAAGCGGAGATAATCTTCCTGACAAAGTCGGCCTAACCAATATATTTCAAGAGCCAGGGGAAGAAAAACCAGGGAAAGAACGACCTAGTAGAACGATAATCAGCAAGACCATTCCTTCCTATTCTATGACCTGGCAAATATATCGAAGGCACTAGGGAAAAGGGAAAAAAACTAGGGAAGGAACGACCCAGCAAAGTAGCTACCAGATCTGTGTTTACATAACTGCCCCTTCCCATCCCGTAAAAATCACCCAAACATGCTTCCTCAGGGAAGGAACGACCTAGGTAGAGTAGTTACCTTACAAAAGACTGCCCCTTCCTATACCGTTAAGATAACCCGCCCTATGCTTCCCTAAGAAAGGCACGATCTAGGTAGAGTAATTAGCAGATACGCGAGTTATATAGCCGTTCCTTCTTACTCTGTAATCTATTCCCCATATATACACACCAAAATACCTTAGTCTTCTTTACCACTAACACACACACACGCGCGCACACACACACACCACCTCACAAAACCAAACCATCTTATACAAGTTCATTCATTCACATTTCACAGACATCTACCTATTCCACTCCACCTCCACCTCTACAACCCCACCCACGATCCCCCCCAAACACACATAGCGACTCTCCCCCTTCCATCCCCGACCGTCCATTAATCGGTGTCGTGTGTAGTCCTGTGTCCCTGATCGATCGCCGGGGTATAAACGGTTGTATGACCTCATTTCCTTCCCTCTTCTTTCTCTCTTTCCCCTCTTCCTTTCTTTCTTATTTCCCCTCTCTTTCTTTCCTCTTTCCTTCTTTCCTCCTCTCTCCTCTCTCTCTCTCTCTCTCATTCTCGCACACAAAATAGCGACATCAACGTCAGTGTATCGACCTCGGACCGCCCACCGTAGCGACGGCGTGTATATATGTGTATCGTGTATCGACAACAAGCAAGTAAAAATAAGCGCAGTAATAAACGTGTATACCGTGTATGATGTAGATGGTGTGTGGTGAGACATGATAGTCTAAAAAATAAAAAAAGTATCCGTAAAAAAGGGAGCGGACGCCGCGCCCGCGCCGGCAAGTTTGTAGAGCGCTCGGCGCCGTCGTTTGTTTGGTTTGGTTTAGTTTCGTTTAGTTTGATTTGGTATGGTAAGGTTTGGTTTAGTAAGGTGATGTGACGTGATGTGTTGTTCCCCGCTCAATGTAAGTGAGTGCGGAGTGGTGATTAGATGCGCGGGGTATTTTGCACATGAAGGCTGTCGATTTCGCGATTTCGCGATGGTTATAAGTATCGTACCCGCAGCTGCCAGACAGCCAGACCCCTACGTGATAGCGACGTTGTGTGTATATATCGACACGACGCGTCGTGGGTATAAAATTAAGGGAGAGCAAAGACGGTGGTATGGTATGGCATGGTATATATCATACCCCCCACCCCACCCCCCCGCCTCACCTCGGATCCTGCTGGTGCAACTGCGCGTGCTCGAGCTGCTGCTGCTGTCTGCCCTGACTACTCACTATCTCTCCCGCGCGAATAAGCGCCGACACCGGATCAAGCGGGGCATTATCGTCGTCCGGGACCGTCGGATGCGGGTGTCTCAGCTGCAGCGGTATTGGCTGTGGCCGGTGCGGCGGGCGCGTGGGAGACAGGTAGCCGGTTCGCTGGCTGGCCTGGTTGATGGAGGAGTAGTCCATGGCGAGGATGCCTGGCTTTGTTAGTCTCGGTGTAGAGTGAGGTGGTTGTGGGAGCTCTGCGCGTAGACTCACCGGACTGGGAGTTGTACGAGATGGACGCGGGTAGCTGGGGGGAGAGCGAGGGGTGTCGGATCGGCGGGAGCGTGTCGAAGTGCTGCGCCTGGGCCTTGGAGGAGTTGTGCGAGAAGACGGGGTGCATGGGGAATGATGGCCTCTCACGTGATGGATCCAGGGGTATGCGAGGGGCGAAGTAGGTGCTCTGGCGCGGGTCGGCGGCCGTGGAGGACGAGGTAGATTGCTGCGTCGAGACGGTCGATTCGGATGTCAGTGATGGTGGGGAAAAAGAGCTAATCGACGACAGCGACGGGCGCGGCTGGTTGTGGAAGGCCTGCGCGAACGAGGTCGGCGTCTCGGGCGCATTCAGGATCCCGGACTGGTTCAGCTTCGGCTCGACCTGGCGATTGTACTCGTGAATTGGGAGGTTTGGTGGGCGGGTGTGATCCCTCCACGCGAGCGTCTGCAGGTTCGGGTTGATGACTGTGTCGCGATATCCCGGCAGCGCGGTGCTGGGCCCACCCGGTGACGTCTGGGCCTTGGTGCTTGGCGGCAGCGGGGCCTGCAGTGCCGTGTCGGCTGGGAACCAGGGCGCTGGGATAGGGCCGAGGGATGGGACGCGTGTCCTCGAGTCAAGTGAGGCTTCACGGCTCAGGCTGGATGGGGTGCTGCTTTTCGTGGTGGTGCTATTGCTGCTCGTATTCAGATTCTCGAGCTTTGGCCTCTTGGAGTTCTCATTAAGTGCTGTAACTGTCAGTTTTGGACCTTTGGGATCCGCTCTGGACATGACCCTACCCTCCTGATTGCTCTCTTGTAGCTGCAGCTGCTTGGCCTTGAACTCGATCAGATATTCCGAGTACGTCCTATAGCTCTCCGTGCGCCTGTATTCCGCCAGCTCGACCGTGTATTTCTCCTTCGCCGCAAACGCCTGCTGCTCGTAGGGCTCCTTCTCGCTCGGCGTCAGGTTCTGCCAGTTCTCTCCTACCAGCTTCGCGATCTCGGTGAAGGATAGCGGCCGGCCCTTCAGATCCTCGCGCATCTCTGTCGTCGTTGTTAGCGCCTGGAAATCGCAGAGGCATGGAGCGCCTTACTATTGGAGAAGATGACATATGCGGACGGCGGCCTCTCGGGTGCGTTCTCGTCCGGCTTGGGGTGCCTCCTGTATTTTCGTTTCCCGCTCGGCTGGGTCGACGCGTTTCCATCTTTGCCATCTGACCTCGGCGTCGCGCCCTTGTTGTCCTCGGACTGCTTGTCCTCCAGCGAGGGCGTGCCTCGCTTCGGTGATGCTAATGCTTGCGCATGGCTGATTCCTCTCGTCGCTGCGATCTTCCTCTGGAGTTTCTGCGGAAAAAAAAGTCAGCATGGGCATCTCAAGTTTCGAGGAAGGGTCGCGCGCACCCTCCTGTGGCCAAGTTTCACGCCGAGGACGTCGCTGCGGAGAAGTTAGCATCCAGTCCCGTAAGTTCCGCCGTGAGATGCCAGTATTTGGGCGGCGCAGCAGCACACGTACAAGTCCGGCTCCGTGATGTCAAGGATGGTGTCCCATGTGTCGAAACCCTGGTCGAGGAAGCTATCAAGATACTGGGTAAGGCCGAGCTCATCGAAGATGTCCGCCAAGTCAGTCATACAGTAGTGCTATGTCTGGCCAACACGTCCAGAGTATGCCGTGAGGAGAGAGGGGCTTTATCTATTGGGCCCGCTTGGAGGCCTGTATTCGCGCAACGGCAAATCGATCATCGGTTCGCGCCAGGTTCGGCGGTGTTTTTCGTTGCGCTGCGATGGGCAGTGGCGGGTTTCGAGCGGCTTCTTAGAGATGTATATGTAGTTTCGAGGGGACCGCGGGGGACCTGGTGATCTGAGATGCCGAGGAAGGATAAGACCGTGGGGGGGGGTGTATTTCTCTGGGTGGTGGTGTGTCGTGTCGTGTGTCGTGGTTGCTGCCGTCGTCGGTGGCGTGTCTCGACAACTTTTTGCGGGCTGAGAGGAGGTGTAGTTCGGTCGATCGAGGATTGCGGATAGAGAGAGACGTGTAAATGGAGACAAAGGAGGAGAACCGGTCAGGATAAAAAAGGGAATTGAAGAGAAAGGCGACTTCTTTGCTTGTGCCTGTATGTGTACGTATAAAAAGGACTTCGTTGAATGAGGGAAGATCTATATAACTTGTTGCCGGGGGGTAAAAGGTAGGGGAGGGGAAGGGGAGGGGGGGGGGGAGGGATCAATATGAAAAGAGGAAAGAATAAACAAATCCGAGGTGGGTAGAGTTGGAGGTGTGGTAGTAGTAGGTAGTGGTGGAGATGGAAAAAAGGCGGAGGGGGAGGGATGATCAGATACGGGCTAGGCGAATTGGCGACAATTGACGAAAGACGTGAGTCGAAAGTATGGATCAAATGGATCAAATGGAGCACAAATGGAGCAAAAGAAGCACCGATGGATTTTGAGTTACAGAGTACGACAACTATACCTACAATAGCATTAGTTTAGTATTTTAGTAGTACTATAGTTACTCTACCGTAGTTATACCAGAGGGATGTATTTCGCTGTAGAGAGGGCTAGAGGGCTAACTAGAGGGGATAAAGGAACTAGAGGGACTAGAGGGATTAGATGACTAGAGGGCTAAAGGACTAGACGATCATAGCGGAGATCCATCAATCGGGAAGGGTGGGAGGGGGAGGGGGAAAGGAAGAAACGGTGGCGGTATAGTGGATAAGGGTGGTAAAGATGGTGGTAGCAGCGGTGGAGTCGGAGAGAGTAGTGCAGTTTCTCGTAGCGGAGACACGGTTGTTGGTGGCAGATTAGGTGAGAAGTGGAGAGCGTAGAAGACGTAAAAGAACAAAGGACAACCAGAGTGGCAAACGGGGAGAAAGAGGGGGAAGGTTTAGGAGGAAGGAAGGAAGGGAAGGAAGGGTCTTGTACTCGTAGTAGCGGGATGAGGAGTAGGGTGAAGAGAATGGGTATGAGTAGAGAGAGTAGGGAGTAGAGATAATAGAGTATAGAGTAGGTTAGAGTAGTTGAGTTAGTTAGTCGCGTATAGTTGCGTATAGTTGAGTATAGGTGGGATATGTATTTTAGTGGCTGGTAAAGAGTTAGTAGGGGTGTTAGTATAGGAGCTGAGGAAGGTGATGGTCGAGTTGGTAGGAGCGGTGGTAGGAGCGGTATGAGCGGTAGGAGCGGTATAAGTGACGGAGGTGGCCGACAGGTGGTATTACTGTGGTCTTCCTTTCCAGAGCCAAATTAAGTAAGTAAGTACCGCCCTCATGGTAGAAATCCAGTACAGCAGTCTCTAATACCGGTTAAAGTTGTGGTGGAGAGGAGAGTAGTGGTAGAGAGAGAGGCACAGCATCATCATCGTACACTATCATAGCCACAGCCAACAGCCACATGTATGTACAAGCTAGTGTGCCCGCCCACACAGTTGTGGTGGTGGTGGTGGATATGTGGGAATGTGAGGATGCGAAATGCCAATATTCGATGGGATGGATGGGCAAATGCGGATCGGAGGGGAGGGGAGGGGGAGGGGAGGGGAGGGGTGGGAAAGGCTGGGTGGGTGGGAAAGAGTGGGAAAGGGTGGGAAAGTTGTGGTGGGAAAGGTATGTGGAAGCGGTGGAAGGGGGGGCATGACGGAATGATGCGCGGTAAGATGGTAAGGTGGTAATAGCGGTATATCGGTATAGCGGTATACTTCTAGGGTGATACTTCCTTCTAGGGTGGATGGTAGTGCGGTAGATAAGTTGCGGTAGTGTGGTAAGGGTCGAAATGCGGTAATGTGGGTGGACGGACGGGACATACGTACGTGGGAGAATCAAGGGGAGGAGAGGGATGTGTAAATCTGGGCGTCGGGGATTTTTGGGGAAGGAAGGGGGAGAGGTGGGTAGAGTCATGGTACTGTACATCTACTTGCCGGGTACATAAACCTCTCCCATCTCTCATCCACCACCACCACATAACCATGCCCACAGCCACAGCCCGGTACAGCCCCTTCGTCAGGTCGTTGGTTCACCATCCAGACAAAATCAAACCAGAACAAATCAGTCAGTCGGAAATCAGCACCAATTCTCGGCGCATGTCTTTGCGGCTATCCCTTGGCGCGTCTTGGCGGCTGCGTGTGTCATGTCATGGGTGCTTGCTTCGCTGTAGAACGAGTTACAGTATAATCCTAGTACGGTAAGCAAACGGCAGTAGAACCAGCCAGCCAGCCACCTCAGCCAGTGGTAAACGCGTGTACACAAGACATCCCCCTCTCCCTCCACATCCCCCATTTTATTCCCGCTCGTAACCCCCAATTCCCATATCCCGATCCCGATCTCACCTCCCCCAATCCTCCCAGCAATCCCCGATTACCCCAGCCAGCAGTTCCCGTGTTCGCCGAGGGGGAGAGGACCTGGGCTACTACTGCCTGCTAACTGTTACTGTCACTGTCCTACAAACACTGTTGTACACCCAGTCCAGCCCCTTCCAGTTCCCCCCCCCAGTGTGAGTCGTTCATGCACACACCTCGTCTTCCCCGTCCTCGTGCTCCCCCACGAGACAACCACGAACAACCGACCGACCTCCGCACCCACGATCCTACCTGCCTACCTGCCGTGTCCAACACGAGCCCGCCACGGCCCCCGCCATTGAAACCTCCCCAATCCCGCGCACAATCCCGCGCACAATCCCGTCCGTAGCTGACACCGAGCACCCGTTAGGTCAGAGTAGCTACCCGTGCTGTACGCCGTGTGTCACCCCAAGCTGCAGGGCTGCACTGCACTGCACTGCACCACAATCCCACGGCTGCACCGATGGCTGGGTTGGGTTGCTGTGGGTGCTGTGGTGGTGGTGGTGGACCTGCTGCTGTGCGACTGCGCTGCTGCATCGGCACCGCCGACGGCGTGTGTTGTGTGCACCGACGGTGCATGGGGTGGGATGTGCCGTGGTGGTGGGTGCAGTATCGGTGTGGCACGTAGCCTGGGCTCGGGGATGGGAGGGGGGTACGATGGGTTGGTTTGGTTTGGTTATCATGCCGGGTTGCGGAGGGAGACACATGATGCCGGGTTACGGAGCGACTACGTTGGATGGAGAGCATGCCGGGTTGCGGAGCGCGTACACCAGACAGGACATCATGCCGGGTTACGGAGTCGTGGCGTACTGTTCCTCGGGGCGGGGTTCCTCGGGGCGGGGTGTTTAAGTCGCTCACTCTACTTAACAGCTCGCTGCTAATCAATCCACTCACTGACTGATAGCTAAAAGTCGCTCATAGCTATGGGTACAGTACAGTACATGACATGTGCCTCACACTGACATGATATGATGAGATGAGAGACAGGAAGGCAGAGGCAGCTCCGAATGGTAAGGTGACGTGCCACGACAGGAAAGGGGGGATGAAGGATTGAGGAGGCAGCAGGATGCAATGCACCAGCAGGCAGGCAGGCAGACAGGTCTGGTGCAGCTCCGAGAGACTGGCGTGGAGATGGTGGTGGTGGTGGTGGTGGTGATAGTGGAGGATGGGGCATGACAGAATATATGCGTGCCTGTCTGTATACAGAATACAGTGTATACGTATACGTATATACGGCGAATACAGCATATACGGCACGTACGATATTTTCACTCTGTTCTGTCTTTCACAATGGACAATCCCCCTTCCTCACATGTATGTCATGCTATACACACTCATATTCCACTTACCCAATACTCACTCCACCACATTAGCACAGCACCCCCGTCAATCCATCCTCCCAGCACCTCCTCACAGCCACAGGGCTACTATACGTACCCCCCTCCCCCTCCCCATCCACACCCCCATCACATCAACATGGGAAACTCAACCCAGACCCCCCTTCCCCATCCACATCCCCATCCCATCAACATCGATAGTCTCCCCCCATTAAGCTTCCCACCAAGCCCCCCCAAGCCCCCCCAAGCCCCCCCACGGCACAATCCCATCCCCCCATCCACCATCCACCATCCGCATATCTCCCATCTCCCATCCCATCCCACACTCTCCCATCCCGCCACCGCAAGCCTGCATCACCACCCAACCCACCGTATCCCTCGCCGGTCCCCGCACATGTCTCACGCCAGCTCGCACCACGCCGGCGCGCTAACCCGAGGTGATGGATCCGTGGTGCTGCTGGTTGTGCGGTGCACCAACGGCGGAGACGGGGGTACGGCGTACGGCGTATGGCGTATGGCGTATGGGCTTGGCGCTGGGATGTCTTGGGTGTTGTTGGTGTTGTGCGTTGTGCGTGCTGGTGGGAGAGAGGCTGATGGAGGCTGAGATGTTGGCATGGGATGAGACGGAAGGGATTGCTCACACCGCTCGTGGGGGAGAGGGACGGCAGTTGAGGGCATGCGTGGGAGAGGTTGGGGTATCTCATAGCTGTGCCGCAGCTCCTGCTATTTCCATCCCTTCCTGTGTATGCCACAGTTACACAACGTCTTCAGCCGCCACGCCACGCCGCCACCTTTCAAAAAAATGACCTGTAGTCCCACAGATTCGGTAACTCCTTCCTATCCCATCTCCATCTCCATATCCACCACCCCATCTCCCACCTCACCTCTCACACACCCAAATCCTGCTTACATAACCCACCTACACCCTACACACACACCCCGGTTCCCAACTCCCGATTACGCTAAGCCCATAAATATCACTAGCGCTGAACTATCTCACTATCTCCCATCTCCACCCCATGTAGCATCTTCTCCGAGGGATCAAGAGAGGGAGCTCTTATCAGCCGCCACCACAGCTCTACATACACCAGCCAGCCAGCCTTACGGACGTACGTACTGTAGTGAACCCTGACGGACGACTAGACAAAACCCACCCATTCATACCATCCATACTACCCTGCTTGTGACAGCGCCACCGCCGCCACCGCCGCCACCTCCGTCGTTGCTCGTATCGCATCGTATCGTATCGGATTGGATTGGATTAGGAGCGAGAGAGCGAGGGCTGTTAAGAGGGACCTGGCTTTGTGGATATCAAGTTTTTTCTTTTTCTTCTTGCTTTCTCTATTTTTATACCTGGAAGGAAAACTTTGGGGGGGGTTTTTTTTGGCTTGTGCCGACGCCGCCGCTTGTTATTACGGGACTGGGAAAGAGAGAAAGGGAGAAAGGGAAAGGCAAAAAGGGGAAAGGGAGAAAGGGAAAGAGAGAAAGGAAGAAAGGGAAAAAAGGAGAAGAGATGGCGGACGCCGGGAAAGATCCTATCAATGATGAGGCGAAGAGGGATGCTGCTGCGAGTATAGCTAAGGTGAGCCCTTCTCCCCTCTCCCCCCTTCTAACTCTTCCTCCCCCATCATCACCCTCATTCATCAAACACCTGCCTCCTCTCTCTACCCCCCTTCATCTATCTACCCAAGACTTCCATCTGAGTCAAACCTCCCCCCCTTCCCTCGCCAGCACCCCCCCCACCTCCTCTCCTCGGTTCGGTCACCTCGGCTCGGCCTCCCTCCTCTTACTTCCTCCTCCCTCCTCTACTTCCTCCTACCTACCTACCCCACCACACCTCCCCGAAATTCCCGAATACCCGGATACGAACCTTTAAAAACCACGTGCTCACATATAGACTTTTTTTTCAAACTAGGCTTTCCAAGATGTTCAGGCGTAAGTCACCTTTCGTTCCGGACCCCGAGGGGGATCCACTTGGGTGTTTTGGTGTGTTGGTGGTGTGGGAGGTGGTACCGAGGGGGTGGTTACTAGCTTGGGGAGGGTGTTAGGGGGGGGGCTAGGGGGAGCTAGGCGATTTGCGGCGGGGATGTGGGATGCCGAAGTCGGGGTTGGGGTGGTATGGGCGGAGTTGGGGTTGGGGGTTTGAGATGGGAGTAAGATGGAGAATGGGATGTGCTGACGAGATTACAGCGGCGAGGAAGCAGCGAGACAGGCGGAGGAGAGGTTAAGCAGGTTAGAAGCCAAGATTGAGGAACTGCTTGCTAGTGCTGAGGCGGGGATTGAAGGGAAGGAGGGGTTGGGAGAGGAGATGGGGAGGGTGGTGGAAGAGTTGAGGGGGTTGGAGGGGGGGAAGGAGGAGAAATCGTGATGTCTGGGATGGAAGGGGGATTATTGGTTATGGGGATTGCAGTGTGGATGGGGGGAATAAGAAGTCATCAACAACTTCTCTGAGGATATCACATTCATGGAAATAACGACTGAGAGATGTAGACATTCGCTGGGATAGTAAGGTGGTCTGACTAGGAGAGACTCTACGCAGGAGTTTCTCCTGCTCTGACTACTATAGTATTCTAGCGAACGCCTGCGTCTGTCTCGCGCACAACTGGGATGGTAGTCGCTGAAAAAGGTTCTATAGCGCTGCCCTAATCTTAGCTCTGAAGCCGAAGATTGGGATTGGGATTGGAATACCCCTTGACAAACTCTACACCACCACTGCGCCAATCTAAGCCTGCCAGATGACAATCCTTCCATCCACACCACTCGCTGCACACATGTATTAGCCCACATCCTCCACACACCCATCAAACGGTCACAACAAAGAAAGGACTCAAACTCACTCGAAAACTTCCTCACCACCCCCCCTTCCCCTTCATAGCTCCTAACCGTACTAATAGTATTCTGATGCACCGTCCCCAACACCGTATCATCCTTCGCCTTCCCCTTCAAATCCATCTGCCTAAACATATTCAGCGCGCTCTCCTCCCTCTCCGCTCCCCTCCCCGCCCCCTTCTCCTCCAGCGACCCCGCAATCGCCCACCCCTGTTCTCCGCCTTGGAAGCGGTACGCCTGGCAGTCGTGGCCCGCGGCGATGATCTCGGCTTCGTTGGTCCAGATCAAGCTCATGAAGGGGAGGAGTTGCGTGCTGACGCTTATTACGGCGCGGGGGGGGGCGTCGGCACCGTTGGGGTACACGACTGTGATGCTGCTGTCGTGGGCGGCGAAGGCGAGGGCGTCTCCTGATGGGGAGAAAGCAGTGGCGTGGACCCAGCCAGCGGAGTTGTTAAGGTACTCTCCACACACGGTGTTAAACGGCAATCGCTCCCCCCACACCCCCGGCTCAGGACGCTCATCAACGCCCTTAATGAAACTGGAGAACACGCGCGCGTGGGCATCGGTGGAGCCGGCGGCGAGGAGGACGGAGTTGGGGTGCCAGGCGACGGTGGTGATGGTGCTGCGGATGGGCTTCTTGATATGCTTGGATACCCACCAGTCGTTCTCCTCTTCGAAGTAGCAGACGGCTATGACGCGGGCGCCGGAGCCGACGGCGAATTTCGTTTCGGAGGGGGACCAGCGAACAAAGGTCGCGGCGCGGTTGATGCGGAGGAGGACGAGGGTGGGCTTGTAGCCGTCGGGGGTGGGCTCCCAGACGAGGGCGTTGCGGTCTGGGGGGGTGTTAGTGGGGGTTTGGGGGGAAGGTGGGGGGGTGTGTATGTACCTTGAGAGCAGGTGACGATTCTGCCGCTCTTGGGAGCAATGTCCACGCTCGTGACGAGCTTGTCATGGCCCTTCAATTCATCCTTGAGCTTGAATGCATTTCCAACTCTGCCGTACAGATCAACCGTCGAGTCGCGGGCAACAGCCAACGTCTTGCGATCCGCCGAGAACGAGTGGTCCGCAATGGGATGGTGGAACAGGTGATGAACTTCTGGAGCTGCCATGGTGAATTGTAGTTATAATTGAGCGATAGGAGGATCTCTCTACTACCACTTTCTTCGAATGTGCTGACGTTGTATGTGTTTTGGTGAGGGTGAGGGGCACGGTGACGACGTCTCGGTTGACAAGGTCGAGATGTGGGGTGGGCCTGGGGGACTAAGGAATAAGCCGCAACATTCGAAGTCTTGGCATTGGAGATTCAAGCACAAGATCACGACTGGAAAAATAATCCAAGCTGCACACTCTCTCTGACGCGACCAACCCTCCCCCCAACGTGCAAAATCGCACAATCCGCCAAATCTATTAGCGCCAGCGACGACAGCACAGGTGTTTTGCGCGAGAGACAGAAGCAATGCCTCCCAAAGCGCAGCCCCCCGCGCAAGTAGCCGGCAAGGCAGCTTCGACTTACCCCCCCAACCAAACGTGCGTGCGCTCCCTAGGTGCGAGGTATGTGGGATGAAGACTGACGATGGGCAGATTATACATCACAAACCTTCCGTCCTCGAAGATCCAGAAATACGACCTCCGCTTATCGCTCTACACACTCTTCTCCACCTACGGCCCTGTCCTCGATGTCGTCGCCATGAAGACTATGAAGATGAGAGGGCAGGCGCATGTTGTTTTCCGTGATGCGCAGACGGCTACGCAGGCTATGCGCGCGCTGAAGGGGTTTGAGTTCTTTGGTTACGAGTTGGTTAGTCGCCCCTGTGTTTCTGGTTGTGTGATTTGAAAGCTCACAAATGGATAGGAAATACAATATGCTAAGTCGAAATCGGATACGATCGCGAAGCTAGACGGAACGTTCCACAAGCCGGCTGCTGCGGCGGGCGAGGTCACGGCGACAGAACTACAGCAGAGTATCTTTAATGCCCCGCCGTCGGCAGCGTTTATGGCTGGGGGTGGAGCGCCGGGCACAGCTGGGGCAGCGGCGTTATTGAAGCCGCCGCCGGCGCTGGGGAGGGATACGGCGATGGAGGATGCGAGGAGTCCTACAACGAGTGTTGCGGGTGAGAAGCGGAAGAGGGACGAGGAGGAAGAGGAGGAGGAGGAGAGTGGGAGCGATGTGGCTATGGAGGAGGATAGCGATGATGATTAGGGGGGTTATCTTCATATATGCATGTATTGCAAGGCGTTTAGGGGGGCGAAGTGGGAATTCTATGGGGTATTGAGACGGGGTATTTGTCTCTGATCTAGACCAGGTCCGTTTGGACTGAAAGGAGGTAATCAAACAACACTGTGAACCTCCATCTCATTGTACTCGCATACAACTTTGCACTGTGACTCGAGACAATAATTAGGACGTATTACTGAATAAATCAATACACTTCCTACCTATTTATAATTCTACCTATCTATCGTCCTTCTCCCTGCCAAGACCGACACTTTTGTGAATTAGCGGAACTACATATTTCCGCCTCCTGCATTGTTGATCCGTGGCCTTGCTGTCTCCCCCGTCTTTTTGCGAGTATCCACAAAACCGGATAACCTGTAGCCCCAGACGCAAAGGCAAGGGGTTCGTTCCAATCTTCTCATCCTGCGCACACGACATCCCCACGATGCTCGCACGACGCCAATGAATGTTCTCGACCCATTCAACCTCCGCCGCTCCCCCGCCTTTGCCATCCTCAGAGGAGCAACCGCACAAACCGCCGCGAACATCACACGCCGCGCCATAGCAGCCAGCGCGACCGCATCACTTCTTCAATCGGGCAGGCGCATCGCAGAGGACATGGCGTTCTCGATACCCAAAAATGTGCCGGCGTTTACGGACCCCCAGAGGGAATTGGAGAATAGGGCTTGGGGCTCGTCAGGGGTGACGGCTAGGTCGTCGGCTGCGGGCCAGGGAAGCGGAATGCAGGATCGTCTTGGAGGCTACTTTGAGAGGAATAAGGATTACTTTGATCAGGGAAGGCAGCTGCCGCTCTACAAGGATAAGCCGTACTCGTCGTCGCGCAGGCGGCGGCCGCTGTGGAAATACAAGCGAGCTTTTGCCCTTATGGGACTGTTTGTCATGTTTGTACTATACCTATTTGGCGTCTGGGGGAACGATGAGGAGAAGAAGACAGTGAAGAAGAAGGGCAAGGAAGGGTGGGGATGGCTGCAGAGCGCGGACAAGAAGGTGGATTGGCCGGAGAGACAGCAGAGGGTGGTGGAGGCGTTCACGCTGAGCTGGGACGCGTATGAGCGGTATGCGTGGGGCTATGACGAGTTCCACCCCGTGTCGAAGAAGGGGAAGCAGATGACGCCGAATGGAATGGGGTGGATTATTGTGGATGCGTTGGATACGCTGATGCTGATGAATTTGACGAGTCGGTTGACGACGGCGAGGAAGTGGATTGGCACGAAGCTGGATTATGATCAGGATCAGGAGGTTAATACTTTTGAGACGACGATACGCATGATTGGTGGGTTGCTGTCGGCGCACTACTTGTCGACGGAGTTTCCAGAGATGGCGCCCATCTCGGACGATGACCCGGGGACTCCTGGGGAGGACCTTTACCTCGAGAAGGCGAAGGACTTGGCGGATAGGGTCATCGGGGCCTTCGAATCCGATTCTGGCGTCCCCTACGCTAGCGTCAACCTAAAAACCATGAAGGGCGTCCCTTCACACGCCGACGGCGGCGCCTCCTCCACCGCCGAAGCCGCCACGCTACAGCTCGAATTCAAGTACCTCTCCAAGCTCACCGGCGAGACATTCTACTGGGAGAAAGCTGAGAAGGTAATACAAGTAATCGACGACAACGGCATGGAGGACGGCCTCGTCCCCATCTTCCTGTACGCGCCCACGGGCGAGTTCCGCGGCGACAACATCCGTCTCGGCAGCCGTGGCGACTCCTACTACGAGTACCTCATCAAGCAGTACCTCCAAACCTCCAAGCAGGAGCCCGTCTACGAGGAGATGTGGGACCAGGCCATCGCAGGCGTCCGCAAGCATCTCATCACGTACTCCACGCCCTCTCAGTTCACCGTCCTCGGCGAGCGCCAGAACGGGCTTAAGGGCGCGCTGACGGGGAAGATGGATCACCTGCTGTGTTTCCTCCCCGGGACCATCGCGCTAGGAGCCACGGGCGGGATTTCGGAAGCGGAAGCTCGTCGTGCGGGATCCTGGGGCGCGAAGCAGGATGAGGATATGAAGTTGGCGCGCGAGCTGATGCATACGTGCTGGGGCATGTACCAGGTGATGGCTACTGGGTTAGCAGCTGAGATTACGCATTTCAACCTCGATTCGCCGCCCTTGCCTGCGTCGGCGCCGCACAAGGCACCGAAGACGTTTGATCCGGCGCCGGAGGCGGAGTGGCGCAAGGACTTTGTGGTGAAGCCGAATGATCGGCATAATCTGCAGCGACCGGAGACGGTCGAGAGTCTGTTCTACATGTGGCGCATTACGGGGGATGAGATGTATAGGGAGTGGGGGTGGGAAATGTTCAAGTCGTTTATGAATCATACGGCTGTGGAGCTGGGGGGAGGGTTTACGTCGTTGAGGAACGCGGATGTGGTGCCGCCCGAGATGGCGGATAATATGGAGAGTTTCTGGCTGGTGAGTCTTCGCGCAATGTGTGGTTTGATGTGTATAGATACTAACATAAGACAGGCTGAGACCCTGAAATACTTCTATCTCCTCTTCGGACCCAACGACGTGTGGCCACTCGACAAGATCGTCATCAACACGGAGGCGCACGCGTTCCCGCGCTTCCAGATGGGGAAGCTGTTCAAGACGGGGTGGCAGCGGAAGCCGAGGGGGAAGGATGGGAATATTGTGAGGGATGCTGTGGTGGAGGCGGCGGCGTCGAAGGGGGCGTAGGGGGGAGAAAAGTATTTGTAGGGTGTAGTATATAGGATAATATTGATGAGTTGGCTTGGTTGAGCTCATTAATTGGGATGTTGATGCTGTGTTTGTCGTGCCCATTCTGTTGACTGTCCTGTTGTCCCTTCACATCTCACGTCGCCGTCATATGCTTCCGATGCACATGCGATACCGGGCTCTCACTTCACTCCCTCCTAGATCGCACCCTCCCCCCTTAAAACTAAGCGTATCCCATTCCAGCCGTCCCTGCATCCACGATAACCTTACTACCAACTACCATACCCCGATGTCTTCACAAAACACCCTCACCACACCCTCACCACGCATCTCCACGGACGATCCATCACACTGTTATAAACGACTTACGTACATCCAACTCCCCCTGCAAGCATAACCCATGAGATCCACTCCAATCAGATAACCGCTAACACTTGCCAGATTAACCCCCACCCCGGCCGATATAGCCGTCCTCCGCTCCTTCGCAGCCATCACAGAAGCCGGCGCCTGCCGCTCGCCGAAGAAGGGACGATGGATGGGGGTGGTGGTTGGCGTGGTGGTGGTTTTACTAGTTTTAGTAGCCATTTTAGCAGATGCACCACCAGCCATTTGCGGGTGCTTAGCAGCCACTTACAGCCTTACCAGCCACGCCTAGAAAATTTATTAGATTTATTAGCCACTTAGAAGCCGTTGCACACCTATCAACTGGTCCACTCTGGCAGCTATCAGCAACTTATTACCCCGCCAGCCATCAGAGCCCCTCACTCAGACCGTCAACAGCCAGGAAATGCGACGGAAAGGGCCATTTATCTCTCCCCAACTAACCACACATACGCCAATTAGCTGGCCGCCATGGGCTCAACCCTGCATCAGACCTAGATCTGACCCTGATATCAGATAGATCTTTACCTACTCCAGTTAAGTATTCTTTCCTGCAGGTGCCCGCGGAAGTGTGTTTGTTGTTTAGTGCACGCCCTTTCGGAGTTCCACCCCATTTTTATTTATCATCCGAACCACACCACAACCTCCAATTGACCCCGCAATCAACGATACACACTACGCTGCAAACTATGCTATCTAAGGTCTACAAGCGTGGGATCTAGAGGCCGGGAGATACCATAAGACATGCCACGCGAGGAGGGGCTCATCCAATCCAATCTGCTGCCGAGTCATAAGTAGGTGCCAGTGGAACGACATCTCGTCTTTCCTTTCTTCTTCTTCTCGTCTTCTTCGATTTCCTCTCTTCCCCTCTTGCGCTGCTGTGCTTGACAACCTCCAATCCCCATCTAAGACACAGGAAGAGCTCCAAGACAAGCTTTAATAGCTTCAAAAAGCTTCACACCCACCACCACCACCCATAATGCACGCCCCAACCTCTCTCTTCCTCCTCTCCCTCCTCCCCTTCGCCCTCGCCGCCGACACCACCCTAGGCATCTACGTCTTTCACCGCCACGGCGACCGCACCTCCAAAGCCTGGACACCCACCCACCTCACCGACCTAGGCTACACCCAAGTCCACGCCGCCGGGTCCTACTTCCGCACCAAATACATCACCGATGCCACCACAGGCATCTCGGGTATCGCGCCCTCCCTAGTCAACCTCGCCCAGCTCGACGTCGAGGCCCCCGTCGACACCGTCCTCCAAGTCTCCGCACAGGGCTTCACCCAAGGTCTCTACCCCCCCGTCGGCCCGACGCTTAACACCCAGACCCTCGCCAACGGCACGAAGATCGAAGCCCCCCTAGACGGCTACCAGCTCATCCCCGTCAACCTCGTCACCTCGGCCTCCAAACCCACCGCCGACTCCGAGAACTCCCCCTGGCTCCAAGGCGCCAGCGGCTGCCCCGCCGCCCTGACCTCCTCAAACGAGTACCTCACCTCCGCCGAGTTCGTCGCGCTCGACAAGAAGACTCGCGCTTTCTACGCCGCGCTCGCCCCCGTCGTCGCTAGCACGTTCGACGCCGACTACCTCACCTTCAAGAACGCATACTCCATCTATGACTACATTAACGTCGCTACCATCAACAACGCCACCATCCCCTCTTCTAACCTCCTCACCAAGGAGGTCCTAAGCCAACTCCGCACCCTAGCCGACGCCCACGAATTCGGCCTCGCCTTCAACGCCTCCTCCCCCATCCGCGCCATCAGCGGCGCTACCCTCGCGGCACAGGTGCTGGAGCACCTCAACGCCACGATCGCATCGAAGGGGAAGAAGAAGCTCGGGATCCAATTCGGCGCCTACGGAACCTTCCTCTCCTTCTTCGGCCTGGCTCAGCTACCGGCTGCGAACAACGATTTCACCGGCGTCGTGGATTATGCTTCTTCCATGACCTTTGAGATGTTCACTTCCAAGACTGTTGCTGCGGGCTCCTTCCCGGCGGAGGAGGATATCAGCGTTCGCTTCATGGCGAGCAATGGATCGGCTGCGTATGTTGGGCAGACAGCCTACCCGCTGTTTGGACAGAAGGAGACCGTCCTCCCTTACAAGACCTTCGTGAGCGAGATGGGCAAATTCGCTATTGGTGACCAGGAGACTTGGTGCAAGTCCTGCGGCAGGACCGATGGGGCCTGCGCGGAGTTCTCTGCCTCCTCGTCGTCGACCGATGCCGGTGCGGGTGCCTCGTCGAGCGATGGGAAGAGTGGAAGCGGTGGACCGATTTCTCTGCCTGTTGCGGGAGTCATTGGAGCGCTGGTTACGTTGGCTGTTGTCCTTGGGCTGCAGGCGCTGGTGATGGTTGCGGGTGGGTTGAGGGTGGTTAGTAAGAAGAGGCTTGGTGGGAGTGGTGGAGGTGGTGGTGGTGGGGAGACGAGCCAGGTGAAGGTTTAAGTGGTGGTTGTTGTGTTGTTTAAAAGGGGTGTGGGAGAGAGATTTAATTAAATATATTGTCATATTGAGTTTGATGCTGGATATTACTTGACGTGCGCTGTTTCAATGCTTGTAAGATGGATGATTGTGAATTACCCGGCCCCAATATCGGGAACAGACAGCTAGACTATCGCTATTTCCCTCGTTCTTACCTTTGTTTTGTTAGATGATTGCTCTTTCCCTCCACAGGCGGCTTGGTCGTTCTATTGTTTACTAGCCGTTCCTTCCCTTTCTTCTAGTTGAGGTAGCTGGTCGTTCTTTCCCTCATTAATAGATGGGTCGTTCTTTCCCTATGTTGTAAAGCGCGCTTTCCCTCAGCAGCTGATCGTTCTTTCCCTCGTAGCTTGCCTTTGTTAGCTGGTCGTTCTTTCCTTCGTTAAGTAGCCGACCGTTTCTTCCATCGTTGGCTTGACTGTTCTTTCCCTTTTTAACTTGTTGCTGGTTCCCTCTGTGAGCGATTACTCTTTCCTCCAGTAGCTAGCCGTTCTTCCGTTCTTCCCTCGTTGGCCATACATGGTTGCTCCTTCCGTCGTTAGTGGATGGTAATTCTTTCCCTTGTTAGCTAATCGTTCCTTCCTTCGTCAGTAAATGGTCGTTCCTTCCCTCGTCAGCTAGTGATTCTTTCCGTCGGCAGATAGCCAGTTGCTCCTTCCCTGACCAGCCTATCAGTCCAGTCATCGTTCCTTCCGTTATTAACCATCGCCAGTTTCTCGTGCCTTCCCTCCCATTTAGCGAATCGTTCCTTCCCTGCCATCCTAGACCTACGAAACGGGTGTACTGGCCGTTCTCTTCGCCTTACGTAAGTTGTCAGCCTAGCTGGTTTGCTATGTACGACGGCATTGCCCATCACTAGCCTTGGAGTGGGATGGATGAAGTGATACGGTAGGAGGGGTCTGTCAACACAACACGTCAACCGTGACAGTTGTCCCCCAGGCAGCCAGACACCCAGACGTGTGACATGAGTGAGATGGAATGCCTTGCACTCCATGTGCGACTGACTGATCTGAGCGCAGAGTCCAGCATCTCAACCGTTGCGGGAGAAAACGGCTGAGGCTGCGTTGGCGCAGATGTAGATGCAAGTAGTAATGTAATGTGTAGTGCAGCAGTAAGGGGGAGGAGCAAGGCTGCCAGGCTGCCATATGCAGGTTCATGGACCTCAACGGGGGAAGAAGAAAGCAGAGGGCTGTCTATCACTCCTGTCTCTCTGTCTCGGTCGATCGATTGATGGGTGCCTGGGGATTGATTAATCACACTGTCTGCTGTCCTCCTTGTATCACTCCCCTCCATTCCTAGCTGCTGGCTTCACCACACTCCATCTAACCCGGACAACACTCCGCTCCATGCTGTCCTGTACTGGACCTCTTTTGCCTCGCCCTTACATCACCACCCCACCACTCACCACTGCGATCATGTCTCCACATCCCCCTCCCCCTTCCCCTCTCTTTAAACTTGCTTTTCTCCCGTTTCACCAACCACCCCCCCATAGCCTTCTTCCACCGCCCTTCTCGAAGCCGTGAGTGCCGCGTTAGCGTAAGATGAGGCGGACTGGGTGGGGAATAGGCGGGGTTTTGGGGGTTGGTGGTGGTGGTGGTGGTGAGCCTTGGGGCTGGGGCGTGCGGCTGGAGTGGAGGGGTAGGGGGGGTAAGGTGGCTGTGCGGGGATTGTTTGTGTGAGGACGGTTGTGGTTGTGGTGGTTGGAAATCGGGTGTGGAAGTGGCTGGTGGAGATGTGGTGGTTGAAAGAGTGGTAAGGTCGTGAGATGGGAAAGTTGGTAGGGATAGTTAGTGGGATTGCTGCCTGGATGAGGGGATAAGAGTCGAGAGAGTTGTTGTTGAGGTCGAAGTGGGAGGGAGAGTGAGAGATGTGCGATGGATGGAAAGAGTACATCGGACTGCACTGTAATTGTATGGCGCAGCAAGTACCATACAACCAAATAATCATGATCTCCAAGTAGCGCCTGTCAGTGTGGGTGGTGTACTGTCAAACGTCAAACCCACGGCCCGGCGACGGCCCTGACATGACTCGCACCAAGACAATGATGTGATGTTTCACTGAAACGTAAAAAGGGCTGACTGACTCTAATCCACAATGCAGTGTCCACAATCCAATCCACACCACACTGCGACCGACGGCATCGCGGGACCAGGAACAAGGGACAAAGGGGACCATTGAGCCCTGAACCACGAAAACCGCGAACCACGAAACAACAAACCATCGAACCCTCGTCGTCGAGCAACAACAACACATGGAGAGGCACATATGGGATAGCATATCTAGCATCCCCGCAGCGCATCTGCACCTGCATCAACACCTCCTCCTCTCCTGCACGTCCACCTGCACCGCCTCTAACGAGGCTTGATCATCGGCGCTGTCTAGACGACAAGACAAGTGAGTGGCCCAGTGCACTGCTGAGCTGTCTAGTTCTGGCGGAATGTTCTGGCGGAATGTCTGGGCCGGCGGAGGCTGTGTCGGCCTTGGACAGGGCAGGGTTTTCGGTGAGACTTTGTAGACGGCCAGGCAGTGGAGACGGCCAGCTGCTGGGTGCTAAGAGGTGCTAAAGAGGTGGAGGAGGACTGAACTGCTGAGCCAGTTAGCCTTTGCGCACGAGGCTGAGGGCGTAGAGTGCCTTTCCTGCCCTGCCGAGGTGGGGGGGGAGACGGGGGGAGACGGGGGAATGAGAAGAAGGTGCTTACGGTACTTGGGGCAACAGCACGATATAGACAAATGGATCATGATATTGGCTCATTCATGGATCAATAATGGTCAATCATGGGTCAATCGATAAACCGACGAGGCTGTGTTGCGATGGGGAAGGTGCGAGAGTGAACTGTATGGTGGATATTCGCTCTAGAGTATAATATTGCTTCTTGCTTCTTACCTCTAGGTAGACTGATGCCATGGGGATACTATGCAGTTGTACCTTCTGCCTGTCCTATCTACATGTACCTCTTGTCCTTGCTTACTAGCTCTACCACACCACACTTTAGACACTAGGTACACTCTCCCACGACAGCTCTCAGGTACCCTAACACATTATCCCCACCCACCATCATCACCATCTCCTCCTCCTCCACTTACTTGCACCACAACCACAGCATTATCGCTTAAGCGCGCCGCGCCCTGTACTCACTTCGCGCCCTGTCCCATCGCAGCAGCCACCTAGCCAGCCAGCCGCATCTAACCTCCCACCTTCAACGTCCACTTCCACTCCCATTCCACTTCAACCTCCTCCATATCCACCTCTCCACCTTCTCCAACTAAAAAAAACACTCTCCTCCATTGTACACGACGCCATCTGCGCATAACCACACGTGAAGCTATATACTCCAGTCCACTCTTCGACTCCAACTTCGACTCCAACTCCACTACCCGCCGCGCGCAGGGCGCCAGCTCATCTCAAGGCTGCGAAACCATGTGCACCACCCCCACCGCTCTCTGACCTCCGCGCATAAACCCCAAAGACGGATCTATATACAGCCCGTCCCGCCGTCCACCTTCTTTCCCCTCCGCGAAGAATGTCCTCCAGTGTCGCCTCAGGCGCAACCCCCTCGCCCTCCATCGACCCGCGCCAGCTCGACGGCTCCTCGCCAGACTACCCTCACCATGCCCCGGCCGCGCCCCTAGACGCCGCATACCTCTCCTCCTACCAATACCAGCACTACAGTAGCTCCTCGAGCCCCTCCGCTCTCACCCCAGGCAACCCCGTCTCCGAGAACAGCGGCTACAGCGAGTTCAGCGACTACGGCGCCGACGAGTTCTTCGGCGTCAACTTTGACGCAGACGGCCAAGATCTCATCATTGGCTCAGACTCCCAGGGACCGTCGCCGCCGCAGACGACAGGACTGGGATTCGACCCGCTCCTGGATAACGAGGCCACGCCTGATACACCCCCAGCTGTGACCGCGCCGCTGATGACGCCCGACCCCACGAGGTCACGGAAATCATCGCCCAACTCCAATCGACCACCCGCAGTGAAGACGTTTATCCCCCGCGTCTCTGCGCCAGAAGACGGGCTGAACAGCGCATCCTCGCCGTCCTCCTTCAACCTCTCCGTTAACACGGCGGAGCAACAGGCAACCCCTGATATGAGCGGCAACACGAGCCACACCAGCGCCGAGGGCGTCCCAAATAGCATGGGTGCCTTTGCTGGGCACAGTCCCCGTGTGACCCTGACCACGTGGAACAGCACCGAGGAGCGCGAGCTCTCTACTGACCCGGAGGATCAGGGCACTACAGTCGGTGCTGCGAGCGAGCGGGGACTGCAGGGCTACTTCGCCCCGCGCGATGCGGAGCACTCGAGCGCCTACAACATCCAGATCTCCGTCGCGAAGAGTTCGAATGGGTCCTCGGTCGACGACGATGAAGATGAAGGGGGCGCGCGCAGGGGCTTCGATCCGGTGCGCCGCAAGTCCTTCTCGGATGCCGAGATACCGAACTTCAAGGATAGAGCGCGCAGCGAGGAGATCGAGGCCAAGAGGCGCGAAGTAGAAGAGTGGCGGTCCCAGGCAGGCGACAGCTCGGATGAGCAGGACGATAGCCCGACGCGCCCGCCACTTTCTGGCCTTTCGGCCCCAGCGCCTAATCGCGGGAGATCCCTGAGCACGGGCGCAGTGCCACATAGCCAGAACTCACCGCGTGGATTTTCGTCGTGGGCACCGGAGCCGCCGCATATCCAGACCTCGGCCCTAGACGCCGAGGCAGAGGAGGACAATATCAGGCCCGTGTCGCCGACGGCGAGTATCCGCGAGAACAGGTTACAGGATGGGCAGACCTACTTTAATAAGGGGGCGTCTAATATCACGGATGAGGATGTGATACTGATGCAGCAGTCGCGGCACTTTAGTGATGCGGCAACTTTTCCGAATATCGTAAGCCCGTCGATTGAAGGGAAGGGCACTTCGGCGAAGGAGATGATGGAGAAGTGGAACGCAGCTGCGGACTCGTTCTCCATCATCTCGCGCTCCGCGACGTGGGGCACGCGACGGCGTCGACTCAGTGCGCCGAGCGTCAAGGAGATCGAGGCCATCACGAGCGGAGGTTTACTGAAGCGGCTGTCCTTTGGCAAAGGGAACGAGAAGAAACCCGGTATCCTTAGCACGATAAACAACGCATTCGGGAACGTCGTACGGAAGAAGAGCGTGGGTGAGCCCGGGAAGCTGAAGCGCAACCGGAATATCGACGCTGTCGACCGTGGCCGCCCTCCGTCGTCGCCACTAGGCAAGAAGGAGAATAACACGACCAGTACGCTCGCGCCGCCTCGATCGCCTAGTGGCACCAGGGTACGGCCGCAGTCGCCGCGCCTGACTACGAGTTTTGGGAGGGAGTTGACGCCTGGGGATGGCGGCCATAGCCGGCGCGCGTCAGTAGGAAGCACGAACTCGGTTGGCGGCTTCTTCACTGGCGTGGGCAATGCCATCCGACGCAGTAGGAGTAAGAGTGAGCTCAGCACCGAGGCTGGGCTGACGGGTATAGCAGGCCAGTGGATGAAGATGGGCGGTCCGCCGGTGCCTACTCTCACCTCGCCACCTATTGATGCCGATGAGGAGTATGGGTTAATTGACGACCAGCCGATGCATGATGTGAGCGATATGGATTTGGATGCTGATGATGATGATGATGATGACCTTGCCGACGATGGCGACTTGCAATTTGACCTTGATACCCCTATTGTAGCTACGATGGACGGCTTTCGCGACCATGTGCGCAAACTCAACCCGATGATGGAGCCAGGATACCTTGTGGACCGCCTCGCACACCAGCAGATGGTGCGGTATAAGTGCCTGCTTGGATGGCGCATCAAGCACCAAGGCGCTATCAGCGACCGTGCCTGCAATGCTCAAGAATTCTGCCTGTCTATGGGCGGCGCGACCAAGTACTACGAGGCCAAGGCGAAGGGCCGCGCGGGAGCCAACAAGGCCCTACCTATCGACGGCGACGGGTCAGACTCGAACCCCGAGAATGCGCTCGGCGCGGAGAGCTTCCCTGACGGGGTGCCGAAACCGCCCGCCCTCTCGCTCCCGGCCGAGTTCGAGTGCCAGCTCTGCTTCAAGGTGAAGAAGTTCCTGAAGCCATCGGATTGGACGAAGCACGTCCACGAAGACGTGCAGCCCTTCACGTGCACATATCCCTCATGCCGCGAGCCTAAGTCGTTTAAGCGCAAGGCGGACTGGGTGAGGCACGAGAACGAGCGGCATCGACACCTGGAGTGGTGGACGTGCCAGATCGAAGACTGCAGCCACAAGTGCTACCGCAAAGACAACTTCCTGCAACATCTCGTGCGCGAGCACAAGCTCCCCGAGCCAAAGACCAAGTCCAAGGCTGCCATCCGGCGCGCTACCGGCGTCGAAGAGGAAGTCTGGGCGCGAGTCGCAGAGTGCCACCACGAGACCCTCGTGCGGCCCGTCGACGAACCGTGTAAATTCTGCGGCAAGGCGTTTGCGAGCTGGAAGAAACTCACCGTGCATCTGGGGAAGCACATGGAGCAGCTATCCCTACCCGTGCTGCGCCTCGTCGACCAGAGAACCGTAGACGCCAACACTATCATCTCCCCCGTCGAGGCGCTGCCGGTGCGCAACCACCACCCTCTCACGCCTACGGGTCCGCAATCCGGTGGGCCGGGGGGGAATAACCTCTACCACGGCCAGGGCATCTCGCCGCCTTTCGCGCACTTCCCGCCTGGTATGGCTGGGTTCCCGCAGAACGGCGTGCGGGGGATTCCTGATTACGGCGGTGAGGGGATGTATCCCAACCCCCAGGCGCAGAATATGGCGTATGCCGGCGCCAATGGGGGAGGGTATGCATATGGCGATAACGCGGGGATGCAGGCACATCACCATATGCAGCAGCAGCATATGCAGCAACAACAGCAACAGCAGGCTGACCTCCTCCGCTCAGCGACCACGTATAATGGCCTCACACCCCTTGAACACACGCCCCTAGTCGACCAATCCGGATTCCCGTCGTATAGCCCACACTCCGTCACCCCAGGGGGTGGGTACGCGTACACCTCCGCATCGGATATCTCGCCCACTCCTGCTGCGTACCCGCCCGGGACGGGGGGCCAGGGGTTTGGGTTCGTTCAGCAGCAGCAGCAGCATTTAACGCCTGAACCGTATATGCCTGCGGAGTATGGTGGGGGAGCGGGGATGGGTGATAGTTTTGGCCTCGGTGTTGGTGTGACGGGGGGTGGGTACGGGGGGATGTCGCACCACGGCCTCCCCTTCTCTGCAGGGGGGCAGCAGATGAAGGTTGAGCAGACGAGCCCGTTTAGTGGTGCTTCTTCGTCGACGACGTCGCGCGGGTTTAATGGCGGGGGCGGTGGTGGATTAGGGGTTGAAGGGCTAGGCGTGGCGGGGATGGGGATGGTGAGGGATCGGAGCGGGAGTGGCGGGAGGCAGATGGCGCAGCAGGGGGGGTTGCAGTTGCAGATGCAGGGTTTGGTGCCAGGACAGCAAGGGGGACAGGGGGGGACGAGTCCGTATAGTGCGGGGAGTTCGGCGGGGGGGATGGGGCATCAGGGGGTCCAGGGGCAGGGACAGTTTGGGGGTGTGATGGGAGGACAGATGCAGGGCCAGCAGATGGGACAGTTGGGCCACCAGGGGGGGTATGCGGATGAGTATTATGGGGGGATGTAGATGTGATGGCTGCTAGTTGTCGCTCTTGAAGACTTTCTCTGTTGGGGTTTAATTTTTTGGATTGCGATTTTGGCGGGTGGTTGATACACTTTTTTTTTTTGGAAATATTTAGGGGGGTGTAGGAAGGGGTTTCGGCGCCTTCGTCATTTTTTTTATATTTTTTCTCGATTTTATTGGCGCGCGGTGGTGGGAGAGGGGGGCTTTTTTTTAAAGGGGGGGGTCGAACGAAGGTGGGGTGATGAGTGGGGGTGGTGAGGTGGGAGGGGAGGGGTAAAGGGGTATATAGAAGATTTATTTGTTCTATCTATTGAAGTTGATTTTATATATTTTGTGGTATTGTGTGGTATTTGTTTGATGTGCTGGTTTTAGGAAGGGAGGTGTAGTAGAGTGGGTGGAGAGGGATGGGACGGGGTGAAGTGGTTGAGTGTATGTGGTATGGAAGAGTTGGGGAATAAGGGGCGGGAGGATTGGTATGTGTTTGGCTGGTTGGAGGTGGGGGTGGCGAATCAAGCATATATATATTGATCTATAGACGCGAAATCGCCACTTCTAGCTAAATATATGGAATGATTGCACTACATGGAATGATTGCACTGCATGTGCTGGACGGAACATCTGTTTGGTTTTACAATCTCGTTGGCCTGTACCGACGAACAGTTTCATTTATATCAGAGTCTCAGCCAAGACGACGATGCCACTACTCTCCCACAAGCCGCCTTAGATCACCTACCTAAGGGAGGGCGCATTCAGTTGATGGTTGAGATAACTTTATGCGAAAGCAGACAAGGACCATTTTGTGGACGCAGGCTTGAAGCCGAGTAAGGAAGTTCTTCTCTGAATATGTATCTCACTCGTTGATCGTTGTTGCTGTCGTTACTCTTGTTGCCGTTGTTGTTGGCCCTTCTTGCTATCGTTTGGCTGTTCTTGTCGTTGTTGGACTATTCTTGCCGTTGTTGATATAATTCTTACTATTGTTGGTCGTTTTTTGCCCTGTTGGTTGTTCATCGGATAGCAATGTTACTGGTGCTGCGTAATCGCTCACTTCTTTCTCATTCTTTCCGCAGCGTCTGGACTTTGTTTGCTTCCTTCTTCTAATGTATTTGGCGCGGAGCATTGGTTCTCAGGAGCTTTATAGAGACATACCTCTATCTATTCCATCTACTCTGCATCCATCTCTTCCATCTCACTGTGATATATATGCCTGAGCTAGTGAGTGTCAATATCATAAACTCTCCTATGAATCACAACATGTCCTGTGGGGGGATTGTGGAATTTTGATATCTCGTGTGAAGATTCCGAGATTAGATGAACTACGAATCACTGAGATGAGACGAGTGTGAAAAAAAGGAATAAAAGTATCATTGATAATTTCTCTCTAGCTCACTCCATTCTCTCACACGGTACTGACCAATACCACCATCGACCCCCCTCCCCTTTATCATTTCAACCCCTTCCCCTTAAATCCTCACAACACTATAACATCCATACCCATACCCATACCCACACCCAAACCTCCCACAATACCCGTTTATCACAACCACAAAAAACACCATCACCAGCATCATCATCAAATACCAAGGGCCCTTTCGCACAATAGCCGAAACAAGACGTTTTGCTGACACTGGGCGCGGGAGAGTTCGCAGATGGCGAGGAGGTAGGATGCGGCGCGGGGCTCTGCGGAAGGGGTAAGGCGCCCATATCAATATCTTCTGTGCTGGGACGCAGAGCTCTCGGCTGGAGGGTGTATGTTTCTCCTCGATCTTGTGTCCCCCATACTCCTCAGTCCCCGTGGTTGATTCCTCCATCCCCTCTCTCCCGCTCCGCCTCCGATGTTTCTTGCGTTTTCCCATCCGCGCGCTGCCTGTCTTTGACGGGGCGGGGACAGGGCCGTTGTGGAAGCGGCTCTGGGCGAGGTGTGTGGCGAGGGCGTGGTGGTTGAGGAAGCTGCGGTGGCAGGGGTCGCAGTCGGGGTGGGACTCACACCGGCGGATGTGGGAGCGGAGGGCGAGGCGGGTTGGGAAGGTGAGGGTGCAGGGGGAGCACGAAGTTTGGGGCGGCATGGTTTGTTCCGTTTTTTTTTTGGTTTTGTTTTTGGAAAGGTGAATGGAATGATAGCTCTAGGGGCTCTGATGAGGTTAGAGGGCGGGGAGTGGACGGTTGATGTATGTTTCTGTTTTAGAAACGGGAGGGCCGATGGAGTGCTGATTCTTGTTTGAGGAAGAGACGGGAATGTTCTGTACGTAGCATGGAACGAGAAGCAGTGACGGGATAATGGAAATAAAATAAAAAACGACTTGGGATTTGCAGCGGATGGTTTCAGGATCTCTTCATTGGGGCCCTTTGTTCTTGCTGTTTCGGGGTTTTGGAATGCGATATTCTGGCGTGTATTCTGAACTCATTCTGTTTCTGGTCGTCCGGTTTACGCCTGCTCATATAGTAGATTAGGCCCTTTTAAGACGACTAGTTTTCCTTGTTAGCCAACAAAGATTTTGTCGAAGGCCGTTCCCACCGCACAACATGCTGTCCTTCAAATATGGCATTTTTTGCTTTTTTTATATGTCTAACACCACCCTCGATGTTGTAAGCCCTATCGCGAGACGTATAAAGAACTGGGGTCTGAGGTGGAAATCCCGGCCAATCCAGCTGGGATGTTGCGTTGACAGGTCCATTCTGTGCCTTCGAACGTCTTCCTGCCGCCCACTCTGCGAGGAAGCTCCTAATTTCCTTGATTCCACCGTTACCTGCTTCGATGGGTATTTTCACGTCCCATTCTGCCATTTCCTCTATAGCCTTGACGTCTTGGTCCCAGCTTGCAATCTCGCGAAAATGAACATCCAGAGTGAGAATCTCGTATATGGTAAAGATAACCTGATCAATGTCGTTGCGGTAGATGTCCACGCTCGGGCTACCAATTTTTGCAGCGAACTCGAAATCGAAGAGCCGGATTTTCCCAGTGACTGGGTCAACCACAATGTTGCGCCCCGCGATATCCTGATGATAGATGCCGAACTTGAAATGCAACTCATCCACGAGAGACGTAAGTTGCTGCAACCAAGCGAAGCGGAACGGGCGCGTTTTGTTTTCATCAAAGGTCCCACCAGGTATGAAAGGGACGGTAAATCCTAGGATTCGTGGCTCAACATCGTCTAACACGATACGTCCGAATGGAACGATCAATTCGTGTTTCGGGAGAGCCATCATAATTTGCAATTCATTCCATATACGATCCAAATGAATATATATCATTGAGTACTTAAAGATGCCGAGCTGGCTTTTTCCGGGGCCATCTTCGTACCGCACCATATCAACTGAATGGCCTACCCTGTCGACCTCCTCCATCTGGGTGCGCATCAAAGTCGTGTGGCCATTTGGCACATCTCGGGGGTCATATCGAGGGTAGTGAACGAACCATGCCGCCTCATCATTTGGGTGTGAAGAAATAGAGACGATATCTCCTTCGTCAGACACTGTGATCTTATGCACAGCAGGGTCAAGCTGGTCAATGTGTCGGCGGAGTATCTTAATCGCATCCGGATCCCGAGGCACCGCTTTTGGTGATCCGGTAACTGTTACCCAGCGTCTCTGGTCACAATCAAGGATATGCCACGAGTAAGGGCCGCCATTAGGTTTATCTTCATATGGGCTCCAAAATCTATAGGTGGGGTCGATCATGCTGTAGGTATAGTGTGAATATAATAGCATATAACGATAATTGCTGTTGAAAAGTGTACTTCAAATCGATTCAACATAGCTCATCTTTAAGTAGATGGCAGAACAAGGCTTTTGAAGTACGAGGGAATATCGAGTCTTTCTTTATGTGCTATGAGTAGGGGGTGGTAGAGCATGTTCATACCGTCCGAGGAATGAAAATCGTCGACGCATACGGATGAAGAGACAAACGAAACTTGCGTATAAAGAGGGAAGATCGAGCCTTTACATTCTTTATCTTGCGGAGTAATAAGGCGACTATCTATTCCCAGTGTATTGAAGCCGTCGAAGTCGACGCATGCAGCCATACCATAGGGGCGAACAAAGAAATAGAGAGAGACCGACGGAAATATAGTCAGCAGCACTATTTCCAGCGATGCCATGATGTTTCCATGCCAGTGCTTGTTAGTGGTGTCATGAAGCCCCTACATATATATGAAATACACTTGATAGTTCGAGAACCTTTCGACACCTATCGACGAGGGCGGTGCCTTGGTGCCTGCAACATCGCTAACACTTGCCATTGTACTATGAAACAACGCTTGATGTGCCATAAAATACTTAAAAAAGACATGTGCCTTCTCCAGTGTAGCTCTTCAGTGTACCTCTCCAGTCCGGTCGTGTTTCCCAAGATACTATTACGTGGCTGCTCCCAAAGAAAACGACAAACAAACTCCAAATGTCTCAGATAGCCCCTGGAAAAACCGGCCAGGATTTGTCAAACCACTTGGTTATAAACCCGGTAACAAATTGCTGCTGTGGCCATTACGCTTATTACTCGGCAATTTGTGGTCACCAATATCAGATGATATCTCATCAATGCGGGAAGGTTACCGGTCCATCACTACATGCCGTATTTTGCAGGACTCCAGCCCCGATACATATCATACAAGGTGTTAAGGTTGACGCAAGTTGCCCGCTATGCTGAGCCTCCTCGCAAGTCAAAGAACCAGTCAAGCCAGTTTGTTTGGTCTGTTGGAGCTGAAAAGAGCTTGGATGAGCTTGATCACCGGAGGTAACGACTGTTTCCTTACTGTTCGCTTCTGGCATCTCACCTCTCAGCATCTGACACACGCAAAGCAGACGCCTCCATCATCGCCCTCTTCACTATCCAGTCCATGCTCTGTTCCGTTCCTGTCGCCAGTTTTGCTGTTACATTTTTCCCACTCGCGTCAAGTTTGACTGGCGATCCGCTGTTTGTGCGTTTCGGATTGGCAGTTATCATATCTCAAGTTCTATGCCTCGGCGGGAAAGGACATAGGCTATGAGCCCCATTACATCAGAAAATGGTTGGCAGAGGCTAACAACAACACGTTCTGGCAAGGGACGATTCTGGGAAGGGACGATTCTGGGAAGGGACGATTCTGGCAAGGGACGATTCTGGCAAGGGACGATTCTGGGAAGGGACGATTCTGGGAAGGGACGATTCTGGCAAGGAATGAGATGGTTATGCTTTACATTAGCAATTAAATGCCAATCCCTCTATAACTACTGCTACTACCGGCAAAAAAACCCCCCTGACGGCTTTCCTCCTCGTGAATATATACAAGCTAGTTTTTGCTACTCCTTTCTTTCACTGCTCTAAAAAAAAGCATTTGTGATCATTGTAGTACCAGTCGTATGCAGTGATTGGAATGAGAGTAACAGGGACAGTAAGACTACCTGCTTACAACCCCCACCCCCCCCCCCCTTTTTTCTACCCATCAACATCCCCCCACCCATTCAAGCTCAGGCTCCCAGTGCTATCACCGTCCTCCCCAACCTCAGACACCGAGGTAGCCAAATACGAACACCCTCCCCGAGCGCGAGCAATTACGAATGAGGTACCGGATATGTGCGAAGACGAGTTGTATGGATAAAAGACTAAAGTGCCCATACTTGCTTGTCCTGATAGTTATATTTATGTATGCTTTGGGTTTGAATATTGTGAATATTATCCTTTCGTCTTGAAGTCTCACATTTACCCTCTTCTTTCCCCTAACATAGCGATGAATGGCCGGCTACAACAAAGGTTTAAACTTTAAATAACGGTAATAAATAGCTTTATATTAACAGTTATAACAATCGCCGTGGTCATTACTTATTCCCTACCCCAAACGCCGTATACCGGCCCCGACCACGCCCCCAAAAAAGATATCGCTTCCACCCCAAAAAACATAATCCATAAAATCCCACACCAACCCCCCTTTTGAGGAGGTCCTTCAGCAAATAACATGATAAACCCTCTTCCACCTCGGCCACTCCTCCCTCTCCGCCCTCTCCGCCTTCAACATCTCCGCCAAATTCAACTCCCTAATCCCCGTCTTAAGATCCATCTCATGACACCTCCACACCTTCGTCCCATACGTCCACTTATACCCCACAAACATCACAATCACAATCGGCGCCGCCAGGTAACCCAGGAAGAAATTCCGCACCTGCGCGGCCATCGTCATGTTACCGTAGCCCACCGGCCATCCCCCGGTCCAGAATTGCGCCACGAGAACGAGGCAGTTGAAGATGAAGCCGATCCAACTCCCCACCACCCCGGGCTGGGATACAAACGCCAACTCGTCGAGCGAGTGTCCCTGGATGCGCCAGGCGCGGCGGAAGCGGATGTGAGCGAGGCAGATGGAAGCCCAAGTGAAGATCGAGCTGAGTCCCGAGAGGGCAAGCATCCAACTCAGAACCGCGTTCTGCTGATCGGAGTTAGCAGCGTAGGCGATGAAGCCGAGGGCAGAGGAGGCGCAGATAGCGACCACAGGGCGGCCCTTGCGATCTACGTAGCCGAGGATCTTGGGAGCTTGTCCCTGGTCAGCGAGTGCGGCGAGGGTGCGTGAGGAGCCGAAGACGGAGGAGTTTCCGACGGAGAGGACGGCGATGAGGATTACAGCGTTCATTACCGAGGGGAGGACAGCGATGCCAGCGTCTTCGATGGCGATGACGAAGGGGCTGGAGGCACTGTCGCCGCGGTTTTGGTTGCTGGTGAGGAGGCGGGGGTCGTTGTAGGGGACGAGGAGGCCGACGAGGGTCAGGCTGACGATATAGAAGAGGGTGATGCGCCAGAAGACCTGCTTGATGGCTGTGGGGAGGGATTTTCGAGGGTTGGCGGTCTCGGCGGCGGCGAGGCCGACGAGTTCGGTGCCGGCGAAGGCGAAGGCCGCGTTGACGAAGACGGAGCAGAGGCCCTTGAAGCCGTCGCGGAATGGGCCGGGGTCGACCCAGAATTTGCCGCCGATGTAGCCGGTGGTGGGTCCGCCGACGCAGTTGATGATGATGCCGAGGAGGATGAAGCCGATTACGGCGATGACTTTGACGATGGAGAAGAAGAATTCGGCTTCTCCGTAGCCTTTAACGCCGAATAGATTGATACTGATGATGAGGAGTAGGAACACCGTCACAAATACCGAGGGATTGATACTCTTATTCCAAAACTCTATCGTTATCGTAGCTGCAATAATTTCCACCGGAAGGATAATAAGCCATTGCATAGCATAGCTGCTTCAATCAGTAAAAACTCATAGGAGGCGAACAAGAGGTAACTCACTTCCAACCCATAGCAAACCCCCAAGCCGGATCAAGAAATCTCGACGAGTACGCTGAGAAAGACCCCGAAACAGGATACAACACAGCCATCTCGCCCAGCGCATGAACCGTGCAGTAAAGCATACACCCCGTCAACAGAAACGAGATAAGCAGCGACGCCGGGCCACCCGCATTGAGCGAGCGCCCCGACGCCACGAACAATCCCGTCCCAATACTCCCACCAATAGCAATCATCTGCAGATGCCTCCCCTTCAGCTTCCTCGCCAGCCTCGTATTCGCCGTCCGCAATATGGCCTGGTTCGGGTCGTAGACCCAGTCCTGGTGATCGACATCGCCGAGGTCGCCGAGAGGGTCGATGATATGCCGGTTCGGGTCGCGGCGGAAGCTGTCGATGAAGTGGTGGGGGAGGGAGCGGCGGCGGGGTTTCTCGTAGAAAGGCTCGCCGTTGAAGGAGCCGGGGGTGTCGTAGAAGCCGGGGGAGTTGGAGGTTAGGGAGGGGTTGGAGCCCTCGCCCTCTTTGGGGTCGGAGTGGTTGGGTAGGAGGCCTCGCATGGTGGCGGAGCTGCGATTACGAGGTCGTGTGAGTGGTGATAGTTCCTTTGGGGAGTCGTGAGGGGGTTGGTGGTTTACTCATATGAAGCTTGAGGCGGTAGGTGGGCGGTCGGGCTGTGGCAAGTGCGGGGAGTGAAGTATGTGATGTCGGTGTATATACAATCCAAATAAATGGCGAATATGATAGACGGAGAGTTCGAGAGCGAGGACGGCGTGTATTGACGCTTATCAGTCACCGCTTGGGCATGAAACCCTTGCGGGAGACTCGACGCGGGTTGTACAAGGCGAACTCAGAGAGGATCGGATAGCGTATGCTGCGAGTGTAGAGAGGGAGACCGAGGGAGGGCAGACATCGACAGAGTGCGCAGAGGTGGCGTATGGGTATAGCGACCGATGAAGCAGCAGAGATACGCACGGCAATAAGGATTGAAGGACGGCGATAGCAGAGAGGTTGTTGACGGTAGACTGGTTCAGTAGTAGTAGTAGTACGGCTACAGTAGTGCATTGTACCGCGGTGGATAACCAAAAGTATCTTTGAGGCGCGGGAAGTGTGGTGTGCGACAAGTTGGAGCGGGCGAAGCTAGGGAAGAGAAGACCCACTTTAATACCCTCAATGGCCCCAAGGGTCGAGATAAAGCGATAAAAGCCATAAAAGCCCAGATATGACGTTAGCGAGCATGGGACCCGCTTATTTTTGTGCTGGCGATTAGAAATGAACGGCTGTGATTGGCTGAATCCCCTTTTCCCCAGCTTCCATTTTTACGTGTCTTACCAATGTTGGGGTGCAGGTATATCAGGCACGTGAAAGATGGGGTCCAGGGGCACGTGCTCATGGACTACAGTTTATCACTCATACAATATGGTCGTTATAAACATATAAACAAGCAAATATGACACCAATCTTACCCATTTTAACCTTGGCATCCTCGAAAACATCTCCACTCCAAGCGTGCGCCCTACACTCCCCGGTGGAGATCCGTTGCCGCCCCATCACGGAAGCCTCGTTAAGAAACTCCACGCCCTGCCACGCCGGCTCCACAATCTCCAAGAAATCCCGACCTTCCCAATCGGGCCTCAAACCACACGCGCGCACTTACCGTAAAAAGCAAACTCAGCAGAGAGCAAAAGATGAGTGTGTATAGTAAAGTAAGTGAGTGTAGTATTCGCAATATTCCATTGTACGTATATATGTAGCTGTTCGATTTTGGTATCAAAGTCGCCCCCTAATCTCTCAACAAGAAAGTTTCTCGTGTGTAACGAAGAAGAAAGAAGAACCAAACGCCACCCTATCCTGCAATCCTGACAGGTCCCGTGTGTACAGAAGATACATACAGTATGTACCACATCTCCAAACCCCCCTTACTTCTTACTCTGCACCCTTCTCCTTCTCCTTCTCCCCCTCCTTCTCCCCCTCCTTCTCCTTCTCCTTACTCTCTCCCTCCTTAACCTCCCCCCCAACCACCACCTCCGGCTCCTCAAAAACAACCTCAACATCCACCCCCTCCCCCGTCAACGGCCCAAACGCATCCACTTCCTCCACCTCCTCCTCCTCCTCCTCAATCGTGGTCTGCTCCCCGCTCCTCCTCCCCACCGCGCTCGTACTCCTACTATGCCCATGCCCATGCGGCTTCTCCGGCTGTCCAGGCTGGACATTCAGCATAGGGCCCTTAAACACGCTCCTCTTGCGCTTCGCGAACACCAATCCCCCCATCCCCTCCCTACCCCACTGCGCGCTCTCATTGAAGCTGCTCATAGGCGGGTTCCGCACTAGTCGCACGTTGGTGGGGAAGGATGTCGCGGTTGGCGTGGCGGGGAGGACTTTGACGGAGTGGTGGGGGCTGCGTGCGCCGATGGGGGTTTTGGAGACGGCGTCGGAGCCGTTGGAGGAGGTAGAGGAGGCTTTGGAGTGCGAGTGGCGGTGGCGGTGGATGCTGCGGATGCTGCTGACGGAGCTGCTTGTTGATTTGCGCCCGCGGAGACCGCTGGAGCCGCGGCGGAAGGTGGAGCGTGGCGTTAGGGGGGATGGGGAGAGGGAGTGTCGCTTGTTGGATGAGGAGCCGGTGTAGATCCGGGGCGGGGCTCCGTAGCCTTGTTTGCCGTTGGCGAGGGATGGTCCCAGTGAGGCAGAGTGGGGGGGATTGGGCCTGGAGTTGGGCGTTTTGGGACCTCCTACATTTGGCGACATCGAGGACTTCGGCACTAGATTAGGCGTTGACGTGCTAGCTTTGGCGTTTGGAGATCGTCCGCGCTTTGTAGATGTGATGAGCCACTGTTTCCAGTGCGTGAGCTGTGCCAGGAAGGGGTACTGATGTCGACGGCGAGGAGCCCGAATTGCAGTGTTAGGATGGAGGAGGTCGGGGTTGGAGGAAGTAACTAGCTGAAGTGTGCTGCCGCGGCTTCTTGCACCTCGTATCGTTCCCTCCTTGGGCGGCGGTATGGGTCTGCGGTGACGTGACGAGCTGACTGAGCGGACATTATCCTTTTCGATGGGTGGCGGTGGGTTGCTACCGAGTGGTGAGTTAAGCAGTGAATTCTCAGGCAGACCAGGAAGGTCTGTGAGAACAAGTTCGGGGTAATGCGCGCTTCTCCTTTCTTTCCTGCCTCGGCCTTTCGGAGGATCTGGTCGAAGGGTCGAATCTCCATCTTCTTCATCAACGTCTCTGAGTGTAGGTGCATGACGGCTGCTGGCAGCGCTCAGCCTTCGATTTGCTCGTATCTCGGCTTCTTTCTCTCTCCGCTTCTGCTCTCGCCGCCTGTGTTTGCGTTCTTCCTTCTCCAGGAGGAGAGTCCACCATCCGCTTAATGGATCACAGCGCTTGGCCAAGACATTCTCTATAACATGGTCTATTTCCACGCCAGCACTTCGCATGCGCTCTAAGACCTCTTTTTCTAATGGAGTCGAGAATGGAGAAGGTTGCTGCAGCTTCAGAATGGCTTGTTGTTGCGGTGCATGCTCCGCCAAAAACGGATCCGCAAGGATATCCGACAGAGTTGGTCTCAGTAGCGGCCGCTTCGACAATAGCTTCCCTATAAGAGCTCGTGCTTCTTGTGGTAGGTGGTCTGGGTATTTCGGGTCGTCCTTTAAAATCTTGGCGCGCATAAGTTGTTCGTCGTCTTCATCGAACGGCAGTTCTCCGCATAGAACTGCATATAAAATCACACCCAAACTCCAGATATCGACCTTCTCTCCGGCATATTTCTCTCCCTTCAACATCTCCGGGGCGCTGTATGCAACCGTTCCGCAGAACGTCTGCAGATAGCTTGATTTCCCCTCATATTCGCGTGTAAACCCAAAATCGCAAAGCTTCACGTTTTCGTTCTTGTCTAGTAATATATTTTCGAGCTTGAGGTCGCGGTGTACGCAAGAGAGGTTGTGAACGTATGAGACAGCTCCGACGAGCTGTGCGAATATCTTCTGCACCTTGTCGACAGGGAGAGCGCCTTCTTTCAGGAGGTAGTTATACAATTCATCGCCTGCGGGCACCATTAGCTCTCGATTCCTCGCCCAAGCAAGGCTGTATACATACCAGGACAGTATTCCAACACCAACCATACTAGGTTCTCCGTAACTATGACTTCATATAATCGCGCGATATGAGGATGTAAGAACTGTCGATGGTGGTGTATTTCGCGCGCCAGATTCGAGTCATCCTTCTTCGCAGACTTCAACACAACCTATCCCAAGATCAGTAACCCAGTCCACAAGGATCATGCAAGATATACACACCTTCGAGCCATTCGTAAGCTTATGCGAGGCCAAATAGACCTTCCCAAAGCTCCCCTTTCCAATCAGCCTCCCCAGCGTATAATTTCCCACCGAGCGCAAGTCCTTGGATGAGAACTCCCTACACGTAAGTCAGCAGTGGACTCATACACGTCGATATTTCGGGTCCAACTAACTCCAACAGCTGCTGGTACGAGTTCGCAAGCTACAATCGCAAGACGTCAGCACTCCGTTGTCGGAAATCGCGAGACGGCGGCGGCCACCGCCACCACTACCACCCCCCGAGGATAAATTACACACCTTAGCTTTCCGGCCCTGGGAGTCAGCCTTCAGCTTAGCCGCCTGCATACCAACGATCACCGTCTGCGCCGCCTAAAAGATCCTGTAGACGCCTGCGCGAACATTCAAGCCGCGTCGCCAATGCGGAGATGAGCCGAATTGGGGGTTCCAGAGCGCGCGGTTCGAGGATGGGTTCGGCACAGGACTTTGTTGGGTCTGGAGATTGCGGGAGCGTGCGGGGAATATAATATTTTCTAGAAGGGGATCGAGGTGTGTCTCGGGCTCGTACACGATTTATTCAACACGGAAAACAAATATACAGAGGTCATACACGGGCCCGTTGGTCGTTCGAAAGTGGCTTTGGGCAGGGATCCAACCCATGTGGTACGGTCTTCAAATGATAGGAGGTTTGGGCATGGTCCGAGCGTCTAGTGCATTTTAACATTATCGCTCCCGTCACGCGAACCGCGATTACAGGACGCAAATGGTCGTCGTAATCCATGCTATCATTGGCATTTTATAAATAATTAGTATTTCATTACAACCATACAGCTTCATACACTTGTTTTCGTGCGAATGCTAGTCTGCAATGCGAATAACTCCTCGCTGGCCCAGTTGATATAACGTCTATGTTTTCCTTGTTCCAAACGCCCCGCCCCCTGTTCTCCCTTAAGCCCGATACTCCCGTCGATTCCTGTGAGCCCTCCCTGGCCTCGCAGATGATGATATGACAATTGGTTCGCGATTAGGTCCGAATCGGTTACTTAAAATCGGTGGATCCAAACGGTATTGGGCTCGCCGACGCGATCTCGAAGGTGCTTCGATCCTCCGAGGGGCATCCCTTTGGCCTTCGTAAAGTGGGCTTTCACGAGCTGTTGCGTCCCTCAAGTCAGATTGATGTTGTGCAAACATCATACTAATCCGGGGGTCATACTCTTGTGCAGGTGATATTTGGGCAGGACCTCCTCGCCTACGCCGATTTCTTGGGGCTGGAGGAGCAGCAGGTTGCCCCAACCATATGTCGGGATGGGGCAAAAAATCGTCCGGAGCGTTGTGGCTTAATAGGTCAGGCTCTGGAACACTGCCCCTCATACTCGATTTCGCGTCCATTTCGATATCTCCGTCTTGATCAGTGGCCTCGTTCTCGTCGTCCGAGGCGTCGTATCCAGGAGCGGGCGAGGATGACCGTTCCTCGTCATGGTCTTCTGAATTTTCCTCGAGGCTTTGCTCCCTGGAACTTTGCGGTCCCGCGGAGATTCGCTCACGCTGCTTCTTTGCCCTCGATCCGCTACGTCTGTGAAACGGACATCTTTGTGCCTCTGGTTCGCCAGCGCGGCGAGATACCGCAGGTCCATCATTGCGGCTTGCTGCACCCTCATCATCGACGTCGTCCAATTCGTGGCGCCCAACTGTAGTTTCAGAGTCGCTGTTGTCCGAATGGTGGTCCACTCCAGAAAACGGTTCACCTTCGTCGTTTTCGCTATCATCACCATGGTCCAAGGGACTGTAACCGCCATTCCTAGCAGAGCTATCGGATTCGTGCTCGTCGCCTATGCCAGGGTGATTTGCTGCCTCTGGCTCCCCTTGACCATCTCCAGAATCTGCTGAAACTTCGGAGTCTGAGTCCACTACAATTGGTCGATTGGGCCGCCTTCTCCTTCCCTGTTGGCGCGGTCTCGACGACACCACTTCCTCTTCTTCCTCTTCCTCTTCTTCGTCCGAGTCGTCACTGTCGCTGTCGCTGTCTATAATTTGAGGCCTTGACCTGCGTCCAACTGCAGGAGAGCTGTCATCTGGCTCAATGAAGTCCATCATTGATGATGTTGTCTCGTCTCCGTCGCTTTCTTCTTCCTCGCTCTCGTCTGAATGCTCGCCTCTTCCGCGAGACTCTCGGGCTTCCAAATGCACGGGGTGAAGAAATTGATGATAATGAGGGTGGTGATGGTGGTGGTGGTGGTGGTGACCTGGGTGATCTTCAAGGAGCTGGCGGACATCTTCAACTTGGACGGCCCCATCGAATGGATTGAACCAACCCATCCCATCTCGAGGGTCGAAGCCATGGAAGAAGTCATCATCATCCATATCATCTTCAGCCTCCTGTGCATCTTCATCTTCATCCTCTTCATCATCCAAGTCGAACTCCATTTCTTCTAAGTCGCTGAAATCGTCTCGTATAGCCTCGTCCTCTCCCTCAAAGTCCACGCCGCAGTTTTCGCACAACGGACCCCCTGTAAATTCATGCCCACAGTGAGAGCAAACGTGCATACGGTCCGCTTCGTCGTAACGTATATTACCCAGCCGGGCAGTGCTGAAACAGCCCTTGAATAACCCTTCGTCGGAAATCCTGTCGGTCTCAACTGCCTGGTTTTCTTCCTTTCGCCTTTTGACGTGCTGTTCCGCACTTTCATCGGCTGGCATAAGCTCAACGCGATTCACGAATATCTCCGCCAGTTGCTTGATCTATAGCAGATTGTTAGAAATATGCTAGACTTGAGAATTATATAACACATACCACGAATGCCGGAGCAGGCATTGCCTTAACTGCACTTCGGCAATCTGGGCATGACTTGGACCGTCTATTTGGCAAAAACCAGTTGCACAGACACTAGGGAAGTTAGTTTAACGCATTCCACGGAACCTATCCCAGCAACTTTGATATGAACTGGTCGTATTGAGAAGACATACACTATAACAATATGTATGCCCACATGCGAGCATCCACGGTTCGTAGAGAAGCTGGTCACAAATGGTGCAAGTGACGAGCGATTTTATATTGTCAAGGTCGGCCTTGAAGATATCTGCGAGCTATTAGGTGATATACGTTAATATAAACACGTACACATATAGGTCGGGGGCAAAAGAGAGAGTCTCACCTCCATACTTGGTGCTATCTCCGTTGCGAACTTCGCTATCGCAACTGTTGACGTGCCTGCTGTGTCGACTGATTCTTGGACAACTAAGCTTCTTTCGGGAGTATCCAGTGAAATTACGCTCTCCCTACGGGAGGTCCTTGAGGGCGCCATAATGGCCGTGTATCGTTGAGGTAGGTGGGGGATGAAGTGTTGTTGATGTGAAGAAGACTGCGTCAAAAGTGAGGCTGCCAAATAAAAAGGGTCCCCTGATGCGTGCCTTGGGGGTCTAAGGCAACTTTTCGATTTTCTGAGCAAATGATCTATCGTAATGACAGTTTAAATGCTCATATATGTGGATAAAGAGCAGGTGTCAGCTTCGACAAGCCCGTTGCTTAAAGGAGGCGAACATGAACAAGGGCATGACAGTAGTTTAGGTGCCGACAACCCAACGTCGAATTGCCCACCATTATCGCGTGAGTACTAGCGCGAGATTTCTCCAAACACGCCTGTGGTGCGGATTTAAGGTTTTGACGCTATCCACATATAGCTTAATGTGATGCTTACATAAGATACTTACTCAACAGTGACACCCTTCCTATGAAACCACAGTGCAGGTAGTACTACGGGTAACTTTGCCCTTGAAAAGTCTCAGAGAGGGGGCAATATAAATTGAACTTCATTTGGAAAATCATCGGTGAACTCCAGAGATTAATGTATATACTAGCAATTAAACTTGCACTGTAACAATCATACTTTGCTCCTAGCGATAATCCCCTTATCACGATATAGTCCCGACTGCGCCGGAGCTGTCTTGTCAAGCTGCATCGGCTTAAAGCAGCACGCGAAGCGAAATAATTGCAGTGGCTCATAAACACAAAACATTATGTGGTTTTTTTTCGCGTTTATAGCCTCTTCTCTATCCAAACCAATTTGGGGTCAACGAACCATCATATCACCGATCTCATATTCCTACATTCAACTGCTACGAAAGCTTGCTGGCTTTCGTTCGAGAAGCGTATGGTGCACAGTGTTCCTCTCATAACATTTTGTGTTGTCTCGGTTGGCGTCGTCGGCGCAGCAGCCCAAAATGGGGGCCTTCTTCCCGGACCCGCGCACGCAGCAGCATGTCCCTATATGCAATGCCATTGAGGCCGGGGACTTCAGGCAGGCGTTGAAGCTTGTAGAGAAACGCTTAGCTAAGACCAGTGACACGTACTTGGTGGTAAGTCACTTTCACTCATCTGGGCATCCAATGGGTCGCCGCTTTAAGACACCCAGTCACGTGCACAGTCCTCCTTGTTATACTTCCCCTACAAGCGGTGGACACAAGCCAACACAAGCTGTCTAAATACTTGTTGGCCTTGCCAGAGCTGACCTTGCTAGGCTTTGAGGTGCTTTATACAATCACAGCACGATCTGGCTGTTCACAGAAACACAGCATACATTCGCCTTGCAACCTTGAGCCAACCAGGTTGCAAGGAGATCATCTCAGATATTGATGAGCTGAATATTTATGAAGAAGCTGCCGCAGCCATGTTTCCTAACCAAGAAGAAAAGAAGGCAGCTGCTTTCACTTCGAAGATGCGTCTCGCAGCTGTGAGGGCAAACCCGAAGAAAGAGAAACTCGCCCAAGATTGCTTCCATGTTTGTGTCAAGCGTTCTGATTGGGATTACGCACAACAGGTATGTTCAGATCGGAAGTATTTCATTGGTCATTATTTAACGTCCCTCATCATTTGCTCCAATGTTCTTCAGGATCTGTTGCAACAGATTTGCGTCCATGTTCTGAAGATCTGTTTCAAACACGCAATATCATCAACAGACTTTATACTAACCGAGTGTCAGATTGCCACTGTCCTTGAGAAGAACTTCCCGGGAAACCATGAGTATCCTTTTTGGAAACTCACTGCTATCCTTACCTTCACTGTGAGTATTTATCTATCTACATATGGAAATCAATAGCTGACCTAATATAGGAAACCCGTGAATGTGATCCACAGAAGAGACATATTCTGCTGACCGTGGCAAGCCGCATCATGCAGACATTTGCAGATGCCACCATCGAAGCAGCTGTATGTACCAAACCACATCAGTCATCGTGTACAGTCCATGCTAACGAAGTTTAGGGGAAATCCCCTCTCCCGGTTAGGTCTCTGCAAACCCCACAGGAGCTTTTGCTATTCCACAGAATATTGCAGGCCACCGGCCAGACTGCAGCTCGTTTGAAGGCTTATAAAGACCCATATATTGGAGTCTCTTCAAAGATTGCCAAAGGAGAATGGGTTTTCAAAAGGGATCATGTTCTTCTATTGGAGGATGAAGGAGAATGGCAGGAACTGGTTGATGTCTGTAACGATCTATTGGAGGGAGCACAGTCAACGACTACGGGAAAAATGATTGATGCTAGAGGCGCTGATTGGAAAGTGTGGGAGGCATTTATCACTGCGGCGATTGCCCTCCAAACCAAAGAGTAAGTCAAAGAAAGGACCGCTCGAGAGACCCTTATTATACCAATCATGCACTAATTTGGGCAGGTCTCACGACAAAGTTCGTGATCAACTCAAAGCGCATCTAGCTCCTACTTCGGGCCTCAACAAAACATACAAGCGAAACGCTTCATTAGCGAATCTATCTTTCTGCTTCGAATTGCAGAAAGACGGCGAAAATCGTACCTTTGTGATCCCGTCAGGATCTCGTTTCCCTGGAATTGACCCTAGACAAGCCGCTCTTATGACGCACCTATCCCAATATGGACATACAGCTTCAGCATTTGGCGATGTGAAACGCTATGTCGAGACGTTTTCACAGGGAGAGATCGCGGAGTTATTTGGCAAGGGCATTCCTATTCTGGGCCTTCGCTTTCCCTGGGCTTGGGTGGATGAAGTAGAAGATGTGGAAAAGCCCGATATTGCACCACGAGAAGAGGTAAGCATCACAAACTCGCAGTCGAAATATCAGTGATCGTATTAAAAGTGACTAGTTATCGGATGTTGGGCTGCGTACGTCCCATGTTACAATGCAGAAGTTGGAAATTTTCTACCACAATTGCAACCTTCCTCCTATCCCAAATGGGGCCGACTACGAGTCTATCGCGTCTACTGTCGAGTCTAATGATGAGTACACTACTTGCACTTGGTGCGGAAACAAGCGTTATGTGTGGTGCGAGCGATGCCAGAAAGCAAACGTCATGAGGCTCGTCAGAGATTATTCCACCGCCATGAAGGGTTTCAATATCGGAGGACCATGGGTTGAAGGACGTCCCATTGGGATACCTAAGCATTTGAAGCTACTTCCAACTGATACCCACCCCCTTGATGACATGGCTATTATGGCTGCAATTAGCCTTATCAAGTTAACAGCAACCCCGTATCCTCGATTCTGGGCCAAACCACATGACTTTGAAATGAGGCATGGCCATCAGCGTCTCATTCAAGCGGCGGCCTTACTCGAGTTTGCTCACTCCAAATCAGCTGCGAATACTCAAATCCTACTGCTGCTGGTCAAACTGTACTCCATGATGGGTGCAGGCTCTCTTGCTTTGAGGGCTTACAACAAGTTGAACATTAAGCAGATTCAAGGCGATACGCTTGGATACATCATCTTTGACAGAATTTCTTCTCTTCATCCACACCCAGTTCAAGATGAGATCAACGGCACTGCTCAGACTCTCGATCCAGCGGCTAATATCGCCAGCGTTCAGCGCATGTACGGAAATGTCCGCGGCCAGATCAACAACAACTGCAAGAGATCATTTGAAGCTGGAAGCTACGATTCAGTTTGCCAACTCGTGAATGCCTCTGACAAGTTGTCCCGCAGCATCGGAACTGCGATAACCGTCATTGAGCTGCGCAAGATAGTGCGTATGACAGACCAAAATGCGGTTTTTACTAAGCAGAGCCAGGGATATGATTTGCTTCGTAAGTTTGAAGAAAGCCGACAGTACGGATTAAGCTAACGATAGACAGCATCTAACCCAATAGCCAACCAGTTTGCCAATAACTTGGATTACAAGTGCTACCCCGATTTCGAGACCTCTAGTTGCCCCCCAGTTGAAATGTGGCTACGCTTAGGGCCAGCACCAAGTGTAGGTCTAACACTTATATCGTAGACTGAATACAAGCCTTGCTAACACTTAATAGGATTTCCGTGCCCGTAGTGCTTTGCTGGTGGATGAGCTCTGGATGCTTTTCCGCAACCAAACTGATGGCAAATCAAAAACCAACTCTGCTCTCAAATCTCTCGAGAGATCGCTCTCCGTTATGGAAAGCCTCAAGGTGAGAGTTGATATGACTGGACATGAAATATGCCAGCATGCCGTCGCGGTTGCCCTCACCCATTTCATCGTCACCACCTGCCTCGAGAACCCAAAGCACGACGTGACCCGCAACAGGAGCGTACGCCATCCTGTTACAAACATCACCAAATTCATGGGGAATCTCAAGAATGTCTGCAAAATCGACCTCGGTGCCATAAGATACTATCCCAGCTTCATCGGGACATTGCACCCGCTGTATCTCGCGCACGAGACGACATCGCTGATCATCGCGGCGGCTAAGTTCGTCAACAGCAAGTCGGTCGAGACTCATCCCAAGACCTGCGAGGTAATGGATGGCCTGGCTGTCCATGCTAGGGAGGTCCAGCAATTGGTGGTCGACACCGCTGAACAGGTCAAGGTGAAAATGAATGGCGGAGGCTGGATCGACAGGGTCATGACTTGGTTGTGGGAGGAACCAGTAGGTGACCCAAATGTTGCGATTATGGACTGGTGGCACCCCAAGTTTGCCCATACACCAGGACGTTGGGTTGCGCAAGAGCTCGGCCAGGAGTTTTGTGAGTGGTGGGTCGGAGAGTTGGTCGACAGCTGGAAGGAGTCGGTCATCGGACTGGCTGCTCTTCGGGTCGACGAGATTAAGAAGTGAGAGATTCTGTTTGAGCGAAGTCATGAGCATGGTTATGGCGCGGTGCATAGCGAACTGAGGAAAACGCATGGCTAGCAGATGGGACGCGTTTGAGAATGTATGTCTAGTTCTGATGCACAGATTTCACACCACTCCACGGATAGTGTATATCGGCGCCTGAAAGTAACAGACATTCAATTAAATTAACGTGACAATTTCGTATCATTCGTGACATGTGTCTTACAACCGATCATCCTCCTGCGCCCTCTTTTCCTGCGCCTTAGCCAGCATATCCCTCCGCTCCTCCCTCAACGTAGTCCAAATCCAGAACCACGTAATCATCTCCACGAACGCCCACGTAAACAAAACTCTGTTCTTCAAGCCCTCGCCCCACGAGCTCGTTATATACCCGGACGTCTTATACATTGGCGACTTTGCGGAAAACAGGTAGCTATAGCCTGCCAAGGCGAAGAAGAGGACGAGACGGATGGGTGCTTGGGATGACCAGTAGTGGTTTGCGATTTCTTCGGGTTGGGAGACGGCGATGAGGTCGCTGAAGCCCCAGATGGCCAGTACAACTCCGAGGAAAGCGAGTGGCGGAGATGGAGAGTCGAACGCGCGAACGTGAGGCTAGAAGGGACATCAGTGGTGGCGCATAATAAGAAGGTGAGATGCGACGCACAAGGCCCATAGCTTCACCCATGATAAAAACGAGTGTTTGGTCAGCCACGGTATGAGGCGACGTGAGGAAGAAGAATCCCAGGGTGATATGAAACAGGCATATTGAGCGGATGATGGTGCCCGCGTTGATGAGAGCCATCGTAACTAGCTAGCAGTATTTTTCTGAGCGCGCGCGCACAAAATGGATATACGACGAGGCAGTAGATGATGAGAACAAGAGTTGAAGATCAAGCGATAAATGTTTGACACGGTTTCATTGTTGGCATGCGAGCTGCCGACCGGAAATGTTTGAGGCAGCGACGATAAGGTAAGCAAACCCTTGCTCAGATCGGGCTTTTAGGCGTAGAGTTTATCCGTGCCGGGGTCGGCAGCTGCCATAGCGCACAGTCCGTGCATTCGGCTACGACGTCAGGTATTGGGTGAGCCAAGTGGTGATATCACGACTTGCTATTCACTCCATGGTTAAAATGCAGTTCTCAGCAGTTTTTACGAGGGCGGCTTTGGCAAAAGTTTTCCTTGCTAGCTATGCCGTCTCAGCGCTCTCAATTAGCCCGCAAATGCCACTATATAACACAGACTCTGAAGATGAATCCTCCTCGCTCGTGGGCCTCTTGCTCCTCCACAAGTCCCTGGTTGAGATCCCCTCCATCAGTGGCGCAGAACATAATGTTGCCAAATGGCTGGCATCCTATCTAGAAGGAGAAGGCTTCACAGTCGAATCCCAAGTTGTGTCTACAGATCCACCACGAGAGAACATATTCGCATATATCGGCTCGGAACGCCATACACGGACGCTGATAACGTCGCACATCGATACAGTTCCTCCATACTGGCCGTATGAACGCCGTGGTGACGAGATATGGGGGCGTGGCACCGTCGACGCAAAAGGCGCTGTTGCCGCACAAATCAAGGCCGTAGAAGCACTGCGTGACTCCAAGTCGATCTCCGAAGGCGATGTGGGTATGATGTTTGTGGTTGGTGAAGAGGTGAACGGCGCAGGAATGCTGAAGGTCAACGAACTGGGTCTCTCTTGGGAGACTGTCATTTTCGGCGAGCCAACAGAGCTCAAGCTTGCTAGCGGGCACAAAGGAATCTTGAAATTTCGCATCGACGCCCACGGCAAAGGCGGTCACTCAGGATATCCTGAGGTCGGGCGGAATGCAAACGACATGTTAGTTCCTGCCCTGGCGGAACTGGCGAACATTGATTGGCCGCGGAGTGAGAGATTCGGTAACACCACATACAACATAGGTCGTATGGAAGGGGGGGTGGCGGACAACGTTATTGCCGCTGACGCATACGCGCTCGTGTCTGTACGTGTAGCAGACGGTGACCCTGAAGTATTGGAGAGGGCCATCAGTGACGCCTTGCTCGCTGTCGCGCCGGACCTGAAAATCACGATGGCCCCCGGAGGCTATGGGCCAGTACCAATTAACCATGATGTTGAAGGTAAGCAGAGGTGTTAGCAAATGTGGAGCGACTGCTAATGAAGATGGCAGGCTTTGAGTCGATGGTCGTCAACTATGGAACTGATATCTTGCACCTGGATGGTGGTCACAAACGGTATCTGTACGGTCCTGGAAGTATCCTCCTGGCGCACTCAGATCATGAACACCTGAAGATCTCTGACTTGGAAGAAGCAGTGGAAGGATATAAGAAGCTTTTGTTAGCTTCGCTAGACTAGAATAATTTTAGATAGAATTATATACCCATTTATGTAGCGCGGGACCCTTTATCACCTCATTACTATAAATGTCACGTGTTTTGAGGTTCGAATGAGTAAACTTCAATCAGAGTCATAGAATCGCCTCATCCAGGTCAAAAATGCTCTGATTGCCTCCAAATGCGCATAAATGATCAGCCAGCGTCTAATATCGTTGACCTGGTCTTGCCGCCTCTGTTTCAGCCCTCAAACTATGATCCTCTCCCCACGCCTGTATCTCGGAATCTTCGCTCCGGCATTTTGCCCAAGAGCTACGGTGCCAGCCTTGTCGCACCCTTTCACAACCCATAACTATTATTCGCCCATTATGCCCCATCACCGACTCCATCACCGATCTTTCCAGGTAGTCCTCGATTTCGATGGCACAATAACTACAGAGGATACCATCGAAGCCCTCGCCCAGTCTGCCATTGCCCTCCAGAATCCATCCCTACCACATTCTCAACTTAGCCAAACTCCAGCAGCCGAAGCATGGAACAACTGTAAATCTCAGTACTTGGCTGACCTCTCGGCACACTATGAGAAGGAAAACCAAGAGCCCAGTGATGGCGGTGTAGTTACGGGACTCGGTGGGCTGGAGAGGGAACAAGGCTCCTTAGACGCACTGAGAGATGTCGAATGGGCTAGCGTGAAAAGAGTGGGACAATCTGGTATTTTTAAAGGACTTTCAAAGGAGTCTTTGCGGGAGAAGGGAAGGGCAGCAACAGCAGGTGACCCTCAGGATGGGAATGATTTGGCGGTAGTTGTAAGGGAAGGCTTCCCTGAATTTGTTACATGGATCGGGCAAATCGGGGGTCAATGGGGGATTGTGAGTGTGAACTGGAGTCGGATGTGGGTGCGAGGGGTATTAGATGTGGCTTTGGAAGAGAGATGGGTTCCGAGTCAAATCGATCTTTGCAATCTCACAACGAACGATATTAACCCTTTGACGGGCATGATTCTAGGTTGGCGGTTAGATAGGGTGTGTTATGATCTCTTGGAGACAACGATCAGTACTGATGACCACCAGTTGTCCGCTAAACGCACCCACCTCCTTACAACGGCTGACAAGCTCCTCGCCCAACATAAGATGATGTTCTACGGCTTCGACATTGGGGTCAGTTCCCCGGAGCCTCTCACAATATACATTGGCGATTCACCGACAGACTTGTCTCCCCTGCTTCATGCTGATATCGGAATAATAATGAACTCTCCATCCTCCACTCCTGGAGCTCTCGGTGCTTTAATCGATAAATGCGGATATAGGGTTTTACCGGTGTCTGAATACGAGGAGTTGTATCGTAAAGGGGAAGATGAAAAGGTGGCCATTTTGTTGAGTGTAAATAATTTCACAGAGATTATTGATAGTGGCATGCTACAAGACGAGGGGTGGGATCCAACGGCGGCAAAGAAGGCCTGGAAGAAAGCAGAATCGGAGAGTTGAGGGTGTCGTATTTCATCATCTTCGACAACTGGTGCTTGAGCAAATGCTAATCCCTTGGGGGACGATTGCCACGGGAAGGTCGTTACTACATATGTTGATATATTCGCAATCTTATCAAATTTAACACTCCATGGCAACTTTCGGATTTGGGTATCATTCATACAAGTCTATATCCTAAGTCTCCCCGCTCCACACATTTTGTGGCGCAAAGGGCTGGAATGGAAGGGTCCCCTCTTCTTTCATTTTCTTGTGCTCCTCCTCAGCATCAGTCCAGAACTTGGGAAACTTACCGTCCGAGACTGGGACCATATCTCCCATAAGAACAATGTTGTCCCACACAGACTTTCCTGGGGCATCCGGCTCTAAGAATTCCGCGATGTCGCGTTCGATCTTAGATTTTGCCTCTTGGCTGGCACATAAGACAGGGTCAAAGGTCTTCAAGTGGGGCTCTCCGAGCATTGCTAATGTGCCCAACCCAAGATAAGAGTGGTAAATATCTGTCTTTATATTAGTGGCAGGTCAAACGATAGGCGGGCCAGAATGTCATACCAGGAGGGTATCCTGGCTCTTTGGCGAATCCCCCTATCATATGTTGCGTCTTTTCGATAAGCCAACGTCGCGAACCCTCTTTATTGATGAGCTTGGATTGGCCGAGGATCTTCGCTCATTAGTATACAATTATATCTTGTGAGACGTGTACTTACATAAAGAGATGCATCAACCCAAAAGCTGTAGCATGTATCAGGCCCCTTGTTGAGCCTGCCGTTGCACCCAATGGCATAAGTGTCTTCCAGAGATAAACCTGCCGCTGCCAGTTGCTCTATTTCGTTATTCGCGGGGTTTGAAGATTCTTCTGGTTTTGTTTGGGGTTCCTCGTCGTCTTCCTCGTCATCAGACTCTACATAGTTGACTTGTCGTGACATTAACCAGCGAATGGTATCTTGGAGGTTGGTAACCCCAGTTAATTTTGAATCCGAAGGCTCAGCCCCCTCTTCCGACTTCGATAATGACCCTGGGAGACGGCCGAGGTTGCTCAAAGAAGCAATCCCACAGTATGTATAACCAGCATGAGACTCATGTTCGAAGCTCTCTCCAAAACCTCCATCATAAGTCTTCAGGAAGTTAGCTTTATCCCCAGCTACGTGGACTCTAACTTACCTCAGCCTTGCGTATATGCCCCACCAGTCCATTAACATTGATATCATCAACCTCCTTTTGGCTTTTTGACTTCAAATCCCCCCTTAGGATCCACCGTATTGCCGCAGCGCACTGACAATATCGCATATCCCGCCCTCCTTCAATCTTTCCATCCTTCCCCAACGTTTCTCCAAAACTGCCATCTTCTCGCTGCAGCTTCTGTAGCCACTTCAAACACTTTTTGCGGTCCACCTCGCCAACCTTGCCCACAAAGTTTAGGGCCATAAGTGCGAAGAATGTTGCTGGTAAATTTGCCGGGTCCATGTCAGACGGAGTGTCCGTCGCGGTCCGATAGTATGCACTGGGGTATTTGTGATTCGGGCTTCCACAAAACCCTCCGTTCGGGTGCTCGCAGTTGAGGATCCATTGCTTGAGACCAGCTACATCTTTGCGGTCTAGTTGGTCTCCACCGACACCGAGCAGGTCGAATGCAGATAGGATAAAGAAGCCCAACGAGAGTCGTGAGGAGTCGGTGCTGGTATATTCTGTAGGCAATACAGACTTAAGGCAGCGACGCCAGTACTTAATGTGTAGCTCCTTGTTAAATACCGGCTGCTCCATTGTGGTGAATTTTTTGACCGTGGTGAGGTTGTCAATCCGCAAGGCTGAGGCCTTGGAATAGGTGCGGCGTTTCTGCCCCGCCATGGGGTCCGTGCACGTTATGGCTGGTCGTCCCTTCCTCATAGCAGTTTAACTTCAATCCCTCATAGCAGTTTAACTTCAATAATACTCAATGAAGAAATAAAATAATGTCTTTAAGTTAAACATTTTAACATGGAGTCAGAAAACGATGAAGCACAAGCTTTGCGGCAGCTTATTTTAGCGACTGAGCTAAGACTGAAGAATCTCAAAGAAGAGCTTGCGGAGGTCGAAACGCGGGGTCCTCCTCACGGACGTGCTGAAGAGACGCCAAATGAACTCGAAAGTTTAAAGGATAGCAAGTGGCCTCTCACAGCTGAGGAATATTTACGATATGGACGTCAAATGATTGTACCAAGTATTGGTATCCAAGGTCGGCATTTTAATACCACTTCCAAAACCCATGACGAGACTAACTAAAGCAGGCCAACTACGCCTACATGCCGCATCCGTTCTCATAGTTGGGGCGGGAGGTTTGGGCTGCCCAGCCGCTGCGTATATTGCCGGAGCAGGTGTTAAATCTTTGGGAATAGTCGACGGTGACACAGTTGAGGTATCAAACCTGCACCGGCAGATCCTTCACAGCAGCTCTACCGTCGGGCTGTGGAAGGTAGACAGTGCTATCCACAACCTTAAAGGTCTCAACCCCAACGTCGAGTACAGGGCATATCGAGAGCACTTATCTCCTGAAAATGCGGCAGATATTGTCTCTCGTTATGACATCGTCCTCGACTGCACGGATCATCCCAAGTCGAGATATCTCATATCAGACATCTGCGTCTTGCTCCAAAAGCCACTAGTGTCCGCTTCAGCACTGCGGACTGATGGCCAGCTTATGATTCTTAACCACCCAGCAGCACCTCCAGGATCCAATGCTGGCGGCCCTTGCTACAGATGCATATTTCCCAAGCCGCCACCCGCAAACCAAGTTGTCAGCTGCGGCGATGGAGGCATCCTTGGTCCTGTTGTTGGTGCCATGGGAGTTTTACAGGCAGTTGAAGCTATTAAGCTAATAACAGCCGGGCTAAAGGTTAGCCATACCTCTGATGATGCAGAACTTCAAGACCCGAAGGTTCTACCATCCCCTTCGCTTCTTCTTTTTTCAGCCAACAGCCCAAGTCCATTCCGCACTGTCCGATTGCGGCAAAGGCGACCGGATTGCTTTGCTTGCTCGTCCCAGGCGGGGTTGACACCAGAGTCTTTGACGTCAGGCTCATTGGACTATGTGGCTTTCTGTGGTTCCGCCGCGCCAGTTAATATTCTGTCCGCGGAGGAGCAGATATCTGCTGCGCAATATTCGGAGTTGAGAAATGATGATTCCAAAAAGGAACATGTCCTATTAGATGTGAGGGAGAAGGTTCAGTTCGATATCTGCCATGTTGATGGGAGTATCAATGTTCCATTCTCAAAGTTGCAGAGGGATCTCGACACGACATATCCTTGGCTACCAGAGACATCTCCAGCTGATGCACCGATATATGTAATTTGCCGCCTTGGGAACGACTCCCAGGTCGTTACGAGAAAGCTTAAGGAGAGCGGACTCGGTGACAACGGGAAGAGGTCAATATTAGACATAAAAGGGGGCCTGATGGCATGGAAAAAAGATGTTGACAGCAGCTGGCCAGAATACTAGAGGCATATAGACATATTAGTCACATTATAATAAATTCTTCTTAAATAGGAAATATAAATGAGTGATTGGATCTAGAGCCTTCTTTCCTCGGTAGCACCTCCGCTACTTCTTCGATATGCAGCTACAGGGAGAGACTCTAACGCCAGTGTAGCCTATTTAGCCACATATTTCAATTGTACATATGAGTTTCAAAATACTCATTTTATTTCAATGATGCCCCACAATCCTTACACACTTTAAGCAACATAAGTCGTCCGCTTCTTGTTGAACGCCCTTTGATCCTTGAGCCATTGCCTGTACCCAGCCACACTCGAGATCTTCTCTCCGTAGTAATCAGGCACCGGGTTCGCCATTGACGACGCCGAAGGGTCGACTCTGAACTTCTTGACGCGCCTATAAAACTCTACCTCTTTCTGTCGACAAATTAGCTTCCATTCCCCGATAGCCACCAATTCAAATGGTACTTACCGCCGCCATATCCGGTATATACTTCCGGTTCATCGTATTGAAGATCCCCGTCCCAACAATAGGTCCAAGGAGCCACCCGACGCCTCCGCAGCTGAATGTGATCAAACCTAGCGTAATGAAGGGATCCAACGGCACCTGTCCAACGAGGCTATCCATATCCGAGACAGCTAGAGCCTGTGCGCCAGCCAGCATACTACCGAAACTTGTTCCCACGGATGAGCCAAGCTGTAGGCGCCTCCTTGTCTTGCGGAGCTTAAAGAACGCATTCCAGGTAAGCCGGTCTGCCGAGGAAGAGGGAGGTTGTGCTGTCGAAGCTGTGTTGTCCGTGGACGCAGTGGTCGATGCGTATCTAACGATCTGAGAAGTTGATTGCGAAGGAGATTTCTTGGATGTGAGGAGTCGCGGTCGGCTGGTTTGTGGGTATTGCGACTGGCTCTTTGACGGAATGGTCGTGTGATATGAGTTGGTAGCCGTGAGCGATGGCTGGAACCGGCAGTTCACAGCTGCTGTGCGCAGGCACAATTCGGTCCGGGCAAGCATCTTTGTAGGTTTAGACGTTGAGGCCGTAGAGAAAGGGTTGTGTTAGGGATGTTGTTGACGTCGTCGTTCGAAGCTTGTTGTAGCTTGGTGAACTTCCAAACTCGCCAGACGCATCGGGTGTTCGGCATTACTGTTAATCCGGTTACCGTGAATTGCCTCCACGGACAGACGGCATTCGAGGATTCATACTGGTAATTAAAACTGACATAATTTATTTCTTTATCCCCATGTCTAAATAGCTGTATCGTTAATTGTAGCTCTAAGTGGCTAAGAGCCTTCTTTTAATTTGTAGTTGCTGTAAACACCATATTTGTGTATAGTAATTAAGCGTCTCTATTTTAATCGCAGCGCAGTTTAGATAAACATCATATTTAGGGACAGCGATTAAGAATCTATGCTTTAACTACAGATTGCTATAAACACTACATATATGTATAGTAATTAAGCACCTTACTTTTAATTGTAGTTTCTATGACTATTATATTTATGTATAGTAATTAAGCGTCTATATTTTAATTTTAGTCGCTATAAACAATATATTTGTAAATAGTAATTAAATGTCTATATTTTAACCACAGTTGCTATATGAATTATACTTGTGTATAGAGATTGAGCGATTTAATTTTAATTATAGTTGCTGTAAATATTACTGTTATGCACAGCCCGTCTCTTGACCTTTAGGTGGCACAAGTATTCTACTAAATTTCCGGTAGGATAGGATTTTATACTGAAATTGGCATATGAGAGACAGTAGCATACTACATAAGTCGTATAAATCACTCTCCAAGAAGCACAACAGCCATATAAGCTGCCTGCGTCATAACCTCCTCCTGAGATATCCCCTGTGAGACGCCGATAATGGGGGTGCCTCCCACCTCCACAGTACAGGTATATTCCTGCCCCTCCTTTCCAAGCTTATACTCGACCTTCTGACCCCCAGACATTTCACCGAGCTTATTCTTCGGGTGAAGAATATCTATATCCTCATCCAGAATGCGGCGAAGATAGGCGATTAATCCAATATTCTCTGCGACTTTCTTGCATGCTGATAAATCGCCGCCTGCGTCTATGAGAACAGCGCCAATGATGCTTTCGACTATATCAGACAGGAACTTTGCTGGAGCTAGACTTGTTAACAGTACCCATGGATACTCATTTCCATGGGCAATAGCCGACGCAATGGCAGGCTGCAATTTACGGTATCTTTCCAAGCAGCTGCTCATTGCAGTGTTTATCTCCGGGTGTTGATGTCTCATTAACTGACATAGGTGCACAAGCTTTGAGCTGTGGACTTCTGTAAAGCCCGCCGAGTAGTGGTTTGGACTCAAAGCGACGTCCGTAACAACCTGCTCAAGCGATGAATCCATACAAAGATAGGCCAAAAAACCCGCATTAACCACAGCAGTCTTTGTCAGATGCATCCTGCCGTGTGATAACTCTGGTGCACTGTCGATCATGAAGGAAACGACTATCATATCCAAAGTAGCGTCCCCAATGAATTCTAATCTCTGATACGAGCTTGTGTGCGAGTCGTGTTCGCAAGATGGGTGGGTTATAGCTTCTAGTAGGTAACCACGATTCTTGAACTGATATCCAATTAAGTGCTCGACATCTGCAAGGTGACCGTTTGCGAGCGATGTGGGAGCAAAAACACTCTCTGCACCGAAACCTCTAGCAAATATATCTAGCGGGTCTGTTATCGGCATCTCAGGAAGGAAGCGGCTTATACAAGTTGCAGCTGCCTCGTACCCCCTATCAAGAAATGCACCGCCAATAAGCGCTTCCACGACGTCGGCGAGGACCTTGGTTGACAAGGTGCGCTTCTCTGGAGATGACGCAGCATCTAATATATCCCGAATATACGGTGGGGACCATTTGCGTGCTGTGAAGGTTTTCGTTACAATATAACGGTCCAGTCCTACAGCCAGGGCAGCACGCGAAAGGCGAGAGTTAGCAACAGCCTGGTCCTTGGCCCTAGACAGGTAGCCTTCAGGCCATGAGGGTTGAGTTGCGTATAAATTCACGCAGACGAGGTATTTTAAGACAGAATCCCCAATGAACTCCAAGCGTTGGTAGTTTGAGTTCTCGTTGGCTGAAGGGGCGTTTGTTGCCGTGATAACATAATCGAGGTTAAGAAACCCCTGATCTTCAAATACGGCGTTATACAAGTCCAACGCAAGGGCTTGCCTCCATAGTCGGTGCATAATCGAAGGAATGAGAAGAGAGCACTCCACATATTCCATGGGCAACTTGTCGACAGTGCTTGATTCTAAGGGCAGGAATAAAGCTGGCTTCTCAGAGCAATCTATCTCGTTTTCGGTATCTGACTTGCTTGCGAAACTGCGATGAAGGAAGTCTCGTCTTTTGGGTAAACGGGTGACTTTTATCGTCCCATCATCAGTAGTCTCTTTGAATATATGTGGGGCCGCATAACGTGCTTGGTCTCGGATGAGGCCATATGAAGCAGCGTTGGGATTCGCATTTAGTACCTCCGTGGCAGGCAAATTGCCAGCACTTTCTTCCAACCATGACCGAAGTAGCCCTTCACCAATATATGGTATAAAGAGCGCAAGAAAATCATCACGTCCAGTTGGCATCCGGTTGAAATGGACCGCTTGAAAAATCGTTGATGTAACTTGCCTCATTATAGGAATGAATGGGGTGTCTGTGGGTGATATTGGCGTAGTATCACTAATAGAAATCGAGTAGGTTATCTCATTATCCCAGTAAATTGTAAAGGTTTCGAGCGCAGGCAAGTCCTGAGGGAAAACGATGACCAAATACAGCGTGGGACGGTCAGGCCTGGCGATGGATATAAGTTTCTTCTTCAGAGACTCTCCTGGCTCCATCCAACTTTTTGCAATACTTATCCAAGGATTATAGATTTCGGAGACTTCCTCTACAGAAGCCCTGGTCTCTATATCAGGCGTAACCTCCTCATCCTTCCCAAGTAGCAGAGGTAGTAGGTTGTCATTAATCAACCCCTTCTTATACAAGGCAACGTACGCCTGGAAAGCGGCATCTTTCTTGGCCATCCGTTCAGACTTCCATTCCCAGCCAGAAGTTGCCGTCCGTACTGATGAATCGACACAGTTTGGTAATGTCACATTGCCAGTTATCAAGCCGTAGAAACTCTCTTGGAAATAGAACTTCGGTTGGAGATCCACGTAGGGCTGCGGGGGTAGAGTTGCGCAGAAGTGATGGATGTGAGCAACGGCAGTTTCAGGGGTGAGGAGGGCCCTGAGGAATTAGAAGATGGTCATAGTGGGCACAGAGACTGACTTACCCGGTTGACTTGATCTCGAATCTAGCATTGGAACGCCCTTCAACATGCTCTTCCGTATCTTCCAGCTGCTGCAGCTTCTGACGCTTCGAAGCATCTTTTTGATACTCTACCCTCATTTGAATCTCCATGTCTCCCCATTCTTGTGGACCCAAAGAACGGTCATCCGAAGGGACTAGGAGGACAAAAATAGAACGCCTTTTTCTTGCCCTTCCCCTTCGTTGGATGAACGACTTGAGATTGGGCGGTTTATTGAAGCATATAACTATGTTACAAGCTGATATGTCAATCCCCTCCTCAAGAACACTAGTCGCAATGATGAAGTTCTTGTCCTTCTTTCGAAAGCAATCGAGAGTATCCGTCTGCTCTAAAGGACTGAGCCAATCGCCAAGAGATGACTTCCTACTAGAGAAGCTAGAAGTTCCAATAAATGTCCCGCACCTCAACATGCCCTTTGTCATGGGATGGACGGATAGGAGGTGGTGGAGGACGGCCACCGTTGCCCGTTGCTCAACGAATATGATCCCATGAAGATCACCGTCCCTGTAGCTTGTTAGGAATCGAATTAACTGTCGCACTTTTCGTGTTGTGTTCGTTTCATCCGGATGACCAGAGTTCAATGCCGAACTAGCACCGTGAACTTGAAGCAACAACTCGAGTACAGCATTGCTCCGTTTCCCATTATCAAAAAACGGGTCGCCGTTCCGTTTCGTTTCTGCGGCACTCCAGATATCTATAGATGTTTTAATATAGTAATCTGCAGCCCATTGGCCTAGCTCGTCGTATACATGATTTGCTTTCGTGCAAAATGATTTTAATTCGCGGAGGACCTTTGAGGTTTCCTTGATTAGATCAATGTCGTCTGAATCTCGGGACGTGCTCGAGTTCGTAGCATCGGTATAGACAGCAATTAGGCTAACAAGCGCCAGAGAAGTATATTGCCCGTAGATTGATGGATTTGACAAGTAGGCAAGCCTCACGAATGTCGGCGGGTGGACATGTTCCAGCAGCTCCCCACGATGAACTCGTGGTGTTCGACATAGCGCATTGAGATCACGCTCGATAATTCTATTTAATTAGCGGCACGTAATACAGCAGGTTCGGAACACCCACTCTAGATCCGATGGTTTGGATCGAATAACTGGGCTTGCCGTTAAGCCGAGAATGTGTGGTACAGCATCTGGCCCTTTCAACCCTAGGAGAGGATGATAGTAATTTTTCATTATCTTATTTGCGGGATGCTCGCCCGCGCAATGATGAGCTGTAATTGCTCAGCCTAAAGTCAAACTTTTCACTTCATGACTCCAAGACGTACCTTCGTCAAACACTAAGAGCGCCAGCTCTTCTATTCGGACAAACCCGTGGCTGAGAGCATCTGACAGAACGCCATGAGTGGATACTACTATACGGACGTTTTCCAGCACTGCGTCCCATATCCTTTGCTCACTCCAACGGTCGACATTATCGGAACCCACGAGTAGGCGTGTCTGAACGTACGGGATGTTTGTGCGGAGAGTAGAGCATTGCTGCTCGCATAGTGCAACTGTCGGGGCAAGAAACCAGACACGCTAAATCCAAGAAGTTACATTACGAATCCATTTGTTGATACATAAAATCTTATTTTATCTTACCTTCTGTGGCGGACATCTCTCTAGCTCGGCCTGTATGCGCATAACCGCACTATCACAGTCAGTATATACTGTGCAAAGCTAGGCAACCCACGGGCCGCCAGCATCAGTTACACAGGGAGGGCAATTCACATATGAGTTTTTCCGCTGCCAGTATCCATCTATTTCTAAAGTCAGAATGATAAAATCGGCTGGGAATGAAGGAGCACTACCACTACAATTGTGTTGCGGGCCATGCTTGCTTCGAACATCTCTAGCTGGTACAGCCTAGACTGCTCATATGGTATCGCACTCGGTTTGGAAAGCTCCATCGCACCAGAGTTTGCTGGAGCATCTTGCAGGGCTACGCAGGTAGATTCTTGGGAAGTCATAATGCTCCATCCATTAGAGTGCAGCGTTTTATAGCAAGATGTTCTGGTTGAAGTGCGCAACGTGGCCGTCAATCCAGCACTGAAAACATCGGTGGTTTATCGCCAGCCTTGGAGCACATATATATGGTGCGTTCCAACCTCCGTATAATACTCTACAATACGCGGCGTGAGAGACTTGGGGTCCTCCTCAGGGTCAAAACCAACAAGGCAGGGCCCTCTATTAGCGCCGAGGAGTAGGCGCCAGTCTCGTCGGTTTCGGCTCAGTGCCTTAAACAAAGCCCTGTAAGGCTAATCAGCAAATGCCACGTTGGGGTCCTATACCAATCGAGAGAAGGCTCTGGCATTGTCGTAGCATTTGTGAATTTGATTGACGCGACGACGCTGCAAATAAAGTGATATGTTGGTGCATGTAGCGACGTGCATTCCAGCCTTTCGTGAAGTGATTGGTGTTAGGTTAGGATGTAATGCCGCTGGCCGTCTTGACTCCGGTATGTGGGGCCTGATGATGGCTGTTTAGTCCCTCACTGGCCGATCAGCAACCAGCATGATGCTTGGTTTGTCTTCTTGCAACCACCACTCCATAGTCACAAACGAGGCTGGCTCTCAAAGTCACACGATTGCGCGTTGACACCAACAAGCATGGCCAGTCTATATCTGAACTCGCGTCCCCGCGTTTTCTACCTTTCACAGAATTAAGCCAGCAACGTGACACTGCTGCACAGGACTGACACTCAGGTTACTATCAGTGCGGCCTACAAGGTAAAGTTGCTAGCTTCAACATCAGGTAAGTAAGGACCCATTCCTGAGTCTACAAATTCTACGACTGTGATGACGTACCAACCCATTACATAGACTCCCGAAGGGGCTTCAGGCCGCAGTTTCCAAAGAGAACCATACCCCGCACAAGTTCCGTTGAAACATGTCTGTATTTCAACCTAGAGGCAGAGGAGTAGGAGGCCGAGGCGGGGGTGATCGTGGTAGAGGAGGAGGAGGCCGAGGCGGGGGTGATCGCGACAGAGGAGGAGGAGGTCGAGGTGGGGGTGATCGCGGCAGAGGTGGTGGTTTCCGAGGTGGTGGGAGAGGAGGCTTTCAGGCGGGGCCCGCTGAGGTGTTCGGGTGAGTCTGTTTCATTTCTATGTCATTTGCTGCTCTGTATTATACGTCTAACACAGTCTAACACTACCAGGGATGGAAAATTTCCTCCCCCAAATCCAAATGTTACGAAGACGGAGGATAGCTACATGGCCCAGAAGCCAACACTCGCCGGTAGCATGGCTGGCATGTCTGTGACGGCTGATTTCCCAGCGAGGCCGGCTTATGGCACGAGGGGGAAGCCGGTTGTACTGTGGGCCAACTATTTTGAGCTTGCAGCGGCGAAGAACCTGATAATTTATCGGTACCACGTCGCCGTCTCACCTGAGGCAAAAGGAAGGAAGCTGAGGCGAGTCTTCGAACTGTTGCTCGAAGATCCTCGACTGAAAAATTCTGCCACCGATTTCAAAGCCATCTTGGTTAGCCGGAAGAAGCTGCCCGACGTTGAACTAGAGGTTGCATATCGCTCCGAGTTCGAGGATGATGCTAAACCTGATGATAAACCATACCGTGTCAAAATCCAACTTACTGGCGAGATGGACATCGATGCTCTCGTGAATCACCTCCGATCCGTCCAACCGGACCCGAATTTCCGCGCCGACAATAGGATGCAGGTAATCCAGAGTTTAAATATTCTTCTGGGGCATTATGCGCAGTCAGATCCTCTCACCACCACCATCGCAAGCAACAAGCATTTTCTTTTTGGTGATGATAAGCCTGGGAATCGCTATCTGGTCGAACACAACCTTGGTAAAGGCCTCACTGCACTACGTGGCTACTTCCGTAGCGCTCGGCCGAGTACTGGCCGAATTCTAGTCAACGTCAACGTGAGCCACGCGGTGTTTTTCAAGCCAGGGCCTCTGATGGAGCTGATCAAGATCTTCGGCGCTGCATACGGCACCAACCTTTTTCAACTAGAGAGATTTTTGAAGAAAGTTCGGGTGGAGACTAATCATCTGCCAGTAAAGAAGAACAAAGCTGGGAAAATAATCCCAAAGGTCAAGACCATCATTGCTCTCGCAAGTAAGAACGATGGCACAGGTTTACCTCACCCGCCAAGAGTCGGTAGATTCGGTGCCAATGCGACGGAAGTCGAGTTTTGGCTCGAATCAACTGATAAGAAGAAATCTGGGAATGGGAGGTATATAACTGTTTTTGACTTTTTCAAGACCCGTAGGTGACAATTCTCATATTCCATCCCCGCTTCAACTAACACAATCCAGACCACAAGAAACATTTAAACGACGCGTTCCCAATCATGAATGTTGGTACCAGAGCCAACCCGATGTACATGCCTGTCGATTACTGCGTGGTTATACCTGGCCAGTCATCCATGAAAAAGCTCGACCCCGATCAGACCGCGGAGATGATTCGTTTTGCGTGCCGCAAACCGCATTTAAACGCCCAGTCTATTACTTCTGATGGGTTGGCAGTACTTGGGTTTGACGCCAAGTCCAAGTCTAATCTAGTAAGTGGCAATGTGGTTTTAATGTTACACAGTTGCTAATGCTCATTAGGGGTTGTTCGGAATCAATATGAACACGAACATGATCACAGTTCCTGGCCGAATTCTTCCACCACCGGTGGTAAAATACCAGGGCAAAAATACCGTAAGCCCAAAAGGCGGACAATGGAACATGATGGGCGTTAAATTCGCCCAGGGTTCGAAATTACCATCATGGACGTATATCTGGATTACGAGGAAGGGGAGGAGAGGCCTGATCAATGGGGAAGACCACATTTCTCGTATCATGGCTGAGTTTCAGGGTATGATGAACGCATCAGGCCTTGGGGCGCCGCCACCTATGAAAGGCAAAGAGATCGTGATAGATGTTGGTCATAACGGACCAAGCAACGACGAGCTCATAGACAATATGTTCAAAATGGCGGCGACTGGGAAAGTCGGGTTGATGGTGGTTGTATTACCTGACCCCGACGCTGCTATGTACAATGCTGTCAAGTATGCTGGTGATATTAAGTATGGGATTCACACCGTCTGCGCCCTCGCTTCGAAGATCACGAAGGAGCAAAGGCGCGACCAGTATTTGGCCAACATAGCTCTAAAGGTCAACAGCAAGTTGCGTGGATCTAATCAGACGCTTGATGCACAGAGACTCGGGATCATATCAGATGGAAAGACAATGGTGGTAGGAATCGACGTCACACATCCATCTCCGGGGTCCCTCTCGAGTGCTCCTAGTGTTGCCGCAATTGTGGCAAGCATAGACAGCACACTGAGCCAGTTCCCTTGTGAGCTTAGTGTTCAGGAGGGCCGGAAGGAGATGGTGACCGATTTGAGCGAGATGATGAGGTCCCGACTTCAGCTGTGGAGGGACAGGAATAAGGCCTTACCTGAGAATATTCTCGTCTACAGAGACGGTGTTTCTGAGGGCCAATACCAAGTCCTGAAAGACGACGAGATCCCGTCTCTACGCAAAGCCTTTGACGGAATCTACACGGCCGATCAGAGGAAGAAGGGATTGCCAAAGCTTTCCGTTATTGTTGTTGGAAAGCGCCACCACACCAGGTTCTACGCCACGAAGCAAGACGAAGCTGATCGTTCTGGAAATCCGAACAACGGCACCGTCGTCGATCGTGGCGTAACCAGCATGTGGAACTGGGATTTCTTCCTCCAGGCCCACACTTGTCTCCAGGGTACAGCGAAGCCAGCCCACTACTACGTGGTGCTGGACGAGATCTTCGGCAAGGGCAACTTGAAGACGCCTCATCCGTTCCCCAATGCCGCCGATACCCTTGAGGACCTGACGCACAACATGTGCTACCTCTTCACTCGCGCGACGAAGGCAGTCAGCATTTGCCCACCTGCATACTACGCCGACCTGGCCTGCGAGCGTGCCCGATGCTACCTACATAAGGAGTACGAGCCCTCGCATCCAGGGGGTTCGAGTGTAAGCGGCGGCGCGCAGCCGAGTACATTGGAATCCGATATTAAGGTCCATGATAGGCTCAAGGACTCGATGTTTTACATTTAATTTATATTTATGACTTTGACGATGATTGATGATCTTTCTGGGAACTTTTGGGGGATTTCTTTGACTTGGAGTTTCGCGAATTGGAAATGGATGGAGGCTAGATTTAGCAGCGTTGGATTTTTGAATCTTACAACTTGGTATTGATTCTTTTAATGTGATGGTAATTGGTTTCCGTAAGAGTCTGTGATATCCGGTGCAATTGTGATATTAGAGCTTGAGCCATAACCCGCCCAATTTACTCCAATCCCAAGATCTTCTCCGCAGCCTTCTTCAACGCAGCCATCGACTCCCTCCACAACGTCGGCCCAACACTAATCCTACAAACCCCAATCTCCTTCCACTCCGCAACCGTAACCTTCCCACCCCCACCACTCAACAGCACCGCTACCTTCCCATCAAGCTCCTTAACAAGCGTCTTCACATCATCCACCGTCACCGGTCCCCAAACAAAAAAGCTCGTCGCCCCGGCCTCCAAGTACGCCTTCCCCCTCCTCACCGCCTCCTTTAACACGTCCTCGTGCCCCCACCCCTCAGGCAGTGGATCAAGCACGAAAAGATCCGTCCTGGCATTCACCACGAAATCAGGTAAGCCTTTCTCCTTCGCAACTTCAAACACGACTTTCAGCCTCTCTACCTGCTCCTCTACTGTCCTCAACCCTTCTAACCCTTTCCCATACCCCGTAGCGGGAATCCCATCCTCGATATTCGCCCCGACGACACCGAGATCAATAGCACCACCTATGCACTCACGTAGCTGGTAGCCATACCCATCCTGCAAATCCGCGCTGAGCGGGACGCCAGCAGCGCGCGCGATGGGAGAGATAAGGGACAGAGCTTCCAGGTTCAAAGGCAAAGTGAGGTCGGCGTCCGCGAGGCCGAGGGTCCCTGCTATGGCGAACGAACCCGTTGCGAGGGCGCGGACGGGGGTGGAGGTTGGGGTGTTGAGGGCGAGGACGGTGGTGGTGGAGGGGATGTCGTGGACGTTGCTGAGGACGAAGGGGGAGGAGGGTTGGTGGAGGGCTTTGAGTTTGAGGGCGTAGGCGTTGTCGATGGGGACGGGCTGGGGGGTTGGGGTTGGCATTGTGGTGGTGTTGGGTTGGGTGGAGAGGTTGAATGTGATAAATTGGGAGTCCTGTTAAACTTTCGGCTTGGGATAAAGTTTCAGTGGAGGATGATGTTATGGGTGCTTAGTTTGGATTTCAACTTAGACTTTTTGAATACGTTTATAGAAACTATAAAGGAAGGGACCTTGTTATATATTACAGATCAGACAGGCGGGGTAGGCTGCGGGGTTCTGTGCGAACACCAAAGGATGACTCCGGTTCTCCGGTGTATATTTCAGGAAGGTGATTACTCACCAATCGTGAATACAGACACCAAAACGCGCCCTTACAGGATACCGAGATCTAGGCAGAAGTGTGCTACACAGAAAGTGGCGGGCATTAATCGAACCGTATTACTACCCTTATAAGGACAATAGTGCAGCTGTGGCGGTGGGTTGGTGAATGACATGTTTGGTATATGGTGGCGCATTTAATAATCTACTGCACTTAGATGAGCTTCATATATTTGCTTTGTAACCAGCGCTCTCTCTATCATCACACATGCTGTCAAGTAATAACCAAGAAATAGCTTTGGTAATAATAATTACACATTTGTAAGTTCGTTATAATGCCGTGTATGATAAGCAATACATCCCAAACCCGCGTATACAAAAATGAACCGAACAGCCAGTCCAATGCAAATCGCTCGCTCATTCGCCTGGCTTAGAAATGAGATCCGGGATATCATCGACTGTGTTGTTTCCTTCCAAAATATCTGGGGTATGGTTAGCGAGGGCGTGGGGGGGAAGCTGGGCTGCGCTAAACGGGATACTTACTATAAACCGCAGTAAACAATGGGTATTCATGCGCCAGTCCCCTGCTGTTCAAAAACGAGTGTACCTCATACGCGGTGCTCGTTCCCTGCAGCTTCTGCCCATTCAGCTCGCGCTTCTCGATCTCGTTGATTGAGAGGCCCTCCTCTACCGACATCTTTGCGCACTTGTGGTTCCTGCCACCCGAACAGCTGGTAATGAGATCAGCCACGCCACAGCTCTCCTCGAGGAATGTGGCTGGGTCGACGGTCTCGGCAAAGAATTCTTTGCCGAACTTGACCATCTCGAGTAGGCCGACACGCATGACAGCTGCTTTGGCATTGTCACCCCATCCGCGGCCATCGACGAAGCCAGCGGCTACGGCGACGATGTTCTTCAGTGCGCCTCCGAGAGAGACACCTGCAACATCGTGGATCACGCGAATGTGGAAGTATTGTCGGTGGAACAGTGTGTGCCAAAGAGCATGGTCTATAGGAGGATAGTCGGAAGGTAAGGGAGTTAGTTTGACAGACGAGACTTCTCCGTGTACATCAAGGTGCTGCAACCCCTTTAAGTCGTCGGTTGAGGCCTGGGGAGACGGCCCTCTCGGCGTAGGGGTTCGAGAATCCAGCATGGGCGGGTCGTATCCGATGGTGGTTTCGGACCATTTCTCCTTGGCGATTTCTGTGGCGAGGTTGGCACCGGACAGTGCTCCGACGTAGATTCCCAAGCCCTTTCCAATCGTTTCCGAGAAGAGACTCACTGATGCATCCGTGACGTGAACGCCCTTGATGCAGGATATTCCACGGGCGAAGGGGAGGATGTGGCCGCGCATTTGCTGGGAGAGTCTGCCAATAAACTGGTGGGGTAGGTTGAAGATCAGGATTGAGGCGCCCTCTACGGCGTTTTCTACCGATGGGTTGGCGACAAGGTTCGTCGGCAATGGGATATCTGGGAGGTATTTGAAGTTCTCGTGGTATTTGTTGATCAGGCTCGTAAGCTTCTCTGGTTTGGCGGAGTCTCCTGGGTAATGTTTCGAGTTTTTGGGGATGGTGACTTCTTCCTCGAAAACCCACATCTGAACATCCTCTTCGAATAATTCGGGGTGCGCCCTTGTGTTCTCTGCTACGATCTTTGCGATAGTTGAACCCCTACACAATTGAAGGTCAGTACAGGCCATTGGAAATTGGGGCAGCGCACTCACCAGTTTCCCGATCCTACAACGGCCACCTTATGCCTTTTCGATGGGGCGTTGAGAGTCGCCATGTTATGTGTCTGAGAAGGCTTGAGATGCAGCGCAGTTTGTATGACCCGTTGTTGAGCCTTACCTGCGGCTGTCACAGAAGTTTTGGATAGCATCCAGGCTAGTTTGAAGCAAAATATCTATAGTTGAGCAAAAAGGGTCGTCTTTGGGCGTGCTACTGAGATTCTTGTTGGGGAAACGGGGATTTGCTTGTAGAAATTAGTATATCTATACACGCAGGAGATATAAGGATGCTGAACGACCGAGAGAAAGCCGTCGACCGAGGGACAGGGCTTCCGGGCTAGCCAAGTAGTGGATCGGCAGGAATTTATAAAAGAAGCTAGCAACGATATTGCACGAGAAGTGGTGAGAATGGTTGAGCTACTGATGAGGCTCGGGAGAAAAAAGCGGGGAGGGAAGGGGTCGCCGATGAGATAGATATACCGGAAGCAGTTTAGCGTTAAGATCTAAATCTGCACAGTCGTGGGATCTCGTGGGATTTTACTTTCACATGTTTTGAAGCGGCGCTACCGAGATTAGTCAGCAGAGCTTAAAGGCTTACTTTCGTTACTTTTGCACGATATAGATTGAAACTCTCCGGAACTACGTCATATGTCAGGGAGTCGAGTCCAAAATGCCGCTACATGTGAGAATCCGCGGTCAACGGGGCTCGGGAGCATGTGTCGATCACGACTATTTCAACGTGCAGAATTTATTTATTAGCCGTCCGAGGAGGAGCCAGAGGAGAGTATAGGCCATGATATTTGGAATAGCAATGATGGGGATAGTTGCTACGGCCCTGTGAACCCTGCAACCCTAAAGCCGGGGTTCTATCAGTCCGTGTTACGGTGATGGCCTCGTCCAGAACACAGATTGCGCGGCATGACAGCCTACAAAAACTCACTAACACGGCCAGGCTGAATTGCCAGCCATTAAAAGCTTGTGAGGCTATCCCCTGTCATACGACGTGCTGCGGGGTAAAGTCTACGTCCGCCAATAAAGTAGAGCGCCCTTCTTTCATAATCAAGGGATCCAATATGAGACCTCTTAGTAATTGCATCAGGGAGGCGTTTTGGTGCATCCCGACGACCTCATAAATGCGGTCGACAAATGGGAAAGGCAGTGTCTAACACAACCTGGGCTGGAGCTGAAAAACAGTGCATGTTGTGGCTTTTATCACCCTTGTAGCATTTGCTGCCAATGCGGGACAAAAGCTTGCCTTATCTCTGTGACATATTACACATATAAGTATGCTTGGGTGAATGGATGGAGCTGTGTCGAGCTGTGATATTCTCCTAAAATCTACAGAGATTCTTGAATGCCTTTGATCAGTGATATCTACTCTACGAAACATCTAAACCTCCATCTATTCCAGTGACAACACTCACAATGCAAGGCATCGTCGTCGACAATGCGGGTGGGGACTTCCACCTCGTAGACACGCTCGAGGAGCCTACCCCAGGCCGAAACCAGATCTTGGTCAAGTCTCTTGTTACTGCCATCAACCCCGTGTACGGCTACCCTTGTAATTTTCTATCACATAGCTAATATACATCCCACAGTGAAGGATTCATGCAAGGCACCGGGCAACTGGTAACAGCCTGGCCTATTGTCCTTGGCTGCGACGCCTCGGGAACCGTAGTCGAAGTTGGCGAGGGCGTGACGAAATTCAAGATCGGCGATGCTGTGTTCGGGTGCACCACGCTGGGAACCCCTGGGCACTCGACTTTCCAAGAATATGTAGGCGATTTGCAGATATATAAATTTATTGGAGATTATTGCTAATGCTGCTAACTAAGTTTTTAATGGATGAGGATCTTACGTTTAAGAAGCCGGGGGGCGTGACTACGGAACAGGCTGCGACTATTGGCGTTGGGCTTCTTGTAAGATGGGATTCTGTTCTCAATGTAATGATGAAGCTAATTTATAACACAGACTGCAGCTTTGGGTGTCATTATTGGGGCAAACGTCGAGTTAAAAGCTAAAGAGAGTAATTCCCAAAGCCCATGGTTGATTGTTCTCGGTGCAGCCGGAGGTGTTGGCCAGTTCGCCGTTCAGGTATATCTTTCTCCATATATCAAATAGCGGTACTGTATCTAACCACTATATCAGTTGGGCAAGCTATGCGGCTATAGGGTTCTTGGATCCTCCTCCCCTTCTAACACCGAGGTATTGGTGTCCGCATTATTTCACAGGCCTCTCACTAACAGAACTATAAGGTCGTCAAAGCCGCCGGAGCAGAAGCAGTCTTCGACTACAAACTTCCCCTCGATGAACAGTTAGCTACTATTCAACAGGTAACTAATGGCAACTTCACTCGCGTCTTTGATGCTAGCGCAATGGGCACCGAAACAGGCATAGACGCAGTCACGCAAGTTGCCGATCAAAGAGCTCCAGAGAGGTACTTCTCCACGACTAATGACTGGTAAGTATCCTTTCCAAGCCCAGCTTCAATTTCCTCTAATTATTTTTGGCCACGTCGATTAATCGTGTATAAAGGGCTCCCATCGATCCTCGAGAAGGCGTGGCGATTCACCATGTGGAGTTGGGACAAATCGGACGCTCGGGGAGTGAGAAAGCGGAGAAAATCAATAAGGATATTGTCACCATGATCCCTAATTTGGAGGATTATTTGGGGGCTGGCCTTCTGAGACCGCTTGAATATGTGCAGGTGGGAGATATTGGGGTTGGGGAGGTTTTGAAAGCCCTGGAGGCGTTTAAGAATCATAAGAGTGGGAAGAAACTTGTGGTGAGGCTGGCGGAGAACTAGGAATTAGTTAGTGTTGAATTAACGACATCTATTCACGATTAGTTTTCCTATATATGTATCACACGTTTCTACGAGATATGCCAGTTAGCATTGAACGGTGGCCCAGGCTGCTCCGCCTTCAGTAATGGCATCGAAGATGGCTTCTAGGACTAGGACTTAATAATTGAATTTCAACCGTCCTTCTACACCCCAAAATCTTACATATATAACACAGGGGTATCACTTTATAAATCATCACCACCACAACCCCCCGTCCAACCTCACAACACCACCCACCCCACAACCCCCACCACCACCCCCTCCCACCAACTCCACCCCACCCTCCCCCTCCCCTCACTCACCACACCCTCCGAATTCCCATTCCTCACCCCCTCCACCTGCTCCTGCACATTCTCCCTAAAATCCCCAATCACATTCCCCGGCGGATAATACTCACACACAACATACCACCCCGGGCTGCCCCCCCTCCTATCACACTCCCTCCTTCCACATCCCACAGTGGTCGTATCCTTCCAGACAACCTGCGTGAAGTGACCTGTCTCGTGGCTGAATTCGGCTTTTTTGAAATCGTACGAGGAGCGCTCGGTGCCCCAGGCGTCTATGGAGGATGTGGCGTTTGGGTAGCCGGCGGCGAGGTTCTCGCCTGTTGGGCCGCCCTGGAGTTTGTTTGTTAGCAACTGTCTTTATATTCCTCTCTAGGTAGAGTGTATTGAAAGGATTTATGCTTACCGAGTGCTCGAATTCGCACGCCTCCGCCCAGTCCGCTGCATACGCTGCGCTTGTCGTGTTCCACGCCAGGGCGCTGGCATTGTGTTCTTTGCGGTAGAAATTGTGTGTCTCGAGGATGGCGCGCTGGAAGGCGCGGGGGGAGGTGTATTCTGTAGATGGCGGGGTTGGTGTAGCGGCTGCGCCGAGTGTCGTAGGGATGGTCGTGTGGACAGTGACCGTTACCGCGGCGTAAGCGGATGGGAGGAGCAGGAAGACAGGTAATCGGAGTCGCATACTGTGCGTATAGTGCTGGGAGTGTCACACAAGTACATGCAAAGAAGAGATCAACGTCGGAAGTGATTCAAGCACGCATATTCATTCATGTAGGGAAGGAACTTCATTGATGTGTCGCTCCTGCCATTTGAGAGAAAACAATGAAAGAAATAGTCCCATCTCGCCCTTCCAGCCTCGTTGCGGAGAACAAGGAACGAGACAAGAACCACTCACCGTGCATAGCCTCAGAGAAACACGTTTCATCCCGGTATGCTGATAATACGTCGTTTGTTTCTTTGCGCGGCTTTCGAGGCGGTGTTTCTGGCGTTTCTTGGTTAGGGGAATCCGTTGGTGATGGGTTGGTGGCCGCGATTGGGGTTGGCGCCCGTCAGCCTTGTCTATGACGACATGATGCAGAGAAACAAAAGGACAGGGGTACCTATCGATGTCACGTGTTATGGTTCCATTTCAATGAGAAGTCTTGAAGGTTTAAAAAGAGTGGTATGCGCATCTCAGTGAAGAGTCCTTAGTAGTAAAAACTAGCAGAAAAAAGCAATAAAATCATACAAACAATACAAAAAGTGGCCTAGATAAGCGGAGTATTCAAAAAAAGACGCGTTATGTATAATAGTGCTCCGGCCGTATCCCAACCCATCATACACAATAGTGTCCTTTTTCTGACTCCTGCGAGCCCTTTGTCGTTTATCCCATTTTATTTACCTTCCTCCAGAGTACGCCTTGTGCATGCCATCCATCTTCATACTCCGTAACCCCCTCCGTTGTTGTGTGTTGTGATATTCCCATTCGATATTCAATGAGTGTCCAAGTCACATCTCTGCCTCATACAAAACTCGCCCACTTAATAAATCCTTCCGTTCAAGAAGAGAAAGTAGACCGTGCAAGTGATTAGTCACTCGAGACGGTATCGCACATTAAATAGCTGCCAGTCTTTGGAGAACCGTGAGAACACCTAAGTACCGTTAGTATTTTCTAAACTGAATAGCATAGTATCATGAGACTCACCAGTAACTCCCTGCGTCAGCGTCTTCATAGCCTCCGTGTTACGGCTTCCCAAGCTCACAGTCGTAACATACGGAACCTCACCCTTCTCCTCTATTTCATTCGCCCACCTGAAGACCACTTCGTCTTCGCGTCCATCACCGACGACCAATAAGAAATCCACGGGGTATTTGCCCTTCCGGGCTGGTTCCATGCCGTCCTTGATGTTCTTGAAGATGATTTCGGCAGCAGTGCGCTTCGTCCACTTCATCGACTCGACAATAACAGCTCCCTCGACGGGAATGGCGCGGACATGCTGGTCCTCGCATGCATCGTTAATATGGCCGGCACAGTCTCCAGCCTGACGAGAGGCCGTTTCGAAGTCCTCGGCATTCTTGTAGTGGAAGATCAGCGAGCAATGGCGAGTCTCGACCCAGCTGCCCGGGGTCCTGTCTTTGTAGTAGTTCATGATTCCAATGACGGAATCCTTCCAGGCGTTCATTTCATTCGGATCAGACATCTCTTGCCATTCCGTCTTTCCGAATTCGCGGAGGAATGCGCCATTCTCAGCAATCAGACCAAGGTTCGGCACGCGCTTGAATAGAGTATCAAGTTCCTCGGGCTTGCGGCCGCTCATGACATAGACCATGTTCCTCTCATCTATGAGAAGATCATTCAGTGCGTCGATTGTTCGCTGTGGGCTGGTCAAGATGATGTTGCTGGGAGAACCCCAAACGGCCAAAGTTCCCTCGTAATCGAGAATGAAAAGACGACGACCTGAGGACTGGTATTGAGAGCTTAAACCGGGGATGGACAGGCGAGGAACCGAGGTGGTGTCCCGTCTGTGCTGTTCCTCATAGACTTCATCTAACTTGTTGATGAACGCATTGAACCAGTGGTCGGCGGTCTCGTGCATGACAGCCTTGTACAGGTTCGTCCACCGCCTCTCTTTTTCAGGGTTTTCCATCTCAAGAGCTGTCTTGATGGCCTCCGCACACTGGCGGTAGTCCCAGGGGTTGATGGAGAGATCATAGCCGCCGAAGATAGAGGCACTTCCAGTAAATTCGCTCAAAATGAGAGATCCGTATTTGTTGTGACCTTCGAACTTGCCATCCTGGCAGAAGAGGTACTCGTGACTGGTCAAGTTCATGCCCTCACGCTGGCTGGCAATCATAAGCGCATCCGCAACAGTTAACAGTGCGAGGTATTGCGCGTAGCTGATGTCCTGCTTCAAGTACACGAGGGGCTGGTAGGCAAGGTTTGCCCACGACGAGTTGACACGCGTGACAATATCGGAGACGGTGGCGTCAAGTTCGGCTTGCTCAGTGGTTGATGTGGCGACTTGGATCATGACAACGCGGTCTCTCCATTCGGGGTATTTGTTCAAAAACAGCTCATAAGCCAGGAGCTTAGGCCTTACGCCGCGGACGTGATCAAGCTTGTCTCTGGCGACAATGAGCTTCTTGCCCCTATATCGCTCTTGCATGGTTTTTAACCATTCTGCGACCTCCGGGTCCTCGCGATGCACACTCAACGCCACCGGATCGATTCCAATCGCCAAGTTAACAACATTGACGAAGCGATCCTCGAGCTGAACGCCTTCATTTGTAGCTTCAACACACAAAATACGGCTGCAAGTCTGCAAGAAATGGCGAGAGTATTCGTGAATCTGGAAAGCAATGAGGTTTGCTCCCAGCATTCCCTCCAGAAGCTCCTTTCGAACTGCGAGACAGCGGAAAACTTCGGACGAAGGGAATGCCACGTGCAAGAAGAAGCCGATCTTGGCATCAGGAAGCTTCTTCCTCACCAACGCCGGAACGAGGAGCAGATGGTAGTCGTGGACCCAAATCACATCGCCTCGCTTCCAGTTCTTGACAATCTTATCCGCAAAGGCCTCGTTAACCTTAACATAGTAGACCCATGAATGGTCCTGATAAGTCTTGCTCTTTGGGTTATCCGGAATCTGGTAGTGGAACACCGGCCATAGGATCTGCTTGCAGTAGTGGGTATAGGCGCCATCAAAATCGCTATCTTTGCAGAAAACAGTGAGGCAGTCGTATTCGGCAGCCAGCGCCTCGTCAATATCTTGCTTTTGCTGCGTATTCTCAAGCGCATCAGTGGGCATGCCAAGAGTTCCAACCCAGTTGAAGTCTTGCTTTCCACTTCGCGCAGCTGCCTGCACAGCATTACGCAAGCCACCATTGCCCTGGTCAGCGGGCTCAATCGTCCATGTTGCTTCGGAGAAGTTGCGGTCGTGGCTGTCGTGGCTGTTGCTCCGGTTCAAATGGTTTGTGTGCCGGATGCTGGCGCGTCTCATAGCAGCTGCCTTCTCAACTAGCCTCTTCTTATGCTGCAAAATCGATGCTGGCGGTGGCGAGCTTGCCCTGGACTTCGGCTGCACAAAGCTAGTTCCAGTGCCCCATTCGGGCGCATGGGGATCGCTCGGTGCAACCACAGACCGAGGGTCTACCTTCTTCGGAAAGTGTTTTCGTCCAGTGCCTGCTGATTCCTGGGCGAAGAACTTCTCGTATCCGCCATCTTCCTTGGTTGGCGACTGAGGAGGTGTAAGCTGTTGCTTATCGAACAGACTGGGAGCATCTTTGGAGGTGTCGATTTGGATTGGAGGGTGTGCTGGAGCATGGGGGCGGAGAGAGCTCCTGCGGGAGGTAGTGTCGCTCTGAGCTGGGAGAGTAAAGTTGATGGTATGGGGGAGGAAACTAGAGGACACAAGGTCAGCGATTGGACTCAGAAGTTGAAGACGATGCCGACAACGAAGTATGAAAGTAGCTAGGCAATTCCATTGGAACACCAGCATATAAAGCCGCAGGGTGGTCGTTGTAAACCACGGGGTGCTACTTACAGAGAAACCACGAAGATGGTCATTGTTGCAACTTCTGTCGGCTTTGGCGGGGTAAAAAGCTAGATCAAGGACAGCGTGGCTGACGGTGCGACAGCTCGTCTGTCGTGTAGTTAAAAGAATACTCCTGCAAGATCATCAAGATACTTGAAGGCAGTGGTCGTAAAGAGCACCTTTTTGCAAGGCACGGAGTTGTCGGTTGGGCGTTTCGGCGGCTTGCTGCAAGGCCGGTCTGCTGGTTACATTCCTAAGACAGTGTGTCTTTGTTCAAACAGTCGATCCTGCGTTTGAAGAAGGTGTGAACAGATCGGTTATCGAAGTTGTAGAGAGGATTCCTGTCGGTTTTCTATGTTTCTGTCATAATCTCCACTTTCGGATTCGATGAGCATCATCATCCATTATAATTATCAGATTTAGTGGCTGAGAGCCTTGGGAGGGGACACTTTTTCAACCGACGTCAGGCCCGCGCTAAGGCCAAGAGAAGGCTAGGCACTCGGCGATACAGCGCGAGCAAGGCATGGGAAGACTGGGAAGGTATGGGCAAGGAACGGAAAAGGCCCACTGTAGCACTGGTGGCGGTGCGGAATATGCGCTAATTAAGTTACAGTACTGTACATCCGGCCTATCTTCTCCCTGTTCTCCTTGTTCTCCCTCAAATCCCTCCCTCTAAACGGACAAAATATCGATATATCGATATACCGATATATCGACATAGTCAGTCTCTTTCTTCATAATCACAATAAAGTGTTACGGGCGGACACGGACACGTCCCTGGCAACAAACATGCAAATGCAGAATATGCAGTTTGCCTCATTCTTCCTGGGGAGGAGGGATCTTACTCTATTTTCCCGGGCAGGAAACGAGAGATGTTTCATCCCAAATGATACATCAAACTGGCGGCGCGTATGCATCGATCGTATCTTGCTCGGGCCAGGCTGAACCGACACGACTGACTGACTCCTCAGCTCAGCCCGGAGTCTATATCCATGCCTGCATTCGGCCATATACCATATACTACCAGCAATTGCTATTGGAGTCCCAATCTTACGCCAACTACGGGAAGCAGGGAGCCAGCAGACGGGGGCTAGAGCACCACCACTACCCACTACCAGCGGCTGCATGCCCGTATGAGGCACATACATCATACATATGCAATAGATTTTGAGGGAACAATGGTGCTGATGCACGGTGCTATGCATATGGAATTCACAACGAACCATCCAAGCACCACCCTACGAGCCATGCTCGCGGCCCTTAAATATCTCATCTCCGCGCTCCCGTAACTCAAGATGAGAGTTTAAAACGGAAAATGCATGCTGGAGCCCAATTGCTGCCCACAAGTATGGGCCACTAACACTGGCCTAAGCTGACACGCGGTCGGCCTCATTGGCTCCAAGCGCGCATTCCAAGGGGTACTGAGGTATACGTGTGATAGAGTATACTCTATGTGTGATATGCGCCCATGCCGGCAAATATGCAGTCCTGTATGGCTCAGCAGCCTCAGCATCAACTACAGGGAGTACTTGTACTGTAGTAGAGTACTCTAGCAGACACTCTAGCAGATACTCAGTGTTGTTGAACTTGGACCTCGACAAAAAAGATCGCGTGGCGCGGCGGTTCACGAAAACATCGTTGAGCCGTTTATTTCCGACACGCAGGACCCGTAGGGCATCAATTCCCTCACACTACTAAATGCCGTCCGCCGCCCCAGACCCCAGAACTCCAGGGCGCATCTCGGCGCGACAAACCGACGACGACGACGCACCCCAACAAAATATGCGCTTCTCTGAGTTTAGCCAGAAGTTAGCCCAGAAGCACGTTATCCCTACTCCTTGATTGTTGCGAAAACGCCGTTGTAGCAAATCAGCTTCTCGGCTTCTTTTTCATGATCGGCCTGCGCCTCGCTTGGCTTGCCACCCCCCAGCGAACACCCGCCGCTGGTCTAGCCTCAGATCTTGCCGCTCCTCCGGGTCCCCCCCATCACGAATGCGGAGAGTTCTAGGTCCGTCGCTGCGGCTTTGCGTAAGTGAAAGCCGCACACCCTCCCATAGGCAACTTTCACATGTACGGAGAATCACGTTGTTACACAGTAGCATTTGAGGTCGATGAAACGTTTGCGTACAGTAATTGGACTGAAAAGAGGGTGCATGCGCCATTTTCGCTCATATATATCTATAGGTCGGTGATTCTATAGGTAGGTTGACGGTGGGACCAGGCCTGTCACAGAAGCCAAGGCTGTATGTGTTGTGCTTCAACTCATTTTCCAGGCTCCAAGAGAGCAGCCGACTGAAAAGACTGAAGTCCCCTTGTTACCAAACAGGAGGGTGTGGCACGCGGTTAGATTAGGTGCACAATCTGCAGCACTTTCTGTTTTTAGGATGGCTTGAGAACAGCCAGGTCATAGGGCCTTCCATTCCATCGACGGGCATGTCATGGGATTTCATCTGTCGGGCGGATTCAATTGCGTAACGCCCTGTTCATTACTATTCTCAGTGCCTCCAGGTCCTGATGGCCTTGTCCTTTCCTCCACTACAGACCATTTTCCCATCTGGGCTCCAGTCGACCGAGTACACTTCGTCTTGATGGCCAGGCAAATCTAGAACGTTGTATTAGATAAGTCTTGGTACGTTGGGGTTATGATATGGGTGAGGGGTGATGAGGGGTCGTGCGGGGTTATTTTGTCCACGGCAACAATTGCTGGGCGGGGTACGTACCAACTGCGAGCTTGTGCGTCCTCATGTCCCAGCACTTCAGCGTCGTGTCTTTGCTGCCGGTTACCAGCAATCTCGAGTCCGGGCTAAAGGCGCATTGATACACTGGTCCAACATGGCCCCTAAGTGTGTTGATGAACTTTCCGTCACGTGCGTTCCAGAGCTTCGTGGAGTTGTCGAAAGCGCTCGAAGCGATGAGCAACCCATCCGGTGAGAAGGTCACATGATTCACTTGTTTCTGATGTCCCATGAGCCTAGCAATATGTTTCGTCCCCTTAGAAGGTTCCCAGAGGAACATGGTGAAGTCATCCGAGGCGGAGACGAGGCGTTCAACGACCTCTCCCTGGATAGTGGCTGCCTTGAGGAACCGCTCTTTCGCTGCGGCCACCTTGCCTTCCTGTGTCTCAGGGATCTTGCCAGTGTGGTCATGGTAGGCGGTGCGGAGGACGAAGTCTGTGGACAACGCGAGATGGTTGACCCAATGCGCGTGGGAGCTCAAAGTGTGAGCCAAAGTGCCGTCACTGACGTTCCACACCTTGATGGTCTTGTCGTGGGACGCCGAGTAGATGAACCCAGTTCCTCCCCACTTCACGCACGACACGGATCCCTTGTGCCCGCTGAATACCATATCGATCTTCCCCTGGTTTGTCGACCACACTCTAACCGTGCAATCCTTCGACGACGAGGCGAGTCTCGGCTCTCCTGGCTTCTGCATATGGTATGGCTCCCAGCTCAAACTCGTAACCCACTTTGAGTGACCCTTCATCGGCTTGCCCATTTCGCCACCAGTTTTCGGGTCCCATAAACGCACTGTGTTATCCATACTACCAGTTGCTATCCTAGAGTCGTCCGGCGACCAGCTAACGGCCAACACCCAGCTCGTATGTCCCTTCAGCGTGTGGATGGGAGTACCAGTATCGCAGTCCATTATCCTTGCAGTATTATCACCACTACCGCTAACCATCCTGGACGAACTCCTCGGTGAGAATTGCGTGGCTAAAATGGCTTCGCCATGTCCTGGGATCGTGGATGCGCATCGCGAGACTGGCTTGACTTTGAAAACTGCTTGTGGTGCAGCAGAGATGTTCTGTACCTCTTCGGTACTTATTAATCCCGGCAGCAGGAGGGTTTTGTAGACGTTGGTAGGGAAGGCAGTTGTGACGAGGTTTGTGGAGGATTTCCTTTCTGGGACGGGGAGGGTGAAGCGATAAGGAATATGGTCGGATTCATCCTGAGATATATTAGCACCAGCGCAAACGAGAAGTCGGAATATACTAACATGGCCTTGCAGAGCATTGACAAGATTCTCTAAGTTCTTTGGGTTTGCATCCGCAACTGAAACCAAGACCGGTGTGCCGATTGGGAGGCCTGTTGTCTCGTCGAAAAACTGTATCCGCAAGCTCCCCGCATCGGCTGGAATCTCTTCGATGGCTTGTTGCTGTCCCGCTCTCTCTGCGGCGTCCGTTCTTGCGCGCTTACTCGGGGGAGGTAAGACGGTCGACATTTTGTAAAATATATGCCGAAAAAACTTGATGTGTATGCAGGAATATGAAGTAAGTCCCTTCAAGCGCCGTCCCATGAAGTCTCGACGAGGCTCGAAAATATTTTGGTGCTTGGTCCGTGCTTTCAGCCTTGTGGTAGCCTTGTACCCCACATACGTCGACTTCATGGCCTTCCACCACCAGTCCTATAGAATAATCCATATCACAGCCATAGAGGGCCAATCTGGCATATTAGTTCAAAATTACACTTTATTGACGTTGATATTTGAAATAACGTCTTGAAAAACACTAACGAAGGATCTACAGTGCAATGTCTAGCACGCCAAGGCCATCCACCTCCTTCAGTGCTCGGACTGCCATATCACATCGTCACGATGGAGACACTGCTTCAACTTCCCAAGGGCAGAGCATACAGCGTACTCTAAGTCGAGCTACTACCCGTCCACCGACGAGGGCACGCTCGCGAGCCGCATCATCCATCGGCGGCGGGCTATCACAGCACATAGTGTGCGCTGTGAGTGAAAGCCGAGGAGTATCCCCCACCGTCGGCCTGGCATTTGTGAATGTATCCACCGGAGAAGCCGTGATGAGCCAAATATGTGACAACCAATTTTATGTGAGGACCGTACTGAAGCTCCAGGTGTTTGAGCCCACCGAAATTCTTCTGGTATCTACTTCTGGCCCTCCGAATCAGAAGTCAAAGATGTATTCCTTGATTGAAGAGGAGGTCATTGGTTCCAGGATTGTTTGTGTTGACCGTAGGTATTGGTCTGAACCCGCCGGGATGGATTTCATTCAACAGCTAGCCTTCCCGGAAGATGTCGAGGCCATCAAGGTTGCCACTGGAGGCAATTTCTATGCCACATGTTGTCTCGCAGCGGTATGCGAGCCATGATTTCGAAATATGAAGATGTATGCATTCTGATCTGTGGTTTCCTTCTAGTCTCTGCGATATATGGAACATTCCCTTTCTCTTACATTTGCCTCTCATTCCCTTCGAATCAAATACCAGCCATCTGAGGGCTCTATGATGATTGATCTTTCTACTATTCAGTCCCTTGAACTTATCCAGAATATTACCAATGTCAAGTCAAAGGACTGTCTGTTCGGCCTCTTGAATGAGACATTAACTCCAATGGGCTCGAGGATGCTTCGAAGCAACATTTTACAGCCTTCAACGCAAGAGAGCATACTCAAGAACCGCTATGAAGCTGTCGGTGAATTGGCATCTAAGGAGGAGATGTTTTTTGACACAAGAAATGGCAAGCATGTCGTAAACAGTATCTATTTTTATTTATAATTAACTGCCATCAGCTCTTAAGCCTTTTCACGACGTCGACAAGCTCTTGACCAATGTATGTTGCGGTCAGTACTGTCCAGGGGCCATGCTAATGTGCAAAGCTCATCATCCAACCAACCCAGCCCGATATTCAGCATTCAGAACAGTCTATCAACCACATACTGATGCTGAAAACATTCGTCCAATGTGTTGGTCCCGTATATGAAGCATTGTCAGGCGCGAGATCACCACTGTTGGTCGACATCAGAAATGTTTGTCGGCCAAACAATATTACTCCCACATTGAAAATAATCGGGGAAGTAATCAACGACGATGTGACTTTCCAGCGCAGTCCGCTCGATTTGCGGAATCAGAGGACATATGCAGTGAAGGTATGGCTACTATCAATTCTCACAACCAAATCTAATTTTCAATAGTCTGGTGTCAACGGGCTGCTAGATGTGGCTCGTCAAACTTTTAGAGAGGCAACACAAGATGTGCATAAACATGTTTCTGACATCAACGGTGAGTTAATAGTTCCAAAATGCAGTCATATTCATGATTCTGACACAGATAAGACCAATACGAGATGCAAATGGAGACCAGATATGATAATGCGAGAAGATACTACCTCAGGATCCCGGAATCTAATCTAGAAGGGCGGACAATGCCGGATATTCTCATCAACTGCTACAGAAAGAAGGGGTACATCGAGTGCCAGACCTTGGATTTGGTCAAGCTCAATCAAAGGATTGAGGATTCCCACCAAGAAGTTGTTTTGATGAGTGACAAGACCGTTGCGCAGCTTATTGACAATGTTCGCGCAGAAATTCAGCCACTGTTTCGCGTATCTGACAGCATAGCCATGCTTGACATGCTTGCAGCATTCGCTCAGCTGGTAACGACGAGTGATTATATTAAACCGGAAATTACGAGGTGCCTGGCCATCAAATCTGGTCGCCATCCAGTTCATGAGAAGGTATTGACGCTTGCTACGATCAAGGGGCAATACTAACATATGTCAGGCGCATTCTGAGAAGTTTATTCCCAATGATGTCTATGCGGACAAGCAACAGCGGTTCCAGATAATTACCGGATGCAATATGAGCGGGAAGAGCACTTACATTCGTTCGATTGCCCTGATGACTGTTATGGCCCAAATCGGAAGCTTTGTGCCAGCGCAGTATGCTTCGTTTCCCATTGTGGACCAGCTATTTGCAAGGGTGTCGATGGACGACTGCATCGAAGCTAATGTTTCTACATTTGCATCAGAAATGAGGGAGACTGCGTTCATCCTTAGGTATACTTGTATCAAAAAGTTGGCAACTCGATCCACTAATGGTTTTCAGGAATATCGGAAATAATAGTCTGGTGATCATTGATGAACTTGGGCGCGGCACCAGCACCAGAGACGGGCTGGCGATTGCGTTGAGTATTTCAGAAGCTCTCGTCGAGTCTCAAGCTTTTGTCTGGTTCACAACTCACTTCCGAGAACTCGGTATGATTGTCCTTCTTCAACTGCGTAACCTCAAACTCATGTCACCAGCTCAGATAATGAACGAGCGCGCCGGTGTCGTTAACATGCACCTTAAAGTCGACATCAGCCAAGAAGATAAAATGGTCATGCTATACAAAATAGCAAACGGCTTCGTGAAAGAAGAACACTACGGTCTCGCTCTAGCCCGCGTCGTGAACCTCCCACCCCTGATTCTCGAGGTTGCAGAGAAAGTATCTAAGAAGCTACAGGCGCAGGCAGCAGCGAAGAAGAAATCCTCTAAATCGTTTGCGATTGCACGGAAGCGGAAGTTGGTGTTGAGTCTGAGAGAAGTGCTGTTGCAGGCTCAGGAGAGCTCGATGCAGGGGAAGGCGTTGATGGAGTATCTGCGGAAGGTGCAGGAGGAATTTGTGAAAAGGATGGATTGCATCGAGAATGAAGCTGAGGATTCAGGTGATGAAGGTGTGGTTGGAGAGGAAGAGTTGAGTGACAATGACGACGGCAGCGACGAGAACCTGGGACGGGAAGGAGAATTCAACGAGGCCGACGATGATAGTGATGAAAGCGAGATGACTGGTACAGATAAAACAGAAATGCTTGTTTGATGATAAGGAGAGTATGCCTACCATTGGCTCCAATAGCTTCAAACATATGGGGAGCTTTCAGTTTCAGATTACTTAGCAGATTGATAGCCTAGCAAAATATTTTGACAAATCACAAGACTAAGAACGAAGGACAGGCATGGATCTATACGTAGTATATTGCCTCGGGTATCTTTCTATCAATTGATTCAAGCGCTATGCAATACCTCTATATCAGGCGCGGCTGAGACGCTATTCAAAACCTGATGTGTTCATCCCTTTATCATAAAAATCTAGGACAGTTAGTAATCGATCAGGGAGATAAAATTCGGATCTTTCATACCTCGTTCAACGAAGCGCTATTCATCGCTGCAAGCCTCTTCTGTGCAATATTCCTTGACCGAACTGCATGTCGACCACCAAGGAGAATCGGCCGAGATGATATTTCTACAACCACAGGCGTAGTATCTGAAGAATTAGACGCGGTCTTCTCCGATTTGGATTTCTTTGATTTTGACTTCGACTTTGACGACTTTGACGTAACGGCGCTGTCTGAGTCCAACGAATCCTCGGAGGGTTTGCTCTTAGACTTCTTCTTCTTGTCTTTCTTATCCTTCTTATCCTTCTTATCCTTCTTTTCCTTCTTATCTTTCTTAGATTTGCTCTTGCCGTCTTTGGATTCAGAAGCATCTTCTTCTGACTCGCTCTTCTTAGATTTCTTGGACTTCTTGGTCTTATCCACTATGGAAACGCCGCCGTCTTCCTCCACATCAGCCAACTTCCGCTTCTTCTTCGATTTTGATTTGCCGTTTTCAGAATCAACTGACGCCTCAGAAACCTCAACTTCAATCTCTTTGCTCGATTTCTTCGACTTCTTCGACTTCTTCTCTTTCATGACTACCGGTTCTGGAGTTGTGTCAGAATCAGAATCGGAGCCCGAATCACCCGAGTCCTCTGAGCCACTTGACGAAGAATCAACAGCCAGTTGACGTAGGCGGTCCGCTTCTCCATCAATGAGATCTTGGATCTTATCTCCTATAAGGAACCCTCCACTGACGAATCTGATCGATCCCCACTTCCTCTCCGAGTAGATCGCCCTCTTCAAGTCCTCCCTGGACTTCTGTTCCCGTTCCATCTCATCCTCGTCTCTACCGTTCAAACGGCCCAGGAGGTTCTGAAAAACGTCCAATCCAACGCACTCGCCTTGTTCCAGGCCGCTGCCTTTCTTGGCGCCGATACCGAGATTATCGTCCTTCAGGACAACACGGATGTGAGAGGCGTTGGCCTCAGTGTGGAACTCGGCATGAGGGGCATCTTTGATACCTAGATACTCGCCAGGCGTCCATCCCTGCGACTTCATAATCTTATGGCCGAAGCCAGTCGTGTCCTTCGTCCATGTTGTGTTATTCGGGTCCTTGGAAAGCTTTAACCGCCTTAGAAATGTTAGCAACGGAGAATCCGAGATTTTTTTCCGCGACTTACTTCCGAGGCTCTGCGAGACCCATTTTGTGCTAACGAAACGTCGGTTGACGTGGAAGGTGTCAAACTTCAATGGCCCAGTGTCACTGGAGAACTTAGATTTCGCTGAATACCCCAGGCGCAGGATGGGCGGCGGGCGCAAGAGAAGTGGTTTCTGTCGAGGCTTTGGGGGGAGGTAGTGGTTAGGTCGAGAATTAATAGTAAACAGTAAACAGTAGCTGCAAACTCCAAGCGCCAAAGTGAATAGGCAGTGTAGTGAGGTATGCCTAGCCCAACAAGATGCGAAGCAGCAGAGCGAAAAGATTGTGGCAGGAGCAAGTTTCAATGATTGTTATCTCTTGTTATCGGGAAAACTTTTGAAGATTGTGGGGATTGGATGATCAATCGGAAAAATAGTTTCTCCGCGTCCGGGATTTAAGGTCCCTCCCAATAGGTATCAAATGCATCAAGGTGAAGCTTCAAAACTTATCTGATAACAACTGGTAAAAGTCAAGTATATACAGTCTCTTTCATTCCTCTAGGTGTATACAAAAATTCCTCTTTCCTTGTTTTCCGTTATTACATACGCTACATCCCATCTCCCAAGTTGTCACCCGCAGCCTTCACGAGTCCAAGTTTGACCGCGGCCATGTCTTCTCCTAGCGACAACGAAGAGTCGAGCCCAGATGGCATTAATTCGATCGACCATGTTCGGAGAGCTGGACAAATTCTTGCGGCTGTGAGACCAACGATCAACATATGATATTCTTTCATATTAATATCCACCCAGGGCAAACGAAAGAAGGAAGCCAAGCTGAAAGCCATCGAGAAAGAGTTCAATCAGAGAGTCGAAAAGGCACACACCAGCTTTCAGGAATTCCTTGAGGCTCATAATTCAAGGGTGTAAGTAGGAATCCCATCTGCTATATACACCATGAACATGTTTCTTTTACTCTTTATAATCCTTTCCTCGACCTTGCGAGGCAGTCACGCCCATCTATCGCTACATATGAGCATCCGCAAAGGCAAGAAATTAACTTCTATTAGCTCTGAAGCTCAGAAAGCTCAAATGAATAGTCTCAACCACGCCCTTCATAGACGCCAACTGGTGGAAATTGACATTTGGAAGCAGCTCAAGGCTCTCGAGAAGTCAAGAAGAGCACTCGCGAAGCTTCTGATTGAGGTGTGCCAGGCGCGCTTGGAGACTACGGCCGAGATCGGTACGACGGGACGCGTGCCTGAGAAGGCACCCAAGCTGGTATGCAACGGCCTCATATTGTGCGAGTGTGATGATGCTGATGACCAATCGAGTGACCAGAGGCGGCCAGAGGCCAGAGAGAAACTGCCAACCAATATCTCACACTCCATATTGTTATACAAACTTTGCTACATTCACTAACACATGTATTTTGCTGGACGTAAGAAGATATGCATACGGAAGAGGACTCTTTAGGGAGGCGATTACTAATATGAATACACGGGCTGAACGTCAAATTATGGGCTTGTTTTGCATCACAACCTGTGATTATAGAACTGCTAATAACTATACAATTCCAACTCCCTGGTACCAAACCAGAGACAGAAGCTGCTTCTGTCCCTCTTACCTAATCTCAATATCTATCCTGGCCACTCCTGTCAATTGCTCGACCAAATCACGCCGATAACCATAGTGGAGGCCATCGCCATCATTCGCCATAGCAATGGCCTCGAATGAATGATCGGTCTCAAACCTACTACGCCTCTTCAAACAATCTGCATCTCCCTCGCGGTCATCTTGAGTGACAACGCGGGATTCGTGATTACGCAGGCTATCCATTAACACCTGGCCTTCGGCGTCTTGCTCTAAGCTCGAGCTGTTGCGCCGACGCCGAGAGCTTCTGGTCACTTCCGAGGAGAGCCCAGAAGCCGTTCCATCGAACTGCTCCTGTTGAGAGGGCGTTGCATCGAAATCGCTACCAGGACGTGACGCAGGTCGGTCACACATTTCGATATCCCCGTTGCCATCGATTTCTCTAATAGTGCCATCTTGCACCACTAACCTCTGGATGTGGTCGTGATGAGGCGTTCCACGGTCAAGCTTCCAAGTGAGTGCTACTCCCTGCCTGGTAAACGCCCAGATAGTAATGCCAACCCCTGACCCAGTGTGAATTGCTACATCAACAAGTCCTGCACACTGTCCAACCTGTTGGCCCCGAACCTGGAGTGGCCACATCGTGTTCGTCCTGCTACCATATCCGAAGGTGGGCCATTGCAGGAGGCGGTCCCCGTCATTGCCCCACCAAGGCATCCAGTCTGCGTTTCCCCTCGCCGTTTCTCTACTAATGGTAGCAAAGGAATTGATAATGTGAGGTTGCTCTCCTCTTCCATGGCCATCAGTGAATACATCTATAGGGATACTGAAAAGACAAATAGTTTGCTCTTTACCCAGTCCATATGCCGCAATAACTCGGACTCCCCACCGAAGGTCACAGGCTGCTGCATAGGCAACCGGGCTGCCTTCACCAACGGGGCCAGAAAACCACAGCTTTCTCAACAATTTTGTTGGCCCTCCAAACGGTGCATCACTTCCCAGGCAGAGAACACCAGAGTTTGGATCTATGAATAACAGATGATAGCCGTCACTGAGAGGTACAGCCCGGTAATGTTCGCTGCCATTTCTGATGCGGCCTCGAGACTCAGATTCAATATCCGTATCAACGAACATGTCATTAGCATCCCATCCGCCCTGGGCCCAGAATACGCTAGACCTTTTATGCCCAGAGAAGCGTTCACCAACAGAGATTCTCTCTCTCGGTGTGCCTTGGGTACTCACCAAGCGAAGTTTCTTTGCTAAATCTACTCCCGTCCTAGGGGGAAGAAAGTAGAGATGGTCGCTAGGTGCTGTAAGTGGGAACCAACGGTTTAGATCCTCTCCTGTCAACGCATCAATCCAATGCAACTCAATCCCTGATGAACATCCAAAGGCAACGCAACGGCGCTGAGGGCATATGGCGATGGACCTTGGAGGGTCATCAGGGGAACATATGAGAGTGTAAAGCGTTGGTGGCGATGCCTCCGTCGGCATCAGATAGGAAGATGTCGTCTGCGGTTCAGGTCTTACTCTCCTTTGTGCAGTCGATGTATAATAATCGCGGCCAACGTATCTCTCCCCTAACTCACGGCCTGAATATCTATCTGCCAGAGGTTGTCCAGGAGCCAGGACAGAGACCCGAAGGTATTGATTTGAAGCCTCTGGAGAGGAACGAAGAGAATGCGAAGTCCCAAGTGATACGTTCTGTCTCCAACTCCCCCCGCGCAATACTGGGAAAACATTCGATTGTTCTTGCATTTTTCTCAAGTCTCGCGTCCTAGTCGGCCCGGGACGATTCGTGTTTCCTGTTATGGCACACACAAGACCCATGCGACCATCCATCAGAACAGCAATTGCATCGCGGTTTGAAGAAGTATCCATACTGCAGCCAAGCACCCTTCTAGGGCAAATTATACTTGTTATTGGTCGGATTGCTCCACTTTCGATATCGTCAGCTCCTTTCCCTGTTCTATGACTTCGGTTGAGTTCATAGACAAACACCATACACCCTCGTGCCACCATGAGAAATTTGGTACATGCACTGACGATGAAAAGCAGGCCACATGCTTCAGAACTTGAACCAGGGTAATGGGTACCCATATTGGTAAAATCCAGCTTGGAGATGAGTCGGAATGGTGTCTTATTCGCTACTCCTTTGGAATGTGTCGGGATTTGCTCTGTTGGTAGAGATGGTATGCCATTCCCCCGCCAATCGGGCCCAAGAGCACATTCTTTAGCTAGGTGCTTGCTCATAAGCCATTCATCTGTCATGCGAAGGTGATCGTCAAGATATTTATTGTTGAACAACTCTCGCTGTATGCTAGCAAACCACCCACTTCGCTTCAGCATTGTCTCCAGCAAGGAATGCTCCAAGCTACTGATGAACCATGACCTACACGAGTGCCTAGCAGAGTTAAAATCTGAAGGTGAGAGCCGCCTGTAAATCTTTGTCAGTATTTCTGGCGGAAGAACCGATGCTGTCGATGGCTTCTCTACAAGGCCCTCTGGTTCGTCGTGACTTAAGGTCCGTGTCTGAGGCGAGGAGGGTAAACGTTCCACGTCTAAATGAAGTGTTCGGCCACTTCTTATGGATTGTATGACTCCTCTAGCAGATATGGTCTCGGCGTGAGAGCGTGGCTTGGAGTCGTTGGTCGCGGCCACCTTTCTGGTACGAGTGGCCCACGGAATCTTCTTGCTTCTAATGCTGTATTGGTCGGATGTGCTTCTCACGGACGGTTTTCGAGTCGTGGGAACTGGGGTTCCGCCCCTTTCCAGTGTTTCATTGACACTGGCACACATCTGGCCAGGCGCCAAAGGTTCTAAAACAATATCTTCTAACTCGCCAAGAGAGCTCGACCGGCCTTTATAAAACGCACCTCTTCTTGTTGGGCTTTTCTTCATGAACCTAACGTTGACTTCAATCGATGCATCATTGGCTCTATTTCGAGATTCGGCTCTTGACAATGGATTGGGAACCTTCCGAGTCCTTCTCAAAGCTCTGCCCCTTTGTGGCCAGGAATCTTTGGGCTCGACATTGTGCTTCCCCTCTGGATGTGGCAGCATTCCGCTTCCCGGCAAGGTATTTGAGAGATCGCCATCCCCGTCGTGATGCTCGAGGTCTGTGTTAGCTGGCGAAGTCTGTTGATGGAGTTCATCTGGGCAAGATCTGACATTTGTAGCCATGTCTATCTGGCTCGCACGTTCTGCGGACAAGTTCTCGGAATCGTCGATTCGCACATCTACGCCACTCAGATTAGACCAAGAGGTCTTATAATAATGCCTATGTGGCTCAGACTTACCATCTTCCACAGAATGTTGCATATCGGAAGCCAACAAAGCCGCAGACAGGTCCTTTCTCCCGGCGACCATGGTGTCCCTTGACTCCGGATTTGAGTCGCTGATGACTGGGTATGGGGGAGCCGCCGGAGGCAGGTGACAGTTTGTCAGAGGCGTACTTTTTGCGACTCCCCGTGAAAGATGTATATGCGAAGTCGTAGCTCGATTTGCCTCGCCCGAGGCAAGATCGGCGGCAGTGTGAGCATAATAGAACTAGACGAGGACCATAGGAGAAGGGCGGTAGACAATGTATACTCAGCAGAATAATGATAATCAATTTGATATATGAACTGTAATGAATGGCCCCACGTCACCTTGCTGGAGTAGGAATATGTGGTGGCGGCCTCTGAAAGTATTATGGAATCGTTCATGAGCCTTCCAGAGGTGACTGAAGACCTCACTGCAGTTGCACTTTCATAAACTCAAACAAGCAAGAGCGACTGGCTGGGTCACATACTTTGACGCTAAATATCCATCGATGACCTTGATCAAATTAAGAAGGTGCATTCTAACTCCATGCCCCACGCTATGCCCATACCAATTAGATCCAATAGTAATAATATGTATGCGCTAATCTCAGACATTGCTATCGCCATTCTCTCGCCATATATGGGTATCTCCTAAACTCACAGAGCTCGCGGTGCTCTCTTCGTGCTCCAGTGTTCTTGGTGTTTCCCCACCAGCGCTGGGCCTCTGGTGAATCCACATTTTCTCTAATCTGATGCAGGTTAGGACAACTGTGGCAAGAGCCAGATATTTAAGGGCACTTACGGTACAACCAAACTTGGGTTGACAAACTTTTGATCCCTTTCCCTATCCTCATCTATAGTACTGCGACGACGGATGCGTCCGGGTGGTCGATGGATGCCGAGGTATTCGTCAGCAAGGTTGACTTCCTCGTTGTTATCTCGTCGTATGCTTCGTAGCGCAATATATTTAGTTAAAGGCTCAAAAGTTCGGGCGAAGAAATAGCTAAACCACATGGTGAACATTATAAGTGGCAGGACGAGAAGAGCCGCCGTAAAGGCTTGCTTCAGAGCAATCACTCCCGCCATTGCCAGTTGGAAGATACCAAGACCCAGCATGATGCGGTAAGATATCATAGTCCATGCTGCACCTGTTGCGTGTTGCGGGTGGTCCATTGCGTAAAGAAGTTGGTACTTGTATGTGAAGTAGCCAAGGACAAAGTAAATGAGCCCAAATAAAAGGACCAGGAACCCTGCTGGGAGTATGCTGTAGACAACGCATAAAATGAAAACAAGGAGCGATGTCGGAAGGTAGAACCCATACTTGAATACTGGCGGTTGGTCAAGTTCTGCAAAATCTCTTGGTGTTTCCGCTCCCCATCGCATGATAGGATACAAAGACACGCTGCCAAACTCTAGCAATCGCATCGGGAACAAGCCAATCCCCTGGAGCATGATAAAGTTCGTGTAGAATAATCCAAGGGTTTGTAGAGATGTCGCCAGGTTGTATGCGATCTTCGTTGAATCCTTAAGAGAATCTTGCAAAACAGGCCAAATTTTACTCGCCGTTCCAAAGACCGTGAAGACGAGGAAAAAGTTGAAGAAGGTGAACAAAAAGTTTTTGGATATCACAGACAACTCCACGTCACTTTGGGAGATTGAGCCTTGATAGTTCGCAAGGAAGTCATATAAGAACGGAACTGCCACGTTGAGTAAAGACACAACGAGAGTGGGAAGACCCGTTTGCACAAGAGCTCTGATAATGTCATGGCGGGACAAAACTGCTGCAAGTTTGGGAGCAAACTTTTCGATGTAACATATGTTTAGCAACGATGCTAATGACGCAACTGGGATAAGCCAGATGGCTGTCAGAATCAAAATGAAGATAGTGATGCTCCAAGACCTCAACATTCGACTAGACCGTGACAGGTATGTGTTTGACCATACTATGTCTGATGGCGCCGGTGCAAGAGAAGCGTGGAATTGCAAAGGTGTTGGGTCAATGAGAGCCTGGACAGCCATTTGAGCAGCCGGGATAGAATCCATAGTAACAAAGGCTAGTGGAGTGGCCGTATACTCCTTTTTTCTCGCATCCTTGATCTTCTCGTCGAGTCTTCGTAGATACTCCTCGTAGTAATCAATAGCATCCACTTTTTTGGTTGACAGGTTCCAAAATCCGCCTCGGATCCGAGTTGTAGGGCGCGGCTGGCCATATAATGACACTTCAATGGAGGCGTTGTCCAACAAATTATCACCCTCGTCCCGATCTTCATTCTCGTCTTGATCAGGATCGTCATGATATTCCGTTGGGGTTTCAGATGCGCGCTCAAAGTTTCTTTGGGCCCTTTGCCTCTTGAAATGAACAGAAACCACTTCTTCGAGCTTTCGGAGCGTCGCTGCCCTTTCTTCCATCAAGTCATCCAGGAATTTCCAATTGCGGCAAAGAGTTACGTTTTCCACTTTGCCTATCTTCAGTTTCTCCAAGATCTCTATAATTTTTTCTTCTGATCTCAGTTCTTCTGGAATGCCCGAAATCCTTATGGTTTTGTCGGTAATCGTTGACTGGCTTCCCAGATAGTCTTGTCTGACCTTGATGATTTTTCGAGTCTCGGCAATGAGGAAGTAGATGGCCAGCCCCGTGAAAACATATGTAAACACCAGATATGCCCACAGATAACTTTCATCCTCTTCGACCTTATGTTTGCCTTTCCCGGCTGCGTATATATACACAAATCCTTGTGATACGTAGTGGGAGCTGGAAGCATCGGCAGTCGTTTCGTTGTCTTTCCTGTCCCCTCCACTCAAGTCGAGTCCAACAAAGTGCTTATTTATCGGTGCGATGATCACTGCTGCTAAGATGAATGCGACTCCGAGGAATTTTATCGCCATCTTGAAGAACGACAGGAACTATACCAGTCAGCTATTTATTCGTTGTCCCCGCGCCAATATCAACATACCACAAACGCATCTAATCCAGCAGATGCGAGGACTTGCTCTTCTGTCACCTTGAATAGCACTGGTATCCAGCCGAAAAAAGTATCCGGTAAATCCGGCAGAGCCATGGCTGCATCGCTATGTCGTTTTCGGGCCGCATAGAGGCTCTTCCATCGCGGACGTAGTATCTATGCATGATGGTCAGTGTATTGAACCGCAAAATACTCGGTAGCACCCTAAAACCTACGCAAAATGCTATGAAAGAAGAAACTCCCAAGCCCATCGAGATGACAAGTTGGACATAGATATCCTTTTCATTGGCCTTCGGACTGATAACATCGTCATCTTGGCACCCTTCGAGAGAGCTGAAAAGAGAGATGCTCATCTTGCCCACATATTTTTTCGAGCAAACGAGGGTTGAGAAAGATAACCTTAGGGTTGATCTTCAGAAGGCGATAACATGATGGAAATTGTACCTGGCTTGGTCTTAGACGACTGTGATTATGACATAGTTAATGCCACCCCTGTCGCTTGGTCACGTGATGTGTATTTATTTGCTAGAGAGCATTGATGAGCACCCGTGACCTGTAAAACGGCCTTTCTACATAATCTGATTCTATATATTGACAACTCTAAAAAGGCAGCAGGCCCAGGTTCACATTGCTCCGGTACAATAGAGAAGCATCAAACATTCACATAATAATCTCGTCCATGGAACAACGTTATAAGGCTAGGGAACATCAAAGTCATGTGTGGAGGAAGGTGGATTGGAGTCTGATATGGGCAAGTGAGAACCATGATCAAGCCAATGGCACCCGGTTGCTCCGAAGGACATCCAGAAAGGCAGACTGGGAGCATTGATTAAAACGGGAATCAGTTCGGTCAGAAACAAGGTCCGGCGGCATATGAGGCAGTAATTTGCTGGATTGCTGGGAATAACGAGCATGCCGCTGGGATGGGCAACTTTGGCAGAAGGGGACTCGCCAAGCCACCCCATGGAAGCGTCGACGTCGAGAATTCCCTGGATATGCGAACCCATCATCGCAGCGAGCTAGGTGTCCTCCAAGTCGGTTGTGACGCAGATCCGACTTCGATGCGAAATGTTCCCATAGGCCCAATAGCCTTCTGCCGCATATCATCACAGTATTCGTCGCACATGAAGGACAAGCCTGGGGTATTTGGAAATCGTTGTATTTCTGTGTGCTTCAACGCCCCTCAGCCAGTATCTGGTTGAAACCCAGCCCGCAGCTAATGCTTGCACAACCAAAGAAGACCCTTTTCCTACACCCAGGCACGCTTATCTCAACCTTCTTGCCTCACGCTCGGACTCGAGTAGGCACAGGATATCATCCTCACGGACTATTGTAATATGTCAGCACTCTTCTTCCTCAAATCCAGTTATGGGTCGTCGCGGTATATTGGTCGGGGAAGTTCGTACCTGGGCCCTTGACGTTGCGGATAATGCTGCGGGTGGTGTCGTCCATGAACTCAACTCTGACCTGAGTAACACCTCCACGGGAACCTAGAAAACTGTCAGGACTTCGTCTTCCGAAATTACCGCGCGATTGCGTTCGCTGCGGCTACTCGATTGTGCATACCGGTACGGCCCAAAACGCGGGTGACCTTGACGAGCTTGACTGGGACCTTTGAGGTATCCATTTTGGCGAATTCTACATACTGTCAGCATGTCGGCGGGCAGCTAATTCGGGCTCTGCACAACGTACATGAGTGATCGGGTCGTGGATTCGGAGGGGTTTGAAAGCTCGATGTCGTCGGCGGATGATTCCTACGCTTGGGTCAAGAATTCTCGGAATCGGTTGTAGGGCTCCAGAAGCGAGAAACCCTATTGCGACCGGCGAAACGTACACCCGAAGGATGACTTGATTCGGCTTAGCGTTTTTCTTGGCGGCTGAATTCCAAAAGCGGGCCGTGAATCGGCGGTTCCTGTGCCACGAGTTTTGGAGGGGTAAATCATTGGTGGGATACAATTTCGAGATATCGGAGTCAGAGTCAGAAGATCGAGACGAAATATCTCATTATAATCCTATTATCTCCCCAAACAACGCAATTTTATTCCAAGATTAACGACCTATTTTGCGCCAAAGAAGCAATCAATTGCGAGCTTTTTCCAAAGTTCTCCGACCCGGTCTGCATTGCGCGACATTCACTGGATAAAGTGAATTGTACGACCCTGCAGGTGGTGATACGATAAAGAGGGTGACCCCCCACCCCCTCTCCTCTTCTTCTTCTCTGCGATGGATCTCGTAAACCAGTATGTGAATCCCCAGCTTCAACAGTCAAGGAAAGCCAAGCCAAACTTAGCGCGCCATGGGCTCCATCAGCAACGACACTGACCTCATTCGTCTCAGCCTCGAAGGACGACTCCTCTTCGCCGTTCCAAAGAGTAAGCAGCTTCCCCCCCTGCAAAACCACAGTCCAACTGCTTACACCATCCAGAGGGCCGTCTCAATGCCACCGCACTAAACCTCCTCGAAGGAGCCGACATCCAGTTCCGCCGCGAAAACCGCCTCGACATCGCGCTCGTCAAGAACCTCCCCATCGCCCTCGTCTTCCTCCCCGCCGCCGACATCCCCACATTCGTCGGAGAGGGTCAGGTTGATCTCGGCATCACGGGCTTTGACCAGGTCGCCGAGCACGATGCGCGCCGCCGCGCTATAGTCCGCGACCAGGCCGAGTCTGGGAAATCAACACCCGTGGAGGGCGCCACGCCGAAGGGCTGCGACCAACTCCTGGATCTCGATTTCGGAGCTTGCAAGCTGCAGGTCCAGGTTCCCGTTAAGGGAAAGTACAGGACACCTGCGGATCTGATTGGCAAGAACATTGGCACGAGCTTCGTCAGTCTTGCGGCTGAGTACTTTGCTAAGTTGGAGGCTGAGGCTGATGCCGCGAATGGCGAGACGTCGGGCCCGAAGCCGCTCAGGACTAAGATCATTGAGTTGAGCGGTAGTGTTGAGGCTGCTTGCGCGCTTGGTGTTGCGGATGGAATTGTTGATCTCGTTGGTAGGTCGTCTTCCTTCCATTTGAGGAGCACCACATTAACCGTGCCCTAGAATCCGGAGAGACAATGAAGGCAGCTGGTCTAGAAGCCATCGACACTGTTGTGTCCACGAAGGCTATTCTAATCAAGTCAAAGAACCCTTCCAACAAGGCAATGGTTGACCTGATCGCCTCAAGAATACAGGGTGTTATTTGTAAGTTTCCCCCTTGGCTCGTTTCCAGGGTCAGTCCCTAACTAGCATGCCAGCCGCAAAGCAATACGTTCTGTGCCAATACAACGTCGAGCGCAAGAACCTCGAGGCCGTTACCAAGGTCACCCCTGGCCGCCGCGCTGCCACCATCAACGCGCTTGAGGAGGAGGGTTGGGTTGCAGTTAGCTCAATGGTGGAGAAGAAGAGGATTGCGACAGTGATGGATGAGCTGTCGAGCCTTGGAGCGGAGGACATCTTGGTTATGGGTATCTTGAACACACGTACGTAGTGGGGTAGTGTTGTTAAAAGCAATTTGCGAAGTATTGGTCCGTATTGGGCCGCAGATCTGAGGCATCTCGATGCTGGAATTGGAATAATTTAACTCGAGGCATTTCTGTGGACGCATAACTGTTGAAGTTAGTCTAAATACAAAAGTTGACCTATTGGCATTAGTCGGATTAATTCAATCACACATTGACCATGCTCTTGTTAGTCTTGGTAGACGCCAAGGAGAGATATTCATTGTTGAATAAATACCCCAAGGACCTGCCTTCCTTGCAGACCAATGCGTTTAGTTACTATATATACAGGAATTTAAAAATATAATACCAATGAACAGGCTGGATTTATGGATAAATCGAGGCTAGTAGTAGTGTACGATTACAGTGTCAATGTTGAGTTTCGCCTTTTAAGTTGGTAAATATAAAACCAGCAATGTATGAATTTCCATCCAACCGAATTTATTCGAATAAATAATGATAAAACCGATCAACCACCAACAAGACGTCAAAATCAAACATAGATTAAATTCCTATTCCCTCACCCAATCATACAATTTTCATAGTGTCATTCTAACACATACTATAATGTACTTTCTAGTTCTCACCATCCCGCCCCCGAAACGTCAACCCCCCCAAGCACCAGCACGCCATCTCTCAAGCCCCAACCCCAGCCATCTGTCCTCCCTTCATCCCGTCATATCACATCTTTCAAAAGCCACTCCTAGAATAAATTTACACCCCCTCCTCCAGCAAATCCCTCCCCACAGTTGTATAGGAGGGTGGTGGGGTTCCCAACAAATGCACAGCCTTGCATGACGTACGCGTCAGTCAGCCTCCCATCACCACGTCAGCCTCGTTTGGTTAATGTCGTATAAACACAACCAAAACGCTTTATTTGATGAGAAGAATGAATTTTAGCAAGAGAATGGGTTTGAAATTGCGATAATATATAATTCTATAATCTATAAATCCGGCCTAGCGATAAACAAGGGCGACGACCCCAGTGATCCGCGCGAAGATTTACAATGCCATCGTCTCCGTCATCACCTCCCACAACACGGCGGCGGACCTCATCACCACCGCCACAGCAGGAATATAGAGAATCCTCACTCTCGCGGGTATATACCCCCAAAACCTTGAATCGTCCCACACCAGCTAACACTCCGCAGCTCGTCATCGCCCCTATAACATTCTTCTCCTTCCTCCTCTCCCTCTTCCTAATCGACGCCCACACCACCTCCTCCCGGCGACGAGACCGCGCACCCCGCCAAAATGGAGGATGGCTGAGCGCAATGCTATGGAAGCCGAAACCGGGATCGCCGTATGCGTATGTAGGATCCGGGAGGGGGGGGAAAGGTGGTGGCGCAAAAAGAGGGGAGGATGAGGAATGGGTGTGGCATACGAAGCAGCGGAAGATGTTGAGGATGGAGGTGGTTGATGCGTTTGAGTTGAGGAGATGGGTTGTGGCTGCGTTGGGGGTGGTGGTGGTGGTTTTGGGGGGAGGAGGGTTATGGATTGGACGGTGGGTTTGGAGGTGGTGGGGGTGGTGATGGGAGGGAGTATGGGGATATGGGATTCGTCGGCGGCATGGCGTTAAGAGATATGGTGGGAAGTATTTTGGAGTTTGAAGGGTGTGTTGCTTGTGTCGCTTTTGGGGTTTGAGGGGTTAGTGGAGGATCAAAGGGGGTATTTGGTAAGGCACTCAATGAGCCGCCGTAACACTTGATGGGCAAAATGAAACCCATGACCGCGATAGTTCGTAGACATCTGATGTGCAAGTTTAATGGAAGCCCTAACTGTGAAAGCTGGCAGGTTTCTCATGTTGTGGTGGCTCGTCGAGGATGGAAGGGACAAGACGTTATTTAGACCAACTCTAACACACAGAAGAGAGGAGAGAAGCCTCTCTAGCACAGTAGTCGCCCCTCGCACACAGCTAGGAAGAAACATTTGACCAGGCCAGTTTGAATATATTGAGGAGTGAGAAGGATCCTATCTCATGTCGTGGTTGCTCCTTGACCACAACTGGAAAGAAGAAGAGTTCACTAGACCAGCTTCAAGGCTCCCGTCGAAAAGAAAAGAACTATCATGTAAAACATTTTATTAGACCAGCTTCAACACACCAGTGAGAGGGAAGCAGCCCTTTCTCTGCCGTGGTTGCCTCCTTGCACATGGCTAAGAAAGAAATAGTTTGATTAAGTCAACCTAGTATCAACGAGGGTGACAGAAGGGTGTATAAGCACTATTGGTACCATCTTACGAACTCATCCTAGGGTCGACTTTTTTTGTCAACCACGTGCAAGAAACGATCTTTATATGTGCGGTGTCGCCGATCATTTCAAAGTCTTATCACCCCGTCTTACACGATATCTCCAGCACCCTGCCTCTCGCTTCCATGGAGCCACCGTCGGTATTGACCGACCAACAAGCATTTTCATGTAACAGCGGCTAAGCGGCATATCCGGCTGGGCGAATTAATATCGGTCATCGCCTTCCGTTAGGGGACCAACGTTCGTTTCCAGAACATGCACGATGGGCACGTGCAGGGCATCTTGTGGACATCGATCTGCTCCTTTAAGCAGGGGCATTTCCTTCTATTGATTCCAGAAGGGTATAGGATGTCACCCACCCCACGAGGTTGACACTCGCTTTCCGAGTCAACACCTGGGTAGTTCGCCAATAGTCGCCAAACGGAGGGGAACGCGCGTGTTGGGGAACCACTTTTGAGGTCGCTGAGACATGGTGAAGGGGGAGCTGGACGACAATAGATAGCACGAGAACACTAAGTCAACTATTGGGCATCACGCAGTGATGATGATAGGATTCTGGAATTCTGCAGCTTAAACGACCCCCAAGACCCTACAACTAGAGAACGATAGTGCCATATTCGACGTCGCGTCGAGTTTGTAGAGGAGAGTTACGAGTCGCAGTTAAGATGAGAGAGAGAGAGAGGCATGATGAAGGAGTTGCATCAGCCACTGAGAGCCACACATGTAGAGAGGTGATGTTGAAAAATAGCCAATGAACGTCGAGGATGGATACACGTGGGTCCTAGGTGCACTGTCGTGCATGGGGTAGCTGGTCTAGGGGCGTATAGGCCCTGGTCTAGTGGCGGCAGAAACTCTCTCTTGGCGCCTGGCATCGCTTGGCGTTTATATTGGGCTAACGGGACGCGGTGCGGGTGTGGCAACGCCACGACGCCACGACGCGACGACGTCGAAGTGAAATCTGGAGGGAGATGCATGTTTACGTCTGTTTTCGGGTGGGTGAAACGGCAAGATGTTGCCGATACCTGCAGTTTTTAGAGGATGGCATGGGGGGTGGCACAAGGGGACCTTGAACTCCGCTATGACTGTCTACTTTGGGATTCCGAGGTCCATAGCGTTGCTTCGTCGCTGGCTCTTGATTGTACAGTGTCTCAGTGAGGCGTCACAAGAAGCAAGTATGTAATTGTAGATGCAAAGGGTCATTGGTCATAATGGCGCCGTAGTGTCAAATCACCAAGCTACATCATCTGCTCACGCATCTCCCTCATCTCCTCCTCCCGAGAGGATTTCTCATATTCTCCATAACAACTTCCCCATTAACTAACAGTTTCCTTCGTATTGAAAATGAGCTTACAATTCCAACAAAAACGACTCGAGATTCTCCATATATACACCGAAAGCTGAGGAACACCAACACACTCTAATACCACACGTGGGTTTAGCAGCATCTATTACCCGTTGCCAATTTTGTGCCAAGAACTCAAGCTCAACTTGGCATCGATGGCCTGCAACAAATACTGCTTCTTAGAGCGTTTTTTCCCTGCTCTTTCCCTGCCCTGTCCCTGCCTTTTCTTGGTCATCCCACCACGATCTCTTGGGATTGATAGGACTAGGGGACTGCAAGGGTATATCGTCAGTGCGGCGTAGTAGTGTTAGCATGCATCATCGTTCCTTCTAAAGGTATCACGCTATGTTCCACGGATGGGGCGATGTTTGTCAAGTCTGCTGCAATCCTTCGACTAACACCACTAACACCACCAACACGATCAACACTATTGTTTTCTTCACACCATCAGTTTGGAACTATTGCCGATGTTACGCTCTTTTGCACGAATTCTCATTTTTAAGCGACTCCTTGGAAGGTGGCACTCGAGTAATTTGATTAATCCCCATGTACTTTCCTCAGCTTTGTCACTGCAATACTCGTATTATCATAACGGCATGAACGGCTTGGCAACCGCTCTTGGGTCAGACCATGATCTACCGGTTGTTCCCAACCGATGCAATCTTCTCTACTACTAAACCTTCAACTATCATTTCTCTATTGCGCCTGTAGTGTCATGCTCCCCCCGCCTCATGCCGCCCTCATGCCGCCCCATGTGCAGACTTGCCCGCCTTGAGGTTAGTCTTGGCTATCATAATGCTCCGCTCAGGTGCCTTTCCACCTGCAGCAAATTTGTCTGTCAACCTAAATTCGTTATAGTGGATGGATCATGTTACGCAGCACCCACTATGGTCGATCCTGGCTTTGCCACTACTGTACTTAGTAGCGTACACCTACATGATACACTACCATACTATGTACTCGAGTACTACTATGGTATCCATTACAGCTCAGAAGAAATGTCCCCCTCCTACCCACAACCCCCCCCCCTAGTCGATACTTGTGGGGAGGGATTGTTGGTCCTAATGTCTTGGGTATCACATATAAGTATGCTTCGCTCATCCTCTCCCAAAATATTCGTTCAACCTCATTACAAACCGAGACCCTCACCTCTGGGGCTGCTTCATAGAGACCTTTTCTCATAGAAGCTGTACACAGCCCAACCGCCGCCATGCTTCACCAGTTCGACTATATCTTCGCTATTGCGATGATTTTTGGCTTCCTCGATGCCTTCATGATCGGTATGCTGCCCTGCCCCGTGACTAGGACGACTGCTTTTCTCCAAAGCGATACTAATGTTCGATGATAGGAGCCAATGATGTCGCCAACTCTTGGGCTACGTCTGTCTCGTCGCGGTCTGTGACCCTGAGGCAGGCTATGTGCTTGGCCACAGTCATGGAATTCGCAGGTGCTATCGGTGTTGGAGGTCGTGTTGCCGACACCATTCGCACCAAGATTGTGAACATCTCCTTCTTCGAGAAGGACCCGGCGGTCCTCATGGTCGGAATGACCTGTGCCCTTGTCGGATCCTCGATTTACCTATCCGTTGCTACCCGTCTCGGTATGCCTGTGTCCTCCACCCACTCCATCATGGGTGGTGTTATCGGCATGGGTATCGCGACAGTTGGAGCAAACAACGTCACCTGGGGCTGGAAGGGTGTTGCTCAGGTTTTCGCTGCCTGGGCCATCGCTCCCGGACTTGCTGGAATTTTCGGTGCCATTATCTTCACCATCACCAAGTACGGTGTCCTGAAGCGCGAGAACCCAGTCAGAGCCGCCTTCTTCATGGTGCCGATCTACTTCGGCTTCACAACTGCTATCCTCACCAGTAAGTTCATCATGCAACTGAAATTCGCCAACAGATGCTAACTAGTCAGTGCTAATCGTCTGGAAGGGTGCCACTACCATCAAGAACCCCAGCACTGCTCTTATTCTTGGCTGCATCTTCGGTGTTGGCGGCGGAGTTGCGCTTCTCACCGTCATTTTCCTCCTTCCCTACCTTTACCGCCTTCTCGTCAAGGACGATTGGGAGCTCAAGTGGTATCACCTCTTCTTCGGCCCTCTCCTCCTCAAGCGCGGCCCCGTGCCCCCACAGCCAGAGGGCCACAATATCGTCACCGACTACTACAAGACCTTCGACTACGAAACAGCCCAGGCCGATGGAACCGTTGCCCCTGGACGTGATACCGCTGAGGACGTCGAGAAGAACGGCAGCAAGCCTGTCAGCCTTCAGAAGAACATTGACTCTCCTACTGACATCGATGCTGAGGAGCAGCCAAAAAAGAGCCCCTTCCAGATCGCTAAGAGGCTTCTTTTCAGGGGTGTCGATATGGATGTTGTATCCCACCAGTCCAAGAAGTCGTCGGCCCTTGTTGGTGACCTGAAGTCTGTCCACGATGCTGCCACCCACTACGATAACAAGGCCGAGCACACCTACTCTTTCCTCCAAGTTCTCACTGCCTGTACCGCCTCTTTCGCCCACGGTGCCAACGATGTTGCCAAGTAAGTTCTTCCCACCCCCTAAGAAAACCCAACCTAACACACCCCAGTGCCGTCGGCCCCCTCGCCACCGTGTTCACAATCTGGCACAGCAGCAAGTACGAACTCAAGAAGTCCTCCGACGTCCCCATCTGGGTGCTCGCCTACTGCGGCGCCGCCCTCTCCATCGGTCTCTGGTTCTACGGCTACAACATGATGCGCCAGCTCGGTAACCGCATCACCCTCCACTCCCCCTCGCGCGGTTTCTCCATGGAGCTGGGCTCCGCCGTCACCGTCGTCATGGCCACGCGTCTCGCTCTCCCAATCTCTACCACCCAGTGTATCTCCGGTGCGACCGTCGGTGTTGGTCTCTGCGCTGGTACGTGGAGGGCTATCAACTGGCGCATGATTGCGTGGATTTACTTTGGCTGGATCATCACGCTTCCTTGCACTGGTATCATTTCGGGATGCTTGACTGGTATCCTGATCAACGCCCCGCAGTTCGGCAAGGCTGTTATCGTGTCCTAGATGATTCTTTGATTTGTGTGTTTGGCGAGAGGAGAGCGTGCATGGAATGTGTCGTGGTAGCTGTTCCTCCCATTGTTCCAGCCTTTTGGACTTGGGGTAAGGGCAGGCGCGCACGCGGGTTTGTGGAGGAATTTGTTTTAGTATACCATACCCGATTATCGTAATAGATTGTATTTGATTTTAGTAATATAAACCTGCCAACTTGTTGGTTATATTATGTACCTGACCCCTTTATCGGATGCAAAACATGCTGTGACTAGAATATGAGAATTCAAAATCCACACAGCTCATGAGACGTCAAATCCAAGAAATCCTCCACAACGCCACAAAAAAGCCACACGAACTCCTCAACCATACAACCCCTGCCCTCTCCTTCACCCCTGCCCCTTGGCTCGCAGGGCAATCAAAACACCGCCCCACCAATAATAAACAACCTCTCCTCCTCCCTCCTAACCCACTGCACCACCCGACTAGCTCCCTGCAGTAACGCGCCCCTGGCACAATTTGGGCCAGCTACGCAGTAGAACTCGAAGACGGGGGTAGCCCAGGCGAGCGCGATGGAGGTCTTGGAGACGCAGTGGAGGACTTTGGTGTGTGATGTGCGCGCGTGCGAGGAGGCATGGAGGGTTTGGTAGAGGGAGAGGAGGCTGGGGGGTTGTTAGCTACTACGTACTAATAGGACAGTTGGGTGAGGTGACAGGGGAAACGGGGAGGCGTACCGGCGGTGGGAAATCAGGCTGTTGAAATGCGGTGCGTAGCTACTGGTGGTGAACTGCACGTTTGCGCGGCTCTTGTAGAGGAAGTGCCGCAGCTGGGTGCCAGGCACGATATCGGTGGTACTTGGGCGGCCGGCGCGGACGGCGTTTTTAATGATATCCAGGCTGCCGTTTTTGTGGAGCTGCGCGACGACAGCGTCGCGCATCTGTTTGAGCTCGTAGAAACTCTCCTTGTCGGTGCTTATGAGGAGGACTGCGACGGCATCGTCGCGGCTGTTGGTGCTTTCCGGGGTGGTGTCGTCTTCTTCGCCGTCGAGGAAGGAGACGTACATGTAGACGTAACCGGTGTTGTTGAAGCCGGGGAGGCAGAGGGGGATCCAGTTCTCGCCGCCGCCGGAGCGGATGCTCTTGGCTTCGAAGAGCATGTTGAAAATGAGTTGTAGGTCACTCGGGTGTAGAGAGTGACGTTTTGGACGCACGACACTGACTAGGCGGCCACCGGCGACAATGAGACCGTAGAGAAGGTTGTCGGTGCGGGTCTTGAGGAGGGTGTTGTTGATGACATGGCGTTGGGATTTGCGGATTTTGAGACACTCCAGAGCGGATAGGAGGGTGGATGCGGAGCCTTTGGTGAATGTGTCCGCGAGGGATGAGAGGAGGACATCTGTGCCTTCGAGAGGTCGACGCAAGTCGGTCGATGGGCGGTTTGTAAAGATCTGGGTGAGGCGTGGGAGGGTAAGGGTAGATAAGATCTGCATGTATAAAGCGTCGAGCTGGATGCGAAGTTGCGCTTCGCTCTCACCCAGACTGCTAATGGCGACGAAATATAGAGGGCCCTGTGCAGAAACGACAAACTTGGTGTCGCCGGCAGTAAAAGATTGAAGGGGGTCTTTCGATTCTTCATAGAACGATATAATCGTCTGAATGACACCGATATAGCCGTTGATCAGGTTGACATCGCCGTGCCTGCTATATATGGGCTTTCCCGCCGATGAAAATATCATATAATGCTTGAGTTTCGACTTAAATTGATCCAGTAGTTGCTCCTCGTTGCCCATTTCGCTGTCGACGTCATGTATTTCATCGAACTCTTGTTCGAACACGGCCAGTTTATCATTTTCCGAGTGTTCAATCGTTTCAAACGGATTGACCGTCTCTGCTTGACCCGCTAGCATTTTCCATGCTGCACTTTGTGCGTTGGCCCCTCCCAGCAGGCTTTCCAGGTCTCCTCCTCCAGTATGTGTAGTTCCGGTGAAGGTTTGCAGGCTGGCATTATCATCTGCCTCATCCCTGCTCCGTGAATCTCTTCTGTGGCTATAATCCAAAACAGAAGTCCCCGCCGCGGACGGAGATGCCGTATTATCTGTCGATGAGAACGTGCCTCTGGTTCCGTCGGGAAATGACAGCGTCTGGATGTCTATCGAGGACAGCGCAGTAGTCGGTTGAGCTCGGGGCTTGGGTCTCGCTGAGAGTGGTGTCGAAGGTCGCTCCAGTGAATCGAGCTGGTTCGGACGAGGCGGTAATCGAGGTGGAATCTCGTTGGGGCCATTACTGTCATCGACTACGGCGCCAGTCGGAGCCGTCTCTGTCTTAGTTTCCCCTCCATTGCCGTCGGTCACGTTCAGAGCAGTGGAAGCTGCTGCTTCATCTTCCATTGTATGTGGCAAAACAATCCCATTATTCTGCCCTCTAGACCGTCCAAAGATTGAAGGGCTGAGTAACGTAAGGAGAGAGTAAGGTGTTGGCGCGTCGAAGTCGTTAGTCGTTGATTCCATGCGTCCCAAAATGTGGGGTGGAACAGCTATCAAGGCACTTGCCAGGGATTATCCCACGTTGCCGTGCCGCGTTCACGTCAGAGGCTCCAAATAGCGTTCCACAGGGGTAAGGTGGAACTTGCCGCGAGATCTGTATTCAGGCCACGACCACTTTGGCGCGCGTCGTTCAGGAAATATTCAGCTGCGCGAATCTCGAAGACTGTTTGCGCATAATTTGTAGTATGCCGGAAAGGCCTGAACGATATTCTTTTTGAAATGGCTCTTGACCCTGCCCCAGGGCGCCATCAGACGTCCTCACCAACGAATTCAGGCAGAGCATCGCCGATTTCTAGGAAATGGCGGGGTGAAGGTAACGTCTACAGTACAAGGGAGACATACGAGTCGGAGCTGACATGTTTCAATAGAAGAAGCCCTTAGTAAAGACAAAACCTTTCGGAGGTACGCTACCGGTGTCGACAGGTCGCTGGCATTATTCGACAGCCAGTTACAGGAATGGGCGGACTATATCTCGTTTTTGGGAAGGCTATTGAAGGTCTGGCTCTCACAATCTCCGAATTATGCATAAACTGATGATATGACATAGACTTTGCAAGCCCGTCCATCGAATATTACAGTTATTCCCTCCAAGGGAATTGTTGCTCGGAGACTAGCCCAATGTCTCAACCCAACGCTACCCTCGGGGGTGCACCAGAAGGCTATCGAAGTGTACAACTACATATTCTCAACAATTGGTACGGATTCATTATCGAGAGACTTGTCGCTATATCTGCCTGGGCTGTCGTCGACTTTGTCGTTTGCATCTCTGACGGTGCGGTCGCCGTTCCTCGACCTCCTCAAGACACACCTTGTACCGCTTGATCCGTTGTCGTTGCGCCCAGCACTCAAAGCTATAATATTGGCCCTTTTACCAGGCCTCGAAGAGGAGACAAGCGAAGATTTTGACCAGACACTAAAGCTGCTTAATGACTTTAAGAAAGCGGTGCGACCAAAGGGCAGCCAAGATGGCCACGAAAACACCGCCGGAGATGAATACTTTTGGCAATGCTTTTTCCTGGCATCGATTACTGGAGCGAATCGCAGGCTAGGTGCTCTGGCATACCTTGTCCGAAGCCTGCCAAAGCTTGATGCTAGATCACGAAGCGGTTCGGTTCCCAATCTTGATCAAGGACCCGGGAATGGGACAGAGATAATCACCACCCCTGAGCCCGGTCTCCTTCTGCGGTGCTTTGCAGCAGGTTTAAAAGACGACCAGCTTCTCATACAACGCGGGTATCTAGACCTTTTGGTTACCCATCTACCTTTGCACGCCACTGTCTTTCAAAGTCGAGTCAAAAGCGATGACTTAGAGCTCCTTATGGCAGCCGCATCTGGCGTAGTAGCTCGCCGAGATATGAGCTTAAATAGGCGCCTATGGAGCTGGCTCTTGGGGCCTGAGCCTGTCGCAGGCATAGAAGTGGAAAGCGGGCCGGGTCCGGCTTCTGGAAACGCCCGTGATCGTGCAATGTCTATAAGTGCGACAAGAACAAGCTATTTCGAAGAATTTGGCTTGCAACCTTTAACACAAGCCATCTTGAAGATGATTGCTCGGGATCAACTCGCACCCGCGGAAAGAGCCCGCCCTTTCAAAGTCTGTTTATCATTAATGGATCGATGGGAAATAGGAGGGCTCGTTGTACCAGAAGTATTTCTACCCGTGGTTGGTAGTGTAAGGAGATATCAATCACAAAGTACTTCGGCTGCAGATTTCAATGAAGTTCTACGAAGCGCCAGTGTCTTCTTCGACGGGGTGGAGAGCGGCCTAATATGGAGCGAAATCACAGGACTGATTGCAGGGGCTGTGGGCTCGAATAAAGCATCGAATGACGTGAAACTCGACAAGCTTGCTCTTGTGAGGTTTATTCTCACGAACTTTAATGTGAGGGAAGAGGAGATGCTTTTGGTCCATGCACCGATCACCGCCTTGGCTCTTCTGGCGATGCTGTATGAGACTGCATCAAAGGAGATCGATTCTGTTGAAGTGAAAACATTTGCAACAAATATTGTTCTGGACTTGATAGGTCTAATACCAGAAAGGGCTTTCGTCTCAGCCATATCCACCGAACAGTCGGAGTCTGAACGCCGCCAGCCTACTCTATCCATCGACAACAAATCCATTATGGACAAAGTACGCCACTTCTATGTCCATAATCAAGGCAACCTCGACGTTTCTCCGCCGCCATTTTCCGCCCAAGAGGTCTCTGAGCTGCTACTCCGCGAAGCCGTCAGACTAACTAGCCGGAGCTTGAGCGTTGCGACATCAAGTGCTGATGTCGCCGTCAAAGTTCGGCTCCTCGTGGCACTTATCACAACAGCTCCTGTCGCCAAGAGTTTAGATGTTAGTGAACTTCTTTCTGCAATCCATGAGAAGCTTTCGGCATCCACACCGCCCCCATTCTCTGTTTTTTCGTCTGTTGTTGTTATTGTTACGGCGTTATACCCACGCTACTTGAAGCTGGAGCAAATCTCCGATTTGGTTGACCCGCTAGTTCGCCTTGCATGGTCGTATCTCTCACCGTCCTGCCCAAAATACCACGTGGAAGCTGTGAGAAACCTTTGGCACCTTCAAACTTGCCTAGGAGATGCAAATCGCGAGATCGAGGCCTCCTTGTGTCGCTTGATTGTGGAATATGATGTTACTGGGACGTTTACAAGCAGAAATGCCGACCCTGGCCGCAGGTTCGCCGTGCTATGGACTCATACTCTCCACGACAACGCAGTCCATGTCGAACGTAGAGGATCAAAACCTTTGAAGAGTGACAGCAACTCGGTGGGACTAGCACCAAGTACCGGTGACTATGAAATAATGCTCTGCCGACCACTTTTCCTTTTACTTGATGCCCTTTCGGACGAGAGAACTCAGCTTTTTACGTCTGTTAGGATTTGGATTCAGAATCTTCCTGGAATTGAGAAGTAAGCAATAACGACTGTGTGGCCTGTTAACCTGCTAACGTTATTTCAATAGGATATTCCACTTATTTGTCTCAAAGTTTTCTGGATTCAAATTCCTACAGCCGGTAGAAATCCAAAGCAACGCTGGCACTGAAAAGTCTACAATGCAATATACCACAGATGATGATATTGACAACTGCCTCTATTACCTGCGGACTTTCCTGAATATCTTGCGTTGGTCCACAATAAGCACGTGGGGAACTCTTGCCAACAGCAAAGTTTCGATTCCAAAGACTGACGAAGCTACTGATTCAATTGGTAATTCTATCCCAAAAGAATCTCTAGTATTTTTTAACGCGTTATAGGGCACCACGAAGATGATATTCCGCTTCAAGAATTTTTTCTGGAAGTGTGTTTACGAGCAATAAATGGCACGCATAACCCGGCAGAGCCTCAGCTTGATGCATCTATTAGCCAGCTGCACCAGGCAGCATTGGCAGTTCTACATCAGATTCTTGCGAATCCATTCTCCTCAAATTTTACCGATCTCAACCTAGAAGTTGATCTGATTAGCAAATTACAACGGTCGCTGGCAGATCCGGATCCTTTCTTGCAGGCTTCGCTTTTGGATGTTGTCTTGGCCTCATTAAAACTCAAGAAAGAATCACCAATCAGCCCGCCTATGTCGCCAAAGCTTGAGCACCGCCCACTATCACCAGAGTCAAATCGCGGTGCTGTTCAATCAGAAGCAGTTGCTCATACCGAAATGTTGTCCGAGCGCCGACCCCCCCCGCCAAGTGCATTGCTTGAGTGTTTGCAAGCAGCATTCGTATCGCCAAATAGCCGTCCCGTTTTAGACAATTGGATTGTCTTTCTTTCTGAATGCATAAATCTATACTCAGACACAATATTCCAGGTGCTCATCCCCCTGGTCGAAACATTTTGCAGCCAAATCTCCCAGACATTTGAGTCTCTTCGCAAAACATTCCAAGGCTACGATGGCAGCATAAAAGCCAACTCGGCGCCGGAAGCTACCCTGATATCATTTCTCAACGGACTAGAACTAGTCCTTGCTCGCGGTCATGAGCGGCTGCTCAAAGACGAAGCTCGAGCTCCGACGGCGAAAAGTCCAGACCAGCCTCAAGGTTTCTTTGGCAATATGGTTTCGGGAGTTTTCGCAACAGAAACGCACCACTCAAGAACCCAGACTGCCAACAGTAGGCTTACTGTTCTTCTGTCGTTTCAAGATGCTGTCAGAATCTGTTTCAAGATTTGGTCCTGGGGTGGACGGGGCAGAGACGATTTCAGTCCAGATGCCGACTCCATGGCATCTTTCGGGTACACCTCTCTGCGGATGCGAAATCGCGCAAGAAGATTGCTGGAGCACCTTTTCCATGCCGAGCCGTTGGAGTGCCTAGAGACTGTCATCGAAATTTGGCAGAAGGCCTCAACCGCGAGTAACACGCAGTACACTGCGGCTTTCCACCTGCTCCACGTCCTTGATGGTAGTAGACCCAAACATACCATACCGGCAATATTCGATGCTATATACAGCCGTACCAATCCGGGCGTCTTAGATGTATCCCGAAAGTCCACATTGACGTCCACTTTACTTGACACGGAACTTGTCGTGTTCTTGGTTGATTATACCAGATCTGTGGAAGATGACGCTATGGACGAGATCTGGACGGATTGCATGACATTTTTGAAGGATATTCTTGCGAATCCATTCCCACATCGTCAAATTCTACCTGAACTTCTTGAGTTTACCTCTGTCCTTGGGGAGAAGGTGGATAATACCAACTTTGGGGAGCAGCGGAAAATGCGGAAGGACCTCGCAGTGAGTAGCACTGGCCTCTCCATCAACCATGCACATACTAATATTTATACAGGACCTATTCTTAAGACTTTTAACTGCAACCTTTACGACCAACCCAATAGGATATTCTATGAGTACGTCGCAGCAACCGCCCGCTGAAAAGCATTCCGAGGTCTCTTCTTCATCAAAATTAAAGCGCAGAGCCGAAGACGTCGTTGAGATCCTTGCCACCATTATTCCAAATCTACCCAAGATTTTGGTTGAGCCCGAAAGAGTCTTGGTTGCGGCCAATACGATATCGACTAGTGTTATTGGGCCGACAATTCGGTCCAAAGCATACCCTGAAAACGTTTCAGTAAGCCTATTAACTTTGCTGTACCAACTCTCACGACTGGCAAACACCCAAAAAGTATGGAAGAAAGATTTAGGAGACGCATTCAACGACCCTCGATTCTTTGCGAATCCGCCAAGTCTGTACGAGAGCCACTGGATGGCCCTTATCCGCCAATGGGCAATCACTGACAAAGAGCGCATGCCTGAACTCCTTTCTCGCATTACTCCGCCCACAACAGCCGGTATTGTGTTTGGGGTCGGTGCTACCAGTGCCCGCCTTGAAGCTGATCGAAAGACACAACTCAATCTTCGCCGCATTGCCACGCTTATTCTATCTGTCCCCGATGATACATTCGTATCGGTCCTCGCTGATATCAACGACAAAATTGTGGAGCTCCTCACTGCCACCACCACTTCGTCGCCCTCTTCAACTACTCGAGCAGAGATATACATACTTCTGCGCGTTCTAGTCCTGAAGACCAGCCCAATTCATCTCGCATTTATGTGGCCAACAGTCAACGCCGAGCTAGAAGCTGCAATATCATCGGTGGTCGCGCCCGACCACAGTGGGCCGGCAGACACCTGGAACAATTTCAGTATCCTACAAGCATGTAAACTGCTCGACTTACTGCTGTGTATTGCCCCAGACGATTTCCAATTGCACGAGTGGCTGTTCATCACAGATACCATTGACGCCGTCTATCGACCTAGCTCGTCAGGCTATCAGCCAGCGGCATTGATTGACCAGCTAGCTGAGGAACTCGGCTCAGCTACGCTTTCCGGTGCATTTGAAGGCACAAGCGTGGCTCCTGAGGACACAAAAGATAAATCTATGCGACGACCCCTTATTGGTCCTGGCCGGGTGGAGACACGAGGCGTTAACCTAGAGAGGAGGGATGAGTTAGTTGCGAAAGTGCTGAGGCCATTTTTCAGTCAACTCAGTATCTGGGCGTTTGAGACGGTGTACGAGATGGGAAGTATAGAGTGGGAGGAGTGTAGGAGGCAAGTATTGGATGATTTGTTTGATGAAAGCGCGGTTGTAAAGGCGTTGTAAGGAAACCCCATGCCAGGAGAGCTTATTGGGACTTATATTACGTGTAAATAGATATTCAAGATACAGTTCAACAGCAAGTACTGTCACAAGCCCCAGCAACGAAATAATGCCCATTTGAACGTAATGGGTATCGATTTGCACTAAATAGCTCCCCAATATGATATCTAATTAGCAACCGGTTTATCTTCCTCTTCCTCTTTCTCGGTTTCCTTCGTCTCCCCAGCCTTCGACTCCCCAGCCTTCGACTCCCCAGCCTTCGACTCCCCAGCCTTCGGGGGCCCTCCTAGAGGGGGTCCTCCCTTAGGCGGGCCTGGCGTGGCCTTCGGAGGACCTCCACTCTTAGGCGGCGGGGGTGGCGGCGTGTTGGTAGGTTTCGCACTCGGCACGTAGTCTAACTCTCTGCTCTTTTGCTCGCCTTCCATAAAATAATCGTCCAGCTCTCCTCCTTTCGCTTGTACTGTTTTATCATGTCCGCGCCCGTGTTTCCTATGCGCCTTGTCTGACGAAGCTGGAGGCGGCGGAGCTGCTCCAGGCAACTGTGCGGGGATGAGGAACTCGGAAGGAGCGGTTGTGATAGGTGGGGCACCGGTGGCAGAGAGCGCAGCCGCCCTTGACTCCTCGTTCGAGAATCGTGCCGGCTCGCCATCGAAAAGCGTCGATCCCGGCTCGGCAACGGGCTCACTGAGCGGCGCGGGTATGCGGTGCAGCGCACCATATCCAAGTACACAGCCTAACGCACCCTCTCCGCCCCAGTCGCGGCTCGGTTGGATGGTGACTTCGCGCGTGACATCGTATTCGTTGTTGTACACGTACAGCCTGAGGGGCCGGCCGATGTGGTCTTCTACCAGCTCACCGAGGCCGGCTTCGCCGTGCAGGATTCCCTCAGGGGTGCCGAGGATATAGTCGCTGTAGGGGAGGAGGCCGGCGAGGTCGGCGGGGGAGTTGGCGGGGACGTCGAGGATGTGCCAGATTGTTGCGACGGTGGAGAGGGGCGCGTGTTGGAGGGATATGCCTAGGGTGGGGTTGTCCGAGGGGATGGGAACGTGCAAGGTGCGTGTTCGTTGGCCCTGGTAAGTAATAACGCGTTAGTTGAGATTATGGGAGCTATGGATGAGGGAGGAGGGAGGTGTTACCTTTGCGCTCCAGAGTCCAAGAGTGACGGTGCCTCCAGCGCAGTTGCGGACTTCTTGGGCGAAGAGACTGGGATCTGAGTCCTCCTAATTCTTTATTAGAGATTGTCTGCTGAACTATTGAGTGAAACCATACAATCATGCGCCCATTGATCCCAACTACAAAATCAAACCAAGGCTCAATTGGAAGGTCGGCATTCTTATTTCGTAGGACTTGGAAGCCAAATGCATTGTAGGTGGACGTCTGGGCTGGCGCGTCGGAATCGAGCCTTGATATGAAGCGGTTTAGGGCGTTAAACATCTTGATTCCAGCCGCATGCAATTGTATTATATAGAGATGTTGGGATTCAGCAATCTTTTGTCAGTGACTTTCAAGACGGAGACTTGTAGCTGGTGATGTTTATGGTTAATGGAGCTCTGGCCTCACTTGCAACAAGGTACGTACTGTATCATGTTTCGTCATTGGCTAAATTTACATCTTCAAGGCTTGGCACGCAGCCTTGTGCCCACCACGCTAAATACCTCAGCCCTGTCAACTTGTCAAGAGGATAATTTTTATATTTTACAAAGAAGCTGGGCAAGCAAATCGTGGAACTGCTTGGCAACAAACTGTGATGTATTTCACCGCTACGCTCTAATCTACTTACTTCAGCTACTACTCGCATCCACTTCTTTGACTTTTGCAGAGTCCCTCAAAATCGAAGTGCGGGGCTGCCACCGCCACAACTAGACTTGGCTTCACACGAACCGACCCGTCGACATAACTGTGCGACAAATATTGGCAAGGGTTATTAAGACAGTGAGCTCCAAGAAATACTTTCTTACTACGGCCAGAGCCTCATTGGGTCTAATGGCGTCCAACCCGCAGACGTTTCAATCGTTCGGCCGTCCGCTGGCGAACTCCTCCAACTTTTTTTCACAGAGGGACAACGAACATCAACTCTACGGTCTATTCTCTGATCTGAACCTCAACGGAGAACATCGCAAACAACCACTTTTTACACCGGCCCCAGTTGCTGTTGTTTCTTCTGAGGACATTGAACTGAACGACGCACGATCTACCGAGAGAAAGCTCACAACAAAGCAACTTCGCAAGCAACGCGAAGCGGAACAGGCTGCGAAAACTCCGAAAAAACCCAAAACCTTAGCATCTAAAGCCAAGAAGCAAAACAGAATCAAAATCAGATTTGAGAGACGAAAGAGCCAAAAGGATAGACTGGACGCAATCAACCGCGACCCGAAACTGGTAGAGAAAAGGATACAAGCCTTGAAGGAGCTCCACGCATGTGCTCAAGATTTACACAACGCCACTGAAAACAAGGTCGCCCTTAAGCAGGCACTGCAAAATCTCACCGAAGCATTAGCTTCACATACGGAGAAAACATCCGCGGAGTTATACGCCGAGCTCTGCCAGACCAATAATCAGAAGAGTGCTGAAGTATTAATCGGAAATACAAACGATACACAAAGTTCGGAGGAATCTTTCAGGAACTTTGTCGATAATTTGGAGAAGCCAGTTCTACCATCAGAGCCCGTTTCGACTTCGCGGGGCAAGAAAACTGCCAGGGTAAAGGAGTTGCCTGTCAACATCGCCCAGCCAACATTTAAGCTTCTCGCTCCATCGAGGGAGCAGAAGATCAGAAACGCCCACAACTGGAAAAGAGCCAAACCACTTATTATCGACCTCACAAAAGCGATCGAAAGAAGTGATATTAGCATCGCCAAGTCATACGCTGCAGCACGTGTTCCAATTAAGAACCTGGCTGACGGCTTAGAAAGAGATTTTGCCGACGTTATATCAGAAGTCATTCCGTCATTTACCAGAGACAGAATTGCGTATTTTGAACGACCCTTCATTACCCTGAAGGAGACCAACCAAATATCACCCTCTAATACTCCCATTGCAACCAATGGCGGACTCGACCAATCAATGTCAGCCTGAGATGGATGATCTACAACAGAGCTACGTTGATGAATTTGGGCTTACAGATGAGTGCCATCACTATGAAAGTTTAGCAGAAGTGCCTTGGGACCTTCAGAAATATTGGCAGCAACGATACAGTATATTCTCATTATACGATGAGGGGGTATACATGACAGACGACTCATGGTTTGGGATAACTCCGGAGCCAGTTGCCGTCCAGGTAGCTTCAGACATGGCAGCCTCGATAGATCCTTCAAAAACTACAATAGTCGACATCTTTGCTGGCGCAGGGGGGAATTCTATTGCCTTCGCTCGGTCAGGACGCTGGGAAAAGGTCATTTCAATAGAGAAGGATCCTTCTGTGATTGCTTGCGCCAAAAATAACGCGGCAATCTACGGTGTTGCGGACAAGATTACTTGGATCAATGATGATTGCTTTGATTTTGTTTCCAAGGATGGGAATATTGATTTCAATACATCCACCATCTTCGCCAGCCCACCTTGGGGCGGCCCAGGCTATCGGGGCGACGAGATCTTCAATCTCGATACCATGCAGCCGTACTCCGCCAAGCAGATCCACGAGATGTGCAAGTCGACGGAGTGTGCCTTATTCTTGCCGAGGACATCCGATTTGCGACAGATTGCGAAACTTGCACCGGAAGGAGACAAGGTCGAGGTCGTCCAGTATTGCATGGAGGGTGCCAGCAAGGCTTTAGTTGCATATATACCAGCCACTCAGAGCAGCTAAATTAATGAAAATGAACATGAAGTCAAAAATATGCACATATCAACCCCTCATGACAAGATAATTGCTTCAGGGGAAACTTCCAGTAACGCTTAATTCTGGGGTAAGGGCGGGGAAGTGGGGTAAACGGTGCTGCTAAAGTGCCGGGTGGAGTTAGCCGATGTCACCGACACAGCCAACTTTAATATAACTCCTCACTTGTAGTCTCCACACTGAGAACAACAGCCTGAATACGCAGCATGATCATCAATAGTTGTTCCTGTTCCGAACCCCTCAGTCCATATTGCGTTACATGCGGCTGCTAATAGGACACAATATAGCTACTTTTTCCTTTTATCCGAAGCCGTTGTTGGTTTAGTTAGCAGCGAAATGATAATCGTATGGCGAAATTAGCAGACGCCAGTGCTGACGCCTGTGCCATGCCATGGCCCATATAAGATGAAGCCTAGGCGCAATTGATCATGAAGGTGACCGTTAGCTATACTTCAGGGCACAGAAGAGATTCAAGAAGTTTTACGTAGTTTGAAAGCTCAAGATGCGTTCGGCTTTGGCATACGTAGCGCTTGCGGCAACCTTCGTCCAGCAAGCTGTGACTGCGCCGACGGTTGGCCTTCCAGCACACGGAAGCAAAAATGTCCACTGGGTAGATACCTGGGCTACTATGCCACAACTTACAGAAGTTGGCAATCTTCCTCCTGCTCCATACGTATGTGTCTCGATATATAGCAGTCGTGCCTTCTAACCCCTTTTTAGACCCAACCTGACTCTGTTTTCGTTGACTCGACCGTTCGCGCGACATTCCAAGTGTCAATCCCAGGGAAAACCGTCCGTCTCAGGTTCACGAATGTATTTGGCGCCACGGACTTGCCAATCGATGCTGTGACCATTGCTCTCCCTAATGGCCCAGCGGGCACCCGCGCGATTCATACCCAGACACTTCAGAAGGTCACATTCAGTGGCAAGACCTCGATCATAATTCCCAATGGTGCTCAAGTGGTCTCAGACCCAATTCACTTTGAGGTCAAGGCCAGGCAAGACGTTGCTGTCACCTATTACACGGCAGCCGGCCAAGCCGGCAACAGCATCACCTCCCACCCAGGGAGTCGTGTCACGAGTTGGTACTCGCGTGGTAACCACGTCACCGCTGCCAACTTGACGGATGCTTCCGTTGCAAGCTCCGAGCATTGGTACTTCGTAAGTGCCCTGGAAGTCGACGACTCCCTCGGCAGCACCTTCGCCATCGTCGGCGACAGCATCACCGATGGCCGCGGCAGCACCACCAACGGCAACAACCGCTGGGCCGATCAGCTCTCCCTTCGTCTCCTAAAAGACCGACGCACAGCGCATATCGGTATTGCCAACGAGGCAGCTGGCGGCAACCGCGTGCTTCACGACGGCCTTGGACCTAACGCGCTTGGTCGTATCGACCGCGACGTGCTGGCGCAACCAAACGTCAAGTATGCTATGATTTATGAGGGCATCAATGATATCGGGACAGGCAATTCCACGACCTCCGTCGCTGAGCAGCTCGAGACGTCAGACCGACTGATCTGGGCATACCAGCAGATGGCGGAGCGAATCCACGCGGCAGGGATCAAGGTATTCATCGCCACTATCACGCCGTTCAACCACCCAGCCGACCAGTTCCAGCCTGTGTGGGACGCGGAGAGAGAGAAGACGAGGCAGCGCGTGAACAAGTGGATCCGCGAGAATAAGGTGTTCGATGCGGTGCTGGACTTCGATAAGGTTGTCCGAGACCCAGAGCATCCGAATGTAATGCAGGTGCGGTATAACTTTGATGACTTCCTACATCTCGGTGTTGAGGGTTATCGCGCGTTGGCAGACTCTATCCCTCTCTCTATATTCTCGTAGGGTTGAGGTTTAAAGGCGATAGTAAAGTTGTATTTCTTATATAGAGTGCACAGTCTCTCCAGCATGGTGGGATCAATATACTACAATAATATTTTGTGTGTGTGTGTGTCAAGCATATGTACCGATGAACTATGGACGAATGCCATTGCATGTCTCAAGCTCCATGCTTCAAGAAGCTTCTTGACGTCTTGTGAGAAAGGGCCCTTCTTTTCCCCGCAAACTCTGAGTTTTGCAAGGGCCTTCTCGGAAAGCCTAAATTTCACAAGGTACGAATGAAGCATAACAAGTCCGGCGAAAAGTTATATGATGCAACATAGCCACAGCACAGCGTATTCGCATAAAAATGCGTACCCCGCATTTTCTATACGAGTACGCTGTGGGTTAACACTAACATCGAATTCGATTGTCATATAAATTGCTCTGCCATATAAAGAAGGTGCTTTTATAGTACTGTGCTTCTCAACATATTACCCATGTCCGGACGCCCGTGACATGGCACTTGTTAAAGTTGCTACCCGGCTCTATCCCAAAAAGTAAGTGCTGGACTTGGCAGGAAGGCGATATTAGATTTGTTATGTAAAATAACTTATTCGAGAACAACTTAGTTCCGGAGAATAAAACTTCCATCGAGTTACGCTCGTTCTAGGCACTTGTGTAGCTCAAACAGGGTTTCCCATGGCGTCGACTCGGGTTATATCCCGGTTTGGCTAAACGGGACAAAACCAACAATATATATCCATGCAGGGAAGACGACACGGACTTAGGCTATTATGGACCCGACTTAAGCCTTTCTAATGCCATGCGGGGGTAAACCTTGTATTGATGCTGTCAGATTCGGCAATGCCAATGAGAACTTTAACAACACGGAGAGCCGGTAAGGGGCAGCAAGTCGACCAGAGCCAAGGTTGTCAGCAGAAAACAGCCTGTTCATTTACAGGTTGACATTCAGACTGACGGCCAAGACCGTTTGCCGCTGGACCGTAAACAAGGTCATGTTGAACGAGCATCATTCTCTGCTTCCAATTGAAAAAATTGACGTTGGGTTAATTGTATAGACTGTCATGAATAGGACCTACCAGTGCTAAACATCTTGCTCAACAAGCCTCAGCTAAAGTAAAACGATGATGTGTTAGCCTTCAACACCCCAGAAGCTCCTGCCCAAAGACATCCGGTATATGCCACCGATCCCTGGCAATATGGGCTCCTCCTCATCCGCTTCGAGCACACCTCATATACTATATCGCGTGGCATTGCCTGGATTTAGCCAGTGTTCTTGTCGATCCCTTGACGATTAAACCATAGCTTTATGAGGAAGCCCCTCTGCCAATGGCAATTCAAAGAATCCAAAGTGCCCAGGCCCTTTTATTTGGCTCTTTGAATCGCATCAGGTGGGACATCGAGGCTAATATCAGCGGTCCAACGGGGCTTGGCGAATCATTTGTTATATAAAAGAGTCGAAGTCGACCACAAAACTACCAGCTCTTGTTCAGACAGTACATCTCATTGATTCGTTCACTGCCGTCTTCAATAGATCAAGATGCGCGTGCTTCCAGCTCTTTTGCTTGCGGGCCCGGCCGTCGCACAACAGGCTGTATGGGGACAATGTTAGTACTCTTCTACCTTCATTGGGATGAACTTAGCTAATGAGAGTAAGGTGGCGGAACGGGATGGACAGGTCCAACAACTTGCGTCTCGGGAACGACATGCACCTTCTCGAATGCCTGGTACTCTCAATGTCTTCCGGGTGGCAATGGCAACCCCGTTACTACTCCACCGGCAACCACTCCGCCCGCGACTACGCCACCTGCTAGTACCAACCCACCAGCGACTCTACCCCCAAGTGAGACTACAACAGCGACTGGCGGAACCCCGTCCACTTGCCCCACGATCCCCGGCAGCATCAACCCCCCATCCGTTGCCACGCTTAACGATCCGTTCACGCCCTTAAGCGGCTCCCGAATCACCACCAAGGCCCAGTGGACGTGCCGCCAGGATGAAATTAAGCAACTCTTCCAGAAGTACGAGCTTGGTACTCTGCCACCAAAGCCATCTTCGGTGACCGGCTCCTTCTCCGGCTCGACCTTGACCATCAATGTCAGCGAGGGAGGAAAGTCGATTTCTTTCACTGCCTCGATTACCTACCCATCCTCGGGAACTGCCCCATACCCCGCCATCATTGCCATTGGTGGTCTCAGCATCCCAACTCCAGCGGGCGTCGCCGTCATCAACTTCGGCAACGATGACATTGCCGCACAGAACAGCGGTAGCAGCCGTGGACAAGGAAAGTTCTACACCATTTATGGTGCAGGCCACAGTGCCGGAGCTACCACGGCATGGGCATGGGGTGTCAGCCGTCTTATCGACGTTCTCGAGACTCAAGCGACTGCAGCACGCATTAACGTCAAGAAGCTTGGTGTTTCCGGATGCTCCCGCAACGGCAAGGGTGCCTTCATCGTCGGTGCTTTGGAGCCCCGCATTGCCCTAACCATCCCGCAAGAGTCAGGCTCCGGTGGTGCCGCTTGCTGGAGAATCTCCGACTCTGTCTTCGCGGCTGGTGGCAACATCCAGACCGCCCACGAGATTGTCGGCGAGAATGTGTGGTTCTCCCCCAACTTCAACGCCTATGTCAACACCATCCCAACTATGCCATTTGACCACCACATGCTGGCAGGTCTAGTCGCTCCTCGCGGTCTGTTCGTCATTGAGAACAACATTGACTGGCTTGGTCCTATGGCCACAACTGGTTGCATGAAGACTGGCCAGATGATCTACAAAGCTCTCGGTGTTCCGGACAACATGGGTTTCTCTGAGACCACTCCGCACAGCCACTGCTCGTTCCCATCTTCTCAACAAGCGGACCTTACTGCATTTGTCCAGAAGTTCTTGTTTGACCAGAACACCAACACTGCTGTCTCGAAGTCCGACCAGACCTTTGATCAGGCCAAGTGGGTTACGTGGAGTGTTCCAACTCTGACCTAAGTGCGATGATGTACTTCAAGTTGCTTTCTATCTGTTAGCAGTCGAAAAGGTCAATATTTTTCCAAAGCAGGGGCGTGTAGCGCCAGCCTCCAATCCGAAGGTGTTGTATTGTTGGCAGTGAATATTTTAGCTTCTTGAACAATTTTTATCATGCTTTGCCATAATTCCGAAAGATCAGGTGCCATGATGCCGTGCATAGAATGTGAGCTCTGTGAATTGAGGGGACGTTGGTGAGTTATATCTTATAAACAGCACAACTGTGACGGAAAATTGGTCTCCGATGCCCCCCAGCCGCGTCGGACTTATACCTCATTGGCCAGGACCCAACTTGTGCCAAACCTCGGTGGAATTTCTCCGTGGCTTTCCAATGAACTGTCTACTTTCGTTGTTCCTAATCCCGACCTGACTAGTCAATGGTAGGTCTAATAACGAGTTTCATGTTGTCCGCAAGTTTCTCCTGGTTCCACGCCGCCTCGCACTGTGCACAAGTCAGCCACCTTTGTCGGTTACTCCCAGGCCACTTGTTTCCTCCTCAAGTTGAAAGGTAGAACTCGTATTTGATGATTTGAAATAAAAGTAGTAATGGCCCATTCAGTGATAAACTTATAATGTACAAATAGATGTGCTGTGTTTGGTACGTCCGGGCTCTAACGACAAGCCTACCACTCTTAGATAGAGCCTTCAAATGGCAGACATAGTACTAACATAGACTCGTTTCAAACAGTCCTATGCCTTTAAAATACAGGATGATTCTCGTGGTGCGAATGCTCACTCGTTTGAACAGCCGTTTTTGTGATCTAACCACGAACACCTCTCAACTGCTCCTCCGCCGTTCCTCCTATCGTACAAATTTCCTACACGTAATAATAACCTGCCTATTTTGAAGGCTCTTCAGGCTTGTCATTTGAGCCAAACCAAGGTTTGGCATTCTTCCTCTTTGCGTCTTTCCGATCCGCAAGCTACAAACATCAGCGGTCAACACACTTGGTCAATGGAAAATGGGCTCCCTACCCATTGCTTTTTGCAATCTCGATAAGCCCTATACATCAATTAGTAAAAGTCCCACTTCACTATTTCACTCCGCCGCAACCACGTGCGAGCATAGCCGAATGCGCCTCCGACTTACTGGAAGTAATCCGAGCACATCTCTCTTTGCCCGCCATTCCGGTGCAAACACTTCAAACTCCTCGTAGCCAAATCCTGACACGGATCAAAGTACTCGCTATACGCCTTCCTACACCATCAAGTCAGTCTCCCGCCTATTTACTCCAGAGGTGGTGGTAGGTAGTCCCAATTTACCCTTCGAATTTCCTCTCCGTCTTCTCGTCCCATGGTTGCTCCGGGGGATCAATGGCCATAGCTTAAAACAGAGCGACTTATTCGCTCTCTCCCTGTTGCTTGGGTATAAAACAGTGATGATACTGCAAAGGAAATGGTGGGTTTGGGATATATGTCCAGGTGTTGATGTCTTGAAGCACGTGCCGGGAAGGCGGTTTGGGTGCAGGTCGTGACAGGAAAAGATCTTATCTAATCTAATCTAATCAGCCCCAGAAACTATACCACCGCCATTCTCACAAAATCATGCAGGTCTATTTTGGCAATCAATGACTGTTAAATTAGTGAATCATGTTGTTACTATATATTAAAGGCAAGACTGTTTTCCTGGGTCAAAATTTGTTCAATTTCATGTTTTTTCGTATAAACTCAAGTAAAATAATACGTGGCAAAATCACGAAATTACTCCTCTTTTAAAAAGATTATCACACAAATATTCAAATTCCAGTCAGGGCCAAAAGTTAGGTCAATTGCATTGCATAAAAGAAAGTCTGGTTGCGTCCTGTCTAATGATACAATCTCCGTTATCCATTCTCCCACTGTCGCCCATCAATTTCGTAGATCTTATAATTTGTCTCCAAACCCTTGCTAACTACTCAACCACCATAAATAACTCCCCTTGTAGGAACTTCCATGAATAAAAATCCAAGCTGATTGCCACGATGGTCCCGCTCAGAGTAGAATAAGCTCTGTTGAACCTAGGAAGGAGCAGTATGCAACTATGTAACTATGTCGTTTGAACCATTTTCATGTAGCTTCCAGAATCTGCTCCTGAATAGTTTCCGAGTTCCATGGCAAGCACTTGCAGTCCCATCAAAACAGCCACATCCGTCGAAATACTCCTAACGCCTTGCCGAGACCAGCTACCAGATTGTCATTGCGAATTCTTGGCGTCCTAAGCCGAGAAATGTACTGATCGCTCCCTCAGACTTGGCAGACTTCAATATACTTTTGCACCTAGAGCCTGTTGCGCTAGGATATCGAGGGCCGAAGGGTTTCCATATTCTTCCCCGGCAGCCTCCTCGATCATCTCATCGGCCCAATTGAACCCAGTCCCACTTCCATGGTATTCAAAAGTTGGGACAAGATCCGAGAAATCTCTGCCAGCCTCGGGATCTGCCTTGGTTTGTTGAGCAGCGAGAGAGGCATCTTCCCTATGAATCTGTATCAATGCCGCAGCTGCCATGTATTGTTGGGCGTCAACTCTGGTACTGGATGCATCCTGCGCATTTTCTTTACCAACGGAGTTGAAAAGTTGTGTATTGTTTGCGAAATGAGAAATATTTGACGCAGCCATCATGCTCTGCTTCTGGGCTTCAGGCAAGGCCCTCGGAAGACGAAGCTTTGGAGGTAGGCCGTATTTGGCAATAAGAGCCGCCTTATCATCAGTGGAATCGCTGCCTTCGCTTCCAAATGAAGATGCCGGCGTAAGAGTTGCGGGAGAATCGTCCGGTGTGGCACCGAATGTCACGGGGAAAGGAACGGAGCATGGATCAGCCCCAAAGCTGACGGCTACATCGCTGCCTCTGTAGTGTGCGCTCATCAATCTGTATACTTTGTCTGCCGCAGTGATGGACGAAAACTCCACGAAGAAGTATTCCTGGGCGTCGCGCTGGACTTCAAGCAATTCTTTCACTTGGCTGTATCCGGGCTGAACTATCATATCAAAAACATCCCCTGTAGAGAATGCTGATGGAAGACCTCTGATTGATAGACAGCGCGTCCAGCCCTGTCTGATTTGCTTTAGCATGGTGGGGCTGATTGGCCATGTTGGATAAGAAGTGATGTGCACTGGCTTGAGAGATTCCATGGCTAAATTGGATTTCAACAGACTGGCTCCGGATTCTTCAACGAAAATGATAAACGCAGTCAATCCTCCCGTGATTGCAACTGTGTTACAAAGAGTCGCCGAGTAAATCGGTCCCGTGTTGATGTTGTCAAGAATGCTCTTCAGCGTAGTTCCGATCGGAACGCCGATGTGGACAGCTCTGTGTCCCTGGGACAGTTCATCTGGTGGGTTGTATGCAATCCCCCAAACGAAATATTCCGAGAGTCTGCCGCGAGGATTGAGAATGGCATTTTGATGATCAATAGCATTTAATCGCTCCTCTCGTGTTTCCCAAATGGTTTTGTTGGCATTGTAGTCGGGAACGCATGAATTGTGACGTTGTCCATTTCTGGGTTGCCGGGGGAGAGTCTCTCGGGGGGTCTTATTGAGGTGATAGCTGACGCCGGTGACCACACCTTTGCCAATAAAGTGGTCTGGCTCATTGACGCGCTCAATGCGAGGAGTAGGCGCGGGCTTGTCCTTGATCTCTTCCATGTACTTTTCATATTCCAAGCGGGCATTTTCCTGTCAACTTTTAGTAAGTATTCATAGCTTGGCTCTCAGTAAATCCATACCACTGCGACAGGGTCCAACTCAGGCGTGGGATATGCCTGAACGGGAAACTGATCGTCGGATGGCTCGTGCTTGGCAGTTGTGATTTCACTTTCTCCCGCTAGCAGCTCATCATCCAATGACTCAAACATCGCTGGAATATGTGTGAATTCAGCCACGGAGCCTACAGGGTCGGCGTCTTGAACGGTAGCATCATGCTCATGTTGTTCTGAGTCTGCCGCTGGCGCAGGCAGGGCATCCTCAGAGCATTCCTGGGAAGACGGCATTCTTGGGGTGAAGTCAGCCTCAGTATGGCAATGTTATCCGCATGACAGGTGCTTTTCACTCACTTGGTGGTAGTCGTAGGGAGTTGAGAAGGTATGGAGTGACCAGACCGTCCAAATATCGTCGACTGGATAGGAATGAATGTCAAATAGATTTTTTGAACTCTTCAGAAGTTCACATTGAAAAGATAAGAGTAAAGCAAAGCCCCCAAGTTGAGTAGAGCTCATTATATAGCTGCCTTGACCACAATCGGTCCTGTCGGTGAGAAGATGGCTATCAGTGACAGGAATTCCAGCAGGGACGGAGTTTCCAACCTCCGGATTGCACTTGCCTCACCACCAGTGCGGCCACTTGCTCAAATATCCTTCTCGAAAGTGCGAGATTTGCAAGAATGGATGAAGGAATCGGTTCTCTTTGATGGGCAGTAGGCCCTTTGGCCAAAGAGAGGGCGATGAGCACCATGGTGAGCTTGTGTGGTGGTATATCTGAGGTGAAGAAATATAATGTTAGTTGATGGCTTCAATTTCGGTCCAGGTTCACATACTAAATGAGGAAGAGAGGTTGTGAAACGAAATTACTTTGCTAGCATTGCGCCTGTGTTGAAAAGAAAACAGAAACATAGACTCAACTTCGCTTTATCGTCTCGGTTTTGGTATGGAAATCGTGGGAACCATTGTACATATTGGGAATATTCAATCAGGTGTGCAATCACCAGTTGAAGCACAAGGGAACGGGGACTAGAAGCATCAAAACCAACTGAGTCCCCCAAGAAAAATGACAAAAGTATTAACTTAATTTTGAATAACGAACCATTATAGCACCATACAATATAAACCTAGCTCCCCTATACTATCCTTAGTACGATTTTAACATGAGGTATGTTCCTGACAGGAACTCGTTAATACAACTCCCCCACAAGTATTCCACATCAATCCACTCTGTCCAATGGGTTATTTCCCCAAAGTTTGCATCAATACAGCCAATATATGCACCCTGGCTCCAGCCCAAAACGCCTGCCACTGTCCCAAGTGCTCCCTTCGCCCATCACACTCCCTTGCTCTGTGCTTCGGTTACAAGTGTGCCCGGCAACTCCATTCAATCTAACCCATACAAGACCCATAGATGATCCCACACCTCACGTCCTCTCACTTACAAACCACTTCTTCTTCTCCTTCTTCACCTGTGCCGCTGTCATCGGCGTCGTCATCATTGCGGCTTCCTTTCCTGCCGAGCCGTCTCCAAAGCCGCCGCCGCCATAGGGACCGGTAGGGCCCGAATGGCCCGTAACCCAAGGTGCAGTCGGCGGCCTCATCTCATAGTTCAGTTCACGCTTGCGTAGGTACCTGCGGCGGAAGAACGCTGCTGCGATCCAGCCACCGACAATAGCGACAACGATGATGACAATCATGATGACATATTGATAGTGAGCCTCCATCCTAGTTCAAATTAGTGTATGTTCTCAGAGGTATTGCCGGTGAATACGTATGAGACAGGGCTACTCACCAAGTCTTCTTCTTGGGGGCCGTGACTGTGCTGCCATCAGTTCCAGTCGAACCTCCCGTGCTTCCAGTATCTGTCGATCCCGTGTCTGTGCTTCCAGCGCCGTTACTCCCAGTCGTCGTAGTTGGTGTCGTGCCACCCGATGCGCATAGCCCGTTGTACCATGTCTGAATAGCCGTCAGATCGGCTGCGACGGGGCACACAGCAGCGCACGTGTTGGCAGTGCCAGACAGTCCCACCGAGGTCGTACGGGCATCTTTGCAGAAGCAGCTTGTGTCTGGCGCGGGGGTCGCTGGGGGGATACAAGAGTATGCCACGTCAAAGAGCTTGCCGCAGCTTTGGGCGCATAGTGGAAGCGAGCCGAATGGTACGATATCGACGTTGGTCCCTGGCTTCACGGGGGTGGCTTGGAGGGTAGCGAGGGGAAGGGCGAGGAGGAACAACGTCCGTAAAAGATTCGACATCGTGATATGATTGCTGAATGAAATATATACGCAGAGCGCAGGTGAGGTATTATGATTTGCGACGCCGCTGGTGATTATTATTTCCGTTCTCCGATCGATCTGGCTGTTGGACTCGATCCGGCGGTCAAAGTACTTCGTTCGCAGCCGACGTTTCCGGTATCGATAACGACGGGGACGGTCCGGCCGTTAGGCGCTGGCGTAGTCGCTGCCCTTCGAAGACGATTTCGCGATCGATGGTTGGGTCGCGATTGCCTTTTGGGTCTGGATGTGTAGAGTTGCCTTCCGTCGTGATCGTCAGGTTCAATCTCTGGGGAGCTGAGCGATCAGATTCGCTTCGCAATTTAACCTCTCAGGTGACGTTTTCGAACGATTTCGTCGATCAGCGATCAGCGGGGCAGTGAGGTGTCAAGATATAGTAATAAGAAGAATGAAGATATTAACAAACGAGCGACAACAAGAGAGTGTGTAGTGGTTGAAGAAGAGTAAGAAGATGAAAGTGTTGATTATCCGCAGTTGGTATGGTAGGCTTACTCTCGGCTCTCTCGTATGGCCAGAATGACATAAGACACAAGGGACGCTATAACACCAATTTGCGCGCATTTGTTCCGGAAGGAAGACGAGGGCCAAGATTGTTTGGCTGAGATGAAGAGAAATTATGCGAGTTGGTCCGTGCATGGTACATGGTGTCCACTTCTTCCACCTCGATGAAAAGGGGGTACGAGTTGCAGAACTGTCAACTGTCAGGGCCCACGGCCCACACGCCACGTGAAAAGCGGCACACTTCATCATTTCCCAGTATAGGAAAGCATAATATCTATCACGTACAGCACGCCGTGCGTCGATCTAGAATAGTCTATCCGTAATGAATCTCCAAGGTTACCGCGTGAAAACGCTCCCAATCCAATAGTCTTTATGCGGTCCTCTCACGTGATACCCCACGCTCCATTTAGCTACCTCAACTCCTTGGAAGGCAAATTCATACTCTGGGTCATAGGTATCGTCAATGCAAAGGTGATGGGATGTTGCCTTCCATCTCCTGTCCCTTGCCGGTACCAATTCCTTGGGATTTTGCCCCTGTTCACCACCCGTGGGATGAGGACATATCATCTGCAGCTCATGGAACAAATAGTCGACCGTCTTGTTGTCCGTTTTCACAAACCACACACTTAACTTGTCCTCAGCCTCCGCGTACCTGTAGACATACCTCCTCGTCGCTCTAAACTGCAGCCCAGTATCTGTCTTGAAGTCTCCGTCCTCGACATACAGGAACTCTGCTGCGAAACCCTCGGCTGTAGGGCGCCTGGGATAGAATCTCGCGGTTCCAACTAAAGAGCCAGAAGGGTATGTCGAAATATTACTTTTGATGGTGCGGTTAAGAACCCAGTTTCCCTGTAGGGAGCGGAAGATTGCCCTGGCCACGAATTTTCCACCTCGGCTTCCGTCAATCTCTTGTTGTATGAGTCGTAAGGCTTCTTTGGATTCTGTAGCTTCTTCACCCTCGCCTAAGCCCTGCAAGCTGGTTGCATATAGCGCCGGTGAGACAGGTGTACAGTAGCTATCGGCAGCTTCAACCGGCCCATGGCCCTGCATTTCTCGGAGAGACTCCATAATGTGAGTATAATCACCCATTGGAAACTGCGTAAGTCTTTCCGGGGTCTCTTTGTAACAGCGTCGCAGTGCAGGAATGATAGAGCCTGCATCTTTGAGAGCCGAACTCAGAGCCGGAGGCGGCCGGGAGTCAGGTTGCCAGAGGGTGCGCAGAAGAGATGCTTGCTGCTCTGCAACGCCCCAGTATGGGCCTCGGTAAAAGCCAACAAAGCCTAGAGAAGGTACGGAGGGGTGTATTGTGCTGTGTAGTGACAGGGCGAGCGGTAAGTCTGGAGTCGAAGGGTCATATCCAAGAGTGGAAAGAATGGATTTAGGAAGGAAGGATAGAGAGGATGCGCTGTCGAAGCCTGTGGCAAAGATAATCGCAGAGATGTTATCGAATGTCTCAGTTGACGAGGGTGTTTCAACAATGACAGATGTATTGTCGTCGGCAAGGGATTTCACTCGCCCCCGTGTTGTTTTGATCGCGCCGGACTGAGCGAACGAAGAGTAAGTATCGCTGATTCCTAGCCAAGGAGCATCTGTCTCCTTATCCGTGGGTAAGGAGGCAAAGGCAGTTGCTTCACCACCGTTAAATAGTTTGAAGGCAGCATGTGACTTCTGCGCTGCCTCTGGGCTTACGATCCCAGATCTACTTTTCAGGCGTTCTTCGGGAGACCGATTGCTCAAGTTAAACATAACCATATCGAGGGGTAAAAACTCTGGCGCCGGATTCATAACCTGGTACAATTAGCATATACACTTGAGAAGGTCCGAAACAGCGCTTACCTTGCTATCATTCTTCTCATTATCAACCTGCGTCTTCAGAGGCAAAAATAACGGCACTGTCCAAAATGGCTTGCTCGTTACATGATGAAGAGTGTACTGCTCTATAGACTCGATGTCTGATTTCTCAGGAGAATGAATCTCAGATGAAATCTGAGCAGCAATTGTCGCTGATGTTTCAGCGCCAGACATTGACCCGCCCACAACCAGAATCTTCCCGGGGCCCCCTTTATTATCTTTCAACAATTCCTTGAGGTCTGAAAACTCCGAACTGTGAATTATCGGAATAGGCACACCCTCTCTTTGGGTAAAAGCTTCGGGGATTATTGGCTTGCCAAAGAAGCCCGAAGATATTATGACATGGTCAAAAAGGTGCTCTTCGGTCTCACCAACATTGACACTTAAGATGGCTGAAGTGTCTTCGGGTTCTAGGGAGCTTGGTCCCTTAACATCAGTGCGCAGCTTTTGCACCCGTATCCTCCATTTTATTGGTGTAGAGGCATCATCCTCCACCATACTAGCCTCTTCAACGCGGCAGCTTGTCTTGATATCAACCGATGGATTGTTCAAGTACTTGTCAACATATTGTTGAAGGTATTGCCCTACATCGCTGGCCTTGGGAAACAGAGGGCTTGGGTGAGAGGGTTCATTCTCCGGCCATGTTTTGTCACTGAAGCAGACGGTATACTTGCTCAGATTTGTTGACATGGACGGATTGATTAAGCCTTTGTCAGTGGAATTGCTGGGCCAAAGGCCCCCAATTCTCGACAGTTGCTCAAAGACTGTAACTTTGAAAGCTCCCTTGGAATACATAAATGCCCTGGCAGCTGCTATCCCGCCTGGACCCGCGCCTACGGAGGATTAGTGTCCACTTCATCTACGGATGATCGGTTGCAGGCCATACTTACCAATAATGCATACTGTTTTTGCCATTCTTATTCACCTCTCAGCTGACTTTCACCGGCGCGCGCCAGACGTTTGCTACCACGTAGACACACTGCTTAGGTATATTCTGTAAGCTTCTTGGAATAAGTATGCCTGCAGGTAAATGTAAAATAATGCTCTCAGTTTATATATGTTCCGGCCCAACC